ATGGTTCACTACAACAGGCGCGACATATATGCAAGTATTCTCATGGTAGGTCGCGCCTCTTGTAATCGACCACTACAACAGGCGCGACATATGCACGCAACGCCTGTGGTAGGTCGCACCTCTTGTAATCGACCACTACAACAGGCGCGACACATACAATTAATAATGCTAAAAAAAACGAAAGCAGCGAAATTGTACGCACACCACGAACCAGACCACCCCACAATTTGCAGAAGCCGCGAGCGAGGGGTGGAGGCGCAGCGAGGTCGAGGACGTGGGGAAGGCCGTGCAAGGGCGAGGACAAAAGGGCGGCTGTGTTCGTGGGAGGGCTCCGCAGGAGCCCCCCCACGATCCCCGCCCTTTTGTCCCGCCCGGAGCCGGCCTTCACCACGTTCTCGGGCGAGCGCGCCTCCAGCCCGAAGCTCGCAAACCCACAACGGAGTTGCCCACAAAGGGAGTTGTCTGCAAAGGGTGTTTTGAAAGCAAACAGTGAGGGTGCGCCCACCACTCCCTTCGTGGGCAACTCCGTTGTGGGTTTGCGAGCTTCGGGCTGGAGGCGCGCTCGCCCGAGAACGTGGTGAAGGCCGGCTCCGGGCAGGAGAAAAGGGCGGGGATCGTGGGGGGGCTCCGCAGGAGCCCCCCCACGAACACAGCCGCCCTTTTGTCCTCGCCCTTGAATCGTGGCAACGGCCTGTTCCACCAACGACCCAGAACTAACTAAGAGAATAACTTGACTGAACTCCGGTCATCTCCTTCGTTCAGTCGTATTCTCCCAGTCACTCTTTTCAACAATGTCCTTCTTCTTCGCTCAACTTCTTACTTTTCTTCTCTTAAACTATTTCTCTCTCTTTACTCTACCTAATCTTAAACTAAATCCCGCAGGAAACTCCAACTCACGAACGAAAACCACAAAGAATTACAATTTAAACTGAACCTCTATTTATTCTACTTGCTAACTTCACGGTACTTTACACTTGAAACGGCCAACAGCGCCTCTACCGGCAAAAGGAGGAAGGGAAACAAACTAACTCGATGGGAGGAATCGGGCCTCGGTTACCGCCGCCGCCGACAGGGCGCGCTCGGTTCACCGGCTTACACAAAACTCGCAACTTCCACTAATCTGACAAAAATATGCAAATTAGCGGCGAAAACAATTCAACCGCTAATTATTCCGACAATTTCCACGCAAAACTAAACAATTTCGGGACGTGCGGCCGACGTAACTTCTCAAACCGGGCAAAATTAACTCAAAATCCAATAAACTCACCAAATAAACGCCTAACCAACACCAGACCAACTCAGGGAACAACTCACACTACCAGAGAACTCGCAAATCTAGGCCGAATTCGTCCGAAACCTGTCGGCAGCCAAGAGCTCGCGGCGCGCAGCTCTTGCTCCTTCAGCGTCTCAGCACGAACTCTCTCGCTCAACTGCCCCGCGCCAATGAGAGAACGCATCGGTCGGCTTCTACTCGCTTCCAGAAGGTTCCGGCCAATCAGATCGCGAGTTCTCAAATCGGGCCTTATATGGTCATTTTCTCCGGGGATTATCCAAACATGGACGGCGGAGATGACAGAAAACGACAAAATGGGTTTAGATGACTTGAGCGGGCAATTAAACTCAAACCTGATGACTTGTTCGGGTCGGGACTGGGACGAGTTGGCCGGCGGCGAATAAAAAGTGAGTCTATTTGCTTTCTTTCTTCTTTCCGGCGACAGCAAAAACACGAGGCGGTTTGTTTACTTTCTGATCGTTCCAATGTTGACCGGTAGATGGCCACGATCCGCCACTCACCGAGAAAGCTCGGCGGACAATCGCGGGCTATTCAAGCGGGCTCTCTCTGGTTCACCCTCCGCACGGCCTTCCCCACGTCCTCGACCTCGCTGCGCCTCCACCCCTCGCTCGCGGCTTCTGCAAAAATTAATCTTGGGGGGTTGCCCACCTCCGAGTTGCCGGTTTGTGGGGTGGTCTGGTTCGTGGTGTGCGCCTGTTGTAGTGGTCGATTACAAGAGGCGCGACCTACCATGAGAATACTTGCATATATGTCGCGCCTGTTGTAGTGAACCATTACAAGAGGCGCGACATATAAAAACAACCCCCTTCCCCGTACATTGGTGGTAGGTCACGTCTTTTGCAATCAGTTAAAGGAGGGCTTACCTATCCGTATCTCCTGCATTTCCACATTCCATTAAGCTGTCAAAACACACTTGCAATCGGTGGGCCGAAAATTCGGTGGTTTCGTCGTCGAAATCGGCGATTGAAATTTCGGCCAAGGAACATTTCATGCGCATTCGCCATGTTGGCCCGCTCTTTTTTGAAGCAGGAAAGCCTTCCGACACACACTCTTTCATTCCCTCCTGCTGGCTGGCGGCCGCTGCTGCTCCGTCCTCGAAGACGAGAGCGAACAAGTCTGGACAGCGGCGAGCGCGGCGAGAGACTTTTCGCGAGAGGCAGGCAGAAAATTTTAAATCAAAACGCGCCGATTTAAAATTAAAATATAACGCGTTTATTAATCAGCTTCATATTTGCAGCGTTGAAAGATGATAAACTGACGTAACATTCCGTTTTTTATATTTAATTAAATCTGCATTTGGAGCTGAGAAATAAAGCATTTTATTAAATTTAATATTTCATGTCAAGAAAAATTTTAAAGATGAAAACTTACATAGATTTATGTAGCCAATTAAATTATCTTTCTTTTTTGTCATACTGCCAATGTCATCAGAATTTTCTTAATGTACCTTTAAAGGACTTAAAGTCAAAATTTGATATTTTAGAGATGAAATAATTTTTTGAGAATTTTTTCAAGATAGCCATTGGATTGGAAATTTAATTTTAACCATACCCATGAATTTTTATCAAAACCTAAAAAGCTGTTTAAAACTTACAAAATTAAGTATAACAGTACCTCAAAACGATTGTGGAGGTCATACTAGGCCTTTCAGAGAATATTGTCTCATTTGTTAAAAACTAATCATATTGAAATAAAAATTCATGGGTATGGTTAAAATTAAATTTCCAATCGAATGGCTATCTTGAAAAAATTCTCAAAAAATTATTTCATCTCTAAAATATCAAATTTTGACTTTAAGTCCTGTAAAGGTACATTAAGAAAATTCTGACGACATTGGCAGTATCACAAAAAAGAAAGATAATTTAATTGGCTACATAAATCTATGTAAGTTTTCATCTTTAAAATTTTTTCTTGACATGAAATATTAAATTTAATAAAATGCTTTATTTCTCAGCTCCAAATGCAGATTTAATTAAATATAAAAAACGGAATGTTACGTCAGTTTATCATCTTTCAACGCTGCAAATATGAAGCTGATTAATAAACGCGTTATATTTTAATTTTAAATCGGCGCGTTTTGATTTAAAATTTTCTGCCTGCCTCTCGCGAAAAGTCTCTCGCCGCGCTCGCCGCTGTCCAGACTTGTTCGCTCTCGTCTTCGAGGACGGAGCAGCAGCGGCCGCCAGCCAGCAGGAGGGAGAGAAAGAGTGTGTGTCGGAAGGCTTTCCTGCTTCAAAAAAGAGCGGGCCAACATGGCGAATGCGCATGAAATGTTCCTTGGCCGAAATTTCAATCGCCGATTTCGACGACGAAACCACCGAATTTTCGGCCCACCGATTGCAAGTGTGTTTTGACAGCTTAATGGAATGTGGAAATGCAGGAGATACGGATAGGTAAGCCCTCCTTTAAGATTGTCTTCCCCTTCTGAACCCATCCCAAAGGCCCTTATTCTTTCCTGCAGTCCCGGTGATTGTGAGCTATAAATACCGGTTTTCTTTATCAACCACTACAGCAGGCGCGACATAAAACCACTACAGTAGGCGCGACATAAAACCACTACAGCAGGCGCGACATACCAACCTAATTTTTAAATACTGGTGTATAGGTCGCGCCTCTTGTAAGATTACCATAATATCATGTGCAATTATTTGCTGTACATATTTTTTCAATATTACTTTATAAAAAATATTTTATTATATAATTTTATGTTAATTTGTAATATTTATATTATTTTCTTAAGTTTGAATTAATTAAAATCTTATTCCTTTATTTGAACAATTGTGATAATAAAAGATTTTTTTTTAGTTCTTTCATATGACCCAGCGTTGCTAGAAATGATAATCTCATCCAAAGTTTTACTGATACTAAGTGTAAAGAGCAAATTAATTAATAAAATTATTGTGACTCGGATATAACATAATACTTCTGGTTTCATGTCAAATGTTTTAATAACAATTTAATATTTCATTCATATATTTAAAATTATACCTATTTAAAAGAATTATTCGCATTATTATGCATGATGCATTAACAAGCTGTCACTTCGGAATGCAATATCGTCGAAATTACAGCTTATTCTGATATCTTACTTCTTGCTCAGTGTAAGGTGTTTCATTAAATTTGTTGTACATTTTTTTTAGTTTTTTAATATATTTCTAAAATCACTGCATTTAAAACAATATTGGCATTATTCAGCAAACAGGAATGCGTCATGCAAGATGCGGATCTTGGTATAGGCGGCGTGGCACTGCCTTACTTTTGCTACCCGAACTCGCAATAATGAGACATCTACCGAGAAAGTGGATACTTCATGGTTTTTTATGATGCACACTGAATATATTAACAGAAGAAAAAAAATTTGTCCGCAAATGCTCATCAGCCACTTTCCCCAACGGGGGAAATGGCCACTGGCCACAGGGATAAATTACCAGATCGTGGCCGGGTACCCGACTGATATAATTTATTCCGAAAAGCCGCCCCAGCTGGCTACTTGACGGTTGATCCGCGCGTTTGCTTTTGCTCGCCTATTTTAGTCGCCTCATTTTCCAGATAGGCCAAGAATTGCTGGGTAAGTTAGACCCGCTGATTTGTGTACACAACAACACATACACATCATTGGTGTCTCTTCTGATAATTCTGAATTTTTTTTGCGTGCATTTTTCGTTTATGAATATTGAAAATATGGATATAATTTTTTGTTGCTTACGTTTTGTTAGGGATGAACGTAAATTTTTTCCCCAGCGTGCTGATTTTGAATTTTGGCGTCTGCTTAAAACATTCACCGTGTTGGATATTGTTAATTTTAATTAAGACACGTGTGAGGAAGTCTAAAAGGCTTAGGTTTTCTCTCATCTCATCAAGTACCTCGCAGAGACTCCTAACCATCCATGTTCCATCCAAATGACCGTGAGATGCGTATCCTGTTTTATATTATTAGCAAGTCGAACGAAATACATGAGATAGTGTTAAAATTACCTTCCATTGTCGCATAAAAGACGACCATATTGTGTATTTTTGGATCCAAGGAAACCTTAAACATATTTTCATTTCCGTCCGTGATTTGCCTCATGAATTTATTAGTATCTTGGTGATCAGTCTGATAACAATTTTCTTCTGCATCCCCCCGGCAGGGCTAGAAATAGAAATATTTCATTATTTTTATTAAATAATTGCAGTATTCAAACCCCAAGGAACAGAAGTTTCAGGCACTGAGGAAACGTCTTTTCCAGTTTCTGATATATCTCCGCTGTAGTAAATTCACCATCTGATGTTTGAATTTTTCCACCCTTTTCACCATGTGCCAAAAACACGATTATAAAAATGTCTGGATCTAAACCTATATGTGAATTTCTATAAATTATTTTTGCGATATTATAAATCAGTTATTGAATCACTGGATCTGAAACTATTCTTCAATTTATTTTCACTAGCAAGATATTCCAGAAGTTCATCCCTTAGTGGTGAAAACGCAAAGAATCGGCATTTCCGACTCATTGAGAATGTTTCCTTCAGTTTCTTAACGTCGTTATCAGTTCCAGTCTCATTTCCTTTAGGGTAATGCACGACTAATACAAAAACACTTTGAAAAAAAAGGTTTTTATATATTATTTTAACAGGGATGGAAAAATTATTACGTGGCAGCTTTTTCACTTCCATCTTCTCCAAAAAATCCTAGATTTGCATCTGCAGGTCCGGCTATTTTGAAAAATTGTTGAGAAATAGCAGAAAAGTATTATGTGCGATTCTTTATGTGTTCACACCCAATGCCCAAATTTAAAGTTAGCCAAATTGAGATTTTCACAGCATAAAAACCATGACTTGGAAGCAACACCCCTAAAATTCGGCGTTGTGGCTTGTTGATAGGCAATGCAATTGTTACACCGGAGATGCTTGTTAATCCAAATTGGCTTAATAATTATACAGGTGATGCTGATGATGCAGGAAATAAAAACACTCAAGATTCACACACCTCAAGGGCGGAAAAACGGACTCACCCTCTCACTGATTCTAGTACTGATTCGGATTTAATGGATTTAGGTAATTCGAATGGAGGAGAGGTTTTTCGCGAAACCCGCAGCAACAGCACGAGCAACAACAAAAGCAACAAGGCGGGATGCAAGAACAGGAGCAGCAGCGTAGGCAACAAGGCAAAGCAGACAAAACGCCAATAAATAATCCAATTTCGTTATTTTTGAAAGATGATATAATTTTCACTAATAATTTCACTCATAGGCATAATTTTCTTAAAATCATTTTTCTAAACGCACAATCTTTAGCGGATGTTAACCACATGATACTTTTACGTCACTTATTAGCAAATCAAATAGTCGATATAGTGGGAGTTTCTGAAACCTGGTTGAAGGATAAGCATGCAGATAATTTAGTGGACATTAATAACTATAGCATTGTAAGGAATGATCGTGAAGGAGCAAGAGGTGGAGGAGTTGCAATTTATTTTAGGAAAGGATTGAAATTTCATAAAGTTGCTTCATCTCCATCGATGCATAATTTGAATTTGACGGTGAACCCCAAATGGCCCGAAAAGAAATTGCCCGAACGTTTTTTGCTAGGAAATTGCCCGAATCGGAAGTTACCCGAACGTCTGCAGAACGGAATCTGCCCGAATTCTCAAGAGCAGTATGCCCGAATCTGCGCAGAAATTGCCCGAATCGGAAGTTACCCAAATTCGCAGCAGGTTGCATACAAGCTCTCTTTATATGCATCTTTATAGAATGAACAGATAGCAAATGTTTTTGCGTTTCATTATACAAACACACTCTCTCTCTCTCTCTCTCTCTCTCTCTCTCTCTCTCTCTCTCTCTCTCTCTCTCTCTCTCTCTCTCTCTCTCTCTCTCTCTCTCTCTCTCTCTCTCTCTCTCTCTCTCTCTCTCTCTCTCTCTCTCTCTCTCTCTCTCTCTCTCTCTCTCTCTCTCTCTCTCTCTCTCTCTCTCTCTCTCTCTTCCTCTCTCTCTCTCTCTTCCTCTCTCTACTTTTTCGATCGGCATTTCTCATTTTTCGAATTCCTTTTCGAATTTGACAGAATTTATTATGTGTGAAGTGGAGCAGCAAGGAGGTGAAACGCTAGTTGCAGTTATTTATCGGCGCCCGAACCGATTGTCGAAGCTCAATAATTTCATAGCAAAATTAGGTGACCTGCGAGCAAAATATGATAATATTATTGTCCTTGGTGATTTCAATTTAAATTTTGTTGATGGCTCAAGGGAAGTAAGGGAGGTGGAATCTGATTTACAGGACTTGAGCTTGAGTCGTTTGCTGATTAATAACACGCATAGATCACACAACGCTTTAACCACAATTGATGCTATTTTTCATTCAGAAGCTCTAGAATGTGTAAATTTTGGTAAATTGTTGAATTCTCTTTCAAGTCATGATATTCTTTATGCTTTTTGCAAATTAACCAGCCTCAAAATGAGTCTCTAATGATGAGAAACTTTGCAGTAGTGAACGCAGATTTTTTAGAAGAAGAGGCGCTTGAATTAGAGTGGCATGTTTGTGGGAATGAAGACACTGTTTTAAAAAAAGTTGATAAATTTTCACAGATGCTAATCGATTTCTATGATAAACTTGTGCCATTGCGTCAGTACAATGTTCCAAAGAAATTTAAACCTGAATTGCCCACAGGAATTAAATCTGAAATAAAATATCGTGATAGGCTGCTGAAACTTGCTCGGCGGATGCAGAATTTTCGTCATTTATTTGATATTTACCGACGTGTAAAAAATAGGATAAAGCAAATGATTCTAACATTTTACAGGAGCTGTATTTACAAAAAACTTAACAATCTTGGAAGTTCCGGACAAATTTGGAGCACTTTGAGAAAAATTGGTCTTGTGAAAGCAAAATTTTGTTACACTTCTCTAAACATTAGTGCAGATGAAATGGTTGGAGAGCTGACGGTGCAGCGTGATCAGTCGCTCCTAGAGAGAATTGATTTAGACTATATTATGAGTGGTATAAATACTGGTGAACAATTTCATTTTTCATATGTTAATCCCTCAGATGTGAAACGGGCTATTTTTGACATCACAACATCTGCGGAAGGATATGACAAAATTTGCATTGCAATGATAAAGAAAATAAATAATGCGATTCTGCAAACACTCACTAACATAATCAATTCTTCTCTCCAGATGAGTGATTTTCCTGCCATCTGGAAAAAAGTGATTTTAAGCCCTATTCCCAAGGTGCGCAATCCGGTGAAGCCCGGAGATTCTCGGCCCATAAGTTTACTTAGTACTTTATCTAAAATTTTAGAAAAAATTGTTTACGAGCAAATTTTAGCTTATCTCAACAAACACGATTTTTTAGATGAGTTTCAATCTGCAAACAGAAGGCTTTTTAGCACCACATCGGCGCTGCTTAAAATTGCTTTGAAGATATTCGTGTCTCTCTTTATAAGAAAAAATTGAAATTGGTTCTAATGGTGTTTTTAGATTATTCTAAGGCGTTTGATACGGTTGATCATAAACTCTTAAAAAGAAAACTTTCTCACAAGCAAAGTATCCCAACTAGCAAAAATTGATCTTAATGAAAATTGGCATGGAGGTAGGGTTGACCTTCAGGAACAACGATCTAGCATGGTTCGGCCTACAGAGCCGCCGAAAGTTGCCGATTTTTGCGTATGCAACCCGCTCCACGTCCCCACTGCCGCGCTCTCTTCTGCACGCTGCTGATAGAGCGGCAGGCGGAGAGGCGAGAGCAGCGCGAGAGGGGCTTGCTCGCACAATGCATGGCGAGTATAGCGATTTTGATTAACTTTGAATCGCTGTCAAAATTCAACGGCTGCTCGTACTTGAAAAATTTCAACGCCATAATTAAATATGGTCCTTTGACGCCCATATCCTTTAATATCATATTAATCCGTCGACGTTTTGTATTGTTTTCTGGCCACCAAACACGTGACCAAATGAATAAATCCTGAAAAAATAAAAATTCCAAAATAATAGTAAACCGTGGAATATTTTGATGAAAATTTACAATTTGGTTTAATTCAATATAGGCAATATATTTCCAAGGTCAAAATACTTTATTTTCACCCCACATTAGTTTTACATAAGGGTTTGTGTTGAGAGCTGTATCTCGGTAATTACTGGACCAAATTTCAAAACATAAAATTGAAAGTGATCGCGAAGAACTGTTCTTTTTGGTTATATTAAGCAAAAAAATTTATAAAAATTACAAGCATAAAATTTATGGCATTTTTTCAAAAATTATACTTTTTTAATGATATTTAAATGTTTTAGATTTTTTTGCTTAATATTACCAAAAAGAACAGTTCTTCGCGATCACTTTCAATTTTATGTTTTGAAATTTGGTCCAGTAATTACCGAGATACAGCTCTCAACACAAACCCTTATGTAAAACTAATGTGGGGTGAAAATAAAGTATTTTGACCTTGGAAATATATTGCCTATATTGAATTAAACCAAATTGTAAATTTTCATCAAAATATTCCACGGTTTACTATTATTTTGGAATTTTTATTTTTTCAGGATTTATTCATTTGGTCACGTGTTTGGTGGCCAGAAAACAATACAAAACGTCGACGGATTAATATGATATTAAAGGATATGGGCGTCAAAGGACCATATTTAATTATGGCGTTGAAATTTTTCAAGTACGAGCAGCCGTTGAATTTTGACAGCGATTCAAAGTTAATCAAAATCGCTATACTCGCCATGCATTGTGCGAGCGAGCCCCTCTCGCGCTGCTCTCGCCTCTCCGCCTGCCGCTCTATCAGCAGCGTGCAGAAGAGAGCGCGGCGGTGGGGACGTGGAGCGGGTTGCATACGCAAAAATCGGCAACTTTCGGCGGCTCTGTAGGCCGAACCATGCTAGATCGCGACTAATGAACTTCGACACGTTGTTCCTGAAGGTCAACCCTACCTCCATGCCAATTTTCATTAAGATCAATTTTTGCTAGTTGGGATACTTTGCTTGTCAGTAATGAAATGGTTTACAAGTTATCTTTCTGACAGAACGCAAGCAGTAAGAGACCAGAATGGTGGCTTCTCGAAATGGACGGAGTTAAAATGTGGCGTACCACAGGGATCAGTTCTCGGCCCCCTTTTGTTTTCTATCTATATGATTGACATTGACAGAATATTTAAGAACAGATGCAAATATCATATTTATGCAGATGATATTCAACTATATATATGTTGTTGTCTGAACGCGCTGAGTTGACTGAATGCATTCGGTCCAAGAGCGCTTTGGTCTGAATGCATTCGGTCTAACGCCGCTTGGCCCGAATGCATTCAGTCTGGACCAAACGCAATCCACAATGAAATCTCCTACTCTCAGCGCGTTCGGTCTAACAACTTGGTCCAAAAGCAATTTTTTTTTTAAGGGCTGCCAACTTTTGCGCTATTTTTAGTGATAAAACCGTGAAACATTATCGCAGTGGATTTAGAACATAACCAGGAAAGAGATCTTTACAGAATATGAACTTCATCAGGTATAAATTTTTTTTTCTAATAATTTTCAATTTTTTTATTAATATTATCATTTTTGTTTTAATTTTTTTAATAAAATGTGATTTCCTTGTACAAGCACCCTTGACAAAAGCTTCAGCAGGAATGAATTTCAGCCAGCTGAGAGTAGTTCTTTTTTAACGATAGCACAAGTTGGGGTGGTTTTAAAAGTGTTTATTTAGGGAAATTTTCGCCCTCAATTTATATTTTTTATTATCAAAACAGGAATTTTTCTAACTTTTTTAGACTGGTTTTGTCTCAGTATCTCGCGTCTCGGAACGTAATTCCACGTAAAAGGCGTTTTGTCTAACAATAAAGTAACTAATTTAACAAATAATATGTTTAAACGTAATAAACAAGACCAATTAATTAATTAATTGGTTGCTGTATAGGCCAAAGAAAATTTAAAAATAAAGATGCCGTCTCATAAAAATTGAATTTTTATCATTTCGCTCATACAGCGGCTAAATGGACAAAATGAAATTTACAATTGAGACGTTTGGTTAGTTTGAAATATTCAATATCAACGATTGGTCATTTCACGATTTACAGGCACGGGTGTTCTAATCGAGAAAAACAGCGTTATTTGTGTGTCAACGGGAAAGTGATTTTTGAGAGCGTCTAAAAAATGGAAATTTTGAGATTTCAAGGGTGGTCAGTCATGAAATTAGTTGATTTAATTTATATTTATGCGGTTAAAGTATAGGAAAAATCCGAATTTCCCGGAAAAGTGAGTTATAAGGAGGTTTGACAAAAAATTCATATCTCAGCTTCTAATTGAGATAAATTCAAAAATTTAAAGCGAAAATGCAGCTCAAGACATGCCCTTTCTCGGGGATGGGTAGGAATAATTTTCAAGGCCGTGTTTCTTAATGAGGGTGAGGTGATAAAAATTGAGGGGTTGTAAAACAAATGTTATGCAACTTGCAGAACGTTGGAAAAAATTACAAAGGAACCTCATCATATGAGACAACAACCCCTCATAGGGCGAATATTTCCTGCAACCCCTTAGTATTGTAATTAATTCTTGAATATGTGTCTCATATGGCCAAAATGGACCTATTTTGGGGATTTATTTTCAATGCCAAGAGGTTGCAGGAAATATTCGCCCTATGAGGGGTTGTTGTCTCATATGATGAGGTTCCTTTGTAATTTTTTCCAACGTTCTGCAAGTTGCATAACATTTGTTTTACAACCCCTCAATTTTTATCACCTCACCCTCATTAAGAAACACGGCCTTGAAAATTATCCCTACCCATCCCCGAGAAAGGGCATGTCTTGAGCTGCATTTTCGCTTTAAATTTTTGAATTTATCTCAATTAGAAGCTGAGATATGAATTTTTTGTCAAACCTCCTTATAACTCACTTTTCCGGGAAATTCGGATTTTTCCTATACTTTTACCGCATAAATATAAATTAAATCAACTAATTTCATGACTGACCACCCTTGAAATCTCAAAATTTCCATTTTTTAGACGCTCTCAAAAATCACTTTCCCGTTGACACACAAATAACGCTGTTTTTCTCGATTAGAACACCCGTGCCTGTAAATCGTGAAATGACCAATCGTTGATATTGAATATTTCAAACTAACCAAACGTCTCAATTGTAAATTTCATTTTGTCCATTTAACCGCTGTATGAACGATTTTCTTCTGCGCACCTCTTATTTCCTTCTAAACCTGCTCGAACGTAGTCTCGCGGTTATCACAAAAAATAGCGCAAAAGTTGGCAGCTCTTAAAAAAAATTGCTTTTGGACCAAGTTGTTAGACCGAACGCGCTGAGAGTAGGAGATTTCATTGTGGATTGCGTTTGGTCCAGACTGAATGCATTCGGGCCAAGCGGCGTTAGACCGAATGCATTCCGACCAAAGCGCTCTTGGACCGAATGCATTCAGTCAACTCAGCGCGTTCGGACAACAACATATACATGTTCTAAAGACTACTGTTAATATTCTTGTCTAACAGAACAACAATAAAATTGAATTGAATAGAATTGAGTGCAGTGTGGGCGAACTAGATGACGCTTTTGGAATAATGAATTTAATATTACAGGATGTTTTGAAATGGTCAGAAAAGCATGGGCTACGTTTAAATCCAAGTAAGACCAAGGCAATGCTCATTCATTCATCTCGAATTAAACCAAAATTAAATTTTAGCAATCTTCCAAAGCTGTTTTTAGGTGGTTCTGAAATTGAATTTGTTGATAATTTAAAAAATCTAGCAGTGTTTTTTGACCAAGAATTTCGCTGGGATAAACAAATTTCTACAGTTTGTCAGAAAGTTTATGGCACTTTAAACAATTTAAATAAATTTCGTGCTTTGACCCCTAAAAAAATTCGGCTTCAACTTTTAAAAAGTTTAATTCTACCTCATATTGATTACTGCAGCATAATATATTGTGACGTGAGAAAGGAGCGACTGAAAAGGATAGATGTGGCATTAAATAATTGTTTGAGATATGTCTATGATATAAATTTCGGTGAGCGCATAACCCCTTTTTATGCTAAAGCAGGTATTTTGAAAGTTGAGGAGCGAATGAAGCTGAACACTCTGTTGATGACACACAAAATATTATATGAAAACAGCCCCCCCCCCCCCCTATTTAAGGAAATTATTATTGCTGCGCGATGACTGTCAAGTCAGAGCTGCTAGAACACACAGATTGTTTCTCCTTCCGCCATTTGATTGCAATGATGACTCTTTCAGAATGACAAGCTATCGCCTTTGGAATGCACTACCGCAGGGTTGGTGTTTGAATGAAAATATTAACTCATTAAAAAATAAATTATTACAGCAATATTTGAACCAGTATAGGCTGTATGAATGAAATCAAAAATTAAAACAGAATTTAAAAGGACTGATCTGGAATAATAAAAGCTGAATTGCGAGGCGAAATCAAAGACGAAAATAAAGCCTGTTTACTAAACATAATTTGAGCTGCAGTTTTTTGCCAGGAGTAAGAGCAAAAAAAGAACAAAGAAAGCGGCATTCGGAAGTATCAGGCAGTCATCTAAATGCAAGCTTTCAGCATCCAGAAAAAAGAAAAATGTCCAAAGAACTTTATAACTGTTAATTTTTCTTTTGTTTGGTATTTTTTTTTTTTTTTTTTTTTTTTTTTTTAATTGGTTATCCCTCTTGGGAAAGGCACCAGCGGTAGCAGACAGGCTGCTAAATCGCATGGGCCGATAACTCGGATTCTCCCCTTTCGGGGCCGATAACACGGTGACCTTGCGACCCCCTGGGCCGGGGAGAGAGGAGCATATTTTGTTATTGTAAAAATTTGTATGTAAAATTATCATCTTATCTCTCAATTATATTAACTTGTATAATTTTGAATGTATAAATGATGTATCCCGTTATGGGCAGCAATTGCCTTTGTGATACATCAATAAACACAATTTGCAACTAAATTTTATTGAAAAAATTTCCAAAATTGCGGGTTTTATGGGACATTTTGACAAAAATTAAAAACCTCTAATTTTCTCGGGTTCTATTGATCGTAGAAAAAAACTTCGGGTATGGTTGAATTCGTCTTTACGAGTTATACAACTTTGCTGTTGAGTAAAAAGTCGTAGGTCAAAGTTCAAAGGTCATTTTTCGTGACCTCAAATTTTCAAACTAAAATTTGAAAATAGGCCACACGTTTAAAAAAAGTTTTGAGATAGCCATTCGATTCCTCATAAAATTTTTCATAAAATATGTCAAAACTGGAGCGAAGTTTTTCTTTGTTAAATTTGAAAATAAAAGAGAATATTAAAAAACGTGGTTTTTAGTGGCCTCCGCAGGCAGCAGGGTCAACATTAAGATCGCCTTTAACGTCGACCCTGATCATTTTAGGTAAAAAGTGATAACGACCAAAGTAAATGCCCACGTCAAGCCAAATCGAATGGTGTATATATTGATGACCTTCAGATCAGGTTACCCTTGTCGTTCAACTGTGGTCACCTGACCTAGATGTGTTAAACATAATAGGTCTCGTTCAGAGGATAATTTTGGTCACCAAGTATTGGTCTGTACCTCAACCACAAACCGAATAATTGTTCTTTTCCTTAATCGAATGCTCAGTTTTTAATACAATTAATTGGAAACTTTGGAAAGTTATAATTAATCGGTTTGTGGTTGAGGTACAGGCCAAAAAAAACTTGGTGACCAAAATTATCCTCTCAGCGAGACCTTTTTAAGTATGTTTCACACATCTAGGTCAGGTGACCTCAGTTGAAAGACCTGGGGGTAACCTTTGACGTGAAGGTCATCAATATATAAACCATTCGATTTGGCTTAACGTGGGCATTAACTTTGGTCGTTATCACTTTTTACCTAAAATGATCAGGGTCGACGTTAAAGGCGATCTTAATGTTGACCCTGTTGCCTGCGGAGGCCACTAAAAACCACGTTTTTTAATATTCTCTTTTATTTTCAAATTTAACAAAGAAAAACTTCGCTCCAGTTTTGACATATTTTATGTAAAATTTTATGAGGAATCGAATGGCTATCCCAAAACTTTTTTTAAACGTGTGGCCTATTTTCAAATTTAAGTTTGAAAATTTGAGGTCACGAAAAATGACCTTTGAACTTTGACCTACGACTTTTTACTCAACAGCAAAGTTGTATAACTCGTCAAGACAAATTCAACCATATCCGAAGTTTTGTTCTACAATCAAAAGAACCCGAGAAAATTAGGTTTTTTTTTATTTTTTTCATAAAACCCGCAATCTTGGAAATTATTTCAATAAAATTTAGGGGTGCTTCCAAGTCATGGTTGTTATGCTGTGAAAATCTCAATTGGCTAACTTCAAATTTGGGCATTGGGTGTGAAAACAGAAAGAATCGCACTTTGTGAACTAGCTATTACAAACCAGTTTCCTTATATAGTTAAATGTGTTTAACGTACCATCTAAACTTAAATTTGAAATTCCGGTGGCAACAACTTCCCCAGCTGCCATCTGGTGACCCTGTATGTTATCTCTTCTTATGCAGAGTGGACAGGGGGAAAGCCTGGTCAGGAAAGCGCCCATCTCTCGTGGGGTGAGGCGTTACGGAGGGGTGGGTCGTCGTCAGGCCAGCGGGGCGTCACGCTCCTTTAAAGTAGATGAAACACTCAGCGAATTTTTATCAATTCCTTCAAATATTTATGTAATACAAAAAAACCTACGTAATTTGTTTAAAATATGATAAAAACCTCATTTTCTAATTTTTAAATCATCCGAAGAGACCATTTTCAGTCGTTCGAACGCTATTTAAAAATCATTTTAATATATTCAAAACAGATTGTTCAAAAATTCTGAAAATTTACACTCTGACCTCTGACGCAAAATTACATGCCGCATCTTTCGGCTATCTCAGATTTTTGTCAGGTTGCCTATCACAAAGGGCAAAAAACTTAAGATTTTGACCTTTTGCAAGGGTCAATGAGCTTTTGAACTAGAAACTTGGTAAGCATTAAGAAAAGATACACTGGTTTATTAGCTTCAACTTCCCGCCGAGAAAATTAAAAAATCTGTACCCTAATTAATTTTACATAAGTTTTAGAAAACCCTTATGTATCTCCGATTTTGAAAAATTTGAATTTTTTCATCATAAGGGTATTGTAGAAACCAAAATATTAATTATCATGATATTTGATTGTAGAAATCAACTAAATCGAAGTATTCAAAAATTTGCTTCATTGTCTCGGAAACGTGAAAAATGCAAAAACCGACATTTTTCAACCTTCAATTTTACTTTTTTCAAAAATTTACGCGGTGACCCCCTATTTCTGGTGCCATATTTGTAGTAGGGTTGTCAAGGAACATGCTGGTTGGTCACAAACTCATGCCAAAGGCAGTTTTGTTGACTTAAAATGCAATCAAACGATTTTAGTGAAAATTTTAAATAAGAGAGCCATGTTGATTTCAAATGCATTTTTCTCAAAAATTTACGCGGTGACCTCCAATGTTCTTGTTATATAAATGATCCCTATGATCCAAACTATTAGTTTTTGAGGAGGATCATGCTGCCCCAAGGTGTTTTCATCCTCTTTAAAAAATTTCGAAAGCGGCACGACCCTTTAAGGCCCGGTCGCGCGGGTCTTTAAGTAGCTCACCTTTGCACGTTACGCCCCTCCTGCGAACCTGCCCCCCCATGCGAACCTCCCCTCCATGCGAACCTGGCCCCCCAAGCGAACCTGGCCCCCTATGCGAACCTGCACCCCCATGCGAACCTGGCCCCCCAAGCGAACCCAGCCTCCTATGAAAACCTGGGCCCCTATGCGTACCTGGCCCCCCATGCGAACCTGCCCCACTGCGAACCTGCCACACTGCGAACCTGCCACACTGCGAACCTGCCACACTGCGAACCTGCCCCCCTGCGAGCACGGAACATATCTAGTATATTCCAGACTAGATATTTTAGGGTGGCAACCATGGCTTTCATACAAATACCGGTTGCCAAAGCCGGTACCGCAGCTGGATTTGAACAGTGGTCTACTGATTGAAAGGCCACGACTATACCGGTAGGCCACACAACACAAGTAAACACAAGAAAAGTCAAATATATACATCCAAAACTGATAAATAAATCCCTTGACTTTTCAACAGCAGCAAAAATGTTATACATCTATATTAATTAGGCGCACCCCCCAAAATACAAATAAAAAAACAGCATATTGTAAACTATTTGTTGAAGTAAACATAAAAAATAATAAAGATGACCGATACTTAAAAAACGAACGCAACACCACTACATTAAAAAGACAGATGCAAAAAAATAAATAGCACACACTCCACGCATTTACACAAATATAAAAAGACAACGACGCAAAAAATAAGGCAATATTGAATATTTGAACCACTTAATTGCTAAAAGTATCTAAAAAAAAAAACACACAAAACCACCCATGCAATGCATAAAAAAACACAAAGGATCAAGTAACAATGCACCACTCACCACCAGAAAAAAAAACAATAAAAACGGATTTGAACGACATTAAAGACTACTAATTAAAAATATACAGCGATCAATAATTTCTCCAAAATCAAAACACAAAAACCCACCACCGTCTATGCAATGCGTAAAAAAGCACCAAAACGTAAAATGCATTACTCACCAAGAGAAAAAAAAAACGAAAAAAGGCATCGATACACAATTAAAACACTTCCTAAGGCAGCACAAAAAACAAAAACATAGCAAAACGAGCACTTAAAGTGAACTAAATGAATCCATGCAATTGTGTCGTATTCGCGCTCAAATTCAAATCTTCCATAATGTGATCATGGAAAAACTAGTTAAGAAAGCGATACAATTGTAATGCATATATTTTTTTGAGCTAATATTAAAACTGAGTAAAGAAATATTTCATTGAAAATTATTTGACAACATTTTAGTACAGCAACTATCCATATAAAGCGTTGTAAGTTGAAATTTCAAAGATATTCAATTGTTGACTTCACAATAAACGTGCATAATATGCATTTGATCATATTTCAATTGTACCTAATCGCACCGAATTATCGCTCCTTTTGTTTACTCTTGGCCTCGTAATTGGAATGATAAAGTAAATAGTAATGAATTTATTGAACGTGTTAATGTCAATGAGTATCAATGAGTGTCAATGGTATTATTTAATAAATATTTTAATTTTAAAATTTATATATATTTTCTATTTTTTTATTAACTACAGAGGCAATTTTGTGCTTGCTAAAGAAGAAGATATTTTGAGCGAAGTACAATAATCATCTTCATCAATTTTTTTTTTTTTTTTTTTTTTTTTAATAAAAACTAATTTAATTAAAATATTCCAATTCAATATATTATTCCTTCGTATTAAAAATATTTATTTACGTCATTGTACCAACGGCTTATGTTGAAAAATAGTTCTGCAATTACTTGATGTAGAAATATATATTTGTATATTAGGCTGATGTTAAAATATAGTTCCGAAATAAGCCGAATGTAGATCTATTTTTCAACATCAGCCGAATGTAGAATTTAGGATGGTTGGTAAAATGCGCGGTGCCCAAACAGATAGGAATTTCGTTTTGTTATTGCCTCGGCCAAGTCATTAAAATGGCATGGCAGTGGCGTGGCAATGGCATGGCATATATTAAGCCAACATAAATAAATATTAAATACTTCTCTCTATTATTTTTTAACCAAACTTCCTCTTGAAAATAAAGACCATTTTCTTAATTAAGCCGAATGTAGAACTATTTTCCAACATAAGCCGCAGCTACAATGATATTAATAAATATTTTTAATACGAAGGAATAATATATTGAATTAAAATATTTAAATTAAATCAGTTTTTATGAAAAAAAAGAAAAAAAATGAAGACGATTCGAAATTTCAACTTACAACGCTTTATATGGATAGTTATTGTACTAAAATGTTGTCAAATAATTTTCAATGAAATATTTCTTTACTCAGATTTAATATTAGCTCAAAAAAATATTTGCATTGCAATTGTATCGCTTTCTTGACTAGTTGTTCATGATCACACTATGGAAGATTTGAATTTGAGCGCGAATTCAACACAATGCGCCCAATTGATGTGGGGTTCGGAATATCGCGGTTGGGACGCCAAAAATTGGTATTGCCACACTCCAAATTTTTTTCATTATACTTTTCGAATCCATTCGGAATCGCGCAGTTTTCAACGATTTTAATTCACGAACTGGAAGCAGAAAAATCAGATTTATTTCATATTTTAAGAGTGACAACACCAAAGAAGCAAGAGATGGTAAATGTATGATTTTATTTCAAACTGATCAAAATACAAATTTTAATTATATCTGCTATTAGGCTAGTAAAATGCATCTGCGATTTGTGATGTTGAGTCTGGCTGCTCAGTGGCGCGCTTCACATACAATTAATTAATTAATTATTGTCAGTCGCTTGATTTGGCTGTTGCGGAATAAAAAAGTAAATAATACGATATAGAAATAAGTAATAAAGTTTAATTTTTTAATGTTCATAATAATCATAACCATTTTGATATATTTTTTACGAAAATTTAAATTGAAAATTTTCTACTATCTGGCTAGTAAAATGACACTGCGATTTTGTTATATTGAGTTTGGCTGCTCAGCCGCAAGATTCACGTACATGAATCTTGCAACTCTCAGTTGCTTGATTTGGCTGCCGCAGAGTAATAAGATTGGAAAAAAATTTTAATAAAAAGAAATTAATTATGAATAAAATAGAACATAATTAAATACCTATAGTTAATTACAATTATACCTTAATTATAATATTCGGCTGATTAACATAAATTAATTCTTTAGTAACAGTAAATTAATAAAAAATATCCAAAAAGGATTATTAATTTGAATTTAAAGTACCAGCAGACCGCAGGTCGCCTTTGGGGTCAGTTGTCCTTTATATTTTTTCATTTTTTCTTTGCAACGAGGTTCGCCCGGTTTCAATCTTTCAAGATTATTAATGATAAAAAATTAAATAAAATTATTTTAATTTCTATTTTATTCCGCGGCAGCCAAATCAAGAGAATGGGAGTTGCATGTGAAGCGCGAGGCAGATGCATTTTATAGCATGATAGTAGAGAAAAAATAAATTTAAATTTTCCAAAGATAAACCCGAATCATTATTAGGACTAAATAATTAAAGTACTTAATTATTAATTGTTCGATTTATATTTGTTTCCTATTTTTTGCCACGTCAGCTAAACTAAATATTTCAAAATTTATTAGCTCAAGAAAGGGAAAATTAATTTCAACTTCTTCACAAATAACCAGGACGGATTATTCAAGTGAAAAGATCTTTAAATTATTCTTATTTTCTTTTATTTATTTCCGATTTGATACCATATCAAGCGACTGAGAGTCGAATGTAGTGTGATGTGAAGCGCGCGGCCCATGGATTTAGGATTTAGTCCTAATAAATCGCCCCAGCAGCACACAACAAACCATGGAGTCGCATCTTCCCCTCCGTCCGTATGCGTCCCCACCATCATCAGACAGGGTAGCGAAACTCAACATACAAAAGTCGCGTTCAGGAGTACATTTCCTGCTTGATGTAATCTAAACATTTTAGTGTGAAAGTGAAGTTAACTATTTAGGTACAAAACCCGTGTTATTTTTGTGTGAGCTTCAATAAGCAAACTTAAATAAATCTGTTTTAATACTTAGTCCTGCTTTGGAAAATGAACTTTTTTTAACAATATGAGCTGCAACTTTTGGTAAGTGGTAATCTTACAAGAGGCGCGACCTATATACCGCAGTCTCTCAGAATTAAGTTGGTATGTCGCGCCTGCTGTGGCAGTTTTATGTCGCGCCTACTGTAGTCGTTTTATGTCGCGCCTGCTGTATTGGTTGATTAAGAAAACCGGTATTTGCACCTCACAATCACCGGTACGCATATGCCACCGGGACTGAAGGAAAGAGAGTCTGTCGCACGACAGGAAAAACCGGTGCGTGATTCTTGTGCTCGGCGGTGTGGTGTATGCGGCGGAGCACGGCGGTGGGGGTCGAGGTACTATTCATGAAAAGGGCACTTTGGGGGCCGTTTGGGCAAGTGACTCATGATAAATGTTGATAAGAATAACTTCTAGTATCTTTGTGCAAAGTTTGGCAGTGATCCGTACAAAATCAACGATGATAATTGAAAACACAAATTTCGTGCGTTATTCCTGTGCTCAAGTGGCGCGGGTTGCGTTGGCGTGATTTGTGTGCCGAGTCAAAATTATTGGTTTTGAGACCAGTTGGGCCGGTCGTGAATAAATAATTTCACCAATAATAACCCACAAAATGTTTTCGCCGAGTTAGGAATTAATACGCAAAGTATTTAAAATTCAGTAATTGAACGCGTGATTTCTGTGCTCTATGGCGCGGGTTGCCTATACTCCTTTTTTTTACATATCAGCAAGTCAGTGCTGAGCGCTGCAGCCGAGGAGTGGCTAATGAGTTTTTTTTTAGAATGAAGTAAATTTTGTGAGTTTGCGTGAGAATCAAATGCTATAGGCATTATTTTTTTTAATGGGACCCACTTTTGGCATGGGGTCGGCGGATCTTGTTGAAAATTGGTAGTTTGGTTGCCCTTAGGGTGTAGACAAATAGTTTAGAAGGATTTTTGAAAATTCTCAAAATTGCCTATTTTACAGGGGCTCAAAGTTGGGGATTTAAAAAAAAGGTGTTTTCGAAAATCAAAAATATCTCAGCTCCTGCTGCAGATAGCGCATGTGTGTATGAAAAAAAAGTTGTAGGAAATTAGACGCCCTACAACTTTGCCATAGTGGCCAAGGTCATAGGTCAAAGTTCAGGGTCAACTTTTTAAGCTTGAATTTTTTGATGCGCCACCAAAGTACCTAGTACATAAAAATTTTTGATTCCATTATAGCCAAAAGTTGCTCTAGTTGGTAGTCAACAACATATTAAAATTTGGCGAGACTGTTTTTTTCCGTTTTCGAGATATTTTAGGTCAAAAGCAGAAAAACGTGGTTTTCCGAGCATTTTCCTACACAAATCAACATTTAACCACCCATAACTTTTTTGCTGCTAAAGTTACGCAAAAATGTATAATGACAAAAAATGATTGCCTTGACCTGTTCTTTCAAACCATGTATCGCACATAGTGACCAGGTCAAAAAAGGTCATTGACCTCGGTGACCTGTGACCTTTCCAAAAATATTTACAGGAAATGTTTCACCTCAATGAAAAGAAACATAAGAGTATCTGAAATTCGTTTTGCACTTGCAAGGTCACAGGTCACCGAGGTCAATGACCTTTTTTGACCTGGTCACTATGTGCGATACATGGTTTGAAAGAACAGGTCAAGGCAATCATTTTTTGTCATTATACATTTTTGCGTAACTTTAGCAGCAAAAAAGTTATGGGTGGTTAAATGTTGATTTGTGTAGGAAAATGCTCGGAAAACCACGTTTTTCTGCTTTTGACCTAAAATATCTCGAAAACGGAAAAAAACCGTCTCGCCAAATTTTAATATGTTGTTGACTACCAACTAGAGCAACTTTTGGCTATAATGGAATCAAAAATTTTTATGTACTAGGTACTTTGGTGGCGCATCAAAAAATTCAAGCTTAAAAAGTTGACCCTGAACTTTGACCTATGACCTTGGCCACTATGGCAAAGTTGTAGGGCGTCTAATTTCCTACAACTTTTTTTTCATACACACATGCGCTATCTGCAGCAGGAGCTGAGATATTTTTGATTTTCGAAAACACCTTTTTTTTAAATCCCCAACTTTGAGCCCCTGTAAAATAGGCAATTTTGAGAATTTTCAAAAATCCTTCTAAACTATTTGTCTACACCCTAAGGGCAACCAAACTACCAATTTTCAACAAGATCCGCCGACCCCATGCCAAAAGTGGGTCCCATTAAAAAAAATAATGCCTATAGCATTTGATTCTCACGCAAACTCACAAAATTTACTTCATTCTAAAAAAAAACTCATTAGCCACTCCTCGGCTGCAGCGCTCAGCACTGACTTGCTGATATGTAAAAAAAAGGAGTATAGGCAACCCGCGCCATAGAGCACAGAAATCACGCGTTCAATTACTGAATTTTAAATACTTTGCGTATTAATTCCTAACTCGGCGAAAACATTTTGTGGGTTATTATTGGTGAAATTATTTATTCACGACCGGCCCAACTGGTCTCAAAACCAATAATTTTGACTCGGCACACAAATCACGCCAACGCAACCCGCGCCACTTGAGCACAGGAATAACGCACGAAATTTGTGTTTTCAATTATCATCGTTGATTTTGTACGGATCACTGCCAAACTTTGCACAAAGATACTAGAAGTTATTCTTATCAACATTTATCATGAGTCACTTGCCCAAACGGCCCCCAAAGTGCCCTTTTCATGAATAGTACCTCGACCCCCACCGCCGTGCTCCGCCGCATACACCACACCGCCGAGCACAAGAATCACGCACCGGTTTTTCCTGTCGTGAGTATTATTCTGATTGCAATATAGACGTGACCTACCACTAAAGTACGGCGAAGGGGGTACTTTTTGTACAAGTCGCGCCTCTTGTAATCGACCACTACAGCAGGCGCGACATATAAAATTAAGGTAACTGGTAAAATAAGATATATGAAAGCTAATAATAACTACAGACTTTGTACGCACAGCGAAATTGCACGCAAACCACAAACCAGACCACCCCACGAACCGGCAACTCTGAGGTGGGCCACCCCCCCAAGATTAATTTTTGCAGAAGCCGCGAGCAAGGGTGGAGGCGCGGGGATCATGAGCGGGCTCCTGCGGAGCCCCCCACGAACACAGCCACCCTTTTGTCCTCGCCGTCCGCACGGCCTTCCCCACGTCCTCGACCTCGCTGCGCCTCCAACCATCGCTCGCGGCTTCTGCAAAAATTAATCTTGAGGGGTTGCCCACCTCCGAGTTGCCTACCAACAATTTTTGAATTTAAAACAGCACTTATTAAGGACATCACGATGAATCAAACTATGTGCCAAATATGACCACACTCTCCGCCGGGCTTTCCCGGATTTTACGACACTATCTGATCCTTTTTAGGAATTGCCTATGAGTGACCTCAAATTTTCGCTATCTCAGATTTAATTTTCCGGTTGAATATCTTGAGGGGCAGACCGGGCAGGCATTTAAGTTTTTTACCCTGATTTAAGGGTTATTAACCCTTCTAAAGAAAAACGATAATGAAAAATGTTAACAAATTTATCTGTTTTTGGAATCCATGCTGTCTTTTGCTGTAGGACCAAATACTTATTGAGAGATACAAGCTGAAAAGCGATCCCTCAATGACTTAGCTATTTTCCGAAAAAGTTGGAAAAGGTTTTCATAGAACTAAATTCTTAAAAAGACAAAAGAAGAAGAATTACTTGAAAATATTTTGCGAATATATTTCCCAAATATTGGCAAATTCAGTGGGCCGAAAGAATCATAGCAAAAGATTTTTTTTAATTGCCGCTGGATCCGGAGGGAAAGTTTAACTTCTTATGAAAAATATGTAATCTTTACCATGTTTTGCGTTGAAAGAATTTGTTCTAAGGATGAATTTGCTGATCTAATAATGTTGTTTGTTGGCTACACACCACATGACAAAAATGTGTTTGCCAATTTCGTGCGCGTGTGGATCTGCCACTCCCCTCCTGCCGGCCTTGAAACGACTCATGCACACTGCAACGATGTTCTTCAAACAGGCATCGTTACAATCAATTGTCCAAATTCAATCACTAGAAAATATGGAACAATTAACTTCAAAATAAAATCCAAAATGAAAACGAACATTTTAAAATGACGCGTGGAAATTTTCCGTACAACGAACAGTGGACACCATTAATGCATTCAAATTGTCTTCCGTCTGCTGGCGCCATCGTCAGGGAAAAATTCTCAGCTGCCTTAAGTAACTGCGTAGAAACGAGCGAGGAGGCTAATAGGTGGCACAAAAGGAGAGGCAAAATTTCCTCTTTTTTCGCTTGCATGCAGCCAGCACTGCTGCATTTACATGCCCACTGAACGAACATCCGCGCGAAGCTTCCTAAAATTAGACTCCTCCCCCAAACACTCGAGTCAGCAGCATAATATGGTGGATGGACTGTAATTTAGTTGCGTCGATGTGGACTGTGAACGTGTCCTTGGCAAAAGGAGCTGGCAAGTAACTGAGAATCGGATAATATTCAGTCGTCAGTACTTTGAAATGTCTGAAAGCACAATATTCGAATGAAGGTGCGACTCAATATCAAAAGTTCATTGATTTGTGAGAGTTTTACTGTGCGAAGCAACAGAAGCGGAACTCCTCAATAGTGCGTTTTGGTTTGTATTTGTTAATATACTTTGAAACTAAAAATATAATCGACCCCCTTACTATTTAACACCAGGAAAATGCAACCACCCTAGCTAGCCGGTGCATTTGCAGTAGTTTCAAGCCAAAAACTAGATACCTTAAGGCCTCCTTATTGACATCTACATCTCCTGTTTGCGGAAAATCGGCCCGAAATTTTTGGACCCAGATTTTTTTATAGATTCCTGCCCATCAGTGGAGTTGATTGCACAAAGAAAAATGGGGGGTCGCGCGGATTAATCTTGAAATATGATATTTTGAAATTTAACAAGGCGTTTTATGGCGATTTTTGTTTTTGGCGATTAAAAAAAATCTTTTTTTTTTGCTCAAAATTGCACAAAATGATAATTGAATGACCCTAAACAGATTCTCAAAAAAATTGGGGGTTCATGGGGCAAAAATTTTACATAGGGCATATGGGAGATCAAAAAAACCTCTTTGGTACTCTTAGCATTGCAATAAGGAGTCCTTAAATATTGGTTTATTTCTCAAGGCTCTTTCAGCGATCATTGTAGGGTACGCCCACTGAATTTGCCAATATTTGTTAAAAATGAATCCAAGTGATTTTTCTCTTTTATTTGACGATTAAGAAGTTCAATGAAAAAACTTTCCTACTTTTCCCGAAGATGACTTAATTATTAAGGGGATTGTGTTTCAGTTCGTATCTGAATAATTAAAAGTTCTATAACATAATACAGCAAAAATACTGAAAGATGATTAAATTTTCAATATTTTTGCCATTGACTATTTTTTCTATGAAGGTTTACTACCCTAAAGCCAAATTTTCAAAACAACTGCCCCTTAAAGTATTATTAAACCAGCAGAAAATTAAATCTGAGATAGCACAAATTTGACGTCACACATAGGAAGAAAACTCCCCCAAAGGAAATTATTTTTGCATTGGCCAATTTCGAGAACATCAAAAATTCCCATAGAAAGTGTTGGAAAATTCGGGAAAGCCCGGAGAGTTTGGTCAAATGGCACATAGTTTGATTCATCATGCCCTTAATAAGCATTTCATACTACAAAAAGTTTCAATTCCAAACAAAAGTTGCAGCTGATTGTCAAAAACAGCCCTATCTCTGAATCAGGAAAGTTAACAAAAACGGTATAAAAGTAAAACCTGGATGTTTTTAGTTTTGAAAAAAGAGAACCATAGTGGGTTACTTCACTTGCACAAGAAACATTTTCGACATTGATTTTTGATCTGCCTCGCAGACGCGACAATAGTATATTGAATTGAGTTTTGCTGCTGCTGAGAGGATACATTGCGGTAAGTGTTGGTGGGGGAACGCTGCGTGGGGAAGCCACGCGACGCGACTTTGTTAGTTGCATTTGGCTGCCCATCAATAAAAAATGGTCCCACAATGTTGATTACTAAAAATTAGTTCTTTTTATTTAAAAATGCAATAGATTATAAGTGCAATTAACGAATGTTGGATTTGGCTGCTTAAAGAAATGATTTCAACATTAGGTAGAAAAAAATTATCAAATAAATAAATACTTTTAATTTTTTAAGCATTAATAATAGATTCAAGAAATAATGTAAGATAAATATTTGTTATTGTTTTTTATAATAAAATGCATACTTTGTGATTTTGATATGTTGGGTTTGGCTGCTTTAGGTCTGCTCGGCCGCGCGCTTCTCACGCTACTCCCACATGGTTTGGCTGCCGCGGCATTTAATATGAATATATATCATAAATAAGAAATAAAAAACTTTAATTATATCCTTATGCAGCAAAAAATTAGCAATCTTCGTGATGAATAATAATGTATGTTTTGTAGTTATTCTCATACAGTAAATTGTTTTTTTTTATAAAATATAAATGTAATTGTATAAGTTTTTTGGACGAAATAAGCTTTCATAAGTTAGGTTTCGCATGGGAGCGCGTGAAATCATTGAATTTATAATTATAAAAGGTCCTTGGAAATAATCAGCTGGCTGCCGTTAGCGCCTCTTGGAGGTAAGGGGAGGAGGGATTTAACGAGCGCAATATTGGTTTCCCTGAAATCATGGGAATACAAAAAGCACATGCATCAAACAGACTTAACCGGTTATTTAAGCCAAATTACGTAAATGCTAATTATGATTTATAAAATTTACTTTTTTAACGGTAAAATTATACGCAGCAAAAATATTAGTTCCAGCTTTAATTTAGAATTGATAAAAACTTATTACCAATTCATTACCGATTGGAAAAATATGTACATTTTTCAATTTTTCTTGGCATACCGGTAGTCAGTTAGATGTCAAGAATACCAGAATAAAAAACCGGCTTTCGTTCAGCCCATGCATTTGAGTTTCAAAATATAACCAAATGGTTGTAAAACTTCAGTTCCCTGTAATCGCTGAAATATCCCGTGTCTGATTTATTGCTAGGTTTGATCTCTGTGGGTTTTGCAAACAAATATTAATTAAGCAGTAACAGTGCGAGTCACAGCAAAATCTCATGTGCGTGTTAGGTTTTTGCAATAATTTAAACTTTCATTCTTCTACTTAGTGAGGGCGATCCAAAAGCCTGACCTGGCCCAGGCTTACTGATTTAACCCCAGGCTAACTTAGTTCACCAGCAAAATTGACGTGGATAATATGTACAGGGTGGCCCATAAATACTTGGAGGTTTTCAAAAGCTCGCCACAGGCAAACGGATGGGCCAATTTTTATTTTCTTAGCGGATTCTGACAGCCCAACTTCACAAGTTTTTGACTGGCACAATGAGGATTTTCGCATATTTGAAAATACAATAGATTTTCCAGGAAAACCAAAAAGTGCCAAGTTGCCTTATGGGAGCGCCCATGTAGTGGAAATATGGGTATGCGAAGTTAAAAGTGTGAAACATGTTTTCTAGGGTAATTGACCCTCCTGAACACGAATCCGGGGGCGTAAAAGCAAACTGGGGTCCAATTGGGCACCGTGTAATGTACCAACCATACAAGAGCAAAATCTTTAAGTACTTAACTTCTTTTTTGTTGCAAAATTACCGTCAAATAAATATTTTACTATTGTGACAAGTGATTTTAAATAATTTGCATGGAAAATAATGAAATATTTACTCTCTTACGTAAACGTTTTGACACTTGTCAAAATTGTGCGCGTTGGCTATCGTGTTCTCAGCACATTATGCCAATATCTTGCCTTTGCAAAGCTTTTCAGAATAAAGTCATGAAAATGTAACTCTGTCTTTGTACATAGCCACGACGCAGTGGTTCAGTCGAGCTTTTTGAAGCGAGACATTGCGCGTTCAAATCCCACGAGGGATCGACTTTTGCAGATTTCTTTTTACGGATATTATATTTTATTCTTTCATACTTTCATGCTTTTTGATATATTTTTCTATTAAACGATCATTTAAGGCCTCTTTCATACATAGTCTTAAACTTTTGTTTGATTTATTTATTCTCCATTCAATACACATTCATGAATGCATTCAACTTTCTCTTGAAAATAAAGACCAATTAATTTTTTATTAGCATGAGGTTTAACTACTTAAGTTATGTTCAATTTTATCACTCATGTTTAATTTGGAAACATAATTTACTTTATAAACGAGGTTAAATTTTTTATTTGGTATTTCATAGCATGTAAAACAGTGTACATATTTCATAGGAAAATAAATCAATGAAAAATAATTATCAACAAATTTTCACGCTGTAAAATACCAAATAAAAAATTTAATTTAGAAAGTTAATTATGTTTTCAAAATTAAACATGAGTGACAAAATTGAACATAACTTAAGTTAAACCTCATGCTAATAAAAAATTAATTTGGTCTTCATTTTCAAGAGAAAGTTGAATGCATTCATGAATGTGTATTGAATGGAGAATAAATAAATCAAACAAAAGTTTAAGACTATATATGAAAGATTTTAATATTGAAAGGTAATAATGTTGGGTAATATTGTTGAATTCGGCCTTAAATGATCGTTTAATAGAAAAATATATCAAAAAGCATGAATTGTATGAAAGAATAAATTATAATATCCGTAAAAAAAAATCTGCAAAAGTCGATCCCTCGTGGGATTTGAACGCGCAATGTCTCGCTTCAAAAACTTCGACTGAACCACTGCGTCGTGGCTATATACAAAGACGGAGTTATATTTTTATGACTTTATTCTGAAAAGCTTTGCAAAGGCAAGATATTGGCATAATGTGCTGTAAACACGATAGCCAACGCGCACAAGTGTCAAAACGTTTACGTAAGAGAGTAAATATTTCATTATTTTCCATGCAAATTATTTAAAATCACTTGTCACAATAGTAAAATATTTATTTGACGTTAATTTTGCAACAAAAAAGAAGTTAAGTACTTAAAGATTTTGCTCTTGTATGGTTGGTACATTACACGGTGCCCAATTGGACCCCAGTTTGCTTTTACGCAATCCGGGGTTGGTTTTTAAATTTTCTGGTTATTTATAATTTTTGCCCTTAATTTTTAATTATTTGCAAAATATGCCGCAAAATTTTGCGCGTGGAGATAAAAATAAGAAAATTGCTAGAGGGGTAGTTCTTGAGCAGTACAACAACTAAATTTTTCCATACTTGTTATTTTCCGGAAAATTGACCATTTTCACAAGGGGTCCACGTTTCGGTCAATTTCTCAACTTCTATGGGAGCTAAAATTAAAACTTAAAGTGATTCTGAAAGCTGATTAAATTTCCTATCTTTCTTATGTAGACACTAACTTTCCAAAATTGCCTGCTTTTCAGGGAAAGTAAAGTGAAAGATTAACTTATTTTTCTCAGGAAGTGTGCAAGCGGGAGCAAAAGTTCTAAATAGCCAAATTGTAGTTCGGTTCTTTCGCAAGACACCCCTAAAATTTCAAAACTTTTCCTCCAGCTGTTTTTCCGCAATCGCTGATTTTTCCGACCCCTTTTGTGAAAATAAAAACTTTTCCGGAAAGGCATGTGTGATGCATCTTTCGATTGGGCACGTCAAGGAGATGCTAGAAATAAAATTTTCAAAATCGGAAGGTTTTTGCAAATTTTCAGAGCAGCTTGAAAAATGAACTTTTTTTAATTTACAAAAACTGCTCTGAAAATTTGAAAAATGGTCCGATTTTGATAAAAATTTATTTCTAGCATCTCCTTGACGTGCCTAATCGAATGATGCAGATAGGCCTTTCCAGAAAAGTTTGGTTTTCCATAAAGGTGTCGGGAAAATCGGCGATTGCGGAAAAACGGCTGGAGGATAAATTTTGAAATTTTAGGGGTGTCTTGCGAAAGAACCAAGCTACATTTTGGCTATTTAGACTTTCTGTTGCGGGTTGCATACTCTCTGGGAAAAAATAAGTTAATTTTTTACTTAAATTTTCCGTAAAAGCAACCAGTGTGTTGGAAGGTCAATCTGTCCATTTTTTTTTGTGCTGGATAGCTCTATTTCGGCTATTGACGCCTCATGAGCAGCACTTTCGTAGTTTTGTAGTTGTGTAAAAAAGGAAGAAAGAGTAAGATGAGCAGTTGTTTGCTGGTTGAGATCGTGAGCCCTCCCTTTTTTGTTGCAGGTTGCCGAGAAGCAACAAGCAGTCCTAGGTGTTCGCCGAGAATTTTCTTTGCTAGGCTGATGAGGCTTCAATAGCCAAAACAGCTTTCCAGCACAAAACATATAGGGACAGATTAGGGTGGTTGGTGGTTTTAAAGATTAATTAATTGGAAAATTATTATTCACATTCTTGTTTTATTCATTTTTTTACATTGTTTACATACAATATTTGAAAACAATAGTTTATTTAAGAGAAAAAAGATTTTTTTTAGGGTCAGGCCAAGACAAAGTCTTGTCGGCCTGTGCCCTCTTTATAAGTGGTGCAGAATAGTGTTTGACGGGACTCGGTCCCGACGGGTCCCCGCGGGTTTTAGCTCGCTTTCATGGACAGAGTTATTGACATCTATCAATACCTGGAAAACAAATCATAAATAAAATTTATTTTAAAGATTATTTCTTTTATTAAATATCATTTGTTTACTATAAAAAATCGATTCCTTTTTTTTGCAGTTGAATGATTTGCTGAAATTTGATTCCTCGGCGTTGACGGCCGCCAAACAAAAATGCCAATAAGTCATACATTAAATAAAGCTGTGGATAATGGTTTGTGCAATTTTATTTTTACGACTCTTATATTTTTCTACAATTCAATTTCAAAAATCTAGGTTTTCGGCAAGGCTCTCCCGAGGGACCAACAAAGCTGGGGTTTTTTGACAGGCGCAGTAACGCGGAAAAGTAGCATTTTTTTTAAAATTTAATTATCATTAAATTAGTTTTCATTTTCTTCGTGTTTTTCAAGCGTGTTCGTGCTTGTTGCCCACTACAGCTTCGAGGGTGGTGTCGGGACGTGGCCCCGACCAGGCAACGACGAGGATGTCCAGAACCTGAAAAACACATTTGATTTAAACAGAAACTGCCGATTCAGAGATTTGCCGTCACCAAAAAAGGAGGACCTTTTGGCTCTGTTGGCCAACGAGCAAAAACTGAAGAGATTCTTTGCTTCTGAAGGTAGAAATTTTATTTATAAATTAAAACTGGTCTAATTGCAAAAACAGATGCCGAGCCTTCGGTGTTCATTTTCATCATTTTGTCGCACGGAGGTTCCGAGGGAAAGATTTACACGGACGAAATCATATCAAATGTTTACGACTCGTTCAACACCAAGCAATTGTTTGCGAAACTGGAAAAAACATTTGCAAATAGCTTGAGGCTCTTATTTCTAGGGGTGTGTTAAAAAGTTTATTTTTCAGTTTATTAGAATAAATATTTTTGGAAATCAACTACTGGATTAATCTGTACTTTCAGCCGTGCAGAGGTGAACTTTCATCGACAGATAACCAAGACACGGCCACAAACTACTCAAGCAAAGTTTCTTTTGAGCAAAAAATGCACAACACGATTATTTTCTACTCAACGGTTGAAAGTAACTTGGAATTTTTAATTGAACTGGCGATCATTTAATCATAATTTTTAGCAACAACCGCAGGCAGAAATAATGATAAAGGGACTTGGCTTGTTCAGTGTTTGTGCGAACAACTCAACCTGATGAGAGAAAACGAGAGCATCGCTCATTTCTCCACCGGAATGCAAAATAGAATTCACGAATGGGCGATAAAAGCACAGCCAATTTTTCTCACTGGAAAGCCAACGGAACAAACAATGGAAATTAAAATGTTTCCGCATGACAGAAAGTTCTTCTTTTCTGCATTAGAGAATTGGTCAGAATTTGTTTAATTTAAAATGGAAATTGTTCATCAAAATCTTCCATTTTAGTCGCAAAGTAGTCCATATATCAGGCCAAAGACAATCGAGGATTGAATTCAATTGGATGAATCCACAAACTAAGTCCGTTCTCAGAGGAAAACTCGCAGCGATATTCCACCAAGGATGGGATAGACCTGATATCCGTAAACTTCAGTTTGCACTACAAGAAAACCTGGGATTTGAAACAAAATGCGTTAACATTGATACACAATCGATGATTCAGTACTTCCTTGATTTAAGTTGGATGTCAATTTATTACCTTTTAGAAAAATGCCTATTATTCAATTTCGTTTCAGAGAAACTCTCTTCGATGGATTATGCTTGCTTTGCAGCATTTTTTTATGCAGAAATCTGCGAAGAAAATGAACAAATTTCCATTTACCTCGGAGTAAATGAGAGAAAACCAATAGGCGAATTGATTTATCAAATGCTCAACCCAGAATGGAGGGAGAAGCCAAAACTCATCTTCCTTATTAACCAAAAATACGTAGTAGGAGTGAATGTAAATATGCCAACTCCTCAAAAGAGGCATGTTATATTGACACAAATTGCATGAACCGTGTTTTTCAGAGGCAAAGAAAAGACATTTCTCTTTTGAACGCACCCCCATCAAGTGGCTGGCTGATATTCATTATCCAAAATAAAGGTGAGGAAGGTAATTTATTAATTAATAGATATATAATTCAATAAGAGTTTGCAATCATTATTGGACCAAAAAAACAAAAAATCTATTCCAACCTTTTTTTAAAGAGGAACCAAACAAAAATTGAAATCTTTGATCATTTAAATTTTAAATCTTTCAACTGAATTAAAAAGAAAACAGCATACGCCAACATCCACTTCCTTATAGGGAGAAAGTATAAATTAATTAAAATTTTCATTGTGGCTTATGGGTGAAAAGTTTTATCGCCGTAAATAAAAAATGTGTGATTTGATTTCGTTAAAATTAGTCTTAAATAATAGCCTGATAAATAAGCTACATAATGCGCACCAGAAAACCTCTTGTCGCAACATAATTTTGTGAGAAAACCGAAAAGTACTTCGTTTTTAGAGTCTCCTTTGCCAAGGTCTCTCCGCCTCGCCGCCGCCGCCGTTCACGAGAACGGCGTGAGGAGATGAGGGAGGGAAGCCTCAAGCCAGAGCGAAGAAACGTGTGCCGCTATTTTTGATAGACTTTCGCGCGAATGTATTATTTATTTAGAACGCGTTAATTTTAAGTATTCAAATTTTAAGCGTTGTTAGATAATCGAATGCAGTATTTTTTTGATATGCTAGTTTTAAAATAATTTTGGTTAGGAGCGAAGTTATTAACGTTTCCGCGAGAATTTTGTTCCGTCGATTTTAACAATAGAGAGAATTTTTAAAAAATATAATCCTTAAAAAAAATGTTGCCAATTAAATTTTCTACAATTTCTTTCACAGGCCTGATGACGTCAAAAAAAATATTTACTTATAAACTACGGCTCAAGGTCAAAATATAATTTTTTGACAAAGAATAAAATTTTTTAGAATTTTTTTCAGATAGCCAATCGATTGCAAATTTAATTTTGACCAGTGAACTTTAATTTCATTTAAAAATATTATATCTTTAAAAAAAAGAAAATAATATTTGATGGCACTGCTGACGAAGACGAGCGGCGGCATCAAAGCGCGTTTGAGAAAGCAATCTGCAGCTTAAAAACGGCTGAATATTTTTACATGAAATTTCAGTGCTTTATTAAAAAATAAATTTCCAAGCGATTGGCTATCTTTAAAAAATTCTAAAAATTTATTGTCTAGGTTTTGAAGTTATATTTTGACTTTGAGCTTTCCGTTTATAAGTAAAAATAATTCTGATATCATCAGGCCCATGAAAGATACTGTAGGAAATTTAATTGGCAACATTTTTCTCTGAGAGTTTTTATTTTTTAAAATTGTTCTCTATTTTTAAAATTGACGGAACAAAATTCTCGCGGAAACGTTAATAACTCCGCTCCTAACTAAAATTATTTTAAAACCAGCATATCAAAAAATACTGTATTCAATTATCTAACAACGCTGAAAATTTGAATACTGAAATTTAACGCGTTCTAAATAAATAATACATTCGCGCAAAACTCTATCAAACGAGTTGCTCTCGCCTAACGCTGGCTCACCTTCGTCGACTGCCGCTGTGGTGCGTGCGCCGTGCTGCAGCCTGCAGTTGCAGTGTGCATCATGGCGGCACCGGCACCGAGTTTATTCGTACTATCGGCCGGCCTTTATTCATTGAAATCAACTTATTCAGGGGTGATCTACGCCTGGCGACCGCACGGGAATTGTGTCTTGACCCCACTCTGGCCCTCAGGTAGCTTGAAATTTTAAGTCCCTCTCATAAATCGCACTAGTCAACTGTGGAAAACTTTCTTCCGCGATTCCCTTTATTTGTTATCACTTGTGACCTTTCTTGTGACGTCACGATCGGTGTGCACCGAGGAGCGCGGCTGATATCCAAAATTACTATATTTTCAATGCTTATTTTGGGGGCTTTAATGAAGGAATTTCTAAATTTCGATCGTTTTAAATTATTAAATGCTATAATTAACCACAAACGACTATAAAATGTTTTGTTTGGTTCCTCTTTAAATAATTTCAATACAGGAGAACAATTCAGATCAAATATTTTGAGCGATACAATTTCAATAAATAATGGTTTGCCTAGAGAGGTCATTTGAATATACATATATTTTAAAAATGTATGAAAAATATTTTTCACCTTTTCGTATGACAAATTTACGTTTTTGCAGTCATTTTCTTTCCAATTTTTGCAATTTTGGTCCACCGGCTACAAAGCTACAGCCCTAAATGACGATCCTTGCATTCATAAATTTCTAGATAGCACCAAAAATGTCTAAGCCTGAAATTGTCATAATTTCGCTAAAATAAACCAAATTGGATATTTTCAAAACAACCACATTAGTTATAATGATATTCCGTTACTTAACATAAATAGCGCTGTACATTGGTTCATAAGCAATTGAGCTATTAAAGTGGCATATATTTATGGGTTAATTATTCCATTACATATAGTTAACACCCATATTTTATGGGTTGAAATAAGTCACTTGATACCAGTTTTCAAGCATAAATAAGTTTCGCAAATTGTAAAAAATAATTTATTTAGCCCTTTTGGAACTTGGCCACTTTAGGATTTGAACCCTTTGCACGCTGACCAACCTGGTATTTGGACCCATTATACGTACCTACTGCGTTATTAAAAATCTTGAATTTTTATGTATTATAAAATTAGTACAATTTTACTAATATTGATCACGCATTTACAGATCTTCTGACGAAACTTATGGAGATTTTTGAGAGCAAGGAAATAAAAGGCGAGAGGAGTCTTCAAGAGTGCCTGTGTGACCTGCTCATTCAATCAAATGGAGAAAGGGGAGAAATTATCCCTCAAGCGATGCTCGTCTCCACTTTGCCGCACTCGCTGCATTTCCCGCAGAATTTCATCAAACCTGACTTCAAAATGAATGATTCTAGATGGATGCATTTTGGAAAAATAATTGAAGAAGCAGTGGATGTGGAAAATAATCGCATTTGGCTTTTGTCGTCCCTTCCCGCCTCAGGAAAGACGACCGTGATGAGCGAAATCGCTCTTGAACTTCGAAGGAGACTTTGCGGAGTCAAGGTTTTCAACATCAGCCTTTTGCAAGACGTCAGAGGTCTTCTTTCAAATAAAAAAGTTGCTCCCTCCTTGGTCACTGTGATTTCATCAGCGACTCGAGTTGACGAGGAAGAAATTGAAATTTTAATCAAGGAGAAAAGAATCGTCTTGATGTTTGACGGATTTGACGAGATTTGCCCGTTTCGAAGGGATGCGGTGCTGAATTTGCTGCAAAAAGCGGTTGATAGAGAAATTCCGATTTGGATTTCGACGCGTCCGCAAGAAGAATATGCGATTAGGAAGAAACTTGGCAGTCGAAAGAAAATCTGCACAGCCACAATTTTGCCTCTTGAAGAAAAACAACAAATTGAACTTTTGAAGATATTTTCAAAACAGGATGTCAAAAAATGCGAAAGTTTGATAGAAAATTTTGAACGCAACGGATGTGGCGATATCCTGAGCAATCCTCTTCATTTGAAAATGATGGCTCAAATAGAAGACTCATTTTCTGGAAAAGATTCACAAAACTTGTTTAACATTTACGAGAAAATTGTCCAAAAGAAAATGCGTGAAGCGCTTGCTGTATATTACACTGAGGGGAATATGATGTACGAGGAAGCACTTGAAAATTGTGAGAAAGAACTGCAACTTATTTCACTTTCATATCTTAATGACGAGAGTGTCAAGGACTTAAAATACCCCCGAAATGGAATCATGACTCTGATTGATGGAAACATCGTTTTCGTGCACCAAACGTTCGCCGAGTTTCTTGCAGCTCAAAATTACATTGAATGCCTGAAGGAAAAAAAATGTAAAAATGATGAAATTCCCTTCGATTTATTGGAACGGCAATACCGACAAGTAAGAAAATTTGTGGAAATGAAAATTTTTGAGCAAGATGAAGAAACTCCAATTTTGAGGTCATCTCTGGAATTAGTTTTGAGTGAAAACCTTACGAACAAAATTATTATTGAAATTATCATCGGCGAAAATCTGCCGACTATGTTTTCGCTTTTTGAAAACCAAATTTGCTTCAGCAAGAACGGCAGCAAGGCCAAATTTTATTTTGAAGATGGTTATCAAATTTTAAAAGAAGCGAGTTCGAAGAGCGAAGAAATTGCTTTGAAACTTTTGAATCTTAGCACATTTGAAAGCTTGGAATTTTCAAAAATCAATGAAATCACAAAAATACTTTGCGGTGCAGTTAAGAACAATTTCTTGAAACTCTTTGCAGCGCTCGTAGAAAAGTGTTCCACTCACGGTTTAATCGAAAATTGCCGGGCGAATGATAAAGAAATGTTTAGTGCTGTTTGCAATGCATCTTCCAAGAATCACCACGAGATGCTTAAATTGGTGATTGAAAGAGGACTAATTGACATGCACGGCGAAGTTGGAAGCGAAGCACTTAAAACTGCGGTATTCAACAACAGCGTCGGGTGCGTTGAACTTCTCATTCAGCACGGCGTTCCTACTGGCTGTTTGTATATTGATATTGATGGTTTGCATCCAAAATGTTTCAGTGCAGAGAATCATTTTGATTTATTTTACAACTTCGGTGATTGTCCTTTTGGATTGAAATTAGATACGGCGAGGGCACTTCTTAGGACGAAAAGCGAAAAGCCCGAAAAACTCGCAATTAGACTGTTTAATTATGCTATTAAAATAAGAAATGTTGAAGTGGCAAAGTTTTTGCAGCAACTATACAGAGGGATTGAGAGGATAGTTTTTTACCAAGGCAAGACTGCCCTTCATGTGGCGGCAGAGATACGACAAGAGGAAAAACACTCGGCCGCGTTGGAAATGTGTCGGTGGCTGGTGGAAGAATTTGACCTGAAAATCGGGGACAAGAATGATGATGGATGGAACGCTTTACATAACGCAATCAGAAGTGGAAATTTGGAATTGGCGAAGTACTTCCTGGAAAAGGATCCTGCGCTCATCAAATCTGTTGATGATTCTAAAGGCCACAACCTCCTTCAATTTGCATGTGATTGGAGGGGAGGAAAAAAAATTGTCGAATACATTCACAGTCGAGACGGCGATTTGATTAAGCAAAAAACGAAGGAAGGCAAAACAGCGCTTCATTTGGCGGCAGAGAAGGAAAATCTCGATTCGTGCGTTTGGCTCGTGGAAAATAAGGTTGATTTGGGCGCCGTGGACTACGAGGGGTGGAATGCAGCCCACTATGGTTCTAAAAATTATAGCGGGAAAGGAGAAAAAATACTTATGTATCTGCACAAGAAAAAGCCTGAACTGATCAAGCAAAAAACGATTTTAGGAGAAACGGTGCTTCATATCGCGTGCAAAAATAGGTTGAATGAGGAAACAATCGAATGGCTGATGGCACAGGGATTTCACCCACACTACGTGAACGAAAAAGGGTGGAACGCTCTTCACTTTGCAGCGAGTGGAGGGAAAATTGAAAAGATGAAGTTCATTCACGAGAAATGTCCAAATCTAATTGAATCTTTGACGAACGACGGCGAGAACGCGATGCACTTGATGGCAAAAAGTAATTGTGATGAAGATGAATTGAAACAACTGCACTCACTTTGTGGAAAACTGGCCAAGCAGAAAACGAACACAAATAAAACGGTGCTTCACTACGCAGCGCAAAGTGATCGTTTTTCCAAAGAAAAGTTTCAATGGTTGGTTGAGGAAATTGGGTTGCAGATTGAATCTGAGGACAACGACGGCTGGACTGTTGTGCATTTCACTGCAAATAATTATTTTGTATTTCAATCACTAGAAATACTAGAATACATTAAAACTAACAATTCCAGACTAATTAAGAAAAGGACAAGGAGAAACGAAACCGCACTGCACATCGCGGCCATGGAACCAAATTATCGAGCAATCAAGTGGCTTTTAAAAAACGGGGTTGATCCTGACGAGAAAAACGTGGATGGCAAAACCGCCTTGCAAGTTGCTCAGCCAAAATATTGTGAAGGTTTGAAGCAAATATTTAGCGAAAATTGCCCACCGCACCCTATTGGCCAGTTAAGCCACAATTAAAAGCTTTGCAGCGTTTTCCGACATTTTAAACAGAAATCTTGAATCAAGCTATTTATTCTTAATAAGTGCACTTTTCAGAATCCAATTGTAAATTCTTTTTTTAAACCGTTATTCATACAAGTTACTACTTAAAAAATAAAAATAAATTAAATAAATGAAAAAATAGTCCGATTTTTAATTGATTATTTGTTATCCTATATTGATTAATATTTTAAGAAAATTCATCATAAAAATCTTGAAATAATACATGAAGCCAAGTAATAATTTCATTATAAAAAAAACTCCTGACTCTTTCATTGAATATTTAAGTTTCAATTTAAAAATGTGATTTGAATAACAGAGTATTTGCGATTTTCATCATTATTATATTGTTTTAAAAAGCATTTTTGTCTCTTTAAATAAGAAAAATGCAACAAAAAATCATCTATGATTTATAATGGAAATTCATTCTTCCAATTCAAATTATGTCAAGAGAAATTCATCCCTGGACGTTCAAGTGTAATTGTTTAGGTTCCGTGCATTTCTCAGCTGCAGCGAGTTGGTTAAGCAAAATGATCACGCAGCGGCCGATCATCTCTTGGAAATATAATTGCTGTCATGAAACGTTTTTCGTTTTGATAGAATTATAAGAAAAATGAATATGTGCAAGAAAAGTTTTCAAAAACCTTTCACAATACATCATGTTTTAATGCATTTTTATACAGATTTGTAAAATGAAAAATGAGTAGACTTACTTGAAGCATTATCTGCAATCTTTAATAAAATAAAATCATATTATAAAATTAATAAAAAAATATAATGCGCGCTTTAATATAAATTTAAGGATAATCTTTAATTGTTATATTTTAACATGAATAATATTTAGAATATTATTCTAAATTATAATATTAGAAACATTTAAATCAAATTAATTCAGTTTTTAGATGTTTCATAATCAGTTCATTTTGAAGTTTTGAAACTTGTTTCCATCCAATCGGCTAAAAGATTAATGCATTTGTTCGAAATAAAATGAGAATATAACTTGAATGAATAATTGCAATCTCAATCAAAGTTTTGAAGGTGTTGCTTTGATAAATCATCTACAAACTCCTGAGTTGCATCGCATTTAATTAATCCAGTCTTAGATTAATTAGAAATGGATTGTTTCAACAAATGCACGCAGCGACTTAATTGTTAATGTCTTTCCTAGCCGTGGCCAAAAGTCGCATCTGTCGCTCCACGTGAACTTTCTCATCAACAGAAAACAACAATAAAAGAAAGGGTTCTGCTGCAAATTCGCTTTTTTCCCACAATCACTCAATTCTTACTTTGTCACACCTTCACACTTTTCAGTCAAATAAGATTCCTATTAATCCGAAGATATCACAAACCCGTGATAAAATATGGAGGAATTAAAAGCTTTTTCTTGAAATTTGACTTTTTCAATACGCGAGTCTATTTTTACTTTTTGATGATCTCTCCAGTCAAGTTTTGGGATCGATTTAAATATTTTCCTGTTTCAATTTTACAAATAATAGCAAAAAAAGCTTTTAAAATCTTTGTACTGCTCTCTTAGATTCTGAAATCTAGTTATTTTTCTTCCAGCTTTAAAAATTATTCATCAACTCACTTCCCCTCGCAAAATAAGCAGACTCTCTTTTTGCCTCTTTAGCAAAATCCAAGGCGCGAAGTTTAGACTTTTGTAATTCCTTTTCGTTCTCACCGAATTTATTTCTCCTTCGTTGTTTTTATATTCGTGCTGGTTTTGATCCTTCATCTTGATGATTTCAAAGCAATCCAAAATCATAATTTTGATTTGAAATTTAAAAATATGGGCGATGTACAATTTCACTCTCGAAATTATAGAGATTTCAGATCGAGGTTTGAAGTCAATTAATTCATATCTGAGAAGATTCGTTGCTCCAGATTAAAAGATATTTACGACGAAGAGAATGTATCCTGATTTGAATTTTGAATTAATTCATTTTTATTCGCTTCATAAAGGTGCAAAATAAATCTTTGTAATTAAGACGACAAAATCTTAAATATCGATCGAGCAGATTTCGGGCACAATTTAGAAATGTTTGGTCCGAATTGGTAAGATTTGTACAAAGAGAAAAACACTGACCTTTTTGAAGATCTGCGCTGGCTGCAGGTCATGGCCATGGCCAGGGTGTCGACGCAGAACGGTCCCTCCGATTTTGGCACCACCGACTGTGAATTCATTTTAAGCTGATTAAATAATTGACATTGATTTGATTAATGAATTAATTTTACGTATTTCATTTTCAGTGGAAAGAGAAAAATCATGAAAAGTTGGGCCACATTTTTGTATTCTTATTCCGACTCTTGTGAGCTGCTAAAATATAGAAATTAATTAGTATAATAATGAAAATATTGTTAAAACCTTTGGCCTGAGGCAGGGCGAGGCCTCCGCACGTTGAGGGTCGACGCCAGGGTGGACAAATCAGGGTAAATTTCAGGGTCAAAGGACGAACACGCCAAAGACGAATGCAATTCGAAGGTGAGATTCCTCAGTCGAACGGCCTTTTGGCCTCCTCAGCTGCCCCTTGGACCTTCAGGTCATCAGGTCAGGGTGGCTTTCCTTCCTGGGGAATGAAATATATCGAAATTAAAACGCACAAGCCTCTCTGTTGAAACAAAAACCGCCGTTTCAAGGGTTTGTGTCACGTTATGCCGGTTTATGTACAAACCTTGGACGCGAGATTGCGGTCGATTGGGACCGTTTTCAGGCCCAAATCCCACCTTCGGCCGTCCCTTCCGGACCTCCGGAGGTCGCGACGAAAGGTCACGGCCTGCGAACGACACTAACTTGAGGAATTAAGTCATTGTTCACAAAAAAACAGAGCGAAACCGAACACTTGATTGAGACTAAACAATCAAACTGATCGAAGGAGGCAAAATCAATTTGGTACCAACCAAACAAAGTTTTACTATGAAATAAATTCTACAACAATCGTGATTGATTTTGATTAGCGCTAACTCAAGAACAATGAATCGTTTTAAAATATAAAATTTTGTCAAATTCTTGCTATTTACAGTTGCTTAATTGAAATTTGTTCAGAAATTTATTTACGTCAGGTTGGCACACTTCGCGGTTGGCCTACCGCAAGAAGAAACTTGCTGAGACTTGCGTGTGGACTTGTCTTGCTCCTTCTTTGCTGGCCGTGGCGCTTGCATTGAGAAATTGGCGGGTTTTCAGCCGTGCTTTTTTCCGCCTTTTTCGCCTCGTCTTGATTTATTTAATGTAAAGAAAAGAATCCGGCTTGATCGACTCTCTCTTTTTCCATTCTTTGACTTTGATGTCGTTTCAGAGTTAGAATAAATATGCGATAAAAAACTTAAATATTTTTCAAATCGTTCATTGCTTCCGGTTTGAAGAACTTGCATAAAGCGAGAGCGAGCCGCAATTGAAATTTTAATCTAGGATAAATAATTCAATGCATTTTGGCGCTGTATTGAAAAAACCACTCTTTTATTTATAAATTTTAATTTTTTATTGAAATATGTGGAAAACTTTCAAATATTTAATTCGAGTTTTGAAATTTTCACTTTTGTTCGTCCGTTTTAGGGCACAAAAATAATAAATTTTTTCTCCCATTCTTGTTTTTTTATATACCAATAAAATTCAATTATTTTTAACCAAAAATGCTTTACAAATTTCATCGAAGTGGAAGAGGATTTGCGAGAAATTAAAATAATCTTTTGAAGCCATGAGACAATTTGACAGAAAAATTTAACAAATCATCAATTTAGAACGCGAAAAATTGAATTGAATTTTTTTTTTTTATATTTCTGATCCATATTCATTGCAATGAAATTTACCAAACGTTTCCACCTGCTCTGATTTTATGATAAAGCTATGGAGGATTTAATAAATGTCGAAATTAATTGTCCAGGGCTGATTGTTAAAAAGCCAAAGATCAATAAAACTTCTCTGCATTTTGCATCGTGGACTAGGAAATTGAAAATATTCGAGCGGCGTCAATCAAGTTGCAATATAGTTATTAAAATTGATAAAAATTAAATTATTTGACAAGAATTTACAATCAGTACTCTAGTGGCTCAATGCTTGTCGTTATTTAAGCAAAAAAAATTATTGAGGGCGATCCAAAAGCCTAACCTGGCCCAGGCTAACGTGACTTAGCCCCGGGCTAACTTATCTCACAAGCAAAATTGAATGGCGGGTTAAATTAGCCTGAGCCAGGTTAATTTAGCCTCTCGGCCAAGTTAGTCTTTTGGATCGCCCTCATTGTCGCTAGATATTGGGAAGGATTTTTGCATGATTTTCGGGATGGTACAAAAAACTCTACATTTTTATCTCTAAAAAAGAAAATTTTGTAATAAATTTTTACAAATCAATTTCAACAGCGGAAATTTTAAATAATTTCAATTTTTGCTCAATAAATTCTGGTGCTTTTCTTTTCAGTTTGTCACAACTTTTTTACTTTTTGTCTTGTTAGATATTTTTTTCAAATGTTAAAATTTGTATTTTTTTTTATTTTTAATGAAATTTGACGATCTTTTACATTTGGTCAAACAATCTATGCAAATTGCAGCGGCGCACTGTCTTTTCATGGGCGGAAGTGAAGTCAAAGCGAGCAAGCTGGTGGTAAAGCTCGGCATGCACAGCAAGTTCAAGGCGGAAGAAAACTCGCGCCAGAGAATATTTCGGTATAATTTTTTCAATTCCACATTCAAGCATATCTTTTTGCTTAAAAGAAACGGAATTAATTTTTTGTCCGTTTAAATGGTTTTTGTACTTTTTAATTTGCTGCAGGTTTCGTCTTTCGTGGTTCACCCCGGCTACAACCACTTGCGGGGCGACTTCAAGGACGACATCGCCCGCCCTGATCGTTTTGCGCGACGAGGCCAAATTCAACGATTTCGTGATGCCGATTTGTCTGTGGAACGAAAATTACAACCTGAAGCGAATCGCCAACAAGACGGGCACGGTTCGTTTCAAGATTTTAATTAATTTGTTGCAAAATGGAATTTTTAATTTGGGACAGAAATAAATTAAAATTTTGAAAAGGGACGTTCTTGAAAATATTTTTTATTTTATTAAATAAAAAAGGGGATTAAAAAAGAGGAAATTGGTTAGGTTTTTTTATTTTGTTATTCAATCAACGTAAATATCGCGATCAAAGGGTTAAAAAGGGGGTTGGTTTTATTTTATTGGTTCTCACTTATTAAAACGGTGGCAATTTTTTTTACTTTATTTATAAAAATCAAATTCAGGAACAAGTTTCCATTTCCAGTGTGTTCTTTCATGAAAGTGATTATTGAACTAAATTTGGTTGAAAGGTGGTCGGCTGGGGCTACACTTTGGACCACCAGCAGCAGGACATTCTGCAGGAGGCGCAGATCAAAGTGGTCTCATACGAGGAGTGTTATGAAAGCAGCAGACTCTTCTTTTCGGTCAACATGCGACCCAGGGAAAACTTCTGCGCCGGATTTCCGCAAAACCGTAAGAGTTGTTTTTCCTATGTTAATTTTATTTAATCTCAAAAATAATAATACGTACCCTTCTAAACGATATACATTTTGGCAAAATCTGTGAAAAGTACGATGCGTGTTGGAAAGGGTCACGCGATCTAAACCACGACCTAGCGAAGACCTTAAATGCGGAGTTAACTCATTTTTTTTGCTAGGCGAAATGAAAATTTTGTGAATAATTGATCTTTGAACTGCGATAACTCTGCTCTTAATATAGATACGAAATTTCCAGATACCAAAATGTTCCTCTTGATGAGCTCTTTCAAACCATGTGTCACACTTGCAAAATATATCGTGTTATGGTCAAAGGTCAATGGGGTCAATGACCTTTTGTGACCCTGTCACTATGTGCGACACATCGTCTGAAAGAGCAAGGCAAGGGGATTACTTTTTGTCATGACACATTTCGTCCTAAATCTTACAGGGAAAAAGTTACAGAGGCTCAATGTTATTTTTCTGCCTACAGAGCTCGGAAAATCACGTTTTATTGCGTTTTTTATTTTTTAAATAAAAAAACTGTGACTCGTACCACTTTTTGTATGAATGGTTTTTATGTAAAATTTTATTCTCTACAAAATGGCTATTTCAGAATTTTTAAAATGTTTGTGCCAAATTGTCAAATTTGAGGTCAAAGGTCACGAGGTCACCAAAAGTGACCTTGACCCGTGACCTACAATTTTGCGTTCAACAGTTAAGTTGTAGAGGGCAACGAGAGGAATTCAGCCATATCCGAGCCTTTGTTTTACGACCACGGGAAGCTGAGATAAAGCCGTTTGAAAATATCCAAAACCCAATTTTGTATGTCTCGAAAAAACCAGTAAATTTTAAGATATCGGGGCAAAACTATATATTTTTGAAAACATCTTGACATGGTCTTTAAAGTCCTGGAATTTGATAAAGAACGAATGACCCTTGGCATCGTACCTTTCAAATATTTGCCGATTTACAACTTTTTGTCATAAAATTTGAGAATAATTGAAAAAAAAAAACAGGGAGCGGGGAGTGCAACGGCGACAGCGGCGGCGGCTTCGTGATGAAGAGCGAGGGGCGGTTCTTCCTGCGCGGGGTGGTGAGTTCGGGCCGGTCGAGGGAGGTGGCGGCGGAGGGTGGCGCCAGGGTGGTCACGTGCAACCCCAAGTACTTGGCCCTCTTCACGGACGTGACCAACTTCATGGCCTGGATCGTGCGAAACACGCCCGACTTCCCTCCCCTCCCCCCGCCCCCTGAAAACCACCCCGAGACTTCCGAAAGACCTGCAACCGGCAACACAACAAAAATAACAAAATTCCCGCCGCAGACGTTTTGGGATGGACTCTTTTCTTTGATTCTGCAGCATTTCGATTTGAAAACAATCAATTAAATGTAAGATTTTTTTAATTAAAAAGTTCAAAGGTTAGGAAATGAATGAAATAGTTTATAGTTCAAAGATATTGACATTTCATCTAATTGTTTATTCCAATCATTTTTTTTCTGAATTAAAAACAGAAAATTACCTTAATTATTGTATGCGTTTGAATCACAAATAAAAGCTCCAACGATTGTATTCTCCTAAGAAAACTATAGTTTCTTATTCACAGCAAGTACAAATATTTTTTTCCATTTAAAGGTTGAAAAATCTAAACAGAAAAATATCAATTATAAATATTTTTTAAATCTAAAATATTAAATTTTTTCTTAAAATTTTGTCACACAAATCAAATTATGTGCTGCTTTTTTATAAAGATTAAAAGTCGTGTTTGTGTGTAAAGAGACTGTTAATTTTATTTAAAACTAAAAATTGTCAGAGCACAAGAGGCGCGCATTTCAAACCAGCTGAAATGAGAATATATAAATGCTCGATGGGGACTAGAGGGGAGGGAGGGGAGGGAGGGGAGGGGCTCAAGGCTTGGCGGAGGTGAGGAGGGAGGTGTGTCGCTTGACCCAGTCGCGGGAGCGCTGGACGAGGGTTCGCGGCTGCGTGAGGGTGGCGGCGACCTGGCGGAACTTTTCGTCGTTGCGGCGCGCGTACAGGGCGGCCTCCCCCTCCAACTCCTGCAGCTTCTCCGGCCGCATCTCGAACATGCTCGACACCTCCTTCACGTAAGGGTTGAACCGGAAGTACACGTCGTTCGGCAGCAGGTCGTGCAGCATGTTGTGCACCGCTAAAAAACAAAAGCACTTCAATCCAAACGCCTTAAAGGGGCTGAACACGAAGGGGAGGTTTTGGGGTAGATCGGTCAGCCTTGACGTCCAGTTCAAGAATACTATCAACCCTTTTTCTTTTTCTTCACTGGGGAAATGAAAAAAGCAAAAATTGTTTTCCAAACAGACGCCATCTTGGATATTGGGTCAAAAATCGTTATTTTAGACTTTAAGGTGTTTAAATAGATTCAAAATTAATATAATAGGACAGATTAAGGCATATTTAGCAAATTGAGTAAAGAATGGGGTATTATTAAAGAAGATGAGGGGAAAAGAGGCTCATAAAATGGTCATCTTATCATATAATTTGAAATAAATATGATTCTCGAATAAATCTTAATTCTCTCTAAATAAATATAAAAAAATGAAGAAAAGCAAAATTCTTCACCACCTCATTAAAAGGTTAAATAAGAAGCTTAAGATGTTTTGGTCTAAAGAAATTAACTCATGTTGTACCTTCGGTGTCGGTGGCGCTCTCGAGGATCTTGGTGAACTTTTGCTTCCAGGAGGAGTAGGTGTCGGCGCCGGTGGCGCCGTTGGTGGCGGCGGCGGCCGCGTTTTTGATGGCCAGGTCGAGGGGGTGGCAACGACCGGTGCCGAACGATACGACGCACTGCAGCGCCTCCCCTGGCCACAAAAGCTTTGCTTCGTGGATCGCGATCGCCGTCGGGTTGTTCACCAACACACCCCCGTCCTGGATAAAAAGAAAATCCTTTAAAGGGGCGCACACCCTTGGTTGGGACAAAGTGATATTTAGACGCGAATCGAACAGATTTATTGCTCCATTTGAGGAAATAATTTTTTTCCTAGAATATAAAATTTGGAATGAAATAAGGGGGTTTTGGTGGACACCATCTTAGATCTTAAAGGGGGGCTTAACTTTTGTTACGATAAACTGCAATTTCAACTAAAACCAATCAAATTGAATGTCTGTTTTATAAAACGTGTGATTATTGCAACGTTTTGTAACATTAATGGCTTTGGATAGAAATATAACAGGGTATTTTGGAGCTATTCATATTTGAATACAACTGAAATATTGTTTTTTTTTTTATGCAAATTCGGGCAATTTCTCCTTTCAAATATTGACAACCAATAACAAGGAATAATTATCAATTTTTATCCTAATTGATTTCAAGAAAACGTTCAATTTGCACACCATAGAATTAAATAGGTTGTCATTAAATTTATTTTCTTAAAACTTTTTGGGATTTGAATTGTAAATGCATGTAATTTTGCATACCTGGTGGAGGAGGTCTGCGGTTCGGAACTCGCCAAAGTAGGAGGGGGCGGCGGCGGAGGCCCTCGCCGCCTCCCACAGTTGGTGTCGGCTGCCGCCGGTGTAAAGCGCCGGCACCCCATCGGGCAGCTCGTAGTTGCGGAACACGTACGGCATCACCTCCGCCTGGTTCACCACCGTCGACACCGCCGCCATCTGCACAAATCAAAATTTTAAGTAAACAAATACAAAGGTAAAAATTAAATATATAAAAAAGCAGAAAACAATGGAATAAATTGATCATAAAATTTTCATTCATTGCCAAAATCAGGTAATTAATCATTAATATGAAAGCCAACTCAATGATGAGTTAAATTTAATGCAAATTAATTTAAGATTTGCTTTATGAACCATTTGGTCACAGGGAATTTCTTAATGCTATTGAAATCATCCTTGCATTTATTTTGTCAAAAAAGACGCAAAAATGAAGATCACAAATAATCTATATGATTATATTAAAATAGATTCAAACACAAATAAAATAACGAGTTATTTTGGAAAAAAAGTTAAAAATTGTAATTTAAATTTTTTTTGTCCTGAATCAAAAATTTGAACCAAATATTTCTCAGAACTCGACAATGTTGGTCACCATTCGATTTCTTGTGACCTGCCCTTTCCAACGATGTGTCACACTTCATACCTAAACGTTAATATTAAATTAGTGGTGGGGGAACCTTTTGGACCAATCAGATGGCTTGATTCATGTAACTGCAGTTTTCTTTACTAAATAAGTGGCGAAATGGATATTTTAAAACCCCAAACGATTGCTAATGACCTCGGCTTGCCATTCGCACAATTACAACAGGTGTGCCAACCAAATAAATTGAAAAAACTAATTTAAAAGATAACATTATTGCAATGATTCGTCAAAGTGTGGTGAAATGAACCGACCTTTGGGCAGAGGGGGTCCCTGGCGGTGCGGATGAGGGGGATGGTGCCGACGTGGTTCTGCAGGAGCTGCTCCCACTGCTGGGTGTCGTAGTACGAGTGGTCCCACAGCAGCTTGGAGGCGCCGAGCAGGTTGTTCCTGGTGAAGATGCGCACCGAGATCTCCTTGTAGAGCTGCGCGCAGTCGTCGAGGTTCTTCTTGTGCGGCCCGAACAGGCACGCCATGATGGCGCCCGTGCTGACCCCGCAGATGAAGTCGAACATTTCGCACACGCGGCGCCCCGTCAGCGCCTCGAGCTTGCGCAGCAGCTCGATCACCATCACGCCGCGCGTCCCGCCCCCGTCCATGCTCAGGATGCGGATGCCGCGTCCACTCAGCCCGTCCGTGTGTCCCATCATGGCCAGCGCCTCGCGGATCGCCGCCAGCGCCATCTCGTTCCGCTCCGACGCGCGCATCCGCAGCAACGTGTTCATCCCTCCGTGCTGCAACCAAATTCATTTTTAGTAAAAAATTTCTCAAGTGTGCAAAAAAGGTTAATATAGTGCAAGTTTAAGAATAAAAAAATATTATTTTCTAATTAATTAAGCTTAATGAGGGTGACTCAATCCTAATGATAATTTTAATTAGCAAATTTTATCAAATATTTCAAAAATTAAAAGACAAACTTAAAAAAAGCAACATTTTTGATCTCATTAATTTAGGAACGAGAAAAAGTTGGGTTTTCACTAGATTTTGAATAAGAGAAGAAAGACCTTGACGGAGTAGCTCTTGGCGGTGGGGTGCAGGCGGAGGTGCTCGGTGAGGTCGTCGATGCGCTGAAGTTTCGAGGTGACGCTCTCGGCCGTCGCGATCGAGGTCAAAATGCTCCTCGTCCGCGCCTCCACCACCAACTGCAAAAACAAAAACCAATCAAAATCACATTTCAATCAACAAATTGCATAATTTAAAATAAAAAGAAAAAATGTATAAAAATTAATTGCATTTATATCATTTTTAAATTAAAATTTGATTGAATTTAAAAAAATTAAATTTTAATTAAAAATTTACTATAAAATCAAATGCATTTAATTTTATTAATTTGAAGACCTTTGAAACGGTCCTGGTCCTTTTGAGTTTCCACTCGGGCACGACTTGGGGTTGTCCGGCAACCGTGGTGTTGCCGTCGGCGCGCTCCAAGTTGTGGGCCAGGCTGCTGAAGATGTTGGGCAGCGAGAAGGTGCCCTGGTGACCTTCCTGAGGGAGGTCGTCGTTGACCCCCGGTCCTTCCTTAGGGCGGTTGGGGGAGCTGAGGGGGCGTGGCCAGTGGAGGCGGCGGGCGGCGACGGCCAGGAGGAGGCCCTGCTCGACGGCCGCCCGCACCACCTGCCGACCCAGCTGACCCCACATGCCCTCCTCGCTGACCTCCTTGGTCCGAGCCGCCGCCGAAGACCCCTCGGCGGTGTTCGTGTACCTCCTGCAATCAACAATCCAAGGTTAACAACAACAGAAGAAGTGGTCCGCAAATGGAATTTAGCGAAATATTCGATCAAATTTCAATTCTGGACCGATTTTTATGAAGCTTAAAACGTCATTAGGGTGGTCCACAATTGAAATCGTACCATACTATCATGTTAAAATTGAATCCTGCCAGAAATTTTACATTTCGAATGAATTATGGAAGTGTCCGTAAGTGTAAATTAACCTTTAAACGTATCATGATGACGCTCATATTACAATTATGGCCCAATCAACCATAAGAAATCAACTCAAAGGTAATCACGTTGGATAATAATTGTAAATTGACCAACAAATATCCAAGTTTTCAATACAAATGCATTAATCGCATATTTAAGTGGGCCACAATTGTGACTTTACCGTCAAAATTGGTTCCTTTTGAGTTTTAATACGAGTCGAAGAGGAAGAAGGACTCGAGGCGACCCTTCCAGCTCATTCCAAGTAAAAAATTAACCCTCGCGTCGGAGGAAGAGCCGAACTTGCGACCACAGCTGATTCAGAAAACATACATCGAACGACGCGTGACGTCAGCGCTTAGTTCGAAATTCCGCCACCAACGCTGCGAACGGACACAAGGGAAGCGCTGTGGTCGCCTCTCGTGAATCAAAAATCAAAGTGCTTTTCGAAATTCGCGATTTGGAAAAAAATTATTTTTCTGCATTTAATCCGAAAGAGGAAGATTCGTTTTCTAGAAAGGTTTTTACAAAATGCCATGGAACCGAATAATTTTGGAAGGAAAATTAATGTAAAAGTAGGATTTCTTTCCATAGAGTTTTAATTAAAATTTGGGAAAATAATGTAAAAATATTGATGACTATAAGAGTTTTTTACGTTATTAGAAAGATCTGGGCATGAAAAATTTATTTGAGGCAAAAAAACTTTGAGGTTACCGTACGATTTGTGTTAATAATATTTAAATTGTCCTTTTTCCCAATATTTATTTAAAATTTTAACTTAACAAGTCTGTTTTTTATATATGTTGAAAAAGTCCCTTTTTTTAGAACTTGATTTTGTTGAGGGTTAATAAAGTTATAACAATTTGAATAATTTTAAAATACACAATTATACATGATTTATTTTTATTGCTTATTACTGATTTAGAAATGAAGCAAAATAAAATAGTCGTTTTAAATACAGACATTCTTTTAATTTATTAATTCCGAATTAAGATATATTTTAATTTTGAAATAATTATTTGAAAAATAATGTAATTTTGAATTTACGTTTCAACAAGAATTACCAATATTAGAAAATAATATTGAATTGAATTAGAAGGCTTTTTTCATTTAGTGATATGACGATTATAAAAAAAGCACTTATTAAGATTTTTCTACTTAAAAGTGGAATTTTAATATTCACGATATTCTAATTCGTTTTCAGAGATTCTAAGAAAAAAAAGAATGGTGAAAAGTTGGTATTTTTTTTTAAATACCTGATTGAATAAGATTTTGCGCATCTGTGGAGTTTGTTGAGTTTGTTGGCCGCTGCGCTCATTGCGTTATAAATTATTGCAAAAGCCTTTTTCTTTTATAGTTAAAATAAATGAGAGGAATAATTACGACGCACTAGTTGCGAAACGCGGCGAAGACGATTCGCGACTGGCCATGATTTTGGCAAAAACAAAATAAGTGCGTGAAAAATAAGGAACGACGCAGTTCTGGCCGCAGCCTTGGCCCACCGACGAGCCCCTCCGACTAACTTTTTGCACTCGCAGACCGACTCACCGAGTGACGTCACCGCGTGGTCTGATTCTGAGGAGGGACGAATATATCCGATTAGCTCTCGCGTGCCTTTCACTCTATCTTTTTTACACGTGCGGCCAACAACAAGTGCGACTTTGCTTTAATGAAACTAAAATAGATGAAAGATTTTTGTGCAATTTAAAAATTAATTGATTTGTTTGATCACGCATATTTACTTACTGTATACAATTATGACTCAAACTTAGCTTGGCATATTTTACACATATTGTTTGCCTTTTTCTTTACCGAAGAAGTATATTTTTAGATTAATCATTTCAAAAGCAAGATATGTATTATAATTTAATATAATGATTTTCTTCAATTTTTGTTAATAATATTTTCTTTTGTGCCAAAAAGTCTTGGAAAAAATTGAGTTTAAAAAAGGAAATTTGAATAATATTCAAATTTACCTATTAAACTATTTCTAGTTAAATTTCAAGTAAAAAATAAAATTATAAAAAAAGATTTAACCCCAATATTATCAAGAAACCTGGATTGTGAGACGCACACACAAATTTCTAGCTAAAATTTTAAATCAAGTAGTTGAAGTACATTATTTGTTTGTAGCGGTTTGTAGATTTCGTTATTTTATTACTTAATTTAAAAAAAAAATGATCAAGCGGTTTAAATTTTTTTCAACAGATAAAATTCTTGGTCGCATGCACGCGGATGAAAAAAAGGAGTCTGTATAAAATAAACTTGCCTGCCAAAATTAAAACTCAAAGGTAGTGTCTTGTCCAACTCTCACTTGGTTTAAAATTGACCTTGGCAATGTTGTGATGGATGGAATATTTTGAAATCTACATTAACGCATCCTCTTTAATTTCCCTTTTCCCCCCCAAACAAAGGAAATGCACATCCAAAATTTTAATCTGAATAGGGAATAAATCAATTTTCTCTAAATTAATTATAATAATAAGTCAAGTGCAATTCGCAGGAGAAATGCAAACTCACAATCAGTCATGAAAAAATGATAGCTGTATAACTATACAATCTTATCTATCTTAATTTCTAGATTTGGGATTACTTGATTTAATTTTTGTAAATAAATAAATAATCTAGATTGGTTAATTAATAACAATTAAAACAAAATCCACCCCATGTTAGCAATTTTCTTCATCCTGAAATGCTTAAATTTACATAATAAAATTGCAAGAAATTAAAAGTCAAAACTTAATTCCAAACATGATAATGGGAAACAACAATTAATACCCTATAAAGACGTTAAAATGAGCTTTAAAAGGAATAGGGTGTCCATGGCAACGGCGGCGTGTTAGGGGTGCGTCGAGGGTTTGTTTTCGGATCAAAGGGATGGAGTCGGCAGAGTGGCTGCGGGGGCGCGTGGAGGCCTTGGCCGAAGCCCCCCTTCCCCCTCAGGGCTCACCCTTTCCTCCGAATGACGCCACCCTGACGCAGGTCGCCCGCTTCGTCAAAACCTTTCGCTCGCCCCTGGCAAAACCACCCTCGCCCAAACAGCAACACCCTCTCAACGAACAGCAAGCCGGTGTTAACTTTTGAGATCTAATTTCTAATTAGCATTTGATTAGTATTTTTTAAATTTCTCAGGATGAATCTTATTTATTCATTTTGAAATTGGTACTTCTTAATTGTCAAATAAGTTGAACTTTTCATATCTTTAAGTCTTGCGAAAACTTCATACCGGATTTTTTTATTCACATTATTAAAAATTTGTATTTTTTTTTAAGGTGACAGTTGGGAGTAAAAGTTTCCTTTGTGTAATTAGTTAATTAATTAAACCTTTTACGTCATTTAAATAAATTAACGTTTAGCCGAGTTTGGATTTTTTATTAATTATTATATTTACATTAATTACCTAATTAATAATGTGTTTATTTCAGGTGGAGGCAAAGGAGATGCAGAAGGGAATCAGGGTGGGACCTTTTCCTCGGCGGACGAGTGCGAAGAGGCCAAGGCGGCGACCTCTGCTGAGAAGGCGAAACCCGCGAAAAAGGTTGGCAGGGCGTCAGCGGAGGTCAAGGCCAAGGGCAGGGTCACCAACAAAGGACGCAAGAGTCCCTCCACAGGTCACTGCCACCCACCTTTGATCTTCCTCTCCTCTTTTAACCTTTAGTCTTTGCTGCAGTCGTGGAGACCCTGACCGACGAGGCTCCCGAGGCCAAGGACCTTCAGCCCTCTTCCTGCAGCCCTGAGCCCCTTGAGGACCCTGAAGATCAGCTGGTTTTAATTTTTTTAAGATAAAAAAAACCTAGAAATTAAATTGATCTCAAAGTTGGAGCCGGAGTTGGAGTGCGAGTTTGGCCGACTCGGCGACTTTGCTCAGGTGGAAGGACCGGCGACCTTTGTCTGCAAACGACCTGACCACCACTACGCCATCATCACCTTTTCTGGCTCTCCTCTCGCCGCTTTTTCAGAGTTTTTAAATAAGGTTTATTTTCAATTATTGAATTTTTTCAAATTTTGAAAATTTTGAAATTGGCAGGTTGATGCAGCACCCCTTTTTGCCCATAAAGAGACTTTCCTCGGCTTTCGACCTGAACTTGAGTTGGCTCAGGGTAGAGGCATCACGAAGGAACTCATTTGCGTCCTGCAAGACCTGACCCAAAGGTGCAACTTTTATTACTAGAAAGGTTATTTTTAATAACGGAGAACCTTTCGCAGTTTGACGCAGTATAAGAGGAAGGTCATCGAACTGGAAGGGCCTTTGAAAGGTGACCTGATTACCTTGACGCAGACTCACCTTGACTCCATATTGAAGGTAACAATATGAGAACTAATTCTATTCAAAATTATTTAGTAACTCTTCTCAGGTTCATCTCACAGACGAGAAACCTTCGTGTGAACGCGAGTTTTGGCGCGTCAGGGAGGAGGACTTGTCTGCCCTGAGAAGCGCCCTCGACGTGCACCCTGAGGACGAGTGGAAGAAGAACGTGGAGCTCCAAAGGTTGGTGGGTGGCGTCGACGCCCTCCTGCTAGAGGCCAGGGCCATTTCGCAGACCCTGGACCGTGTGCGCCGCCACTTCCAGGTCAGACCATCGAAGGTGACACCAACCTGAGTTATAAAAATTCTTTTGGCGAATCAGGAGCTGGAGGAGTGCGAAAGCGTGGATGAGGCCGACAGGGTGCTGCCCGACCTGACGGAAGGTCTCAGGTGGCTGTGGGTGTTGTGCCTGCCCTTTTACCAGGATGAACGCATGGAGCGCCTCCTGCACGCCGTCGCCGCCCTCATTGCCACCAAACTCTCACATATCCTGAGTCTGGACAACCTTTTCAGGTAAAAAATTTATAAATCTCTTTAATGATTATTTAATTACCCTTTAGCTTGAAAATTCATACTTTCTCTTGTATTTAATTATGTATTTCTCCTTGAAATCCACCTTCAGGGTTTATGTTCCTTCCGCAACCAATTATTCCTTCTCCTCTTGCCCCTTTTGTACTTCTCCCCACCTAAAAATATTTTGTTTTCAAACTGCGTCGCTGTTGTTGCAAAAGGGATGGCCCTGAGGCTGCGATGGGAAAAGCAAAAGCGGCGGCAGACCTTTTGAGGCGGTGGAAGGAACACTACCTGCGCCTGCGCGGTGCCATCGAGAGGGCCGAGCACACGCCCCGCTGGGACTTTGATCTTTGCGAGCTGTTCGCCCACACCGACTACATCACCAGGGTCTGCCTCGACATCGTCCAAGTTTGCCAGGTTCATTTTCTCCTTTAAAAATGATATCACTTTCATTGCGTACACAGATTCAAATATTGAAACGATCAAAACAATATTTTTTTTTTGAAAATCATTGCAAAAGGGTTGTTAAGTTGGTTCAAATTATCCATAATCCATATTACATTTTACAAATTTTATAGAATATTTGGAATGAATTTTTAAGAACAATCCTTCATAATGATAAAAATTGTACTAAATTATAAATAAATTCACTTTCATAATAGTTCGTTTGATTAATTTTGCATAAATGTTTGATATAATAAATAGATTGCATAATAAAAGCAAGAAACATGAACAAGATAAGGTGTCGAAAAATAATTATTAGATTTGGGTAATTTTCTAAAACGCAATTCCACCAAATTTTTGAAAGCAATCATTTGAAAAGTTTCATATCTTTGTGTTGTCATTCAACTGAAAGGAAATTTGGCTCTTGAATTTTCGTTGGAATTTTTATTTCAAATTTTGCGCAGACCCTGTTGGAGTTGAGGGCGGTGCTCAACTCGGAGCTGAAGGCGGTGGTGCGGGGGCGGCAGGCGGAGGTGGACGCGTTTCTGAAGGCGGAGGCGGCGCTGTTGGCACCCCTGCAGGACGCCGACTATGAGGCGTTCGTCGCGTCAAACGCAGACAGTTGGCGTTCCTTCGTCGTGCACTTCCGCAAAAACGCCGACAACCTCGACCGAGCCGTCGCCACCTTCTTGGACGACGCCATCGCTCAGGGTCAAGTCAGGTACAAAATAAATACTCCCTCTTATATAAACTTCAATATTTATAAAGTTAACTATTGAGACAAACTTTTATAATCTTGAAAATACTTTTATAAAAATTCTTCATGATTTTTACATGCAATTTTTGTTGATAAATACTTAAAATTGTGCAATTTTTTAAAGGTTTAAAAGAGGTTCTTATTAGGGTTTTCAATATATCAGAATAAAACTGCATAAAAATTGTACTAAAAGTTTTAAAACTCCAGTAATTCCTTAAAATAGTTTTAGGCCTGAATTTGTATAAAATCCCATCAATAGAGAACTCAAAAATGACCCTGACAGTCAGTTTTCATATAAAACTGATCCTTTGAACTTTGAAGTAAAATTTTTTCAGAAATTTATAAGTTAAAATTGATAAAAATTTGTTCCCAGTTTGTCGGAAGAGGTGCTGACGCTGTTGGTGCGTTTCGGTTGTACGCAGACGCGTCCGCTGGTGCGCGAGGTGGTGCGCGGAAAAGTGGGCGTGGCCGTGGGGCAGCTGCGCTCGGAGGTGGGGGAGGGGAGGCGTCTTTTCCAGGGTGACGTGCGGTCGACGCTGCGGCGCCAGGCGAGCGGTGTCGGCGCCGTGTGGTGGGCGCGGCGCCTCTTCCTCTCCCTCAAACGCAGCGTCGTCCACTTCCGGAGGCTGCTGCCCCCGGAGGCGGCCCCGGAGGCGGCCCTCGAGGAGTACCGCTTGCTCGTGAGGCAGGTCAGGGCGTTCGAGGCCGAACGCTTTGCAGCGTGGAGCGCAGACGCGGAGGACGTCGTCCGCAGCACCCTCAACTCGAGCGTCGTCAGGGTCGTCACCACCAAAGATGACCTTCGGCGAAGGCAAGGTCAGTAAAAATTTACTTTCAATAATCACCACTGCTGGTTGCAAACTCTGGTGTTTGTGAAATTAAATACTTAAATGTATTTATTTAAATTAATTGATAATTATCATTCTTTCGTCAATTTCTCTAAATTTTTATTCACTTAATTTGCAGAATAAAATTTTTATTTGCTATTTAAATCAAGCTTAACCCCATTGAAAGAACAAAAAGAAGCGAACTGACCCCAAAATGTAGAAATTCATTTTTGTTATAGACAATGAGTCTGCCAATAACAATGGGGCTATATTTCTTAAATTTTACTTTCCTAGGACAGCTGTTTTAATTTTTCAATAATTCCTGCCTTAAATAGTTTGGGGTCAGTTTTCCCAGGGCTGATATTTTAATTCTTCAATGAAGTCAAACACCAGTTTTACTTTTCTCACGGAATCTATTTTCACTTTTAAATTTAATTTAATTCAAAAATTTTATCATTTAGAAAACGTATTATTTTCATAACGCAACTTAAAAATTATGGTGGATTTTCTTTAGCAAAATTTTCAATTGTTTTAAAAATTAAATCAACGTTTTCAATTCTACATCAATTCGATTTCATGTAGTTCAGATAAGTGAAGGGAATAAAAAAGAAAAGATGGTATGCAACGGCTTAAACACGCGTGCCCGGCAGTTTGCATACCTTCAATGTTTTAAGGGTGAAATGTTTCTACGTTTTTAAATAAACGGACTAAATGATGGGAATTTTAAGTATAAATGCGCAAAATAAATTATCTTCTCTTGAAAAATTTAATTGTTTAGGACGTATTAAAAAAAAAACATTTGCAACAATGGTGCTTAAAATTTAAAATTTTTTGTTATGAGCAATAATCGCAAAAAAACTGATCCTATTGTTGTTAAGATTTTTGCTTTGACTATAATTCCAGTAACGCGAATATTAGTTTAATTTCAAATTTGAAACTGCTCGAATCGAATTTCAGGCGGCGCCGAGCGTCGGCTGGGCAGTCTTTTGTCCTCGCAGTCTGAGGTGGTGGGGGGCGTGGCCTCGGAGGCGTCGTCGCGGCTCCTTCTGCGGCCGCTGCTGGCCTCGCTGCGGTGGGTGGCGAGGGCCGTGGCCGCCCGCAAGGCCTCCGTGGCCGCCCGGCTGCCCCGCCTGGGCCCGGAGGCGGCCGACGCCTCCGCCCCCACCCTCGGCCTCCGCTTCGAGGTGGCCTTCGACGACCGCCTCCTCCGAACCCTCGCAGAGGCCAACGACCTTGAGGACCTGGGATTCGCCCTGCCCACCTCAGTCAGGGTCGCCGCTGACCACGCCCACTTCTACCAAACCACCGTCACCAAAATCAGGTGCGTGAAAAATTAAAATTTTAATTGAGCGTTTTATCTTTTTATCTTTTATTCAATGTGTTTAAATTTGCCCGAAATTATTATTCAATTTATAATTTAATACTTTTAAATAATAATAGAAAGGATTTTAAATGAACAAATTGACGCTAAAAGTATTATAATATGATAATTATATTTATATATTTGCACTAACTTGGAATTCTCCGAAATTGTATAAAAAAAACCTTTAAGTTTTCAGCTTATTATTACCTTTTTATGAGAGGCAATTATTTTTGAATCAATATTGAAAGATGAAAAATTAGAATAAAATTATTGTGAGATAAAATTTGGAGGCAGAGAAATTTAGTGGGATTTTGATAATTTTGAATACATTAATTGTAATTCTTCTTTTTGGGAGTTTTAATGTGAAGACATTTAAAGAAAATATGATTAAAAATATAATTTTCAAAATTTACCAAAATTGTGTGTAACATTTACTCAAAGTTATTACTGATTGGGAAGCTTGTATGATAAATCTGTAACAAAATTATTAACATTTGCAAACTTATTGCTTTTTCTTTCCTCTTGACAAAAATGATCGAAATCAATCAAGGACAGAGACCGTTTTCTTCACTTGATCAAAAATGTTTAAATCATATTAATAGAGTTTCAAAAGAACTCATAAATCAAACAATTTCTTAAACTTTTGCACAGTTTTTAAATTTTCTTTGTATCGGATTTTCATGATTTTTTTCAAAAAGAAAATCTAAATGACATTAAAATCCCATTAAAATTTATACTATTTATAGCAAAAATTTGATGAAAATTTAAGAATATCCAAAAGTCCAAGCTAAACTTTTTAAACTCTGCACGGAAATTGAGAATTTAACCGTTTTGCATTTTTATTTTCCAGAGAAAGCATTTGTCGGCTCAACGGAATGGTTGGTTCGCTGAGCGCGGCCGAGGTGGCGTTGCTGCAGTTGCCGTTGAAGAGGGTTGAGCGTCGCGTGTTGCCCGGCGTGGAGCGCGTGCGTTGGGCGTCGCAGAGCGTGGCCGAGTTCGGCGCCACCGTCGACGCCGCCGTTGACTCGTTCGAGGCGGCGCTGCTGCACGCAAGACTCGCCGCCGCCAAGGCCGACGCCCTCGTCGGCGCCGTCCACTCACGCAACCTCCTCCACGCCCCCTCCACGCACGCCCTCCCCTGGATGGTTAGTGATTCTTCAACCCCCCACCTTTTTCCAAACAATTTCTATTAATAATTTTAACTTATTATTTCTAAGACTTTCAACAAGAATGATTTTTTCCAGAAAATCTTTTCTCCTGAAACTGCATTTTAACATTTCAAAGATTTCTCAATATTTTTAAGTCAAATTAAGTTGCAGAGAATAGAATTTTCCTGGCTCAACATAAATATTTTGAATCTATTTGCTAATTTTTTAGGACTTCTTCGAGCAAGTTCGTCTGAATCAAGAGTTGAGCGTGGCCGAGATGCAGACGGCCTTCCAGGGTTTGTCCCAGGTTCTGATGGACCTGGAGTACCAGCTGGACGGCACCCGCTCAGGTGGCAAGGCGTGCATGCGCAGCTACTACATCCACTGGGAGCAGATCTTCTTCGAGGCCCTCCTCAGGTTCGTTTGATATTTTTCACCTTTTTGCCAAAATTGAAAATTTTCCCCTCTCAGGGCGATCGTGGGCAGTCTGAGGACCTTCAGCGAGTTGTTGCGGGGTGGGGAGGGCACGTTGCTGCAGGTGGACGCCCTTTTGGATCCTGAGGGCCTTCTTCAGTTGGACCCCAAGCCCTCCGAAGCCCTCGAGACGCTCCTCGGGGCCGTGGAAAGGGTGGTCGCGACTGCAGACGCCTTCCCCAGGTGGGAAGACGGCACCTGCCTCCCCTCCCGCGCCTTCACCTTTCGCAGGGATGTTGAAAAAATCGCCAAAGTGGCGCTCGAAGCCGCTGACCTCAAGGACGCGGCCCAACAGCTCATCCAGAAGGTCGAATCTGAACTCTACAAGTGAGTTTTTCTGACGAGACAGAACCGATTTCACCAAATGTGGTAAAATTGACTTCATAAGCAAAGATAATTATCTTGAAAAAGGGGAGGGGTGGTAAGAAAAGAGAGGGGAGGGGAAGACACAGTAAAGTTGGAATACCTGAATTGTTTCATATATTTTTTTTAAATATTATGCAAAGGAAACAAAATGACCTTTTAACTGAAATTTTAGATTAATAATTTTTAGCCTGAAAAATTTTGAAAATTTGTTTTCGTTTTTAGGTGGAATCGTTTTTCGCACCTGTGGCGTCACGACAAGGCGGCCACGGTGGCCGCGTTCGCGTCGCGGCGGCCGTCGATCGTGCAGCTGGAGGGGAAGCTGGAGTACTTTTCGCGGCTGGAGCAGCGGGTGGAAGGGTTGCAAGGGTGGGTGGGGGTGGGATGCGTGCGGCTGCGAGTGGCGCCGCTGCTCGGCCGGATCGCGAAGCACGCGGCCGAGTGGAAGTGGCAGTTGGCGCAGGGCGTGCTGGCCGCCTCGAGGCGCGACGCGGCCGCCTTCCTGGCCGCCACCTGGGCCCTGCGCGCCGACCTGCAGCAGGACGACGCCCTGGACACCGTCCTCGCCACCATCGTGGCCGTCCGCGCCCAAAACGCAGACCGACACGTCCACGCACACCTCCTCGCCCACAACTTCCACACCCTCGCGGCGCACAATGTCGAGGTCAGTCACCCCCACTTGAATATTTGAGTTGACATGCAGTTAAAAAGTGTAGTTTTGGTTCCTCTGAAGTGAGAACTAAATTTATTTTACTGATTTTAGAAATTTTATAAACTTTTCATTGAACCGCAAAAACACTGAAACTCATTTAATATAATATTTCTGTGAGATAAAAGAATTGGTTTTAACAAAAGAAAAAATCGAACGCTATATTTTGGAGATTAAAAATTGAAGTTGGAAATGAAAATCCTAAAATTTATTGTGATAAATACAAGGTTTTAATATATTCTAAGCACATTAAATTCATTCAATCGAAAAATGGTTTTATAAAAAAAAATAAAAAAAATAATAATAAAAAAACAGCATCAAGTGTATTCAAATGATTCTTGTTGGCCAAATTAAGTTAATATTTAACGGCGTTTTTAAATCCTAACCTGGCTCAGGTGAACTTTTCCAACACGAACGGGATAAATTGAGCCAGTTTGGACTTTTAAATTTTTTTTATTATTTTTGAAAAAAATTTTTCACCATTTGATATAATTAAAAAGAAAAAAAATTTTTCTTCAGGTGGAAAAGCGCGACCTGGAGTTGTCCCTGGCGTTGTGGCCGCAGTGGCAGGAGGTGTTGGCCCTGTCCAAGGCGGCCGCTCGCCGGCACGCGGCCAAACTGGGCGAACGGGCCGAGGCGACGCGCGTGGCCGCCGCCGAGCTGGACCGACGCTGCCTCGACCTGGCGCTCAGGTTCGCCGCCCTGGAAAGCGCCTGCGGAGACCTGGGCCAGGGTCAGGCGCTGCTGGACGAGTTGGGCCGCGACCTGAGTTCCCTGAGTGAGGAGAAGCGACGCCTCGCCACCGACGCCTTCCTCTTCGACGTGCCCCTGCCCCCTCAAGACCCCCTCGCCCCCCTCCACACGCAACTCCACCACCTGCAGCTCATCTTCGACCTCTTCGCGCAACTCAGGGTGAGGCTGTTTCAGTTGTTGTCGGTATAACGAAATTAGTTTATTTTATTCGCCCAATTCTTTATATTTAAAGGCCAAGAATGAGTTTAAATTGACTCGCAACTTTTGATTACCTGAAAAAAAAATGAAATTTCTAAATATCTTTGAATTAGACGAAAAATTAAAGTATCCAAAAAACGCACCTGAAAAAGTTTTTATGCAACTGTTTCAACACACGTGCCCGGCGGGTTGCATAACTTCTATATTCAAAGGAGACGCTGTTTTTGTGTTGTTTTTAATTCAATCCACAGACCAAATGCTCGAATTTTGAGTGAAAAGGGCACAAAAACTCATGAATTTGTTCAGTTTCAAAAAATTTATTGTTGAAGACTATTTACAAAGAGTAAAATCAAGTCTTGTCAACAATTCTGGATACAATTTTTAATTGTTGAACTTAAATTGCTCCTAATATTCCAAAACCTGATTACAGCCTCTACAAAACAGTTTTCTAAGGTCACAGGTCAATGACCTGGCTTTAAAAATGAAGAGGTTTTCAAAATACCAGAAGAACTTTAATACTTTGACATCTTGTGAATAGAAATAATTTGTTATAAATCATTACTTAGGAATTCAAAAGTTATGAATCATTGAAGGTAGAAAAAAAATACATTTTTTTCCAATCTTCCATTTTACTTTGCCACCCTTTCAAGAAGAAATTATTTTGAGACGTTAATTCACAATTGCTCAAACACTCTGGTAACTGAATCGATTTCACACTTGATCAGTATCTCATCAAATAAATCACATTAATTTTTCTTCTCTCTGTGCTTGTGTTTTGTATTTTATTTTGTGAATTTTTTTTAACCACCACCAACCCATAAACCGTTAAGGAAACTTTTGAAAATGAGTGCTGAAAAACTGTTATAAATAATTCAAATGTTACTAATAAATTCAGCAAATTACTTTTCATCCCTTTTCATTGCACAAATTTATTAATTTTTACGAGTCTAGTTTGCTAAATCATATTTTAATATAAATTTAAGCAATATTTCATCAGAGAAAATATAAATGAAATAAAACTTAATTGGTCTTGACGAAATCTGCGTGTCGTATAATTATTTGATGTACCTTTGACCTTTCTTTACCGAAACTGTTTTGCTCCTAGATTGATCGATTGATGTCTTTTTTTTATTGATTTTGAAATTTCAGAACACGGAGGCCAAGTGGTCGTCGACCCTGTGGGTGGACGTGGTGTCGGGGTCGCTTTCGAGCAGCGTGGAGGGTCTGGCGGCCGAATTCGGCCGCCTGCCGGAGGCGGCCAAGGGCCTGTGGGCGGCCGGTCGGCTGGAGGCCGAGTTGGAGGGGCTGCGACGCGACGTCCCTCTGGTGGAGGCGCTGAAAAGCGAGGCACTGCGCGAGCGCCACTGGCTGCGGCTGCAGCCGACCAAGGGGAGTGAGTTGCGGCTGCGCGACCTGCTGCGTCTGCGGCTGCACGAGCGGCGGGACGAGGCTCTGGCCCTGCTGCACCAGGCCCAACAGGAGCTGCAGCTCGAAAGGGCCCTCGAGCGCCTGCATGCCCAGTGGCAACTCCTCGACTTCCGGGTCACCCCCACCGACCCCCCTACCCTTCAGGACACCTTCGAACGCACCCTCTGCACCGTCCACGCCCATCAAATGCAACTTGCCACTTTACTCGACTCACGGTAAGCTTTTTTGATATTAAATTAAAAGTGATTTTTTTTTTTTTTATCTTTGCAACATTTTTAAATTTTAAAAAGTTTTATTCTTTCTAAGATCATCGTAAGATTTAAGGTGGAGATTGGTAATTGAAATAAAAAATTAATCTGACACAAAAGAATTTGATTCAACGTACAAGAAAAATCGCGTCCAGCGCAAATCTTGAAAGCACATCTAATGTTTTTTTTATTTCACGAGTGTTATTTTTAATATTATTTCAGGTTTGTGGAACCGTTTCTGGATAAGGTTCGCGCCTGGGAAGAGAAACTATCGATTGTGGAGGAATGTGTCACGTTATGGTCCATGGTGAGCCAAAATTTACATGATATAAAGTCAATTTATGCATAATCTTGCAAGATTGGAAAAATTATTTGCTTTTGTTTAAAATTTACAAAAGACATTTCCATGCGGAATTCTAAAGCATATTTTTAAGAAATTATAATTCCAGCACTGAAAGGATTTTCCATCCAAGTGTTTCGATCATGAAAATGAACGTTACTTTACAGATTATTATTAATTATGTATTTTAATTTGAAAAAAAAATCACAATTTGGACTGTTTTGATCGGTTTTGAAAGATTTTTACGAATGTTCGTCTCATTTATGACACTTTAAAATTTTAAGAATTTAAATTTGCAGATCAGCAATTTGTGGACTGAGGTGTGGTCGTTGTTTGGGGTGCGGGAGGCGGACGTGCCCCCGGAGGCGGCGGAGGCGTTCGGCGCCACCCGGAAGGTGTACCTGGCGCTGGTGGGGGAGGCGGGGAAAAGTCCTCAGGTGTTGGCCACGTGCGCCGCCCCCGGCTACGCGAAACGCCTGCGATCCTTGCTGGCGGCCCTGGAGGCGGACGCCGCCTCCTTCCGCCGCCTCCTCGCCGCCCACAGACAAAACCTGCCTCGCCTCCACTTCGTCCCTGACCGCCAGCTCGTCGCCCTTCTCGCAGCCCCCCTCCCCCTCTGCTTCCAACGCATCCTCGGAAAGGTGAAGAATTTTCAAAATTTGCAAAATCAAAATTCAGGAAAACATGAACAAGAAAATGTAAGGTTGGAAAAATAATTTTAATTTGGTTATTTTCAAAAAAAAATATATATATTTTTTTAAATTTTATCTCAAAGCCTGAAATTTGATGTAACTTGAAAACAGATTTTTCCAGAAGCGTTTTTCTTAAAACTTTGAACACTGACCAAAAATTTTCTGGCTATATAAATTTTCCTTTTGATGAATAATTTCAATTACTGATGATGACCCTGAGCACTAACCAAACTTTTGCTTCTGATTTTTTTTTCCTTTTTAGAAAAGCAACGCGTACCCGCACATTTCGAGGGTTGAAATGGAAGGCGATTCGGCCGAAGGGTGGACCCTGACAGGGTTCACGTCGATCGAGGGCGAGCTGGTTCCCTTCGAGCGCCCTTTCAAGGTGGACCCTGAGGCAGGGCGCGCCTTTCTCCTATCGCGTCTCGACGAGGCGATCAAGGCGGCCGTGGCCGCCTCTGTGGCCAGGTCTGTGGCCGCCCCCGCAGGAGACGTCGTGGGGGTGGTGGAGGGGGCGGCGGCCACTTTGTGGCAACCAGCCCTGGACGTCGCGTGGACCGAGCAGGTGGAGGGGAGTCTGCGAAAGGGCGTGGCCCCGAGCTGTGCGCCGTTCGACGCCGCCCTGGCCGCCGTCGTCGACGCCCTGAGAGGCCAACGGCCACGCGTGCAGGCGGCCAAGCTGGCGGCGGCCGTGGTGTTGTTGGCGCACCACCGCAGCGTGGTTGAGAGGCTCGTGGCCGCCGCCGCCGCCCACCCTGATCACTTCCTGTGGCACACCCAGCTCAGGTTCTACTCCTCGCCTCCCCAACCCCTTCAGGTACGCCAGGCCTTCGCCCAACTCGACTACGGATACGAGTTCTCAGGTAAAAACCTCTCATCATTCTCACATGCATTAATGATTTCAAGTAAATATTATGAAAAGTTATCGATTATTATAGATTAATTAAAATTAATTACCAATTATCTTTTCAACTTTTTTGTAAAATATCATTAAAAATAACATGCTTCTTTATTATTACAATTCATCTTATCGATACAATTTTAAGAGCGTCCAAAAAGGCATTTGCTAGAATATAATCAAAATATTTATAAATTATGTAATTTTAGCATTCATTTTCTTTAGTTTCCCAAAGTGTGCCATTCGTTCTGCAAGTGTAATTTATAACTAAATCATTTTAGATTTGAAAAGTTAAAACCCAAATTTAATATGAATATGATGAAAAAAATACCTTTTTGAATTTGTGTGTGAGGCGAATCTTAAAAATTATAATTTTTAATATTTATGGTGCAAATTATAAGGATGAAAATAGTGAAAAAATAAAATCAATATAACTTTCCAAATTGTATAACTACGGTTTTCTGGGAAATTAAATGGAAAGGTAGAATTATTTATATATAGATATATATTTTTTTTTTAAATCTGAATTTTATACTTACATGTTTTAATCATTAAAAACACGTAGTGTAAGTTTAAGTAATAAGTTTAAACATCAACATTTTGGTAATTTTCCCTTATCAAAAAGCTAGTTATAAGTTATAAATGGTAATTATTAATAATTTTAACTTTCGATTAATATTTGCAGGAATCGGCGGACAAATTGTCCGAACTTTGGCGAGTGAGAGGGCGACGCTGGCGTCGACGCAGGCGCTGAGCCTCAAGTGCGACGTGTTGTTGCGGGGGTGGGGGAAGGCGAGCGTGGTGCGCGACCTGGCCAAGAGCGTGGGTCGGCGCCTGGTGGAGACGCACTGCGGAGGGGGCGGAAGCCAGGTGGGGCGGTTGCTGGTGGGGGTGGCGCAGACCGGCTTCTGGGGGTGTTTGGGGCGGCTCGAGGCCCTTGACCCCTCAGCCCTGTCGCTGCTCGCGGCGCGCCTGCGCACCCTCAGGGCAGCGCGCCTCCTCGCCCTCCCCTCCTTCGCCCTCGACGCAGCCACCCCCGAGCTTCGTCTGCACCCTGCCGGGGCGATTTTCGCCACCGCGGCTTCCAAGCCCCACCGCAAACAACTTCCCCTCACCCTCACCGCCCTCTTCAGACCCGCCGCCTGCGCCCAACCCGACCTTCTCGCCGTCTGCGCCGTCAACCTTCAGGCCATCACCTTCAAGAACTACAAGGTACAAAAACCCTTCATTTCACACCCCTATAATTTAACCTCCCTTCATTTAAAAGAACTTTAAAACAAAGTAAAATGTCTGGTTGGGAATTTCACCATGCTTAGAAACACTTTTAAGTTGGATTTTTACTAAATAAGTTTGCAGTGTGATCACACATTTCTCACAAAATCGGGCTTTCAAGCTATACCGGATCATATTTGCGAGTTTTGAAAAATTCTAGCTCCACCATAATTTTAATTATCTATCCCATAGAACTGGTGCAGAACCTTCTGCACCTGTCCTGCACCAATTCTGCACCACTACTGCAAATGTCGTGACTTTAAATAAGTTAGGGATGATCTCTAAGAAATTTTTAAAAATTAGCCCTATGCGATTGTTTCAATTTTATGACTAGTGCAAAACTGGTTCAAAACCGGTGCCAAACTGGTGTAGAACTGGTGCAGAACCTTCTGCACCTGTCCTGCACCAATTCTGCACCAGTTATGCACCAATTCTGCACCAATTCTGCACCACTACTGCAAATGTCGTGACTTTAAATAAGTTAAGGATGATCTCTAAGAAATTTTTAAAAATTAGCCCTATCCTATAAATTCAATTTTATGACTAGTGCAAAACTGGTTCAAAAACAGTGCCAAACTGGTATAGAACTGGTGCAGAACCTTCTGCACCTGTCCTGCACCAATTCTGCACCAGTTATGCACCAATTCTGCACCACTACTGCAAATGTCGGGACTTTAATTAAGTTAAGGATGATGTCAAAGAAATTTTAAAAATAAGCCCTATCCAATTAATTCAATTTTATGACTAGTGCAGAACTGGTTCAAAACCGGTGCCAAACAGGTGTAGAACTGGTGCAGAACCTTCTGCACCTGTCCTGCACCAATTCTGCACAAGTTATGCACCACTACTGCAAATGTCGTGACTTTAAATAAGTGAAGGATGATCTCTAAAAAATAATTTAAAAATAGCCCTATTCCATTGGTTTAAATTTATGACTTGTGCAAAACTGGTACAAAACCGGTGCCAAACTGGTGTAGAACTAGTGCAGAACCTTCTGCACCTGTCCTGCACCAATTCTGCACCAATTCTGCACCACTACTGCAAATGTCGTGACTTTAAATAAGTGAAGGATGATCTCTAAGAAATTTTTTAAAAATAGCCCTATCCGATTGTTTCAATTTGATGACTTGTGCAAAACTGGTTCAAAACCGGTGCCAAACTGGTGTTAATGAGAATGTTCTTTTTTTTACTATTTCAGAAACTCTCACGCAAGATGACCAAGATTTTGGAGTTGAGTCGAGACCGTTTGTCGAGTCAAACTCACTACGAGTTTGGCGTCAGTTTTGCGAACGTGACCTTTGACTTTTTGAGAGCTTCTTTGACAAACAGGAAGGTTGAAGAAGCGGAAGAGGAGGAGCTTCTGGCCATGGCCCTCCGTAAAAGCGTCCTCCACAGGCTGCATTCTGACGACAGGGCCACCTTTGACCAGCTTATGGCCGACATCTTTGTCAGGATCAACTCTTCACCTGAGGACCAAATCGTAATAAGAGAAAAAATTTCAGCCCTGATGAATCGAAACAACCTGAAGGTATATTTATTTATCCACCTGATTTTATCATTTGGCAGAGTTTTGAAAGCAATTTCTTCTGCAGGTAATTGAAGGTCAGAGTCGTCAGGTTTGTCACGTCGTGGAGGCGCTGCAGCTGCGAGGGTGGGTGGCGGTTTTGGGGGCGAGCGGGGGTGGCAAGTCCGTGGTGCTTCAGGCAGCCCTGCAGGTGCTTGAGGCTGAAATTTGCCCACTGAATCCGAAGGCGTGCACCCTCGACGAGTTTTTCGGCCTCGAAGGACCTGACAGGGTGGAGGGCCTTTTGTCCAGCTGCCTCCGGAGGGCGTCAGGGTCGGCCAAGAAGAAAGCCCTTTTGTTCGACGCGCAGATTGAGCCCGGCTGGTTCGACGCCCTGAGCGCTGCCCTGCTCGATTTCCCTGACCAGGACGATGTTCTGTTCGTCTTCGAGTCGGACGCCATGCCCAGGGCCACGCCCACCCTTCTGCACAGGGCGCCTGTGGTCTTCATTGACCCTGCCACCGTCCATTTCAAAGTATAAAGTCCGTTTTAAAAAGTGCAAAATTTGCAAATGAGAAATTTTGACAGGAAATCTGGGAGGCGAAAAGGTTCGATTCTTCTGCAGAGCTGCAAGGTTTGTTCGAAAGGTTCGCGGTGCCTTTGCTGGAACAACTGGACAAGTGGCGAACCCTGGTGCCCTTTTCTGCAACGGCCGCCGTTGAGCAGTTGAGCGACGTGCTGGCCGCCCTGATGAAGTCCTCAGGGCCCTCAGACTTGGCTCCGACCTTCCTGCAAGCAGTTCGATTGTCTCTAGGTGCGCTCTTGCCAACCGACCTGCGACCTGAGTTCGACCTGAAGGTGAGAAAAGCGGCCGCTGACGATCTGCTACTTCCCCCTGACGAGGGCAGTCTCTTCGACTTTTGCTGGTGCCCCCAAAAGCAGACCTGGATCAGGTGGCAGGACGAGGCGGTCCCTTCGGAAAGGTTCGTCCCAACCCCCACTACGGCCTTTTTCCACTGGATCCTCGACAGGTTCAACCAGAGCTGCTTCCACGACCTCGTATTCAAAAAGGTTTGTTCTTAAAACAAAAGAAAGTTTAAAATTCCAGATAAGTAGGACTTATTTAAAATTGAAATATCTGTGACTTAAAAATTAGGTTTCAAGGCCGCTGGTACTGATTGGTTGCGAAGGCTCTTCAAAGTCGCTCACCGTGCAGACTTTCCTCAGCAACCTCGACCCCTCAACTCAGGTACGTCTCATTTTGATCATAATTTTACATATTTTATTTAAAAATTAAAAACATTTAACAGGCGTGGCAGAGTTTGAACTTTTCACTGCAGACGAGCGCTGCGGACGTTCTAAGCGCCCTCAAGGGTTGGTTGCGCCTCAGGACGCGCAACGTGGCTCAACCGGCCGACAACAAGAAGCTGCTTCTTTTCCTCGACGACCTCCACATGCCCTTGGTAGTTATTCTTCCTAATTAACCTTTGAGCTTTTTTCCATATTGAATTCTGCAGCACGACGAGCTGGGGTCTCAGGAGCCGATCGAATTCCTCCGAGCGCTGCTGCAGAACGGCGGATTTTACAACGACCGCGACTCAAACTTCCAGTGGGTTCGACTAGAGAACGTTGGTGCGTTTTATTCCTTTTTTTTCAATAGCTATTAACAAAAAAATTTGTCTAAATCCAAAGAAATATGAAGCATTTTTTAAGTTCTAAATATATTAATTTCATTTTGAATTTATTATTTATTATTAAAATATTTTGCAGGCTTCATTGGGTCAATCACGTGCGACGAATTGAACCCTACGAGAGTTTCGCCGCGATTTCTGGCGCGACTCAATCTCGTTTTGGCGCCGAAAATCTCGGACGAGCAACTTCACCACATTTTCAGCACCCTGCTGTCGAACCACCTGCGAGATTTCAGCCCTCAGGTCCAGCAACTCGCCGACACGATCATCTCTGCATCGCTCCACCTCTACTCGGTAATAATTTTGTCGACAAAACTTTTAACCAAAATTAACCTAAAAAAAAAAAAAACAATCAAAACGCTCAAATAATGGAAGTTGATAAAAAAAGGTTATGAAATGAATTTCTAATTCAACCTTTTTTCGTGCAAGTAATGTTAATTTGTAATTGAATTTTGTTAGGTGCTGAGCGAGTCTTTGGGCGCGACCCCTGAGCGCTGGATGTGCCGGCCGGGGGTGCTGGACCTGACGCGGCTGGTGGTGGGGATGTGTCAGGCGCGCCCTGGCAACTTCGGCGAGCCGGAGACCCTGGTCAGGGTGTGGCGCCACGAGGTGGACAGGGTCTTTGTTGACCGGCTCGAGAGTCTCGCGGACCGCAGGGAGGCCGAGCGTCTCGTCCAGGACGCCGTCCACCACTTCTTCGCGCCCTTCGAACGCCACGCCCTCCGCAACCCCCTTCTCTTCGGAGACTTCCGCAACGCCCTCGTCGCCCAACGCCAACACCCGCGCTGCTACGAGGACCTCCTCGACTTTGAGGCCGTTTTCTTCCTCTTCCAGGAGGTAAGGAACAAACAAAAGCGTCAATTTTTTTTATAAAATTGAGCACATTTTCTGAGAAAATTAATTTTTTTAATAAGCAGTTAAAAAAAATAATTATTCTATATGATATTTAATAATTTTAATTTCCTCAATCCATTTTTGAAGTTAAATAGAAACTTTTAATCCAAATTAATGCCAGCAACAATTAATGAATTCAAGAGATTGTAGATTTGAATCCTTCTCAATTGAAGTATAATTGGTAAAAATTTCATTGTTTTTAAACTTAATAAAAGCGCCTTTCACCGGCTCATTTAATTAAATAATGTCCATATCCACGACACCTGTAAATTTACTTTTGTTTTTAGTGGCAATTGTGATAAATGTTTCATTCAAATTAATTGAAAACTCATTCACAGCCTTTGTAATTAAGAAATAATCCTTGGATTGATCATTGACCATATTATGTGGTTGATTCGCAGGTGCTGGAGGAGTACAACAAGGGGTCGGAGGAGAAGTTGGAGGTGGTTCTGCTGGACAGCGGGCTGGAGCACGTGTCGCGGCTGCACCGCGTGCTGCGCATGCGCAGAGGCCACTCGGTGCTGGTGGGGCCGCCGGGCTGCGGCCGCCGCTCCCTCTTCAGGCTGGCCGCCCACGCCGCTCAATGCCGCCCCTTCCGCCTCCCACTCTGCCCCCGAGCCGCCACCCACACCCTGAGAAAGGTCTTCGATCAGGTCGGCTCGGGGACCCTGGACGCCGCCGTCGTCCTCGTCAGGGACCACCACCTCCGCAACAAAGGTCACTCCCCACCGTATTCAATTATTTATTGTAAATTAAATTGCTGAAAGATCCTTTCAAAATTTAACCACGAATTATTTGAAATTTAGATTTTATTAAGAAATTTCCTGCCAAATTGATTATGAATTCGCTTTCAGGCGTGGCTGAGATGGTGTACCAGGTGATTTCGAGCGGATGGGTGCCGAGTTTGTTCAGGGAGGGGGTTCAGGCCGAGGAATTCAAGGCGGCGTGCGTGGCCGGTGTGCACGTCGTGCTCAGTTTGGAGCGCTCGACGCTTTTGGCCCTGACCGGCGAGTACCCTGAGCTGCTCAAGTTTGCCACCCTCGACTGGTTCCGACCCTGGGACCAGTCGGCCCTGCTCAAGGTCTCAAAACACTTCATCGCCAATGTGAGTCTCAATTCATTTGATCAAATTTATAACTTTATTCTAAATATATAATTTCCGGAAAAGTTGAAATTGTATTATAAATAAATAAAATCAACATTTAACTTATTACTATGAAATTAAGATTATCAGTTAGAAGCAAATTTTAACAATCGAAGATAAAACTGTAATATTTATTTTAATTGATGTTTGAATTTGTTTGAAATCAGAGCAGTTTGGTCGTCGCCGAAAAGAAAGAGTCCGTTTTGGCGCACGTGGCGCGGACGCACGAGGTCGCCGAGGGCATTTTCGCGCAGCAACACCAGAGCCTCGGCGCAATCAACTGCTCGCCGAGACTCTACGTCGACTTCGTCCGCCACTTCCTGCGACTTCTCGAAACCAACCTGAGCAGGACCCACGCCACGGTCAGTTTTTTGCTGTTGCGAAAATTAAAATATTCTAGTTTAAATATTTGTCGCAGAACTTAACAAACAAAATTTGCTTACTTTTCCTCCCGAACTGTAAGAGAAATTACAAATAATAATTCCCATTTCGAAAATTCTTTTCGTTATTAAATAAGGATAAAAAAGCAGCTATACAAAATATTAGCCGATTTAACTTAGCAGATGCTGCTTTTCATTCTATTATTTTGAAGTTCCTATCTTTTCATTAACCACATGTTTACCAAAAAAGAATAAATTTTCATAAATGTATTATTTTGAAGCTGACCGAACTTCTAACGGCGTTGGCAAAAATTGGCAAGGCAAGGGATGGACTCGTCGAATTCCGGGAGATTCTTCGGGAAAAAGAGACCCTTTTGGAAAAGGAAAAGGGCGCCAGCGAGGACCTGGTCAGGAAAATCGTGGCAGGTGCGAGTGAATCTGCTAATTCTCAAAGGTTTCTTTTAAATAAATCTTGTTCTCAGTGGAGGAGGAGCGGGAGGGGAAGACGGAAGCGTGGTCCGAGTGGGAGAGGGGGGTGGAGCGTCAGGTGCGCACCCTGGCGTCGGACCGTCTGCAGGTGCGTCGCGTCCTTGACTGCGCCCTGCCCGAATTGGCCGCGGCCCAACAGGCCATCGCCGCCCTTCAGCAACAAGACGTCGCGCAAATCAGGTCCGATTTGTACTAATATTTTTTACTGTGTAATTTTTTAGATACACTGAACGTTGAAAAAAAAAAACGTTTGGATTTTGTAACTGAAATTAATTTCCATAATTCTCAAAACAAACTTAGATTCTAAATTACTTTCAAACCATTTATTCCAACGGAAATTAATTAGACGCATGAACGTAAATATTTCTTTCTCTTTTTCAAATCCATAGAGAGTATCTTTTGGATTCTTCTCCTTCATCGGAGTGTTTGAAGCAGTTCGTCGTGCAGATTCCTTTGCTGCGGGGCCAAGAATCCGCAACTGCTGATCAGATTTTGGACAACGTGCAAGTTTTTCAGAAGGTCTTTTTGCTGCCAGACCACGACACTCTTTCCCACTCGGCCTGTCGCAAGCTGAAGGTTCTTTTGAAGGTACGACCTTCGAGAATCAAATAATTATTTGCAAATTTGATTGATGGTTTTATGAATAACGGAATCTTAATTTCATAGAGATGTTCGACTTTGGACGCTTCGATTTTGGAAAATGTTTCTGCGTTCAAGTCACTCGTGGGTTTTGTGGACGCGGCGCTTCAGTATTGCAACGTGGTGCGCGAAATCAAACCCAAGCTGGAGCAAATCGCTGGCACCGAACTCGAGTTAACCCAGGTTTGCTTCCAATTTCTAATACATGGAAAAAAATTGACTGGAAAACACGTGGCCGTTTTAGTTCTTTCCAGAAGAATTAAGACACTGAAATTTATTTAAAAACTAGTCTCAATTTGCACAATAAAAAAATAAAAATAAAACATCTTAACTTTGAAGCTCCTTGAAATTTTTCTTTGCATATTTCTAAAAAATGTCAATTGTTTCCCAATTTATTTATCTTATCTATGCATACGTTGATGATGAATTTTTTGAAGGCAAGAGAGAAATCCGGAGGAGTGCAGGAGGAAGTGGTGCTGCTGGAGCGACGAATTTCGGAACTAAGCGAGGAGGACTCGCGACGACGGCAAAAGGTCAGTGAGGCCGAAAGGGATGCGACCTCCTTTGCAGATCGATTGACAGGCTTGGAAAATTTATTCGCCAGTCTTCAAAACGACGAAGAAAGGTAATAAAATTATTCAAATATTAAAAATAATAACTTTGGGGAAGAGAAAATTAAAGCAAAATAAATTTAATATAACATTTTAAAAGCTGAGTTGTTGCAAAGCACTCGTCAGAATTTTGATTTATTTTTAGAAACGTTCAAGGCCCTTCAAATATGATTGTTTAAACTAATTCACATAATAATCTGATTGATTAATCTTTAATTTCTTAAATTGAATTGAAACTCGAATTTCATTTCAGGATGTTGGTCAGCGTGAACGAGTTGGAAGCAGAGAAGAGGAACCTTTTGGGCGACTGTTTGCTGACTTCAGCTTTTCTGAGTTACGCGGGACCTTTGAGTGGCGTCGGCCCTCGCAAGGATGCGATTGAAGAATGGCGCCGCAGCCTCGCCACCCTCAACATCCCCTTCTCGCCACGATTCTCTCCCTCCAAACTCCTTCCCCACGCTAGCAGGTACTTTATCTTGTTAATTATTTTATTTATTATGAACTTTTGATTTTAAAATTTGACTGTTTCCTGGAATTCATTTATTACATTTCAAATGAATAACTCTCAATCGTGGAATTTAAAAAAAAAGTTCCTTCTTTGTACAGAAAACTGAGCTTTCTTGGACTGGAAGATGCGGACGAAGCGACGCAACTCAATTGTCTGCTTGTTTTCGCCGCGATTCGAGCGCCGCTCTGCGTCGACACCCAGCAACAGGTTCGAATTTCTCAATTACCTTTTTTTTCATTCTCCGAACCAAAATTTTGCTGCCCAGGCCGCCGATTGGGTGAAGACAGTGGAGGGGAGAAGTTTGGTGATGGCGTCCGCCCTGGACGGTGACCTGGTGGAAAGGGTGAGAGGGGCGGTCGAAACGGGCACGCCCCTTTTGTTGCAGGACGTCGGCAAGAGCGTCGACGCCGCCCTTTTTGATCTGCTCGATGGTACGAGAATTAAAGTTTTAAAAGATTTAATTTAAAATTGATTTCGGGGGCAGAACTGAGCAAAGGGGGTGGAGAGGGGAAGGTGCGCGTGGGCGACGAGTGGGTGGCGCTGCACCCCCAATTCCGCCTCTACCTCAACTCGCGCGAGGCCAACCCGCAACTGGACGCAGCCGTTTTCTCCAAAACCACCGTCGTCGATTGCACAATGTCTGCTCAGGCAAGTTTTTTAGTTAATTTGTATTTTTTAATTGGCCAAGAAGTTAAATCACTTAGTTTGTTGTTTTATTTTTCGTACGTTACTAATTCAGGAATAAATTTTGCAACTAGATTGTTTTATATTCATTTTTAAAGCACAAAGAGAGAAATTTTGAACCTTTACTCTTTGTAATTTTGCGATGCGAAAAACTTAGAATTTATCAATTTCAAATAAAAGGCTTTGGAGGAAACGCTGTTGCGAGACGTGATCGGCGTAAAAGAGCCGCAAGTGTTGAAGTTTCACTTGGAGGAAAAAGTTCGGAGCCTCGAGTCGAGGAGACGCGAATCTGAACTGTACTCGCAGCTTCTCAGGTTGCTGGCCGACGTCCCTGAGGAGGTTTTACTCGAAGACCAACAATTCTTGAACAACCTCAGGACCACCAAGGATTCAATTTCTCAGGTTTTAAAAAAACTATCACTTAATCCTTCGTTGTATTTAAATTTTGCTCAAAAGTGTGAAAAGAGGATTTCGAGGACTTCAGACTCGGAGGTCTTCGAGGCCACGAAGGCGGCCCTGCTTGGCGTTGCTCGCAGGGCGGCCGTCGTGTTTTCGGTGCTGGCCGACCTGGCGCACGTGTCGCCCACCTACCTCTTCTCCCTGACGACCTTCCGCCACCTTTTGGCCTCGGCCCTTCGCGAGGGTGGCGACCCTGGCGACGCCATCACCACAAACGTGCACCGCTTCGTCTGCAGAAGTAAGAAATTCTAATTTTCTGCAAAAACGTTGCTTAACCTTAATTCAGGTCTGTTCCCTGAGCACCAGCTGACCTTCACCATGGCCCTGGTAGTGCGGATTGGCCTCTGTGACGGCCACCTGGCCGCTGATGAGGTCGCCTTTGTCTTCGATGACCTCGAAGGTGCGGAGGGGGTGGAGGGGGCGCCCACCTGGCTCCCTCCAAAGGTCAGAGTCACATTTTGTAAACGATTAAAAAACTCCTAAGTGATTTTCAGGCAGTGCAGGGGGCGTGGCTGTTGCAGCAAAGGTTTCCCGCCCTTTTCGGCCCCTTCCTTGACACCTTGCAGCAAGAGCCCTGGCGAAAGGTGAGTTTGCCCTGATTGTTCTTTCAAAGGTTGACGCGTTTGTTGGCAGTGGATAGAGGAGGCCGTTCCTGAGCAGCAGCCCCTCCCCGACGACTGGGACCAAAGGTTGACGCCCTTTCAGGGTCTGATGGTGGTCAGGGCCCTGCGCAGTGACCGTCTCGTTCCCGCCCTGAGACTCTTCGTCTGCCGCAACTACGGCAACCACTTCATCACGCCCGTCATTCCCAGGTAATTGTTCTAATGTCAGTAATAATGCGCCAAGTGGCTAATTTTTTTTGTTTTTAAATTTAATTATATTAGAAAAGTAGAAAAAATTATGAGTTTTTTTTACAATATCCTGATTTCTACTGTTGTTATTTGGATTAAAGTTAGCGATTAGGATTTTAAACTTTTTACGAAGAATTCAGAAGGCGGCATTTCATGCCTGCAACTTAACAAAATAGGCAACCTGCGCAACATTGATGACCTGCCGGTTGCATACCTCGCATAATCGTTGTTTTATTGCCCACTACTTTTTTCTCATCCGTTTTATTTGTCTCTTGAAAAGTAAAACGCAACTTATGTAAAAAAGTTCTAAGAAAATCTAATGTTAAAAATTACCCAATCAATTTTGCTCAAAGTTGCAAAAATCAAACAATTTCTGAGAAATATGCGGATTTCTGTTTTCAATTTCGAATGAGATTGATTCTCTCTTTAAACTTGAAGGAGGAACAAAATTTCAATAAAATAAATTCATCAAGTCAGTGAATTCCTTTCAATTTTATGAGTCGTGCCGGTTGCATACCCCGTAATAAACTTCCAACTGTTCTACAAAAACGCGTTTTTTCTGTATCAAAATTTTCTTTTTTAACTCCAGAACTCGTGTTTGTCTAATTTGATTTTGAAATGTTGATATTTTCAGCATGAGGTCGCTGCTGGACGAGAGCAGCGCGAGGACGCCGATCGTGTTGGTGGTGAGCGGGGGCGGCGTTGACCCCAGCACCGAACTGCACCGCCTCGCCCGCCAGAAGGGACTCGACGCCGGACACTTTGTCTCACTCGCCTTCACCAAACACTCCCAAAAGGTTATTAAAACAAAACTTTGCTTAATTGTTTGCAATTGAATAAGGACAAATTGGACCAAATTTCCATTAAAGCATAAAATATGCCCCGAAGAATAATTATTTAAAAAAAAGATACTCTTTAATTTCCTAACAGCGTTTTTTAATTGTGTTCTGCGCCATCTTTTTTAGTGAATGACAACCAGGTCTTTAAAAAAGTTAAATTAAGTTAGATTTTTTAACATCTTGAGGATCATTATTACATTTAAAATAAAAATTCGCTTTTATAATAACGCTCGGAAATAGTCATATTATTATGAATTTTGTAGCTTCTTCAATGACTTGTAAATTTTAACTTGCATAAAAGTTGCGAAATATTTACAAGCATTAAAAAACTGTAATTAAAATTAGTTTAATTACTTAGAAATCAATGTAACATCTTCAAATATAAAATATAGGGTGCGTCCAGGAAAGATTTGAGGGTAAATGTTAAAAATTTTTCTTGAAAACATGCCATTCCAATTTTCAAGTATGTTGTTGCGGTGGTCAAGAGGCCTCGCTAACCAAATTTTCAAGTCAAAATAAGGGGTGCTTTTCCGGGAAATCAGATTTTTCCAAAAACAAAAAATATGGAATATCTTTGCTCCTATTGAGAAATTATTAATGATCTTTTCGCTTCCATACGTAACTTTTTACGACCGACAACTTTTCTGTTGACAACTTTTGCGTAGGTCAAAGGTCAAGGTCACTAAATTGCAAATTTTACATTTTGACGCAATTTTCGCAAAGAAGCACCCCTCAGAAATTTTTCGCAGTATAGGAAAAAATGTAGCCCCAAGTGTGTAGAACAACATCCTTGATTTCCAGAATGGCATTATTTTTAGTTTTTTAATTAATTTTAAATGAATATTAAAAAACAGTGAAAAATCGCTTTTCCGCAATAGAAAATAATTTTCAAACAGCGATAACTCATTTTCTGTTAGAGATACGCAAAAATGTTATAGAACAAAAAGGATTTTTTTTTACTTTTTGCATCTAGCCATGTATTGGTTATACAGGTCAGGTCACTTGGGGTCATTGACCTCGGTGACCTGTGACCTTTAAGAGCAGTTTACTGAATATTTGGCACATAGTTAGGAAGAACTATTTTATGGAATGGTTTAAATAAGCTCATTTCCCACAAATTATTTTTTGAGGTCACAGGTCACCGAGGTCAATGACCCCAAGTGACCTGACCTGTATAACCAATACATGGCTAGATGCAAAAAGTCAAAAAAAATCCTTTTTGTTCTATAACATTTTTGCGTATCTCTAACAGAAAATGAGTTATCGCTGTTTGAAAATTATTTTCTATTGCGGAAAAGCGATTTTTCACTGTTTTTTAATATTCATTTAAAATTAATTAAAAAACTAAAAATAATGCCATTCTGGAAATCAAGGATGTTGTTCTACACACTTAGGGCTACATTTTTTCCTATACTGCGAAAAATTTCTGAGGGGTGCTTCTTTGCGAAAATTGCGTCAGAATGTAAAATTTGCAATTTAGTGACCTTGACCTTTGACCTACGCAAAAGTTGTCAACAGAAAAGTTGTCGGGCGTAAAAAGTTACGTATGGAAGCGAAAAGATCATTAATAATTTCTCAATAGGAGCAAAGATATTCCATATTTTTTGTTTTTGGAAAAATCTGATTTCCCGGAAAAGCACCCCTTATTTTGACTTGAAAATTTGGTGAGCGAGGCCTCTTGACCACCGCAACAACATACTTGAAAATTGGAATGGCATGTTTTCAAGAAAAATTTTTAACATTTACCCTCAAATCTTTCCTGGACGCACCCTATAACTATTTAAAAATTTATACGTTCCATGGTTTTTTTTTTGCATCTTGCATACTTTCAAGACTCTTCCAAATTAATTCCAGTTTGCAAAAATTTCAACGGGTTTTCTTTTTTCTTGGTTTTAATTTGGTTAAACTCGGTGCGAATTAAGGTCCTAGAGATTTAAACAAAATTCAAATGAAGCCCATCGCAGTCTGATTGAATATTTCAAAATTTCGGATTTTTCAGGAGGCGATGGAGGCGGTTTTGAGCGCGAGTCGTCAGGGTCAGTGGCTACTTCTGCTGAACTGCCACCTCGTGGCGCGACTGTCGGCGCTGATTTGGCGCCACCTGGACCTGAGCGTGCCGCACCCTGACTTTCGTTTGTGGCTGACCACGGACGACGTGGCCCACCTGCCCCCCATTTTGCTACACCACGCCCTCAAAGGTTCGCAAAAACTTAGGAGAAGACGAAAAGGTGGAAAAACTGACCTTTGTTGATTCAGTGGTGCTGGAGGTGCCGAGGGGGCTCAAGCTCAAGCTGACCGCCACCTTCAGGAAGATGGACCCTGAAGTCATGGCCGCCAGCAAACACCCGCACTTCGGAAAGGTCCTCTACGCCCTGGCCCAGCTGCACGCCACCCTGCAGGTACACAAAAGTTACTCATTACGACGAAATTTTGAAAATCTGAATGAAATTCTTCATAAAAAGACAATTCCAAAGATACGGTTAAATGTATATTTCAGTTTGTAATTGAAGAATCTGAAACATCAAAGAGGCGGCCATTTTTTCCAAGATGGCTCCCAATTGAAAATATTTCAAAACTTGCGCAAACGTTTTACAGAATTTTGCTTACAGCAAAATTGCCTTACCAAATTCTACCAGTTGGTTTATGAATCTTGTATAAATTTAAAAAAAAACTTCACTTTCCACAAAGGTATGACTTTTGTATATTGAATTCCACTCATTTTCATTGAGAAAATGCACCGACTTTAATTTGTGGCGGAAACGATGTCACTGTCAAAAATTAGCGTGTTAAAACTGGACGATTCTCGCTAAAAGTTTTATTGATATCCAGGAAATTTCTTTTTTCACCAAATTCGGCACAAACAGGACTAATTTTTTTTCACGAATCCGCTTTCGGAATTTAAAATAGTAAAAATCTATGTTTAATAAGAATTACATTTTGATTTTTACCCTTGTTAACACATTTGTCAATGAAATTTTTAGGAGCGGTGCGAGTTTGAGAGTTTGGGTTGGAACGGCGAGTACCACTTTTCGAAACCGGACTTTGACGCGAGCGCCGCATTTTTGGGGCACTTTCTCAACCGCTGCGGCTCCAAAGTGCCCTGGCACAGCATCCGCACGTTTATCCAACAGGTCGAATTATTTTAAAACCATTATATATCTTTTTTTTAAACATTTTTTAGTTTACCATCTTAACCTACAATTTTAGTTCTTTTCATTTCTCTTTTTCCTTTTTGATAAAAATAATATTTTGTGCGGAATTAATAAATAAATGTCAATTCGTTTTGCGGTTCAGGTGGTTTACGGGGCGCACATGACGGACACGTGGGACTTGGGCTTGGTGGGCGTGTACCTGCGCGAGTTGTGCGGTGCCCACGTGCTTGGGCCAAAGTTCGCCTTTTACCAGGACGAACGCGTCACCTACGGCCTGCCCGCCGTCCACAACCTCTTCGGCATCCTAGGTTAGCCACTTTCAGTCCTAATTTTAATTTTAATCAACTCAAATATAAGCTCGGCAATCGTATTCCGTATTCCAAATGAAATCTTCTTTCTTTCAAAGGTGTGTAATTTTTTTTTTTAAATTTTTGCTGCTATATTTTTCTAATGTTGATATGAAATTGACACCTACTCTATTATGTATGTATTTTGCTTCAAAACAGATGACATTTTTTGTTTGAATAAAGTTTTGACACTGAATTGTTTATATAATAAATGGAAAAGTTACAAATTCACTATTATTAATAAGAAAGTAAAGTAATATAATATATTTGATCCTTTACAATCAATATTCTTCAGACTAAATATAATATTTGAGTCTACAATAAAATAAATTACCTTAAATTTTTTTCACTCCTTTTAAAATGAAACGATTTTCTGTCAAAATCCGAACCATGACTTAAGAAAATTTACTGCAAATTTTCTGATTCAACTGTTTATTAAAAGCGTACGTGGAGAATTTGGCGGACGATTTGAATCCTGCGGCGCTCGGGCTTCACGCCAACGCCGATTTGCGCCACAACGCTCGGGCGCTCCAAACCCTGCGATCCAACCTGGCCAAACTGCAGCCCGCACCAGCTCGTGAGTTTTCCCAAAATTTTCACCATTTTTCAATAAAATTTAAAGTTTCTATTATATTTTTTTCTCTGTCAAATAATTATTGAAATCAAAAGTATATTTCAAAATATTGCTTAGAAATAGAAAAGAATGAGAAACTAAATTCATAAATTTTGATAATTATTAAAAAAAATTCAAACACGGTAATTGAAACAGAAATTTCCTTGCTTAATGATAATTAATTTTAAAAAAACCTTTATCGTAATAAAAATATAAAAGTTGAAATTTGCAGTTGCGGTTTGTGACGGCGACGAAGGGGCGGAGCGCGAGGAGCTGCTGCGTGCGTTGCGTTTGTTGCGCGACGCAGTGCCTGAGGGCGTGGCCGAAAGTGGACACGCCCCCGAGAGTTTCATCGCCCTCGAGATCCGCGGCTTCAACCGACTGCTGGCCGCCGTCCGAGACTCGCTCGACGCCCTCCAGAACGTTCGTTTTCTCATGAAACACTGAATATTTTAAATAATTGAAAAAAAATTAAAGGTCGTGAGCGGAAAGGGCGGGAAAATGAGCCGCCAAAAGCGCGAGACGCTCGACGCATTGCGGAAGGAGCGTGTGCCGGACGCGTGGCAACGACTGGCCCCGCCCACCAACAAGACGCTGCTGCCCTGGACGCGTCACCTCAAACTCAGGCACAAGCAGTACTACGAATGGGTAATTCAGTCGCGGAACATTTAGCACTTTTAAATTATTTTTCATTTCTGTTTATTTTTGTATCACCACTTTAAACTTTCAAAAGGGACTAATTTTTGATTGAATTAAGAATAATTACAAGTGATTACAAGAAAATTAATATTTTTCGATTGGATACTGTATCAAATTGGATATTTTGATACTTAGTTAGCTTAGACGTTTATTTTTAATACAAACTATTCCTTTGAATTCAAATTTTCCGATTAAAATAGAGGATAGTTGAATGTAGAAATAAATTAAAAATCTATTGAATGAGAAAGATATTTTTTTTTAACATGAAAATTATAAAAATTATGAGCTTCAATTATAATACTATGATTCTGTGAACCTGAAGTTCCATGATGAAAGAGAAACTTCATGATTAATAAATGTAATAACCAACTTATGATATTTATTTTTTTAGGAGTTGATGAATCAATTTTTAAATATTTTCCGCAACGCAAAAGCGTTTTTAACTCTATTTGTGTTTGTGCAAGAAATTGAGCAAAGAGTTTTTTGCAGGTGATGATCCACGAGCCGTTGGTGGCGTGGCTGCCTGGACTGGCGAGTCCGCGCGCCTTTTTGCAGAGCGTCCTGCAGACCGCGTGCCGAAAACACCACTGGCCCCTCGAGCTGGCCGGTTTGGCCGCCGACTTCCTCCCCTCCACCTCCGCCAGCCGACTGCCCGCCCTCACAGACGTTAGTTTCAAAATTTATTATTTTATTCACAATAATTTCTATTCATCGTGCAAATATGATTTTAATCATACTTGTACATGATTCATTCCATTAAAATTAATTTGTAGATCTTAAAATTAATTAATCTAATATCTTTACTGTTTCATTAAAGACTATGAAAGTCATCTTTTTTTTAAATTCTCTATTAAAAGAGCCTCTAGTTTTTAGTAATTGAACTCATTACTTTTTAAGTAAAGCAATCATTTATTCATATTATGGTACGGACAGCAAAAAAACCCAACTTTTTATAGAACAAAAATAACAGATCTTTATGAAAATGAGAAGAATGTTAATTTGCTTGGTTTGCACGAATCTCTCACTTTAAAAATTATAGTTTTAAAATTGAGTGGAAAAATTAAAACTGGAAACGAATCAATACTTGCTTCATGTTTTGCTAATTTGCAGTCTTTTGTTAGCCACTGCCCTGTACAAAGATTACATAGACTTAACCATCTCTAATAATTTTAACCATTTTTTAAAATGCCCTTTTTATTCGTATGCTTTGAAACTCAATTAATCATAATATTTTTAATAAAAATCCTTAATAGGCTCTCAATCACATAAATCTATAATTGCAGATTTTAAAAGCAAAGAAAAGATCAAAAATTTAAAAACATTAAAGCAGTACAAAAGAAGTTACAAACTTGTATAAAAAATTGGAGTTAAAATTGATAAAATCAAAGTGAATATTAATTTGATTTTATAATTATTGCGAATATATTGTAAATGAAACGTTGCCTTTAACAGGGCGTGTACGTGAAAGGTGTGCACGTGGAAAACGGCGGTTGGGACGCGGATGGAGCGTGTTTGCGCGTCGCGAGTCCTGGCGAGCTCACCCAAAAACTGCCCGTGCTGCGAGTGACCGCCGTCGCCACCGCGCCGCAGCCACATCCGGTCAGTTTTTTTTAATTAATTTTATAAATAAAACTTTCGACTTAATCAGGGGAGGGTGCGGCTGCCCCTGTATTTCTCGAGCGGACACTGCGACGCCGCCCTTTGGCACTTCGACCTGCCCTGCAAGGACCACCCCAGCACCTACGTCCTCCACGCGGCCAAACTTCTCCTGCACACCGACCAACTAGATTAGATCATTTTTTGATGAGATTAAAAAAAAATTGTCCGTCGAGTAAAAGGGAATTTTTATTATGCTGTCACATTTAGGCGATTGAATGGCCGGTTTCATATCCCAGAGGCAATTTTTCATTTCCAGTCAATTACTTGTGAATCAAATTTGCAGATCAATATAATAGAAATGAGGTTAATATTGGTACTTTTGATGGAAAGAAACCAAAGATCGTCTAATTTAATCAAAATATTAGATTTATCTACTTGGTCCTTTTTTTATTAAATTGAATGAATCACTCAATTACATCGGTAAAAAAAATGTACCATTAATAAGCTGAGGTCACAAGAAATCGAAAAGAAATTAAAAAATGTAAAGATCACCACAAGATTTGATGAGAAAAAGAATTTAGTAGAAATTGGGCGATCTGATTGGTTCAGATGGTTCCCCCACCACTAAATTAATTTTTCCTCCAAAATAATGGCATGTGACATATTGTTGGAAAGGTCAGAACACAAGGAATCGACTGGAAACAAAAAAGATAAAGGTATTTTAAATTAGGAAGCCTCTTAATTTCGGATTCAGATTTTTTAATAAATTTCAGGTTTTTCCAACTTCTGTTATATGACAGTAGAAAAATAGAGTCCAATTAAAATGAATAAATTGATCATTTGAGACAGTTTCGAAAGATGAAAAGTGTTTTGTAATTGCGAATGGGAGTTTTTATTGGGGACTAAGGTGGGGACAGTGCGGGGTGTTCTCAGAGGAGGGAGAGGTGTCCGGTGACCTTGTCGATGGTGGCGCAGGGTCCGGGGCCGACGCCGAGGACGGTGGTGGAGCCGCTGGCGATCTGGGTGCGGCCGGCGTCGCGAATGAGGGCGACGCCGAGGCCGTGCGCCCTGGCCGCCGTGGCCAACTGCCGCAGCTGCTCCTCCCCCCCACTCGCCTTGAGGGCCACCTTGGTCTGGCCGCACCGCTCCCACTCGCCCAGCACCTCCGGGTTCCAGCGCTTGGCCTGCTTGTACGCCGCCACCGCCGCGTGCGCCACCTCACAACACAAATTCCTCTTTGTAAAATTTGCTTTAAATTAGTTTATACGTTGAGGACTCTTAATTGAGCCCAAATATTTAAAATTGTCAAATACAAATTATTTAAATTATCTTTTAAGTGGATGTTCTTCATTTTAGAGGTTTTATAAATAAATAAACTTTGAAAATTAACTCTTTTGATAGTTTTAAACATCAGAGCATTCGGATTTTACAGCAAAACGGTAATTATTGGAAATTCAGCCATCTCATTGGTCGAAAGGCTTCCCCCACCACTCGTTCTGATTAGCTTTCATAGATATGGAGTGTGACACATCGTTAGGAAGGTCAAGTCTCAAGGAATATACTGTCGTTGACCAGAATTGTCCTGGTCATTGTTTGATAATTTTTTTCTTAACCTCTGCCCTTGAATTTTACATTTTACACAATGCAAAGTGTGTTGAATTTGCTTTTGCTTTTTCTTATTGTTTTTTTTTTCTTCATATATCCACTTGACTCAACTAATTAAATTGGTACAATTCTCACGCCACATAATTATCAATTGGCGAAATTGATAAGCTCTCAAAAATCAGGCTATTAAGACCAACAATTGATAACGATAAAATTTCCTATTAAATTTTCATCAGATCATGCCAATACGTTCTAGGTAAATAAGGGTGGAGATGCATTTACCTGAGCGGCAATCTTGCCCTTGCCCATCTTCAGGTCGGTCCTGACGACCACCACCAACTTTTTCTCCTCGTCATCGTCCGACATCTGCAAAAGCAAAAGTTTTACAAAAAATGAAAAGAAGAAATACAAGGATGGTGACCTCCTCCTCGATCTCAGGGCCCGTCACGGACGAATTCGGCGACCTGAGGGTCTTGCGCGCCTTCCAGGTGAGCAGCCAGACGAAGCCGGCGCCGCAGCCGAGGCCCAGCACGAAGCCCCGGTTCAGCCACGAGGACAAACTGTCCATCCGTCTCTTTTCAGTCTTTGCACGGACGAGGCTCTCTCTTTTCCACAACCTTCGTCCTCTACAAAGACCCGACCTTCATCAGGTACAGTTTTCAAAAGCCGGCCGCGAACACAGTAACACACACGAGGGATTGTTTACCTTTTAATTTGATTTTGATTGATGCAAAAAAAAGCTCTTTGGTGCTCTTTGGTACTTGTTGTGTTTTGATCGGAGGGGTAAAGACAAAGGAGATATTATTATTAAAATAAATTCCTCACTTTTGAAGTTTTAAAACGCTTTTAAAGCAAAAACTATGAAAAAACAATATATTGATTCATATTTTTTTCATTAATTCTTAAAAAAATGTGATCATTTTGAAATCTTGCCCCACAGTTTTCACCGGGCAATGCAGCTCCTTTGCGCACACCCCACTTCAGCACCACAGCAAACAAAAACAATTTCAACAACAAGTAAGTCGGGGCCGAATCTTGTTGACTGTCTCGCTCGGCTTTTTGGAACCTTTCGGCACCCTTCGAGACCCGCGTGACCCTTCGGAGGCGACGAAATATGCACCACAACGCCAAAGTGGAGGATTAATTCGCGGAAGCAAGAATGGGCGCGAACCAGAGCGCGGAAAAGAGCGCCAAGGCCAACCACAATAAGGGCGGTTTGACGTTCACCGTGCACAACAGGCATCGGCAGGACGAGGTCGAAAGGTCGCCGCGGCAGCTGCTGCCCATCGAGAAACTCGCCAGGGTACGCAAATAATTCCCACAGACTAAATACCTTTTAAGGAATTTGGCCTACTTTTACTTTCGTCCTAATATTATTATAATTTTGTCAAATTTTTGAGAAGCAACAGGTTGAAAAGGGTGGGGGTAAATTTCCATTGGAAATAGTATGGTTATTTTTTCATTGATTGGTTCGAAACTCTTGCGATGACCTTGACCTTTTTGGTCACCAATCGTTGAATTTTTTTTGATTAGTTTTTAAAAATTGATCACCAGATATGATTCAATTTTAGACATTTACCAATTTTTAATTAGAGGAACTTGAGGAATTTCAATTTAAAATCAAAGTTAATTAAAGGAGAAGAAAAATTTTTTTCCACAATTATGAAGAATTTAGTTGTTGTAAATTGGAGCGAAAAGGAGAGCAAGGTCCGCAGTTGGCGAAAAGCGAGACTTTTTACTTTTTAGTTTACCGAGGCGGGGAATGGGGGGGGGGGGGGAGATAAGGTTGGTGCGCAGCTGGCGAGGCCGGTGATGGTGAGATTGGTGAGTCAGTGAATCGCCGGCAGCCGCCTCCTCAGGTGCGCCCAACATGCCCTTCAAACTGCGGCTCGGCCTCTCGCGCCATCACTCCTCCCCCGCCAGACTCGCGCCCCCCACCCCCGTCAACATCAACAACACCCTCAACAACGACCTCAAGAGGTTCTGCAAGGTATTTTCTTGAAGGAATTTCCTATAATTTTTGGAAATGGTAGTTTTTGCGGACGATTCTTATGATGTGCAGGATTTATTTGCTTTGCGAATTTAATTTTTCCAATGGCGGCCATCTTTGTTTTAAATCGCGGGTGAAAATTTAATTTTTCGTCTGAAACCAGCTTTGTGACATATCGTTGGAATTGCCTCTGCACGGCCTTTTCAGCTCTGTTAATTAAAAATTGAAAGGGATGAGTCTATTTCACTAAATCGTCCAGTTTGTTGTAATTTTAGTTGGCAAAATTTGCACTGTTTGGTAAAATTATATTATAAATACCAAAATAATTGTCAAATCATAATTATTATATTAAATTGTCTTTACTCGCCCAAATTTTAACATCACGTTTTAATCCAAAAAGATCTTAGAGATTAATTAAAATTTAAAAAAAGTAAGAATCAAAATCACTCATGTTGACTTTTTGATTTAATTCTAATTTTCCCTCTTTTATTCTGAAAATATAATTAATTAATTGTAATCAATTTTCCATCTTTTTTTCCTTTAATCAGTTTAAAAATATGCAAAAAATTACATTAAGAAAAATTAATTAAATAAACATAAGAATGTGTATAATCTTTAAATTTTTTTCTTTTATTGATTTGAGGTTTCCCCTGCAATTTTTTTTAATTAATTATGTAATGGTCATTAGTGTGCACAATAGTGAAGTTTTTGGCACTCGAAGTCTCAAGGTTCGTCCGCGTCAATTGTCCGATTAGAGTTTAATCATTGAGAATATGCCAAAGTCTCCTTTTGCGCCGTCGATCAATGATTTTAATCGCAAAAAAATGTGAAATTCCCGCTCGTATCGTGGCAAGTCATTCTAGTCAATCACTTCTAATTCGTCACTAATCGTTCCTCTCAACTCGTCACACTTCAGATAAAGTTTTTTTTACTTCGCACTTGTGACAAATCCGCAGTTGAAACTAATAAATCTCGGTAAAAATTTTACGACCTTGAATTTCTTCTAAAAACTGATGCAATTTTTATAATTCAAAGACCAATTTTTTTAAACTTTAAAATTTAAATCTTGGGAATCAAACTATGCCTTGGAAATTAATATTCACCAAATTTTTCAAATGATTTGCGTTGTTCCTTTGTCGTAAAATTTGCTTTGCCTGCTTCAAAGAGTTAAATGAAACTTTCCCTTGTAAAAAGACGTGACCTATTTAAAAAAAGTTTGTACTTCATGTTGAGTACAAAGTTATAAGAAAGTCGTTATCCTTATCATGGATTGGCAATTAGTGCACTGTATGGCTGAGATATGGTGGAAAATTATTGAGTTGAAAACATTGATTTACTAGAATTTAAATTACCTGGTCCATGGTTGAAAATAAACCGGCAAAAATTTCTAGCAAGGTCAACCGATTTTAACCAAATTCCACGACCTTTAAAATCTTCAATTTAATTTTGATTCTGAAATAGCCATTCTGGAGAGCGTGACATTTTACATTATATAGCTTAAGTAACAAAATAGTGTTTTTCGTTATTAATTTAATAAAAAAAATAACAAGAGCAAATACTGTGGTTTTCCGAGCCCATTTTCTTTTAAAACGTCTTTGAGCTTCTGTAACTTTTTGCCAGAGGAAGATGGCCCAAAGTAACGTATGAAAAAAGTGATCGCCTTTAAATTATCCATTTTTAAACGTATTACACGTTGTGACCAGGTCACATAAGGTCATTGACCCAGGTGACCTTTGACCTTACCTCGATTTTTTGTTACGTGTGACACATCGTTCAAAAGAGAAAATTATGTGGATCAATTTGGGCCGCAGAATGTTCTTCTAGCTTAGATTTAAGCAGAGTTATAATTCTATTTAATTTTTTACTACCCTTAAATTATTGCTTCGAAAAAACAAACAATAATATTGCTTCTGTAAAGAGCTACAACAGTTTTGAAGAAATCGTAAATTGGAAAAAAATATAAAATTTCAAATTTCACAAAAATTTTCCATCACAGTGAGGTGCACATTTCATTTACCAATTTAATTTGATTTTGGAAATTTTAAAATCAATTTATTTATACCAAATTAAAGATGATTTTGTGTTTGGTTGCAGAGGTTGGAGGAAATTACGGCCAAAGAAGAATCTCAGCGTGGAATCAGCCCAAGAGTTTTCCAGGTGAGTTAATTTATTGTTATTTTTTTTTTCTTAAATAATTTTAATTTTTTTAAAATTTTTTGCAGACGCGAGTTTTTCCGGCTTACCCTGAGTTGGCCGAGCGACTGTTGCGGTCGTTGAGGCGCACAGGTGGCAGCACCGTCGCGCCCCTGACCGCCGACGAGTTGGTGGAGGGGGCGGAAAAGCTGATGACCATCCTTTCGGACGAGCGGCAGACCGAGATGTACCTTCGGATGTACGCAGAGGGCGAGGCCGACCTTTCCAAGACCGCTTTTCAGCAGTTGGTAGCCCTGGCGCACGCCGTCGCCCTCGACCACTACCCTGACGGCCCTCGTTGCTGTCGCAAGACCGACCACACCCTCCACGCCCTTGCAAACGCCGCGGTATGCTGAAAGGGTCGCTTCATTTATTTACTAAAGAAATTGCAAAGAAGACTCAAGTCTGAGTTAAAATAAAACAAAATTTGGTCACTTTAAGACCAACCGAAGTGTCCTGAGGAGGCCGTCATTATCACTTTTCATAAATGAAACTAAATTTTATTCATATCTTCTAAAAAATTTGATATTACACATTTTTCTATGGTAATTTTGCCTCAATCAACACAATTTTTAAGATATTCATATAAATTTATTCCTAAATCAGTTTTCTTAACTTTTGTCAACACGGTTTAAGACTAAAATTTCAAATTAATTTATATTTTGTTAAGGTTTGGAACTTTTTCTGAAAAATTTGTTGTTTTCAGTTTCACGGGAAGGAGAGTTTGTCTGTTGGTTACCTGACGCACTGGATCGCCGAAAACTGTCCGCGGTTGCTGCTCGGGCTGCACCGCTACGTCGTCCACCACCTCAACACCTCGTACCGCACCCTCGACTCACCCCTCGGCACCCTCCCTCAAAACGAAGAGGTAATTTTAAGTTATTAAAACATGAAAAGCATTAAAATTATATTAATTGCTATTGCAAGCTTTCAAAACCTGAGGAGGGTATAAAGAAGGTGAAAATCAAATTACAAATATTTTTTGTAATTTTCAACTTTTTTTTTAAATGATGACTGATTTTTCTTCCAAAATAGTTCAGTTGATTCATGCATTGTAAATATTGGTTGAAGATTTATTATTTTCAATTAAATTTGGATGTTTGTTTGAAACTATTTGTTATTTTGGTTATTTTACCTCATTTCAGGTTTTTTTTAAACAATATTTCCTAATTTTAAGGTTAATAACAGTAATTTTACATAAAAATTGAGATTGGGAGAAACATAAAAAAAAATTTTGAATTTGAAACAGATAAATCAAAAGCAATAAAACAAATTCCAAAGTATGGGTTTTTAAAACATGAAACTTGGTAAATTAAGTACAAATTTTTGATTTCTTATTCTTGTAAGACATTTTGACGTGTTTCCCACCAAAATTTAATTCAATTTATTTGATCAGGAGATGGACTTGGGTACGCCTGTGCTGGAGAACAAGGGCTTTGCGTTCGCCACCTCCGCGGCGGAGGAGAGGGAGGCGGGGGCGTTGCCCCTGTCGCAGGTGTGGCTGTTGGCGGTGAGTCTGCCCAAGGTGTACACGCAGCCCTCGGTCATCCACTCGCCCTCGGCCGGCAGCGGCCTCGCCTCCCTCGACTCGCAGGGCATCATCGCCAGATGGGTACGCCCCCTTCGCAACCTCCCCTCAGACCCCTCATCATCTTTTCTTTTTTCAGCTCGGCAGCGTGTGTCCGTCGCACTGGACGCCCCTTTACAACAGCGACGTCCACGGCCTTGGTGCAAACAGGTGCGCGTTTTTTTTTTTTTATTCAAGACCAAATTAGAATCAACCTTTCATCGATTCAAGGGCAGGAAAGAAAAACATGCAAAAGTCGTTTAGATTGTTCTGTTGTTCATTCTGTTTGTCATGATTAGACTGCTTACCACTTAATTCTTTACTTCTTTATAAAAACAAGTATTCAAAAGGGGAAAACACCAATTTGAATCGTTATTATCCAATTGCATATTTTCTTAGCTCTTTTCTTTTAAGAATATAAAACCAAATTTGTGTTTACTGAAGGCTTCTTGCAATCTGCAATATAACTGTTTTTAAAAAATTAATTTCAATTCAGGACAAACCTTTTGAATAAATTAAACTGAATAATTCATTTTTTTTTCTTTTTGAATATAAATTGTGAAAACAAAGTCCAAATAGATTAAAAAATGTAAATTATTTCCCTTTTTATTTTTACACCTATGGTTTATTTGTGTCGTTGCAGGTTCCTGAATCACGTGCTGAACTACAGGGGGCCGACTCTGACGTTGGTGCGCGGCGAGGGTGGCGTCGAGTTCTGCGTCGGCGCCACCGACGAGTGGCGCGAGACGCACCTTTACTGGGGCGCCCAAGACTGCATCGTCTTGCAAACGCAACCACTCTTCCACGTCATCGAGAGTGAGTTTCCGTTTCATTCAAATTGACCATCAGAATAAAAGTTTTTTTCTAATTTTTCTTTTTACAAAATTCTGAAAAACTGAAATTTAGAGTTTGTTTTCAAACAGCTGATTCTAAGTCGATTCCAACGATATATAACAAAGACAGTTTCAGTCTTAAATTAAAAAATTCTGACTCAATTTGATCCGCCATTTATCCAAGATGGCCGCCAAAACTATAACGAGAATTTAGCTCGGCCAATTTCCATCTAAAAATGGTTTTCTAAGCACCGTTGGAATCCTCTTTGAAAGCTGCATTCTTCAGATTCTGATTGTTGTTGAAATTTGCAGGGGGTGCGAAGCTTGTGTACCTGAACACGTCAATCCGGGGGTACCCGCTGGGGGTGCGGGCGGGGTGCGACCCTCGCAAGCCGAGCCTGAGCGTCAACGAGGCGTTCACGCAGCTCGAGTACAAAGGCATTCCGTACCCGCTGCTCAGCGTCGAGGTCTGGGGCTGCGGCACCTCCCACTCCAGGTGCGTTCCCCTCCCTCCCCTCCCTACCTTTTTTAATAAATTCGTGTTTCGGCCGCAGGGAGGCGCAGCTGGAGCTGAAGAAGTGGCAGGTGAAGCAGGCGGAGCGGCAGCGCCAGGTCAAGCTGTCGGCCGCAGACTGGGTCGACCACCCTGACAGGTACCTCCTCGAGCTCGGCGGACGCACCACCTACAACGACCCCTAGTCCAAAACCACCCTTAAGGCTGATCAATAATAAAAACATTCCTTGTTCTTCTTTTATTCAATTTTCAAATGTGTGGAGGAAAAAGTGCAATAAAACAATAAAATGTAACTGTGCCCCATAATAGTTATAATCTTTTTACTGTGGAAGTTCAATTTCAACTTAATAATTAAATTTCAATAATTGAGTAAAATGAGTTTTAGATTATGCTGGAATCAAAAACGGGCTACTAAATTCTTTCTCGTATTTTTTGATTTAAAATTTACTTTTCATCAAAAGCCATTGTTTCATAAAAAAAATAATCTCCTTTTTTAATTTCAATATATTTACTATTTTAAAAATATTTAGAAATTAATGCATATAAAAAGTTATAGTTTCAAAATAACTCTTAATCTCATTTGTGAATTTAGGCTGCAGTCTCCTGAAGCTGTCAAATGTGCATTTTTATCAAACATTTGAGTTCAATAAGGAAATCAGGACACTGTAAAATAACTCCAGAGATGGAAATTTGTCTAAAAAATAGCACAAGTTTATCTCTCATCGACATCTTTGGCAATTTCCATATGATAACAAGAATTTAGAATATTTATTTTTTTATTCTTTATGCAGAAGATGCAGCAGAGTGAGCTTTATTTATGGAAATATCAGCTTCTTTTTAAAGAATTCAAAATAATATTTTGTTAATTTCTGTTATTTTGTTAAGAAATATGAGAAATATCATCTTCTTGCTAATTTAAGAAATGATCAATATAAAAAGACATAATATAGTACGTCCTTAATGAACAAGATTGGAAATCTCTTTCAACCTTAACATTAACAGTGGACTGCATTCCACCCTCTTTGTCATCCACGGCGTCCAAATGCAACCCCTTTTTCACAGCCCACACGATCAACTTAAGATTTGCCGCCAAATGAAGCGCCTTTTCAAGACAGTTTGATTTTTCATGATTCGAAGACAGCGAAATGTAACTTCCATCCAAAATCATCCTTACAAAAGATTACCAAAGCCAGAACAGAAGAAAACATTTATTTTAGCTGTGCCGAAAGAGGCCAACATTGTGCCATAAAGACGGAAAAACAAAAGAGCAAAAGAAAAGATCATTAATCATTATTATTAATTTGATTAAAATACTTGAAGCTTGAAGGTTATCTTTTATATTTCAATTAAAGATAAATTATAAAAATAAAAATTGTCCAATATTTTTGTAAATTAGCACAAAAAGGTATTAAATGGAATTGAATTGAATATAATTTTTTGATTAAAATTTCAATGCAGCTCTCGCGTTTTATGCAAGTTATTCAAACCGGAAGCAATTAATGTTCAATATGTAAGATAATCTGAATTTTATCATTAATTAATTTATTCTGACTTTGAAACAATATCAAAGCCGAAGGATGGAAAGAGATTCAAGCTGGATTCCTTTCCTACATGAAAATGAATCAACATGAGGCGAAAAAGGCGGAAAAAAGCACGGCTGAAAACCCGCCAATTTCTCAATGCAAGCGCCACGGCCAGCAAAGAAGGAGCAAGTCCAAGCAAGTCTCAGCAAGTTTCTTCTTGCGGTAGGCCAACCGCGAAGTGTGCCAACCTGACATGAATAAATTTCTTTCTGAATTTCAATTAAGCCACTGTAAATATAGCAATAATTTGGAAAAAGTTTATATTTTAAAACAATTCGTTGTTCTTGAGTTAGCGCTAATCAAAATCAATCGCGACTGTCATGGAATTTATTTTACAGTGAAACTTTGTTTGGTTGGTACGAAATTGTTTTTGCCTCCTTCGATCAGTTTGATTGATTAGTCTCGATCAAGTGTTCGGTTTCGCTCTGTTTTTTTGTGAACAATGACTTAATTCCTCAAGTTAATGTCGTTCGCGGGCCTTGACCTTTCGCCGCGACCTCCGGAGGTCCGGAAGGAACGGCCGAAGGTGGGATTTGGGCCTGGAAACGGTCCCAATCGACCGCAATCTCGCGTCCAAGGTTTGTACATAAACCGGCATAACGTGACACAAACCCTTGAAACGGCGGTTTTTGTTTCAATAGAGAGGCTTTTGCGTTTTAATTTCGATAAATTTCATTCCCCAGGAAGAAAATTCACCCTGACCTGATGACCTGAAGGTCCAAGGGGCTGCTGAGGAGGCCAAAAGGCCGTTCGACTGAGGAATCTCACCTTCGAATTGCATTCGTCTTTGGCGTGTTCGTCCTTTGACCCTGAAATGTACCCTGATTTGTCCACCCTGGCGTCGACCCTCATCGTGGAGGCCTCGCCCTGCCTCAGGCCAAAGGTTTTAACATTATATTCATTATTAAACTAATTAATTTCTATATTTTTGCCCATAAGCCTCGGAAGATTGAAAAAAATGTCCCCTAACTTTTCCTGATATTTCTTTCCATTGAAAAATAAAAATATAGAATCATTCAAATCAAAAGCAATCTAATCAAGTTTAAAATGAATTTACAGTCGGTGGTGCCAAAGAAGAGGAGGGACAGTTTTGAAGGCCAATCAAACCCAACAGCAAGCCCTGGAGTCACCCTGACCAAGTCCAGCCAGCGCAGACACCTTCAAAAAGGTCAGTGTTTTTCTCTTTGTACAAATCTTACCAATTGGGACCAAACATTTCTAAAATGCCCGAAATCTGCTCGATCGATATTTAGATTTTGTCTTATTTTGAAAATTCATTCATGCACCACAAGCGAGATATTACAAATGAAGTTCAGATCAGGGCACATTCTCCTCAAGGAATATCTTAAACTCTTTTTGATTTGTAGCAACGAATCGATTCGCGGAAATGAATTAAATGAGCAACTGCGAACCTCGATTGGAAATCTCTATGATTGAGTGAAATTATAAATCGCCCATCTTTGTAAATTTCAAATCAAAATGCATTATGCTAATTTGAAATTCTCAATCGCAGTCAGCACGAATATAAAGAAAAAACAAAGAAAGGAGAAATTAATCGGAGATCAAAAAGAAATTGCAATGTCTAAACTTTGCGCTGCGGATTTTTGCTAAACAGGCAGATTGAGAGTTTGCTTATTTTGTGGGCAAAATGGATTTTATTTTACTATTGATTAAGAAATCAAGGAGAGAATTTGAAGTTTTCACGAAAAAGCTTTATTATAAAATTATTTTTCGGAAAAAATTAGAACACCGTAGTGGAGAGATCAGCAAAAATAGACTCTTTATAGATACAAAGGATCAAGTTTTAACAAATATTTCCAAAATATTAAATATTTAAATCAATTTTCTTGTTCCTTTTGTAACATTAGAAGAATTTAATTTGACTGAAAGATGTGCAATTTAACTCTTTTTCTTGAGTGATGGTTGTAAAGAGCGAGTTTGATTACTTTTCTTCTGATGCCGAGTCTCCTTTCGGGCGTCAAATGCATTTGTCCTCAGCTGGGAAAGAAAAGACAAAGTCGCCGCTTGCATTTGGTTTGGTGGCTTTGGAACAATCCATTTGTAATTAGTATATTATTCAGTAATATTCTGATTGTAATTTTTATATCACTCTAAATTTTCCAATTTCAAAATCCAAACAAATGCAACAATCGCAAAATCAGCCCAATGGAAGAAACAAATTGTTCAAAAACCGAAAAATAATCTGATTATTGAAGCTCCTATTAACTAAATTATTTTTAATTCAAACTTTCGCAGGAAAAAAAAGACTTGAAATTATTAAAGACGGAGAAAAGTGTATTCATCAAAAATAAAAGTATAATCTTAAATTAAGTAAGGAAAAGATTCAGTAAGTGCGCAGAATAATTTTGTTAGTAAAATCGAATAGATTTTATTCACAACTTGACAAATTATGCTTCAAGTAAGTCATGCGTTTTTCCTTTAATTGTTTAATTTACGAATTTCAACAGAAATTCAATTTAAAATTTATCTGAAGACTTTGCTTGCACATTTGGAACTTTTTATAATTTATTCCATGAAAAAACGAATAATTATTAATTGGAGAAATTAATTCCAAGGGATGATGACCTGCTCCGTGTTCACTTTTTTCTTTCAGGTTTCATTGAAAGTCAACTCTCTGCAGCTGAGAAATACAAACAGAATGAAAAAAATTACGCTTGGCATTGTTAAATTTCTCTGGAGACAATTACACGCAATGAATATCATTGCGTATCATCATATAAGTCAGCCTTGTCTTTTGTTGTTGTTGAGGTGAAAAAGGAAAACACAGCGAATAGGAAAATTAATTATTCTAGCAACACGATTTTTTTTCTTTTGCTATTGCCATTCATTCCGATTGATTTTGTTGCGAGAAACGGCGGTTCTCATTTTCCCTCCGAATCAAAGTGCCCTTTTTGACGCGGGGTCATTTTTTTAACAAAGCGTGCGTTAAGTTTTGTCAAAACAATTAAAATAATTCCCATTTGTCTTTGGCTGAATTAATTAATTTAGGTCAATTGCAAATTAATTCAGCAATCGGGAGCTGAAGAAGTGAAGGTCAAGCTTTCTGCTGGTTGACCACCCTATATATCTCGGCGGACGCACCACCTACAACGGACCATTACAAATTTATTTACATTTTTTGCTCCAGCAGCGAAATATGCAATAAAATGAACATTTAGACTCCTTTTTATTCAATCAAATTGTTAATATTGAAAGGAAATGTTGTACAAAGGCGTGAAGAGTAAATCTCTTCAATTTTTACATTTTTTATTTTTAATAAGTGTTTTATGCGTGACTTGTTTCTTATTCAAGACTCTTGTTGAAGGTTTTTTTTTATCGAGTCCAATAAGATTTAAAACAAAATATTGATAAATTTTATTAATAAACTGGTTCTCCTCCCTCTCGATTTTTCCTTTTAATCAAATTTATTAAACACCAAAAGTAAGAATTTTTTAATGAGACAAAATTCAATTTTTTTCCAAAGCAAGTTTTTATGACTAATTGATTTCATAAAAGCAATTTACAATTTTGGAAAAGCAAATGGCACACTCATTTAGAATAAAATGTTCGTTGCTCGTCGCATTCTTCGAGATATCTGATTCAAAATTCGTAGTCAACGCTGCAGAGTATTGCGGCTTTGATCGTTTGGGTGTGGCGGCAATTTCGCTAAAATTCGCTTCAAATCTTCAAAATCTTGCGGCCGAGCCACTTGCAAGGCGGTTTTGCCATCCACATCCGTCAATTCCGGATCAACGCAGTTTTTTAAAAGCCACTCGAATGCTTGAGAATTTCCTTTCATGGCCGCGGTGTGCAGCGCGGTTTCGTTTCTCTGTGTCGTTTTCACAATTAGTCTGGAATTTTTAGTTTTAATATATTCTAGTAGTTCCAGTATTTCATATCGATTATAATTATTTGCCACGAAGTGCACAACATTCCAGCCGTCGTCGTCCTCAGCTTCAATCGGCAACCCAATTTCCTCAACCAACCATTTACACTTTTCTTTACAATGAAGATGACTTTGCGCTGCGTAGTGGAGCACCGTTTTATTTGCCTTTGTTTTCTGCTTGACCAGTTTTCCACAAAGTGCATGCAGTTCTTTTAATTTACTTAAGACACAATAACGTTTTGCCATCAAGTGCATCGCATTCTCGCCGTCGTTTGTTAAAGATTCAATTAGATGTGGACATTTCTTGAGAATGAACTTAATCACTCCAATTTTTCCCTCACTCGCAGCAAAATGCACAAATTTCCATCCGTCGTTGTCCTCAGATTCAATCTCCAACCCAATTTCCTCAACCAACCATTCACACTTTTCTTCAGAACACCAACCACTTTGCGCTGCGTAGTGAAGCACCGTTTTATTTGTCTTTGTTTTCTGCTTGACCAATTTTCCACAAAGCGCATGCAATTCTTTTAATTCATCTTTTTCACTATAACTTGCTGCCATCAAGTGCATCGCGTTCTCGGCGTCGTTCGTCAAAGATTCCATCAGACCAGGGAATTTCCCGTGAATGAACTCTATCTTTCCAATTTTCCCTCCACTCGCTGCAAAGTGAAGAGCGTTCCACCCTTTACGGTTCACGTCGCTTGGGTCCAATCCCTGTGCCATCAGCCATTCGATTGTTTCCTCATTCAACCTATTTTTGCACGCGATATGAAGCATTGTTTCTCCTAAAATCGTTTTTTGCTTGATCAGTTCAGGTTTTTCCTTGTGCAGATACTGAAGTATTTTTCCTCCTTCCTTATTCCTTTTATTAACAGCAGCACAGTGGGCTGCATTCCACCCCTTGTCGTCCACGGCGTTCAAATCAACCCCATTTTCTACGAGAAAAACGCACAACTCGAGATTTTCCTTCTCTGCCGCCAAATGAAGCGCTGTTTTGCCTTCCTTCATTTCTTGCTTAATCAAATCGCCGTCTCGACTGTGAAAGAATTCGACAATTTTTTTTCCTTCACTCCAATAACATGCAAATTGAAGGAGGTTGAGGCCATGATCATCATCTACAGATTTGATGAGCGCAGGATCCTTTTCCAGGAAGTACTTCGCCAATTCCAAATTTCCTTTTCCGATATGTAAAGCGTTCCGTCCTTTATAATCCTTGTCGCCGATTTTGAAGTCGCATTCTTGCACCAGCCACCGACAAATTTCCAACGCGGCCGAGTGTTTTTTCGAAGCCCTTATCTCTGCCGCCACATGAAGGGCAGTCCTGCCGTCGTCAAAAACTGTCTTCTCAATCCCCCTGTATTCTTGCTGCAAAAACTTCGCCGCTTCAACATTTCCTATTTTAATAGCATATTGAAACAGTCTTATTGCGAGTTTTTCGGGCGGTTCGCTTTTCGTCCCAAGAAGTGCCCTTATCGTCTTTTCTTCCATATAATAATTGTAATATTCAAAATTGCTAAATTCATAAAGAAATAGAAAGTCCACACAGGCAGTTGGAAAACCGTGCTGAATAAGAAGTTCAACGCACTCGACGCTGTTTGTTGATACCGCAAATACAAGAGCATTGCTTTTGACCAAACCGTGCATGTCGATTAGTCCACTTTCAATCACCAATTTAAGCATCTCGTGGTGATTCTTTTCAGATGCATTCGTAACAGCAAAACTCATATCATTGTCATGATTCGCTTGGCATTTTTCAATTAAACCATGAGTGGAACACTTTTCTACGAGCGCTGCAAAGAGTTTCAAGAAATTGTTCTTAACTGCACCGCAAAGTATTTTTGTGATTTCATTGATTTTTGAAAATTCCAAGCTTTCAAATGCGCCATGATTCAAAATATTCAGAGCAATTTCTTCGTTTTTCCAACAGGCTTCTTTTAAAATTTGATATCCATTTTCAAAATGAAATTTGGCCTTGCTGCGATTCTTCCCAAAGCTGATTTGGTTTTCGTAAAGGGAGAACATGGTCGGCAGGTTTTCGCTGACTAGAATTTCAGCGATCATCTCTTTCGTTATTTTCTCCATAAAAAATAATTCAAGAGATGATTTCAAAATTGCAGTTTCTTCATCTTTCTCCCTGGATATTTTCATATCCACGAATTTTCTAACTTGTCTGTATTTCTCTTCCAATAAATCGATAGGCATTTCAAATTTTTTGAATTTTTCGCCATTCAGGCATTCTATGTAATTTTGAGCAGCAAGAAACTCGGCGAACGTTTGGTGCACGAAAACAATGTTTCCTTCAACCAGAGTCACAATTCCATTGCGGGTGTATTTTAAATCCTCAACACTCTCGTTATTTAGATATGAAAGTGAAATAGTTTGCAACTCTTTCTCACATTTTTCAAGTGCTTCCTCGTACATCATATTCCCCTCAGTGTAATCTACAGCAAGCGCTTCACGCATTTTCTTCTGGACAATTTTCTCGTAAATGTGAAACAAGTTTTGTGAATCTTTTCCAGAAAATGAGTCTTCTGTTTGAGCGATCATTTTCAAGTGAAGAGGATTGCTTAAGATATCGTAAGATCCGTTACGTTGAAAGTTTGCAATCATTCGGAGAATAAAAAGCATCCAGCCGCTATGAGGGGTCGCCGGTAGAAATTCTATTATCGGTTGACTTGATGGTTTCTTAAAGTTTAAACAGTCAATTTAAGTTGTTATCAAAATAATTCAAAATTTACCCCTTGTGCGTCCTCTGTCGCTCTTCCCACGTCAATCAGAAAGAATAGCTTTGGTTTTCCTTGCCACTCTTGTGACTCGGGGCCAAGAAGCGAGTGAATCAAATCGCCGATCGGCACTGGCTCATTTCCACTCAGGTTGACGCAAACTTGATTTTCTTCCTCTGTGACCTGAGCAAAAAAGAACGCTGCGAAGCATCCATAATCGCTCCACGACTTTTCCTCTGAAACAATTTGCTTTGTAAAACATGCAAATAATATCAGAATTGTAATTCTTACTCAATTCTGCAAAGTATTTTTCCACACTTTCCAAATCTGAGTTGATTGTTTTAGTTTCAAATCCAAGATTTTCAATGAGACTGTATTCTAATTTTTTAATCTCGTTTCCTTGGTGAAATATCACTGCGAGTTTCCCTCTGAAAACAGACTTTGTGTTTGGATTCATCCAATCGAATTCAATCGTCGATTGGCTTTGGCCACTAAAATGAAAGATTTTGATAAATAATTTCCATTTTAAATTAAAAAAATTCTACCAATTCTCGAATGCAGAAAAGAAGAACTTTCTGTCATGCGGAAACATTTTAATTTCCATTGTTTGTTCCGTTTGCTTTTGAGTTCTGATATCAGGCTGTGCTTTTATCGCCCATTCGTGAATTCTGTTTTGCATTCCGGTGGAGAAATGAGCGAGGCTCTCGTTCGCTCTCATCAGGTTGAGTTGTTCACACAAACACTGGACAAGCCATGTCCCTTTACGAGGATCTCTGTCCGCAGTTGTTGCTAAAATTATTATTAAATGATCGCCAGCTCAATTAAAAATTCCAAGTTACTTTCAACCGTTGAGTAGAAAATAATCGTGTTGTGCATTTTCGGCTCAAACGAAACGTTGCTTGAGTAGTTTTTTGCCGTGTCTTGGCTATCTGCTTGATTTGTGTCTCCGAATGAAAGTTCACCTCTGCACGGCTGAAAGTGAGGGCCAATCAAACTTTTGTTGTACAAATTATATAATCTAAAAGTTATTAAGAAAAAAAATACCCCAAGGAACAGGAGCCGCAAGCATTTTGCACATGTTTTTTCCAGTTTCGCAAACAATTCCTTTGTGTTGAACGAGTCGTAAACATTTGATATGATTTCGTCTGTGTAAATCTTCCCCTTGGGACCTCCATGCGACAAAATGATGAAAATGAACATCGATGGCTCTACGTCTGTTTGCATTTAATTAGGTAAAATTTTGTTATGAAAAGAATTTATACCCTCAGAAGCAAAGAATTTCTTTAATTTTTTCTCATCGGCCAACAGAGCCAAAAGGTCTTCCTTTTTTGGCGACGGCAAATCTCTGAATCGGCACTTTCGGTTTTCAGCAAATGTTTTTCTCAGATTCTCAACATCCTTGTCGTTTCCCTTCCGGGGCCAATCGTCTTTGCCCTCTTTGAAGTCGTAGTGGGCCACGAGCACAAACACGCTTTAGGGTGATAAATTTATTTATAAATATTTTTTTTATTGTGTCTGAAAAAATGAGATGAATAAATAATACTTGTCTGCGTTTTCTCTCCCGTTTGTTGTTTGGAAAAACCCTAGTCTCGCATGTCCTTTGGGAGAAACTTGGTTCCAACCTTTTATAAAATTAATTTTCAATAATCAAGAATTGATAATTAAAAAACACAGACCTTTTTTGACAGTTTTATGCAATTCGACATGTTTATGCGACATTTTAAAGGCGATTTCAATACTGCAGAATTTTTCATCTGGAAAAGTATTAGAAATAAAATACAATGAGGGCGATCCAAAAGCCTAACCTGGCCCAGGCTAACGTGACTTAGCCCCGGGCTAACTTAGCCCACCAGCAAAATTGAATGGCGGGTTAAATAAGTCCAGGCCAGGTTTATTTAGCCTGTGCCAAGTTAGCCTTTTGGATCGCCCTCATTATAATAAAAAATATATAGCCTATATAATTAATTAAAAGGTTTGTTTTTTGAATAAAAACAATTTTACAACGAGGAAAAGCCCGACTCTTCATTTCCATAATTAATTAATTAAGCTTTTTCTTAACTTTTCGCGCTCGATAAACTGGGTTGCTTCAAATGTAAACCTAATTCAACTGTTTTTTTTTTTTTTTTTAAATATTTGGAAGTTAAAGGCCACTTTGGCAAGTAATATACATGAAACCATTCTTTGTACTTATTTAAATTTGTTAGTTGAAACCTTAAAAATATTTTAATTTTTCGTAACTTCAAAAATTTCCTAACGTATTTGGAAATTTCGCTACTAATTTTGCTATCGGAAAAAAAGAATCTAATGTCTAATGAAGAATTGAAACAATAACAAGCAATTTACTCAATCAAAACGATTTCTGAGTGATTAATTTTACTGAGAAGACTTTAAAAAGATCGTTTCGTTGTATTCGGTTGTATTATTGACACAAAGTAGGTGATAATTAAGATTTAACTATCACAAAATACTTATTCAAATGTTTGAAAAGTTAATTTTGAAACTTCAATAAGTAGCCATGTTATTATTTTAAATTTAAATGAATTTTCATTTTGCATCGGCCTTACAAATTTTAAGTATAATTGTTTTTTATTCTGCTCTACATTTTAATGGCCCGTTGAGATTTATCAGGCCTGACTGCCACCTCATTTAAAATGCCAACTGCGGCTATTTGCGTGATAAGGAATGGAGATAATAAAAATTAGAAGCTACAAATCTTCTTTGTCAGTAAGTTTTTTGCAACTACTCACAAAAACTTCGTTACTAGTTCACAAAAATCTGATATGAGAAAAAAGTTATCATTGAAATGACAGACCGTTTAATTTCGCAGAGCGACTAAAATTAATGGGAAAAAGTAGATTTAGCTCAAAGATTTTAATTACCAGTGATAAAGAATATAAGTCTTGTTTCAAGTTTGCGAATAGATCAGATAAGAGCTTAAAAGATGGACAGCAATGCCACTCTTATTTTAATGTAACCGTCAGAATTGCTTCAAGTGAAGAATTCAGAATTTTTTTTATACAACTACAATTCCACTTGCATGGAAATTTAAAACATATTTCAAAATCTGCTCAGTAACAAAGGCAAATTTCATAAATCACTATTTTTGTTCGTTTTCAATTTTATAATTGCTAAATTGATAAAGTGTTTTGTGAAAAGATCGTAAAGTAAAACCAAAAGCCCTTAATTTAGGCCCAACGAAACTCACCACGTTTCAGCTTTGAGTGGAAACCGCGGCCATCGAGTTTTCTTTTCACTTCGAAATGCAGAGTTTGTGCGAAGCTGGAAGGAGAGTGAAGTGCGCTCTGATAAGGACACGCGTCATTTTTATATCAAATCAAGTCAAGGTTATAGACTTTTCATAAAGTCTAATGATTACTTGGTAGAAAGGAAATTGATAATGATTTACACGCACGTGCCAAATATTGCAACTTCAAAATTAATTTTTTAAGATCTTTCAACGTAATTGCAGATTTTCTTCGAACTCACTCACCCAGAATCACGGAAAACAAGGCTCAAGATACTAAAAAAATAAAACAATATAGAAGTAGAAAAATTTTAAATTTCAAATTTTTTTTATATCGTAAAGAAACATTAGAATTTCAAAGTAACAATCTGTTTTGCCTGGTTTTAAAATTTCCAAGAGCTAAATTTTTTATCTGTGTAGCGGCCGCACATGCTAATTGCGTGCAAAAATCAAGTAATGATTTTTGCAAAAAAAGAACATCAGACAATTTAATACGTTTACCAAGGACGATCGCCTCCTCAGAATCAAAAGAAAAATGCTTAATAATTCCAGGGAAATGCTGGCAGATTTGGAATCCTCATTGAAGGCAGAGCTCACAAGGGAACATTTTTAGGTGCCCGACGGCGATTTTGATCAAATTTGGCATGTCGATTTGGATGCCCTAGTAGAGCCCAGAATTAAATTATTAGCTGCTGAAATGCATTTTTCACCCCTACAGAAGGGTTTGAAGTTGCCATTTAAAATACATGGGGAAATTATTTATTATCTCAAATTTGCAACTTTGTTGATTACTGTGGCTTAATTTTTGCTTGTTTGAGCCACCGATGAATAGAACAATAAATATTTGCCCCACAAAGTGAGCCCGACCCTTAATTTCCACCCCCTTGACGGTATATTCAGCGAAGCCCAGACGTATTTTGCCAACTTTGAGAGCTCGCCATGGGCGAACCGTTGATCGAATTTAAAAAATCTTGGCAGATTCTGAAAGCCCTACTTTCTGCAAATTTGACTGACACAGTTAGAATTGTGTAAGAATTCAAATTATAATTGTTTAATCAAGAAAACAAAAAAATAAATGAGAAATCACTAATGGGAATTTGCATAAGCAACATTTCAACTATGGCGAGTGTGAAACATGTTTCTAGGGGTAATCGACCCTGCCGAACACGATTCCGGGGTCAGTTTTTCGATTTATTCGTTAGTTCTAATTTTTACCCTTAATTTGCAATTATTTTCAATAAGTGCCTAAAATGTAACGCGTGGAGATAAAAATCTGAAAATTGCTGGAAGGGTAGATCTTGAACATAATAGTAACGTAATTTTTCTATACTTGCTTTTTTCCGGAAAATTGCCCATTTTCATAAGGGGTCCACGTTTTGATCGATTTCTCAACTTCTATGGGAGCTAAAAGCAAAACTTGATGTGATTCTGAAAGCTGATTAAATTTACAATTTTTCGTATGTAAACGTTAATTTTCCAACTCCGGCTGCTTTTCCGGAAAAGCGAATTAAAAAAATTATTTATTTTTCCCAGAGAGTATGCAACCCGCAACAAAAAGTCTAGATAGCCAAAATGTAGCTTGGTTCTTTGGCAAGACACCCCTAAAATTTCAAAACTTTTCCTTCAGCCGTTTTTCCGCAATCGCCGATTTTCCCGACCCCTTTTGAGAAAATCAAAACTTTTCCGGAAAGGCAAGTGTGATACATCATTCGATTAGGCACATCAAGGAGATGCTAGAAATAAATTTTTATCAAAATCGGATCATTTTTCCAATTTTTAGAGCAGTTTTCATTAAATAAAAAAATTAAAAAATTCAAACTTTTTTAAAAATTGGAAAGTTTTGAAATTTTAGGGGTGTCTTGCCAAAGAACCAAGCTACATTTTGGCTATCTAGACTTTTTGTTGCGGGTTGCATACTCTCTGGGAAAAATAAATAATTTTTTTAATTCGCTTTTCCGGAAAAGCAGCCGGAGTTGGAAAATTAACGTTTACATACGAAAAATTGTAAATTTAATCAGCTTTCAGAATCACATCAAGTTTTGCTTTTAGCTCCCATAGAAGTTGAGAAATCGATCAAAACGTGGACCCCTTATGAAAATGGGCAATTTTCCGGAAAAAAGCAAGTATAGAAAAATTACGTTACTATTATGTTCAAGATCTACCCTTCCAGCAATTTTCAGATTTTTATCTCCACGCGTCACATTTTAGGCACTTATTGAAAATAATTGCAAATTAAGGGTAAAAATTAGAACTAACGAATAAATCGAAAAACTGACCCCGGAATCGTGTTCGGCAGGGTCGATTACCCCTAGAAACATGTTTCACACTCGCCATAGTTGAAATGTTGCTTATGCAAATTCCCATTAGTGATTTCTCATTTATTTTTTTGTTTTCTTGATTAAACAATTATAATTTGAATTCTTACACAATTCTAACTGTGTCAGTCAAATTTGCAGAAAGTAGGGCTTTCAGAATCTGCCAAGATTTTTTAAATTCGATCAACGGTTCGCCCATGGCGAGCTCTCAAAGTTGGCAAAATACGTCTGGGCTTCGCTGAATATACCGTCAAGGGGGTGGAAATTAAGGGTCGGGCTCACTTTGTGGGGCAAATATTTATTGTTCTATTCATCGGTGGCTCAAACAAGCAAAAATTAAGCCACAGTAATCAACAAAGTTGCAAATTTGAGATAATAAATAATTTCCCCATGTATTTTAAATGGCAACTTCAAACCCTTCTGTAGGGGTGAAAAATGCATTTCAGCAGCTAATAATTTAATTCTGGGCTCTACTAGGGCATCCAAATCGACATGCCAAATTTGATCAAAATCGCCGTCGGGCACCTAAAAACGTTCCCTTGTCAGAGTATAATTATTTCCAAAGCTAATTACTTGTCGAAACATTTTATTTCATAATTTTTATTAAAACGTAAATTTTGTGAAAAATAATTGTATTATCATGAAGATTCCGAATCTGTTCTCCCACATTGTGATAAGTCTTTTAATTTGATAACGCTCCACTGGCAGATGAATCACTTAGTCAGCAATAATCAAAACACACTCATGACTCGTATATCTTCATGCAATTCTATAATTCTGAATTACATTTACAATGTCTTCTACACATTTGTTGGCCAGTCGACTGTAAAATAAGTTAAATTATGCTCACACATAAAAAATACCCAATTAATGACAAATTTTTTGCCTTATTTTTTTATAATTTGACTAGATTAGTAATCCAAGCCAAGACTAACTCCGAGGATTGCAAATTTCAAATTTAAGGAACATTCGTTGCTAAATAGAAACGGTTTTATTTGAAGGTATGCAACCGGCAGCGCGTGCGAGTCGTGCTAGTTGCTTCTGAGCTTAACTTTTTATATTACTCAAGTTTATGGAAAATTTTTAGCCAGAATTTCTACAGCTCAAATTATTGCCATGATTATTTCCTTTTTACAACTATTAAGTAAGATTTAGAATCTAAATTTTATAGTTTCAAGAATAAACATAAAAAATTGTTCACTTTAAAATTTCATTTATTTCTGTTTCGTCATGAAAATATCCAAATAGAAAATTACAATCTTCCTTATTGCCTTACGAGCTAATTGAACAACTTATCTTGTAATACAATTATTTACAAAATTGCACAGATTCCGGTTTGTCTTTGGAGCTGCTGAGCCCCTGATTGATTCACAGTTTGGCACTTTTACAGACAAAAATTGGCACTCGAAAGTTGAAATTGAGAATCACAAAAGCGTCCTCTGGTCTCGTTCCTTGACTAGAAACAAAGTTGGAGAGTTTCTGCTCAGTCCATGTCAGGTCCAAACTCGTCTTCCAACTGCAAAGTCAGAATGCATAAAATTTTATGATAAATATATGACTAAAAAAACGGACCAGCTTTTTGTTCTTGAGCGCCTCCAACTCGTCCTTTTTGTCCCGCCTGAAGAAGCCGAGCTGCAATTTTGAAAATTTAGAATTTTTCATGGTTTTAATTATTTTTCTCACCTTGACGAGGGCGAGGATGATGAGGAGGAGGATGAGGACGCCGAGGATGATGGCGAGGGCGATCATCCACGTGGGCACGCCCTTGTCGGGGATGGTGCCGAGGAAGAGGGTGTGCACCACGTGGCCGTCGGGCCGGTCGTCGGCCGGCTGCGTCGCCCTCGAACCCTCCACCAGCGTCGCCATTCCGCTGCTCGCAAACCAAATCACGTCCTTCTCCCCCAACAGCCCTCCTGCAAAATTTAATTTCATATTTAAAAAAATTGAATCTGAAGAAAAATTTTTCAATTACTAATTTATTTTGAACTGCACTAAGAATTCTATAATTTATTTCACTTAAAATGCAAAAGATTCCGATCAAAAGCAAATTTAAAAGATTATTTTTAGGACAAGAGTAAGAAATTATGAAATAATCAAACTTCAATTATTTTCCCCTCAGTATTCAGGGAATAAGAAAAGTTTTGTGTCTCACTGAGTTTGCTGATGTGGGCGGTGAGGGCGAACGAGACGACGGCGGGGGTGTTGGGGCCGGCGAGGGGTCCGACGAGGCACTCGACCACCACGCACCGCACGTTGGCCTGCGTGCAGTTGAGGAAGAGCGTCCGGTTGGCCGGCACGTGGCCTGTGGCCGCCTCTTTGGCCGCCCTCTTCGTCCTCTTCTCCACCCCCTCACCCTCCTTCGTCGAGCACAGAAACTCTTCCCCGTCCAAGTACGCCTGCGCAAAATTGCAATCAAAACCAATTTTAATAAATTAAACACAAAATTCTAAAATTAAAGTGGGGCATTGGTAATTTTTCTATGTATGAATATGAATAAAATTCTACATTTCATGATCAAAGTGGAAATCAAATTTGAAAAAGACGCATTCTAAAAATTAAAAACTGGGCATTGAGTTTTGGCGCCAAAAGAATTTGAACCTCAGTCCTTGATAAATGGCTGTTTTCAACTAATTTATTGTTTTTGCAATCAATGAGACTTCATTTAAAGTTTATATTGGTTTGGCGGGAAGAGTAGAACATTTGTTTGATCCGCGAGGGGTGCAAATTTCTCAAATTTGGGCTTTTTCAACTTTCAGGGAAGAAAATATTACTAACGTCTCTCTTAGAAGCTAAATAAATAAGAAAAAACTGACCTTTGGCGTTTTGATTTCGAGGAAGGTTTCGAGGCGATTGTTGACCTCGACCTGGAAGGGCAGGGCCATGAGCAGGTGCACCCTGTCGACAGGGCTGGGACCGTAGTTGGTGACCTCGTAGGTGTGCACCAGGGAAATGGCCTCGTTGGTCGCGCTCTCGTTGTGCCAGTCCACAAAGTACGTCAACAAAACCGATTTTCTGTTTAAAAAAAATGTCAAAATTCTCCATAATTCCAAAAAAAAATTGAATAAAATTTTACCCTGTGACCGCGATGTCCGCCTCGGTGACCAACGGAATGGTCAGGTTGTGCAGGTTGTCTGCCAGGTTCAGGTCGTCGCCTGCGCTCGTCGCGTTCACGGCCACGCTCAAGCTTTTCGTGCCTGGCGCGATGTTGGCCATCTCCAGTTCTAGCTCAATCGACGCCTGAAGAAATAAAAAAGGACATGTTAGGCAACTTTTTTACGCCAAATTTGAGCGTGTTGCATAATCTTAATTAAATTTAAGTTTATAAATTTTAAAGAAAATACATAGATTTTTCACAAATTCAAAGGTACAAAATTTCCCCTTCTAAAATTAGTTATAATTTTGTCAACCAAATTTTATAAATCATTCAAATTTTTAATTAAAAAATAAATTTTTTTCACACATTTTGAACCAAAAAACTTAAAACTGACCTTTGCCTTGGAGGGGAGGGGGTTTCCAATGTCGCAGGTGAGTTTTTCGTTGGCCTCGAGGCAGTTTTTGGGCACCCTGGCGAGGGGCGCGTCAGGTGGCAGGCGGACGACGAGCTGGGCAAGGAAGGCGGGTTCGCCGTCGTTGGTGACCTCCAGGGTGACCCCGAGCCGCTTGACTGAGCCGATGGCCACCGGCGTGCTCTGCGTCAGGGTCGCCGCCACCTTCAGGTCCGTCTCGCACACGTCGTCCTTGCGGCAGCCCGTCGAGTACGGCACCCGCGCCCGCACCACCGCCAGGCTGTTCGGGTCGATGACCGCGCAGCTCTTGCAGAAGCCACGCCCACCACCTACCTGACGCCGCGACCGCACCTTCGAGTTGTCGATCTCGGACTCCACCTGCAGGTCGATCGGCTTCGAAAAGTCCTGGTTCGAAGTCTGGAAGAGAAAAAAAAATGAGAATTATTTTAACTTATAAATCCAAATTTCAGAATTAACGGAAATATTTTTAATTATAAGCAAATGATAAGTTTTGTTGCATTATTTCCTTATTAATTTAATTAACGGAAATTCGAGATTAAATTGTCTTTATAGTCCCCACTGGATTTTCAAAACATTGACATTTGTTAAAGTTAATATCATAAAAACTGCAGTAAAAAAATAATTTTGAAAATATTGAGAAAACAAGATTAAATTCAGAAAGGCCAAGTTCAGACGATTGTAACGATATGTTACAAAGATACTTTTCGATAAAAACTGGCCAAGTTGCAACAATTCGAAGTATCGTCTCGTCCGCCATTTTAACAAAGATGGCTGCCAACCGAAAATTACTCATATCTCCGTCAATTCTTGTCTGAATACCATTTCCGGCATATCTTTGGAATCCTCTCTTCAAGGACTACCACTTTTGATAATAACTTCACGTTGGATTTTCATCGTCTTTCCCTTTAAATATGGCAGCGGTGTCTATCACTAATTCATAAACTGATCGCAAAAGGTAATATTTCTTTTCAAAATTAATAAACCCGGAAAGAAAATGAACTTTTTTTATGTTCTCTTGATTTTCATCTTTAAAACTAGCTCAATTGCAATGAATTAAAGCAGACAAAATTTGAATAAATTCTCACCTGAATAATTTCAACGTTGAGCTCCTGGCAAACGGGCGTCTGCAGTTTCAGTCTGGTGGTGAAAGTGAACGAGTTGGTTTTGCCGCTGGGGGTGACGAAAACTGCCCTTTTGAAGACAGGGTCGGCGGTCACCGTGATTTTGGCATCTAAAATGTCAATATTTTAATTTTAAGTTTTTAAAAAGTGAACAATGTGGCTATAATCAAAATTAATTAAAACTAGAAAAACTAGCTGAATTTTAAATGAGATTGATTAAAGAGAGACGACGTGAATATTCAATAATAATTGAAGACATTTATAAAAATCTCAATTAAGTTGTAATTATTTTGTTTTTCTTGTTGAAGATTTAATTTTTTGTAAATGGTCAATTCTAAAATAAATTATACTGTAATTTCATGAAAATTAACAAAAGTAAAAATGTAAAATTGATAATTAGGTTCGATTAAATATAAAAAATTGAAGATATATTGAAATGCAAAGTTAATTTTTTCCATTAATGAGATAAAATTTAAATACTGACCGATGAAGTTGGGGGCGTGATTTCCGACGTAGGAGAGGCAGGCGTTGGCCTTGAAGGCGGTGGCGTTGAAGGCGATGCGGTCGACGCTGGGCCGGATGTTGCCGTTGAAGACGACAACGGGCCGCGAGCGGAAGAGGACGGCGTGGCCGGACGCGTGCGCGCCCACCGCGAAGTCAGGGTAGGCGTTGCCGTCGACGTCGACGCCCCTGCTCAGGCTCACCCCGAACCCGCGCAGCCCCCCGTCCACCTCCCTGGCCGCGATGCGTTGCGCGAACTTGACCTCCAGCCCCGACCGCCGACCGTGGTACACGTAAACAGCCCCACGACCCTCGTCCTCGTACGGCGCCCCCACAGCCACGTCTGCGAAACAAATAAAGAAATTTATTAAAAATTTTAATAAAATTGCATTGCAAAGTTTTTTTACAATTATTATTGGCAGTTAAATTGTTTACAATTAAAAAATAATTAAAATTCCTTTTTTTTTTGCAATTCGGAATGTTAATTTAAGTCCAGATATAGAAACATAGAAAATTGGCTTCAAACCAGGGGCTTATCAAAGATTCAACTTTTCCCGCTAAATGAATTTGAACCTGGGAAAAAATCACTAAATTAGGTCAAATCAAAAGAGCAAATATTCTGCTTCTAAAATGAATGATTAACTTTCCCACTGAAATTCTAATGCTTTTGGCGCGAAAACAAAACGCCCAGTTTTAACCCTTGAGGGTGGAAATTTTTCAGTCTCAATATCAACTTTCGTCATTAAATTTGGCCTTCTTTAAAATTCAGTAATACAAAAATTTACTGGTTTCCCTCTTTAATGGCTTTCTGAACGTGAAGGAGACCTTGTAATTTTGACCCTTTATCTCAATATTTGATTTTTATATTAAAACTAGAAAATCTTGAGTGGGAACATTATAAATTATAAATTTACGCGCTAAAAAACGCATGTTTCTTTCGAAGGGAAAACTTTGTAGAAAATTTTGCGGAAGAAAATGAGGAAAATAATCAAAGAATAATAATTTGAATTTAATATGGTTTCGGATAAAAACTTATTTTAACATTCATCTCGTATAATATCCTCTAACAATTTCACCTTTTGGACTATTTTGGACAAAGTAAGTGGCATTTTTTAATTTAACTCTAAAAAACTTCTCTTCCCCAGAAAGGTAATTAAAGGCGAGGCATGCTTTTCAAATATTTATCCACTGCAAGAAACGTTTTGAGAAAATAAATGATTCCTCCGACGAAGAAAGAAATTAGCGGTCACTCTCTCATGCAAATTACAGCCTCGAGCGTCACGAACGTGCTCCGTGCACATAATTATTCTCTTCTTTTTCGCTCCAACAACCAGAAAATGACGTCACTGCAAATCCTCACAAGTATAAACACGAAATCCGTAAATTTAGTTGTTGCTCGACTTAAAAGTCAAAAGTGACATCACGTTTGCTGTTTAAAGAATCAAACGTTTTGCACTCTCGCCACAAGCAATTTGCCTTTCAATGAGTCTGCGCGAGGGGAAGAGGAAAGGATTGTAATGAGAGTGAGAAAAAATCTCACCGTGGAAGCCGTCGAGATTGATGTCGCCGAGCGAGACGACGGTCGTGCCAAATCGGGCGCCACTTTTCTGAGAGCCCATCAACTGGTACTTGTTGCCCATTGTGCGGAAAGAGCCCTTTCAACAACACACAGATTACAATCAGCACTTCTTGTCTTGTGTTCAAAATATATAAAATTAGCTCTCTTATGAAATTAAAATTAATTATAAAATATAGAAAATAAACTAAAGATGCATGAAATAATTAAAAATTCAAATAATAAAGACATAAAATGCTAAGAAAATATTCCTGAATGACAAAGAGGACAAATTTGTATCTTTAAAGTTTAAATCCAGAAAAAATGGCACCCTTAATCCGTTTAAACTTGGAGATTTGCCATTTCCCGCCAAAAGTTTTTGAACCACTTTCAAAATTTAAAATTAGCATTAAAATTTAACTCAATTAAAAAACATACCTGTCTGAGCGAGACGAGTTCGTTGATGAAGACATAGATTCGTCCCTCCTCACCCTGAGAAAGGTCGGTTGAGCTCTGCGCGGGTAGGGAGTGTTGGGGGGCGCCGACGACCAGGTCGGGTTGGCCATCGCCATTCACGTCGGCCACGCACAGACTGGCGCCAAAATACTCGCCCATCTGCTGCCCCTCCAACTCGTACAGCACCTTCAGCTCCTCGTCGTCGTACTCAGGTACCGAGTACAACATCACCTGTAAGCACAACAGTTAAAGGACTTTTTTTGTTTTTTTATTCTTGAATTACAAAATTGGCACAATTTTATCAGAGGCGTCAAAATTACGAATCGAAAGAAAATTCTCACCCTTCTGGGTTCAAATAGGGACGTACATTTTCCCGCCAAAATTATTGAAACCAAAATTTAAATCCGCGAATATTGTAAAACTTTTTTACTTTTTCAAATCAAGTTATAAATGGAACTAATTTAATAAAATTTAACTATTTGTAAAATAAAACCAACCTTGCCCTTGTAATCGGCCGCCCTGGGCGCACCTGACACGTAGTAGGCCTTGGAGTCGCCTGGGAAAAACTGCGCCGCCCCAACCGAATACCCTGAAATTGGATTTTTGTGACAAAGTTTTAAATTAGAAAAAAAGGTTCAAACCGAAATAGCCGAGGTAAGGAATTGCGGCCACGCTTTTCGGGCTGGGCACTGCGGGGTCGTCGTAGACGGTCTGCTCCTTTGAATCGTCCTCCAGAGACCTGTACCTGACTATGGTACCTGAAAATTTAATGTAAAGAATATTCTTTAGAAATATTTCTGAAAAAGTACCTTTCCAGTCGAAAACGCCGGGAGCTCCAATAATCAATTCAGATTTGTTTTCCGACTGAAATTTTAAAAGTTTGTGAATTATACAATTTTAATTTAATTGAAAATTTGTAATACTTTGATGAATTCTGCGGCGATTCCAGCGCCGCCGTACGCGTAGTTGAAGACCTTGGTGTCCTGGACGCCCGGTTTGTCCGACGGCGTGTTGTACGCCTGTTTTTCTGCAAATTCCAAATTTTTTTAATAACAATTTATTGCAAAATGGCAAAAACCAACTCTTTTCGATGAGTGGCGTGAGGATTTGGGCGGCGGAGGTCATGAAGCTGCCGCGGTCGTACCAATAGCACACCCCGTTCATCAGGTACACGTCCTCGTAGTACTTGTTGATCCACCGCGGACCGCAGATCTGATTCAAAAATTATAATTTTATTATTTGCTTTATAGGAGAAAAATGAATAAAATACGCACCACTGTTCTGCCATTGGGCTCGTCCTCGACGGCGATCGTCGATCCGAGCCACGCATCATCCTTTTTGTGGTGGTAGCTGAAGCCGTTCGGACGGAAAACGCGGTCCTCACCTGAGCATTTTGAGATCATTTTCGTTGAAAAATATAAGGAATTAACACAATATTCTGACGGGCTAATAAAGACGATTCCAATGATATGTTACAAAGATACGTTTGGATGAAAATTGACGGAGTTATACAAAAAAAATCAAAATGTTATTACGTCAGCCATTTTGAAAATTAAATATGTCTGCCAATGATTATCTATGACCATAATCTACACTCCTTAGGGTAAATAAAAGTTTCTAACGCAGGTTTGTAATGTTCGTAATCCCCTTCAAAATTTTAAATTATTAAAAAAAATTCTTTAATATTAAATTTCTAGATAATGGAAATAATAGCATCACATTTATATTCCTCTACTTGTGACGATTCTAATGATATGTAACAAAGATACTTTTGGATAAAAAGTGGCCAAGCCAGAGCGATTTGAAATTTCTTTCCGTCCACCATTTAAACAAAGATGGCGGCCAACTGAAAACTGCTCGTATCTCTGTCAATTCAGGTCCAAAAACGATTTCCAGCACATCTACGGAATCCTCTCTTCGAGGACAATCTCTTTTGACGATAATCCCTGCACCGAATTTTGGTCGTCGTTGGCCTTTAATTGTGCGTACCTGTGGTGTCGAAAGGGAGGCTCTGGCAGCGGTTCTCGAGTTCGCCGTCGTGCAGGCGGCACTCGAAGACGGCGCCCGGCTGGTGCAGATTCACTTGCTGGGGGAAAGTCGAGTTGGCCCTGGGCGCGCCCACCAGCAGCCTGCGGGCAACCAAACGAAAAAATTAATTCCGAACGACGCTCGGCCATCTGTTTCTGCCACACACACTATTTAAAACGGGGCAGCCCCTCGATTCAAAGAGATAAAAAAATCAAGTTTATGTTGTTCTTTTCAGCAGGAAGAGAATGGGATTTAAAAACTCGCTGAAATTTCCCAATAGTGAAAAGCTAAAAATTCAGAGAATTTATTCCTTTTATATTTAATAAGGAAATTTTAAATACAATTTATTTTAACGACATAATCTTCTACCATTCTAGTGAATCTGGTCTTGCGACGTCCGTCTGGGGTCTAGGGTCCCCTACGGCGCGCGTCAAACGTGTCTACGGCCCATCTCACCCCTTTGGGGGCTGATGTAAAGAGCTTTGATGCGCTCGGCAAAGACTTTTGGTTTGACAATTTGAACTCCAACAATACGGCGCCTTATTCCCGGGCCGCCATAGTGGTGCTCATCAATTTTATTCTCAAATAATTATTCTTTATTTGATTCTCCGGGGGGCTTCGAATTACCAAAGCCGCTGCCCGAGCCTTACTCCCCTTTACGACCCTGCCTACCCTGCCGGTTAACCCTCACGCCCTAATCTAGGTGTCGGAGAAATTAAAACACGCAGTGTTGCCTTGCCGGGCTGGGAAGAGACTATCATTTATTTTGGTCACATCAGAAAAGAATACAAAACAATACGTTAGTGAAGTTGGCGATATCGCCAACTCTTTTTCACGATTTTTTTAAAATGGGGAAGTTGGCGATATCGCCAACTTTTTTATTACGAAAAAGGGCCATTTCTAGGTAGTTATTACGCCTCAGGGTATCAGCAAAACAGGTCAAAAGCATACCTGAACGCGGCAAAACCATACACATAGTGGGAACATTGCAAAAAGTTAGTTTTTGCCAGTTTCAACCCCCTTAGCACCGTTTAGCCACTTTCTAACCCACCCTGCCGGACACCCTGAGTGCTCATACGACTAATGTGCACCATTGCATCCTGGCTAAACCGTGCCTTCTAGTTTAAATATCGACTCGAAGGTATTTTTCCATTGAAATATCATTAAAAAAAATCGGTTTTTTCCAGTTTCAACCCCCTTAGCACGGTTTAGCCACTTTCTAACGCACCCTGCCGGATACCCTGATCACCCCTACGACTAATGGGCACCATCGCATCCTGGCTAAACCGTGCCTTCTAGTTGAAATATCGACTCGAAGGTATTTTTCCATTGAAATATCATTAAAAAAATCGGTTTTTTCCAGTTTCAACCCCCTTAGCACGGTTTAGCCACTTTCTAACGCACCCTGCCGGATATCCTGATCACCCCTACGACTAATGGGCACCATTGCATCCTGGCTAAACCGTGCCTTCTAGTTTAAATATCGACTCGAAGGTATTTTTCCATTGAAATATCATTAAAAAAAATCGGTTTTTTCCAGTTTCAACCCCCTTAGCACGGTTTAGCCACTTTCTAACGCACCCTGCCGGATACCCTGATCACCCCTACGACTAATGGGCACCATTGCATTCTGGCTAAACCGTGCCTTCTAGTTGAAATATCGACTCGAAGGTATTTTTCCATTGATATATCATTAAAAAAATCGGTTTTTTCCCAGTTTCAACCCCCTTAGCACGGTTTAGCCACTTTCTAACGACCCTGCCGGATACCCTGATCACCCCTACAACTAATGGGCACCATTGCATCCTGGCTAAACCGTGCCTTCTAATTGAAATATCGACTCGAAGGTTTTTTTCCATTGAAATATCATTTAAAAAATCGGTTTTTGCCAGTTTCAACCACCTTAGCACGGTTTAGCCACTTTCTAACCCACCCTGGCAGACACCCTGATCACCCCACAAATAATGGGCCACCACTTCATCATGGATAAACCGAGCCAGCTGAAAACCATATTTATATTCTATTTTGTCCACTTCTTATGTTTGATTTTGTTGTTGTGAGAGAATGAATTATTTATGCATAGTGGTGGATTACATGATTATAATAGCCGTGCACCCGGAGAAATTTATCACTTGCAGTTGCAATATCTTATAGTTTTAATTTTACGAATATTGCTGAACAAAAATAGTTGTTACCTTCATAATATGGGTTATGTGGGTCTTTAAATTGTAAAATTACATTTTTTAAATGCACACAGTGGATATATTGTTAATTAATGAGCCGTCTAAGTTTCTAATCAGCGTTGGCGGCTTGATGTTTATCGCGTTGGCCAGCTGACAATTTTTTTTTTACGAAAAATAATTCTTTATTCTAACGCATTAATTAATTATAGAATGTACATTTTTTTTATTATACTAAATGAAATGAAAAATAAATAATATTTCTTTAAAGCAAGTAAAAAATTAATTTAAAATAGACGGCAGCTGGCTTGGCTAGCAAAGCCGTGCGACTTCAGCTGCGGCTGACCACTTGGGCCAAAAATGCCCGGCTGGTGTGGCATGGTTTCTATTGAAAGCCTAAAAGCTAAAAGCTAATAAAATTGTCTGGGTGAAAAATAAAAATAATTTCCCAATTTGATAATTTTCTTAGTAATTTTCTTTTTATCTCAAACGCTGCATTTTAGTATATAATTATAGAATAAATATGAAAAGCGTAGGTATTCCTGGATTTATTGCGAATTGATCACAAAAGAGAGGTTTCTGTTATGGATTATAACAGAAAGTATTTTTTCCCGGCCAAAAATTGCAGTTTTAAACCATATATTCCATACAAAGCGCCTGTTTTGATACAAGAGCAGATGTCTGTCAATCCAAGTGAACTTTGGCAGGGTCAACCGATCATTACCAAATTTTACAGGGTGATAGACCATGTTAAGAGGTTTCCAAACATATATAGGTTTACCCCAATATCTCAAAATTTCCGGGTTTTACGGGCCATTCAAATTTGGATTTTGAAAATTTTTAAACGTCTGTATCTCGGCTTCCCGTGGTTGTAGAACAAAAAACTTGGGTGATTTGGAATCCTCTTGTTGCCCTCTACAACTTTGCTTTGAAGTGCAAAATAGTAGGTCACCGGTCAAGGTCACTTCTGGTGACCTCGTGACCTTTGACCTCAAATATGAGGGTGAGCCGTCACTTTTTTCAAAATTCTGAGATAGCCATTTTGTAGATCGCATAATTTTACGTAATATAAGAGAATAAAAAAAACGGGACCCCTCATAGTTTTTTTAAATAAAAAATAAAACCAATAAAAAACATGGTTTTCCGAGCTCTGAACGTGGAAAAATAACTTTGAAGCTCTGTAACTTTTTATGTGTTAGAGATAGGTAAATTGTTCCAATGACAAAAAGTGTTTATTTTTGCACGGGCTATCTAACCATGTAACACACATACTGATCAGGTCACAAAAGGTCATTGACCCTGGTGACCTGTGACCTTGAAATTATTTTTTATGGAAGTATGATACATCGTTGGAAAGAGGACATTAAGAGGGTCATTTTGGTACCCGGAATTTTGTAGTAGCTCAAATAGGAACGGAGTTTTTGCAGTTTTTAAAATTAAAAACTAAAAATATTAATTATGGATAACATTTAAACGTTAATAACTTCGTTACTCTTTGAGCTACTACAAAATTCCGGGTACCAAAATGACCCTCTTAATGTCCTCTTTCCAACGATGTATCATACTTCCATAAAAAATAATTTCAAGGTCACAGGTCACCAGGGTCAATGACCTTTTGTGACCTGATCAGTATGTGTGTTACATGGTTAGATAGCCCGTGCAAAAATAAACACTTTTTGTCATTGGAACAATTTACCTATCTCTAACACATAAAAAGTTACAGAGCTTCAAAGTTATTTTTCCACGTTCAGAGCTCGGAAAACCATGTTTTTTATTGGTTTTATTTTTTATTTAAAAAAACTATGAGGGGTCCCGTTTTTTTTATTCTCTTATATTACGTAAAATTATGCGATCTACAAAATGGCTATCTCAGAATTTTGAAAAAAGTGACGGCTCACCCTCATATTTGAGGTCAAAGGTCACGAGGTCACCAGAAGTGACCTTGACCGGTGACCTACTATTTTGCACTTCAAAGCAAAGTTGTAGAGGGCAACAAGAGGATTCCAAATCACCCAAGTTTTTTGTTCTACAACCACGGGAAGCCGAGATACAGACGTTTAAAAATTTTCAAAATCCAAATTTGAATGGCCCGTAAAACCCGGAAATTTTGAGATATTGGGGTAAACCTATATATGTTTGGAAACCTCTTAACATGGTCTATCACCCTGTAAAATTTGGTAATGATCGGTTGACCCTGCCAAAGTTCACTTGGATTGACAGACATCTGCTCACAAAATCTCAACTATGTTCTCTTCTAAAAATTCGAAGTCTGTGATATTTAGATTAAATTGATTTCGAATTTTAATATGTTGATACTTTTTGATTTAGATTTTTTACCGTTTAATAAGCAATAAAAAAATTTAAAAATTTTTCATTTTTTTGCGTTATGCGCGCCATAAATATGCTACGACTACAGAGCTGGACAAAGTAATGCAAAAATATAAAATGAAAAACTTGGAATTTCAACTCTTAATACAAACGTTCTAATATTTTTGATATTGCAGCTTATGACTGTAATTCTGGTGCAAAATATATTATCCGCAGTATGTTGTATATCGTTAGCCATGGGCCATGGGTTCCATTCATGAATTTCATGATGGATATGAAATATGAGTATGATCACGTTCACCAGGTTTATTTTCTTATTTAATGAAGCTCAAGTTTACATGATTTGACTTAACTGTGGAATTTTTTTACCGCTTTAAGACTCCGCAATTTTATTTTAAAATGCGTGGGAATACTTAGCTTCCAAGTTCTGTCCATCTTTTAAAATTTTATGTTAGATGGCTGATTTCTAGCGCTGGCTTCCAATGTTATTATAAATTATTGACTTATGAAGCGTCGCAACGATGTAATTATTATTATGTTATCATTCTGGTTCCATTATTTCAAACTGTTAGCGACCAAATCAACGAATAAAATTGAATACATAGGTCTCCAAACTTCCTTAAGAAAATGCATTAAGTGGGAAATTTTCTTTTATTTAAATGATATGTAAAAAAAATCACATATTGAATCTCTGACCTACGAAAAAAGCACGCAGAAAAATTAATGTTTACATAGTAAATTTCCAAAGTGATTAGATTAAGTTTTTATATGAAACACCCAACTCTATACATATGTATATCCCCCATAATGGAATGCGATCTCGAAGTAATTGAAAAATTTGCGCGATAAAGATAACAAAATATAGGTTAAAAAAAAATTGAATTCAATATATAATGTCCCAATCAATAATCTAACTTCATATAAGATCTTACCTTTTCAGATTTTCGAAACGCATCTCACAAGCTATGTTTATTTTTTTGAAAGTTGGGTATTCAATTCGCATTAACCTTTGGGATATTGGAACGGCTATTAATTCTTGCTCGATTTTCCCGGGCGGATTATTTTACACTAAAAAAACTTTGTATACGCATGCAACAAAAACGTCCAACGTGTAAATTTTCAAAATTTTGCCTACCTTTGACCTTTGACTATCAAATGCATTTCAAATTATAAAGGCAAAATTGAAGAAAGAAAATCGTGTAAACATTATAGGCCATCCCATAATGCTGAAAGTGAGGAAAACACCAATTTTCATTGAAAACGCTATATGTAGTGTGCTAGTGTGTCGTCTTAAACACAAAGACCATAAAATGATTGAGAGAAATCTATAAGGCTCGGTTTATCCATGATGTAGTAGTGCCCATTATTTGTAGGGGTGATCTCGGTTTCTGACAGGGTAGGATAAAAGGTGGCTAAACCGTGAGAGGGGGTTTAAATAAGCAAAATATTTTTAATGATATTACCTTCGAGTCGAAATTTAAACCAGAAGGCACGGTTTAGCCAGGATGCAATGGTGCCCATTAGTCGTAGGGGTGATCAGGGTATCCGGCAGGGTGCGTTAGAAAGTGGCTAAACCGTGCTAAGGGGGTTGAAACTGGAAAAAACCGATTTTTTTTAATGATATTTCAATGGAAAAATACCTTCGAGTCGATATTTAAACTAGAAGGCACGGTTTAGCCAGGATGCAATGGTGCCCATTAGTCGTAGGGGTGATCAGGATATCCGGCAGGGTGCGTTAGAAAGTGGCTAAACCGTGCTAAGGGGGTTGAAACTGGAAAAAACCGATTTTTTTAATGATATTTCAATGGAAAAATACCTTCGAGTCGATATTTCAACTAGAAGGCACGGTTTAGCCAGGATGCGATGGTGCCCATTAGTCGTAGGGGTGATCAGGGTATCCGGCAGGGTGCGTTAGAAAGTGGCTAAACCGTGCTAAGGGGGTTGAAACTGGAAAAAACCGATTTTTTTAATGATATTTCAATGGAAAAATACCTTCGAGTCGATATTTAAACTAGAAGGCACGGTTTAGCCAGGATGCGATGGTGCCCATTAGTTGTAGGGGTGATCAGGGTATCCGGCAGGGTGCGTTAGAAAGTGGCTAAACCGTGCTAAGGGGGTTGAAACTGGAAAAAACCGATTTTTTTAATGATATATCAATGGAAAAACCTTCGAGTCGATATTTAAATTAGAAGGCACGGTTTAGCCAGGATGCAATGGTGCACATTAGTCGTATGAGCACTCAGGGTGTCCGGCAGGGTGGGTTAGAAAGTGGCTAAACGGTGCTAAGGGGGTTGAAACTGGCAAAAACTAACTTTTTGCAATGTTCCCACTATGTGTATGGTTTTGCCGCGTTCAGGTATGCTTTTGACCTGTTTTGCTGATACCCTGAGGCGTAATAACTACCTAGAAATGGCCCTTTTTCGTAATAAAAAAGTTGGCGATATCGCCAATTTCCCCATTTTAAAAAAATCGTGAAAAAGAGTTGGCGATATCGCCAACTTCACTAACCTTCCTTACGTCTTTTATTATGAAAGGGTTTTGAAATATGAAATAATAATAATCAAAATAAAGAATTATGTTCATTTCGATCCATTATTAAAAATATTTATGAGGAAAAATAGTCATTTTGAAAGAATAATTTTACTTATTAATTGGAAGGCATATTATAAGTAACATTTCAATACTCATGATTTCCAAATAAAATAGTATTAAACGCTTCTGACTAGAAATAATTGGGAAAATTAGTTTCACTATTGATTTGGCTCAATTAATTCTGCATTATATTAAATATTAAACAAGGCCTTGCAATGAAACTGTTTTATGAATTGGTATAAAATAATTTCCATCTTCCGGCCGTGAATTATTTATTTATTAATCAAATAATTTGTTCACGTCTGCTTTTCCCTCTGTCGCCGGCGTTCAATTAAGCACACGGGGGTGCACGGCACGGTTTGTTCTCAGCGAGGGGTGTTAAAAATAATAACCCACATGAGCAGGCAGAGATGACACGACTCGTTACCAAAACACCCCCGCAGACTAAACAAGCAAATGAGTCCCGCCGGGGTTCAAACACAATTTCAATATCATTTTTAAAATCTCCTTTCCATTTATGTATCTCAAGACTTGCTAAAGATGGATTTAAAAGATGTTTATTTTTCCACGACATATTGTATATTATGATTTTTATTTCAAATAAATTCCGAAGTGAATTATTTACAGTTATTTTTTTTTCAATTATTGAAAGGGATGATAATTTCTTAAAATGTTCATCCCCTTTTATGAGAAGCGATCTGGCCGCTCCCCTCGCACATATTTTCTGACTCATTCTCTCTTTATTTCCGTCTCTGCAATCAGGAGAAACAGAGAGAGAGAGAGAGAGAGAGAGAGAGAGAGAGAGAGAGAGAGAGAGAGAGAGAGAGAGAGAGAGAGAGAGAGAGAGAGAGAGAGAGAGAGAGAGACGAGGAAATTGTTTCTCTCTCTGTTGTCTCTGCGGGTGACGGAAACAAAAGATAAATAGTTTCCCCTTTTACGGCACGAAACGAGACAAAATCTCTTCTCCGGCGATAAACCGTGGAGATGAACACGTGGAAGAGAAAAAGTAGAAATTGATATAAATTTACCAAAGCCTAGGTAAAACAATATCAATAACTTTTTTTAAGCTCTTGATTAGTTTCATTTCTTGTGGAAATTGTTCAGGCTAAATACTCTTAACAAGCACAGAGACTGGACTTAAATTAGAGGTGAACAGCCAAAGATGAAAGAAAAACAAAAAACAAAACAACTGTTGATCAAATTTGGTTGCAAAATGAAGGGATGGCGCGTGACGGCGCCTTTCTTTGGATCAAATGTATTAGTTTAATTTGAAACAATAGGAGGTCTTTTTATTAAAATTCGCTACCAAAAACCCCGAAGTATCAGAGATATCAACATGTATAAATTTCAATAATAAATTACATAATATATTATGTCAATTATTTTGGAAAGGTTTTCGGTTGGAGTATGACGCGGTTTTTATTTTGCTTTGTCAGAATATGAAAATAATGCGCTCAACAAAAGGTTGCAGATTGATTAAGTTGCACATAGACGATTGCTAATTAGTCTCTTTATGAGAAGAAAAATTAAATTAAATTTAAAGAAAAAATCTTATGAAACGTTTACATAAGGAAAGCTTAAAATGTTATCAGAAAGTAAGGGAAAAGATAAAAGTCGGGGTTTTTAGTTATCACCAGGAATAAATGTTACGTTGAATTTATATTATTTTTTTGCAATTGTAAATAATTTTTTTCAAAAACCTCCGTTCCATTTTAAGCAGCAAAAAACTAACGTTAATTAATTATATTCGAAATTGCATTTCTTATTTAATAATAAACTTGAGATCATGCCAAGTGTACTTAATGATTGGACGAAAGTAAACAGCATATAAATAAAAACGCATCTTGCCGAGATAAAAGGAAAAAGGGAGTGTGTCCGCACCGCAGATAAGACGCAATGAAAGTACGATTTGATATTGAATAGAAATAATTTTTAAGCAATCGACAATATTAAAAGTAGAATCTGTGAGGATAAAAGTAAAGATGAAAGGAATGTGAAGCGATAAATGCGTCGAGTTCCAACGTGGGAATTTATTCCAATTTGAGGTTTGCATTTTCGGAGTTTGAGGCGGCGAGTCGTTGACCTTGGTTCGGCTGCGTGACCTTTCTCTCAAAGGCATCTTTCTTTCTCCGCGCAACCAAAAGAGAAACTGATCAGACCTTTTCCCATTGACGCACCTCCGGCCGATTTGCACGTTTTTTCAGCGCAAAAAAAAAGCAAAGCCTTTAAATCATCTCAAGTTTTAATTAGAAAATTATGAACCTTCTTAAATTAATCAATGTCTTTTAAGGAATAAATAAATTAAGTTTAATTTTGCTCTAGTAACAATTCGTGTTTCCATCTCTTCTAATAAAGACTTTGAGGTGTCAAAAGACAATTCACAATTTTTTACGAGACCCGTCCTTCTTCATCAAGCGGCCGAGAATTTATTAATCCAACGACAATTTGCCGCCACTTTCACTCCTTCCTGTCTCAATTAAACTCTTAAAGGGGTGTTGAAATAACAATCAGAATAAAAACTAAAACAGACTGAAAAAAATTCCAAAATGTGGTAAAATCTCTTTTCTAAAGGCGCAATTTTGCAAACCGAAATTAAAAATCAGGAAGGGATTTTCGGATTTTTAATAAATCCTCAAACAATTTTGAAACAACTGAAAGGGACGATTTAAATAAAAATTGTTTGGGATTTTTTGCTCACCAAGAGTTCCAGGCGGTGCCGGGCAGGGCCCTTCGGAGGGCGACGCTGAAGCCGAAGTAGTTTTCGGCGGCGCCGTGCGGGTTGCGGACGACGGTGGCGAACTCGGTGTCGACGTTGAACGGCGTCGCCACGTGCACCGCCGCCGACAACACCACCAACAACAACACTAGCATCGTGGCAGGTCCGTGCGTTCAGCGGCGCGGCCAAGGCATCACTGCCGAGCCAGCAGCACTAGGACTCTCTCCGCGCCTGGCCTGGCCTGGCCTGGCTCGGCCTGGCCGGTGACGTCACGCCTGAGAGAGCGCAACAAAATACCTGGAAACTCTGGCGTTAATTTTACCTGCCGAGTGAATCACGATTCATTTCCTCCTCCAATTTGCACCTCGGACACGCTCAAAACATGTGTTTAGCGTTTCCTATTCAAATTCGCAGCAAAATAAATAACAGGATGTGTTTCAATTTTTGTATAAAAACGTCCGGAACTTTTTTCATTTGTTATTGCAATTTTTTAATTTAATTTATTGCATAATCCAGTGCTTTATTTCGCTTACATTTTAATTGCTTACAAAGTTTTTGAGCAAAATGGCGAGATATATTTGAATTTCACTTGATTTAAAAATTTTTAATTAATTCAAGTGATTCAGTTGTGCTGATTAAATTTTTTTGTTCCACAAATGCAATTAAAATCTGCCTTTTTTACTATTTGTAGTATGTAAATATTTTAATTATAATATTTTACTATTGAATCATACAATTTAGTATTATTTTTTATTAAAATTTCAATGTTTTCACTTATTTTCAAGACAATAAAAAACATAAAAACTTTAAAATCAACTCTGACTTTTGTCAAATTAATAAAATAACATTTTTGTTTAAAACAAAACGCGCTCATTTTTGCTGAAGATTCAAAATCGTGTCACTTTCCTGCTTCTTTTTTTGTGCGGCTCGTCTTGTTATCAGCGAGAAAGGTGACGTGTGATGTTTGAAAGATGAGCAATCGCAGTCGAGATATCACATCAAGTGCCAAATGAAAGTAAAAAATAAAAGATAGACGCGCTAATTGATGACGATTTCGGATGCAGGAAACGCTCTTAATTCTAATATTATATGAATGTACCGCTCTTCTATTCGCTAACAACAGTAAAAAATTATACTTTTTGCAGGAAGAAAACAAATACGTCATGATCAGCGCAGAGTGCAGTGACGCACGGCCACAATTTATGACCTTGTCAAGCCATCATTTTTTACCCTCTTTTATATTTATACAAATTTAAGTACTGCGAATAAATTTAAGATAATTACAATTATATAAATCATTTAACTTTGAATATTAGAGGCCAAAACCATGCGAAATACACGTTTTATTCGTTTACAAATATAACTTTTAGTTTGAAAGTAAATATTTGAAGGCAATATTTCAGTTCCAAATAAAAAGATACAAAATTAATGTTAATGAAAATTGCTAGATTTTTTTGTTAATTCAATTCACAGTTTTAATTGTTCAAAATTCATAATATTTTGATTATTTCTAAACATAAAATGCAATTAATTAATTATAAAAATTAAAAATATAGAAATTTCCTTAGTGGTACAAAACTTAATTACAGATTTTAAAATTTACTAGTAATTTTACCAATAATAGAGTGTAAAAAAGCTGGACTATTTAATGAACAACAAAAAATTGGTTTTTATTCAAAATATTAAGTCCATTTGAATCTTGATTTATATTTTTTTCCTCAATTTCTATAACGGTTTTGGCTAATATTAATGAAATTTAAAAAAAAATCCAAATTCAACTCTAAACTTTAGAGAGAAGTTTCATATTTAGCAAGTTTTATCGCATTTCTTTGCTTTCGCTTCTCGTTAATTGGAGCGCGTTTGAGAATATCGAGCTCGGTGCAATTTCGCTTGGAAAGGTTTCGCAAAAGGGAGAGTTTTTTGCGCGGCGTCTGCAATTCCGTAAAAGGTTCGGCCGGAGCCGCCGCTTTTGCATTATTTTTCCTCTCTCGCGGCATCATTACGTTTTTTGTGTCTCCGGCGACAACAATGGCCGCAACAAACAGGTTTCGGTCCTCTTTTGTCGCCAACGCCGCCAGACATTTGATCCGTGCACGCAAAAAATCGATCACTTGTTGGAGAGCGCAGACGGAATTGAGGAATTTATTCCAACAAAGGCATTTTCAATTAATTACGAAACGCACCAGCAAGTCAAAATATTTATTCTCTCCTGCCTGCGGCGACAAATCACGCACCTACAGAGTTTTCCAAACAAAATCCATTTCTTCTGAATTTATTTTAAGTTTTAATTGTTTCATAAATTCAAGATCTTCTGTTAAAATCCGGAGTTTTAAATAAACAATCTTTTATTTTCTACTGGACACTTTTCGCCTTTGTGTTGAATAACTTGAGAAATTTATTGAAAATTAGCCAGTTTTAATTACCTTCTAGAAATTCCCAAGTCTAAGCAATGGAATGGTGTCCAGAAAATTAAAATTGACCGTCTCGTACAAAATGTACAAGGCTTTAAAGGTCAAAAAATGACCACGGTAATTTATAAAATTATTGTAAAATTCACAAATGGAGAAAACTTTGTGCGAGAAATGTGGATTAATTTTGCATTCAGCTTCACCATGCAAGATTTATTCAAGAATTATTATCTTTTTTTCCAAAAATTTGATTTGGAACACTCTAGAGAGAGATACTTTTGTTAAGGAAATGCCGAGAGGTTGGAGAGACGCTGACATTGACTTATTATGGATTGGGCTGACTAATTATTTATGCTTTATATAGAATAAAGTGCGCGTGACCCCCAGCAAACGGCTCTCTCGCAGGCAAAGGTGCCACACACTACTTCGTATCGGAGGGGAGGGACGGAGGGAGGGGAGGGGAGAGATGCTGAAGGTGCGCCGCAATCTAACTGTCTCTCTTGACCTCCAGGAAGCAAATCTCACACAGCATTGAATATTAAATTCAAAACGTGCAAGTGATTTTAAATATAGGTCAATAAAAAGTTTTTTTTATCGAAATTAATAATGATAAATATTCATTGTTGAGAAGTATCACTTTTAATTTGTGAGGAAAAATATTAAAAAATTAAAATTGTCCCCAATCAAAATATTTATCCAAAATATACTTACAAAGATTGCTTTTAAGATAATTAATATAATAATTAAGGTTTTGAAACAATTCAGCTATAATTAATAAAAATAATTTTATATTAGGAAAGATTGGTGGCTTTATTATTATTATTTTTTTGTAATCTTCCTTTTCGAAATAGTTCTTGGTTTAGTATGATCTTGGAAAAATTTATCACTTAATTCAGTTTGTTTGAAGAAATTAACACTCGAGGAGATGATCATGGAAATGAAGAGATCGGGCTTTTCCTCGTTGCAAAAAGTTGTTTTTATTCAAGCCGTTTGTTTTTGAATAAAAACAACTTTTTGCAACGAGGAAAAGCCCGATCTCTTCATTTCCACTTAATTCAGTCTTAAAATATAAGTAACAATCACAATTATTAAAACTTGCATAAAAAAATAACAGTATACTAAAAAGTGCTTTATTTTAAATTGCGCAATTTATCATTTTCTACATGATTCTCGCAATGTTAATTTCTGAGAAATAAATTAACAACAAAATCAGGCTTTTGTCTGACTAGCCTGTCTAGTAATAATCTTCTATTTCTATCTTGCTACTCAACAATCAATTTGCCCAACAACAGAACAACACCGCCATTAGGCTGTGGTGTTTTTATCAGTCAACTTTTGCCTTATCACACTTTTTCAAGAGTCTCTCAAATCAAAACAGACTTGAATCAGTGTCCCATTTTCTCAGAACAAGTTTGGAAGCGAACAAGTCAAAATGTGGAAAGGACTGGCCTTTTTCCTCTTCATCTCCGTCTGCGGTGCGGCCGTGGTATGGAAAGTTAAAAATTTATTTCAAGTTCAATAATTTATTTCGGATAAGTTGCCGAATTTGCTCACGTTGGAAGAAGACTTGGAGTTGGCGACGTACCTGGCCAAGAAGACGTCCTACGACGTTGACGTGTTGACGGCCAGGACCAAAATCCTCAAACTGGAACTTCAGTACACCGCCCTTGACCTCTTCGTCAAAATCCAAATCCTCCTCAGACAATTGGTACTTTTATTCTGCTATATTTTTTTATAACTTTTGAAAACTTTTGGCTAATTTGCATAAATGATCTCAAAATTTTCCTTTTTGTTCTATTAAATAGTCAAGAAATATTAATGAAATGCAAATCAAGACATTAAAAGAAGGTTAAAAATTATACATAAAAATTAAAATTGAACTTTTTCCAACAAAAGTAAATGTGTGAAATTTAGTTGTTCCCGACGGACGCGGAAAGGGTGATCGCGGACATGAACAAGACGGCCGACTCGGTGTTGTCGAACGTGGTGCGTCTGGAGGAGGCGGTGGCGCGGCTGGACACGTCGTTGGCGCTGCTCGAAAACGACCTGGCCAGCGGCAACACCGCCGCCCTCAACGGCGACCAGTTGCTGCTCGAGTCGTACATCTTCAACTTCAACCTCACCTACGACATCGGCAAGGAAAACATCGTCCTCGCCACCAACAACCTCGTCCTCACGCTCACCAAGGAACTCGAGGGAATCGTGAGTTAATTTTAAATTAAAGGGACACGCAACTTTTGCCAAATCAACTATTTTTTATTCTAAATCTTGATAGATCTTTCCTCAAGGATTGCAACCTTTTTTATTTAAGTGATTTTGGATCAAAATTAACCGCGTTATGACCTTTCAAGGTTTTCCAAATGGCAGCCATCTTGGTTTTTTAAAGAAAATTCTGAATAACTCGGTCAATTTTCTTAAGAAATCATTTTAATAATAGAAAGAATTTCAACGATTACGGGAAGATCAAATTTGATTATTTGAAATGTATATAACCCTGAATTCAGGACGACCCTTTGGTGAACACCGTGTCGAACCTGGCGGAGAAGATCCGCGTGGTGCTGCTGACGGAGCAGGAATATTTGGACAACGCGCGCCTCTCGTTCGACCGCAACGAGGTCGCGCTGCTCGACGCCCTGAGCAAGGTCGTCGGCCAGCTGCCCTCAAAGGTCGCGACCACCGAAAACACCACCACCTGGTCCGTCATCCCTACCACCCCGCTCACCAGCACCACCCCAGCAGCAGCTTAAAAGTGTTTCATTATTTACAAGGCAATTTTACTCCGAGTTTCAGTAAAACAAGCTTCAAAGTAATTATAAACCTGAACTTATGCAACGCACCAAAGCATCCAAGGCGAACAGGTTGCATAGCCTCATACCTTATGTTAAATAAAACTGCTCATTTTTACGTGTGTCTCATTCATTTACTTTGATCTCAATCAAATTGAGAAACCAGAAACAGGAATTTATTTCTCTTTTATTTTTAAACATTTGCAAGTATTAATTTTCTGTTCGCAGCACAATCAAAAGACGCGTGGAAATTAAAATTGTTCACTTGTCAGTGAAACTTCATTTTTGTCATGATCTTTCGCATTTCTTTCAGAAATTAAAAAAAAAAATCAAGAAATCAAAGAAAGACACTGTTTTGGAAATGTTACGCATAATAATAGTGCAAAAAAATTACTAATGTATAATGTACAAATTTGTATATCTGAAATTTCAGAAGAAAAACACAGTTACAAAATAATGGTCAGTTGAGTTTTAGAAGATTCAAACTGAAACTGACCATTCTTGACAGGTCGCGGGTCAAAACCCAGAGAAAGCTGATTTAAACTTGTCTGAGAAAACGCGAGGTAAAATTTTCTTCAGTGTTAACGTGCACCACCGGTTGCATATTGCATACCTTCAAATATTTTGATTTAGGCCGTGCCCCCCATTGTCCAACGTGAATGGTCCACTGAGGTCACAGAGTCCAGTTAGGACTCAGTGACTTGTACTTTAAAGAAGTTGTGTTTGAAAAAGAATGTTCTGCACATTCTTAATAACAAAAATCGTGAGCAAACTTCACTTATTTAATATTCAAGATGAATTTATATGAAATTAAAATTATCACAAACCGCGGAATATGTCTATTTAATTCTTTAAATATTCTCCATTCAGATACATTGCAGTATCACTTCAGACATGAGATCGATTGATCAAAAATCAAATTAAAAACAAAACTGAAAAATAGCAGGTATATAATTGGAAAAAAATTTTTTACCACATCAAAGAAGTTTCTTTCTTATTTTTACAGTCAGCTCGGCACGCTTGAAATGAAGCTTTGATTTCGTCATTAAATTGCATTAACTTTTATTTTAAAAACAATTAAATATCGGGGGTGTTTGCGACGATCCAGTCCGTGTAATTGGTCACGTCCGTCAACCTGAGGTGGCGTTCCATTCTCTTTGATTAATTTCGTACTATGATTATTGAACGAAACGCCTCGGAATTAATTCTTTTCTTGCTCCTGGAATATTATGCAACACATCATGCATCCAAGTCAAGCGAGTTGCAAACGTTTCAGTAAAAAACACAAGATCTCTTTTTTTATCACAAAATTTAATTGCTCAAATTTTTACACATATCATTGGATTGACAGGAAAATAAATAAATCTCTCACTCGAGGGGGTGGGGGGGGGGGGGCGGTTAAATTAAAGTAAAAAATCAGAATTGTTTTGACTTGGCAAAGGGCGGGGGCGCGTCGAAGGGGCCGCCGGGCCCGACGAGGACGTTGGCGTGGGGCGCGGGGCCGGGTCGGTGATGGGGAGGGAAGTCGCGGGGTCCGCCGGGCCCGGCGAGCACTGCGGGAAGGGGGCCGGGGAGGTGGTTGGGCCGTCGGTTCGCCCCCGCCACCAACGAGTTGTAGCAGCAGTACTGCTTCCCCTCGTCGCACACCCCCTGAAAGCGAAAACAAACCAAAAAATGATCAGTAATTAATCTTAGCATTTTGAAACTCACGAATTTGATGCCGGGCGAGTTGCAGTTGAAGCTCAGGGTGCACTTGCACGTGTCGTAGCCGCCCGTGTGCAGTCCCGGCTCCTTCAGGTTCAGATCCTCGTAAGGGGGAACCTTGTTGTGGCCGTGCACACCCTCAGGATGACCTCCCTGAAAAAATACACATTTCTCAAAAAATTTCACTTTTACATCAAATTTGGAATTGTTTTCTTAATATTTTCTCCAAAATTTATTATTCTTAAAATGGAAAGAAAGGAAATAAGAAGCAAATTATCTAAATTTTTCCACTATTATTTATTGTAGAAAGTATTTTGCTTTTTATTTTCAATTCCTGCACTTTTTTATACTTTATAAGGGAAATTTTTTTAGTTTTTCATATTTTTTTTTTTTAACAATTTTGTTACTCTTTTTAACAGAATAGTTGGCTATGTTATAAGCTAACAATATTTACTAATGAAAAATTGAATTATTTAAAAACTATTGAAAAGAAATGAATAAATTTTAAACAAGTAAAAAATTAAAAATCGATTCTTTAGTGTGTTGACAATCAAATTACGTTGTTTGCTAAAAAAAAATCATAAAATAGCAGAAAATTATTTGTTTTTAACTAAAATATCCTAAAAACATGGTGGCAATTTCACTTATTTTTAAATGACGCTCTCAAGTTATTAAAAAAAGTAAAAATAATTCGATATTTTGGTGAAAATGTTGAAAATTAGTTAATTTTTGTAGATTTCAAAGAGAAGAAATTTATTCTCACGTGGAAGTGTCCGTGGTGCGGAGGCGGCGGAGGCGGAAAGGCCCCCGGGGGTGGGTGGGCGGGGAAGCCTTGGGGTCCGTCGTAGGGGGGGCGTCCGAAGCCATTGGAGGGGAAGTCGCCGTACCTGTTGTTGGAGTTGAGGCCGAACGAGCCGCCAGCGTTCAGGCCCAGCGAGGGGCCCAACGAGGGGCCCAAAGAAGGCCCGTCGACGACGCGACTCGCGCGCCGGTTCTCGCCCCAAACCCAGTCGTCGCGACCCGCGGCCCCGCAAGACGCAGCCAGACTCACCAAAAACCACCACGCTGTAAAAAATTTAAATTATTTTATACATCAAAAACAATTTTAAATAAATTCGCAAAAGAACTGAAATGAGTATATTCATGAACCAAAAATTAAAGAAAAAAATTAAAATTCGTTATTGGCTTTAATTGTCAAAATTTATAGAAAGGATAGAAAATATGAAAAATATAATTTTTTGCACATTTTTTGCATGTGTCAAATTTCATTGTGGAGGAAATGAAGTGAAAAAATATATTGGAGTGAAGAATATGAATTCTTAAAGATGAAACTTTTAAATTTACTTTATCTGAAGAAGTCAATTTGAAAAAAATTAAATTCAAAATTTTTAATTAATTTAAGACAGATTTATCCTTTTTGTGGAAATATTTCAAGGAACATTTTTAATTCAAGATCATTTGACGTGCAATTAGCACTTAGACGTTTGGCATTCACGGATAAATTGGCCAACAATGAATCCGATCTCTGTCTCAATGTCAGCGGCGGAAAGGTCTCGTTTTGGCGCTCTAATTGAGATTTCGCGTTGGAGATGCACGTGGGTGAGAAAATAAATAATATAAATTAAGGCGGAAAATAAATGGAGCAGGGTCGGAAGCGAGAATAAAAAGTGTAAAACGGTTGCACTGGCAGTGAGAGTGTAACAAGAATAAAATGTTGAAAAACGAGTTTTGATTTGCATCACGAGATTGAAAATAAAATGCACTTACACAAGAAATCATAAGTGAATGCATAAGAGAGGCATAGTTTTAATTTTGAAATGCACTTTTCGCAATAAATGAAGAATTGTTTCAAAATATTATTATTTGGTACATCAATTTAAAGTATAGAATATTTGCCCTTATTTCAAAACCAATAAACATTCTTTGAAACTAATTAGATATTTAGCAATAAAATAAAATAGTAGAACTGCAAACTCAAAAGTAGCTGAAAATTTTCATTGGTTTTTTGGTTTAAAATTTAGAATAGGGTTTTTTCCAAGAAATATGTTTTTAAAAAAAATCTCATACAATTTTAAATTTCGGTGGAGAATTTGGCACTTTTCTGAACTAATTATTTAAAATAGAATGTAAAAATGAAAAAATTTAAGTTCCATATTGAAAATCTTTCAAATAATGAAATAAACTATTTAATATTAAGGTGATTTTAATATTGTTTAGTATTTTTAGGTTTTAAATCCAAATCTAGCAACCAGATTTACGTATTACATTAAACCTAGAAAGTATTCCAATTTTTGATCACACAACACGGCTAAATAACGTGTCAGGAATAAAAACAATGAAGTTAAACTGATAATTAATAGCCATTTTTTTTTTAAACCAATTGTTGAAAATCCAATTTTTGCGGGTCTGATAATTTTAAAACTCACTAAATCGTCAAAGAACAGCATGAAATTATTATTATGAACTCAATTCATTAATTAATTACCACAAAAAGAAGAAAAAATTAGCCTCTCCTTTCCTTTACATTGTTTAAAAAGAAAATTGTTTATAATAAATAATAAAATTTTGTAAAATAAGGCAAGAATTGTACTGAAATTATTATTTAAATAAATTTGCTAAACTAATTCAAGTGATTTGAACGATTGCAATAATAAGTAATTAATTATCTCTCACATTTCATTATTCTCAAAATTTTTAGGGGGAAAAACTCACCTGATGCCATCAAGATTTGGTGCGTGCGACTTGGACGGCCGAAGTAAACAAAGTGACAAGTGCGTATAGCCTTAGGACTATAAGAAGAGGTGCTGGACGGGGATCGGGGGGGGGGGGGGGGTGATGCATTGTCCTGCACCAACGCTGTGCATTTGAATTTATTTGCCAATTGTCGGGGGAAACACGCGCGCCTTATTTTTCGACCTTAGCTAGAGCAACCGCTGCGCAACCTGCATGAATAATTTCCCTTTTCCGACTCCAGATTAATTCATTCTTTTATTTCATTATATAACTTTTGCTTTCACTCGAATGGACGAGCGAGTTCATCGCTCTGTGAGAATATTTTTCATTGTTGCGATCGATCTGTGGCAAAAACCGGGTCAAGGCGACGAATGAATCAGATCTGCGCGCTGCCCACAGAGATGAATTAATAAATTTTTATATTTATTCCGTTTGCTATTCAAGGCCGGCGCGGTTCCTCGCCAGGGATTCCCTAATCTTTGGACAGACTGGCAAATAAACCACAGAAACGCAATTTTGGCAGTTTTGTTTCCGCTCAATTTTCTATAATTTTTTATGCGCTTCGAAATTCCAATTTGTTTAACAATGATTCACCATTTTCTTTATTACTTGAAGTACAAAATTATTATAATATTTTAAAATTGAATCTTTCTTTTGTAGTTTGTATGAAAATTAAAAAGTAGTCAACAAAATCAGGATAAAAAGAAGAAAATTAGTGCCACTTCAATTAAAAAACTGTAAAGTCTGATTTAACAAAATTATAAAAGAGAATATTTTTTGCAAGCATTTCTTCTACTTTGTTATTGAGGACCTTTAAAGGAAGTTCATTATTTTCTAACAAAGCTGGTTCATTTTTTATTCGATTTGAGTTAAAGAAATTAGATTTTATTTAAACTATTAATTGAAAACAAGGAAAATTTTAAAAATCAGATACTCACTTAATTTGGTGAAGTTGAAATCAAATTATTTTCCATAATATACATGTTTTTAAGGACGCCTCATTGACTTATAGTCAAATCAAGTCTTTCAAACAATGTGTTGTTTAAAATTTTTAGTTTTTTCCAATATTGACCCCTTGGAAAATGAAAACACTTTTTGAATCTCCGTCATTGTTGTTTATTTTTACACATTGTTTCAGTTACAATAAAAAACTGTCGGCATTCGTCAATGGACTTTTATTCTCATCTCTTGAAATGTTAATTGTTGTTTTTTAATATATTAAAAATGAATCTTTTTCATAAACAAATATCAAATTAAAGTTAACTTTAAAAGAGACGTATTCAATTTGAGGAAGTTAATGGAAAGGGAAGCCGAGCGTGAATGCCATTCACTCGCATTTAATTCAGGAAAGAGAAAAAAGTGCCGGACAATGGACGCGCGTGTTTTTATTTTGACGTAACGCGGCGAAAACTTTCTCTTTTCGGAGCGGCAAGGTCGCGCGGTAAAATAAAAGGCTCGTCCGATCTCTGTACAAACTTAGTGATTTTGTTTGAGAATAAAAAAGCCAAAGCACAGAACGGTTGGCGACTGGATTTATTTGCAACAAAAAGTGCACAAAATTTGAAAATTCGGAAAAGAAAAAAACTCCAAATGGATATTTCAATTTATAATTGAATATCTTGGGTTCTGTTTGAGATACAGAAATGCTTCTGGAACCAAAAATTTTCTTTTTACCTCCTCTTCAATTCTGAGAGGTCAAATGATTCATAGGTTGAAGGTCAAGGTCATTTTCTAGGGGTCACATGCAAAAATTTTCCACCTTTTGATTTGGCTGAAAATTTTTTCTAACGTCCTAACATGTAGGAAGAACATATTAAAAATTCAGAATGGCTTCTTGTTTTGATTTTTTTTTATAAAAAAAATTACAAAGTTAAAAACAAACGTGAATTTTTCACCCATTAAATCAGAGAATTTTTGATTGAATCGTCAATGGACCAATTTTATTTTAATTTGGAAAGCAAGGTGAAATAAAAGGCTCGTGTCAGTTCTGTACAAAAGGCGATATTTATTTTTGAATAAATTATAAATTAATAATTAGTGCAGGGCGACGACGCAGCAGGCGACCCTGGCGCCGGCGTTGCCCGTCTTGCGGCTCTCGGCGTCCGAGCCGCGGCCGAGGTCGTCGGCCTTGGCGTGCACCACGAACGCGCGCCCCACCACCGAGTCGGCCGCCCCCGCGGGGGCCAGCGAGATGCCCCGCGTCGCGAAACTCACCACCGCCTGCCCGCTCACGTCGGCCTCGATGTTGCCAAAGTCGCCGGCGTGACGAGACTCGTCGTTCGGCGATCCGTGCGTCGCCTACAAAATTGCTCAGATTAATTTTTAAATTCACTTAATTACTCAAACAAGTTAGAATGCTTTGCTGATAATTAAGGGATGGATTATAATCACTTTATCACGTAATAATTATAAATTCCTACTTCTGTATATTACACATTTCATTAAAAATAAATTTGACTTTTGTTTTGGAAAGACGATTATTTTGTAATTGAATTTTTTTTTTATAAATTTAGAAAAAAATTGGCTTTTACCAACATCATCAAAAATATATGAATTATAAAATTGATGATTTCAAAATGTCTGTAATGAATTTGAGCCAGATCAAGTGATATCGACAAAGACACATTTTTGCAACAGAAAATGAAGAGTTTTACGTTTGTGGGGTTGAAGTGGGGTCCGGCGGCCTTGCAGGCGTCGGCGGTGCTGCCGTCCCTGTGCAGGTGGAAGCCGTGCAGGCCCGGGATGAGGCCCTCGACGGAGCCCGAGACGAGGACGGGCGCGCCCGGGTGGTGCTGGTGCAGGGTGACCAACCCCCGCACCAACCCCTCGGCCGAACTCGGCGCCAGGGTGCAGCTGGCCGACGCCCCCGCCGACGGCTGCACCGATGCAGAGTTCACGGGGTACACGTACTGCACCGGCTCAACGTGGTGGTGCTAAAAATCAAACCAAATTTCAAAATATGGATTATTTTTCTTGGCCGAAACAAACAAAAATTTTATTTTTTGACCATTTTTTTCAGAAATATTTTTAAATTGGCAATTTTCCTCTGAGAATATGGGATTTTAGGTAATCCCGAAATATCAAATTTAACTTCAAAAAGGTAAATTTGGGCTTCATTATTACATTTAAGATAATTTCCAAACTAAATTACAAAAAAATTTAACTCACGACGAACGTCTGCGGGTGTTCCATCACGTAGTGGCCGAGGTGGTGTCCCCCCACAAAAGCCAACAGACTCGACAAAATTGCTCTGCGAAAACAGATTAGTTCTTTTTATTTTTAATTAACATTCAAAAATTCATTCTTCTGCTAAAATCGGCTCTGTTAATATTAATGTTAATTTTTTTCCACATTAGAATTCGTTTTTAAATGAAATTTCAAAGCAAACATCTTCAGAAAAATTGAACTCGTTGAGATAATAGTTTTTTCGCTCAAGAAATTTCTAGAAAATTTATTTAACAAAACTGGCCTGATCAACATATTGATAAAAATTTCATCAAACCAAGTTCAATCACTCCAATCAAGTGGGCAAAATAAATTCAAAAAGTAGCTGGAAGCTGGAAATAAAAATTTACATTGATCTGATGGGAAAAGGTTCAGTAAACATTTTTCACATTTTAATTAGAAGATTTTGTGTGATGTGATTTTTGTTGTTGGAACAAAAATAATAGTTAAAATTACCACTTGATTTCCACTTGATTATGACTTTTTAATGCATTGTTTTAAATAAATAGATTTTGCTTTTTAATCTCTCTCCAAAAACTTAATCAAAGATTGTTATAGCCTGATATACATATTAAAAGTTCTGTTTATTTTACATTTGAAAAATGTTAACCTTTAAATTTAATGCGATTTTTAAACTGTGATATAAAGTCCTGTCTAAAACACGTCTTCCTTTTTGAAATATAAATTAATACATATTAAAGACTTAAGTGGACATGGAAAGGTACATAAAAGTTACGTAATAATGTAATTAATAAAGTGCGAATGAAGAGAGCGAGGAGCAAACTTACAGCGGCAGTGCCATATCGGCGCAGTTAAGGTGTTTGTGTGTGCGACGGAGCGTGACTCCAGAATGAATCAAACTTAGAAGCTGCAACGCACCTTGGAGACAAACCCACACCACACTCTCTGCTGCTTGTTTGCCTTCCCTAGGTCAGGGTCATCGACCGCCTCCGGTCGCCGACGACCTCTGCACAACAAACCCACTCTCCACTCTCTGATCGTAAAAATAAAAACGAGAGTGAAAAAGAAAATAAAAGATTTGCGCCTGAAAAAAATATGAACTACGTAATCAAAGTTTTCAGTTAGATTGTTTGTAGAAAATTTTAATTCTAATACAATTGCACAATTTGCATATTAGTACAAATTAATAAAAGAGTATGCAAAGGAGAAAAATTTAAAACAACATGTTTTTTCTTATAAAATTTAGAATTTAGTTCAAATTTATTCAATCTTTGTTTCTTATAATATTGTAGATTTAAATTTGGTAACCAAAATGAGCAACTATTCATGAATCGTTTTATGGTGGGGGAATTTAAGCGATCAGTAAAAATTCCCACCCAATTTAATAAGTAGGAGATTCATTTCTATTTGTTATAAAAACCTGCAGCCTCTCTTCAATGAATGTTGCCAAATTTGTCTAATTTGAAATTATTTGGAAATTGTCTTTTTTTTTAATCAAAAAACATGTTATGCGTTTCAAAGAACAAGAAAAGTTTCTGTTCAAATCATCATTGTTGCTTAATTTTCCTACTTTTTACATCACATTGTTTATTTTCACAGCCGGAATTAATCATCACTTTGTGTTTGTTTATGATTTCAGGAAATCATTGAAGACTTGAACGCCTGGCTAGGTATGCAGCCTGGAGTACAATAGTACGGCTGGATTTGGCGCCCTTTTCGTCAAACTCCCACCCACGCATTCAGAGCGACCAATCAGCCGTTGATGCGAAAATCTCTTTGCTCGGAGGGGTGTGGAAAAAGGATTTAAGATCGGTAACGATGAATTCTTCCCGTTTCAAGGTTTTAAACACTTTTGAAGCAGAAAATATGCTTCGAAAATGTTTTTTTGAATCTTTTTCATATTTTTTGTGACTAAAAATGTCGATATTTAAAAATCCTCGACCGAGTTTATCGCTTTACAATGCAGCTCCTTTGCGCACACCCCACCCGACGAGCACCACAGATTGGCTGTGTTTCTTTAAAGGAGAAAAACTTGGCCAAGTTGGCGGGACTCTTGGCGGCTGTTTTTTTAAACGCCAAGATACACCAAAAGTCCCCTCCCCTGACGTTAGTTCGCGCTCAGTGGCGCTGTTGCTAGTGTGAGGACTCTTGGCGATCTTGCCGTGCAAAGCAGCCAACTCCGCCAAGAATTAATAACAAGTGACAAACGAAAATGGAAAAATAAGGAAATGTGTTCCGCCCACTCATGTGTATTTTTTGTTATTTACTTGTTGTTTCCCACAAAACATAATTAGCGACTTAATTTTACGATTCCAAGTTTATGATTAGTGTAATCTTCAGTTAAACAAAATTTTCCTATTAATTCGTAGCGTTAATATTATTTCCGAGACAACTTTTTCGCTATTTGCCCCAAATTTGGACTAACCGACCATAACTTAGTAATTTTTTTTACCTTTTTGTTACTATATTCAATGAATTACCGATGACTTTTATTCGCGACTTTCGCAGTCAGCACTTTAATCGTTTGTATGTGTAATAATTGTGTATGTTATATGTTATACTAAACATTTCTCAGAAAATCAATTAATCTTTAATTTTGATCCATTTTTTTGGGTGCCTGATATGTATTTTCTATAATGTATGAGTTTTCTTCGGACAATCTTAGTGTCTTTGAGGTCTTTTAATGATCAACAATTTTCTTCGCCTTTTAAGATGTTTAATAATTAAATTAATTAAAACTAGCATTAATTTTGACAGGTTGCTATAATAAACTCTCCTCTGTGACCCACAATTTCCATTTTTTTTTTTTTTTTTTTTTTTTATTGTTAGTTGAGTGAGTTAAATGATAGAAAATAATTAGAGAAATAAAATATGAAACTAGCTTTTATATAACCCATGTGAGTAAGTAAAATTAATCTCTCTCAATGACATAAAAAAATTTAAAATGAATTTAGCTGCTGCTTGTCAAGTAGTCAGCAGAGGTACTTTCTAAAATGGCCACTGGAATTTTGGTGGCGCTCGCAATAACTTCTGGCGGCTGTTTTTTTAAAGCGCTGGCCAAGTTCCCCCACCCCAAAAATGGGGATTCTTGGCGAAGTTGGCCAAAACAAAAAGAAACACACCCATTGCCCGCGCGTTTCCAGCTGCAGCAGTGCAGCTGCAGCGATTGTTGTTTTCCCCGGCATGGTCCCTTTTCGACCGAAGTCCGACCTGAATATTCGAATGTGAGCTGATTCGGTGACGCTTTCGAACTTTGCTTGACCTCCGAGCGGAAATGGGGGTCACCGGGCTGCTGCCCCTGCTGAAGAAGTCGGCCGACCAGGTCCGAATTCACCCTTATAATTCTCCAGGTTGTTTTCTTATTTTTGTGATTTTGGTTCAGGTCAACGTGAGTCAGCTGGAGGGCAAGACGGTGGCCATCGACGCGTACGTGTGGCTGCACAGGGGCGCCTTTTCCTGCGCCGACCGCCTCGCCCGCGGAGAGAAAACCCTCGGGTTCGAAATCAAATTTTTTATCTGAAAAAGGTCACTTCAATTTCTGTTCAGGTTCGTCGGGTACGGCCAAAAGATGCTGAACATGTTGTTGGCGCACAAAATCAAGCCGATCTTGGTGTTCGACGGCCGCAGACTCGAGGCCAAGGCGGACACCGAGAAGAAGCGCCACGAGTGAGTTTTTAGTTTTTTTATCAGAGAGTTGAAAAAAATAATCTGGTTTTGCGATCAGAATTCGCAAGCAGAACAAGCAGAAGGCGGAGGAGCTGCTGAAGGCCGGCAGGGAACCCGAGGCCCGCGATTTCCTTCGCAGGAGCGTCGACGTCAACCACTCGATGGCGATCGAACTCATCAGAGTTGCCAGGAAAATGAATGTACGCAAGTGAGATTTTAATAAGACAAGGTTTTTAAAAGTGGAGTTTTGTCCCAGGTGGACTGCATTGTTGCTCCACACGAGGCTGACGCCCAGTTGGCCTTCTTGAACAGACAGGGGCTGGCCCAGGTCGTCATCACTGAGGATTCGGATCTCATTTTGTTTGGCTGCTCTCAGGTAAAATAAAATAAATGGTCAAATTTGGGCTGATTCCATTTTGTATTTATACAAGTTGATGACATAAATATTTATGAATTTGCATTTTTCCAATTTCAAAAAAGGTAGTTTTAAATTTTCAGATTGTTTGAGAAAAAAAACATCTTTACTGGATTTAAAGCAAAATTATGGTTTGAACTGGAATTGAATAAATTTGCAAGAGTTTTTCGAAACATTTGAAATTCAACAGCTCTCACTATAATACCCTGTATAAAACTGCATTGAAATGTTAAATTTTGTTTCAATCAACTTTTTCTAAAGAAGTGAGCTCAATTTGAGGAAGCTTCTAAAATTCCATGAGAAATCGATTGACTCTCCAAGATTCAAAATATAATCAGTTCTAGATTTTCAAATTTCACAAAGCTACCCAAAATGGTCTTGACCTTTGACCTATATTTTTCTCCGAGTCATACCCTTTGACCATTTTTTTCCACAATTTTTAAATTATCAGAGTTTTTCAAATTAGCATTTTTGTTTCTTTACAGATTTTGTACAAATTGGATGTGAACGGGAACGGACTGATGGTGCGGGCAGACAAACTGCACCTGACCCTGGGTCGGCCGCACGAGTCACCGGAGCAGTTGCTGACCAAGTTGCGGCAAATGTGCATTCTGTCAGGGTGTGACTACGTCGGTTCTTTGCCTGGCGTCGGTTTGGTCAAGGCCAAGAAGTTTGTCATGGCCACCAGTGACCCCGACTTCCTCAATGTAACCTTTGACCTCTTATTTTATTACAAAGCTTTTTAAATTTACCTTCCTCAGGCTATCAAAAGACTGCCAGGGTACCTGAACCTGAAGACAAAGGTGGATGAGGAGTACATTCGGAAGGTGGCGCACGCCGACCTGACCTTCCGCAAGCAGTTGGTGTTTGACCCGAAAAAGAGGCAGTTGGTGACCATCGACGGCCAGGAGGTGGGGGACGAACCCTTCTCCGGCACTCTGATGGACCCTGACGTGGCCTTTGAACTCGCCCTTGGCAACATCGACCCTTTCACAATGCAAAAAGTTGCCAATTTTGATTTGAACAATGTAATAATTTGTCACTTTGGAGGAAATGTTTGATGATTTTGATTTCTCAGGTGCCTCTGACCAGTATTTGGAGTGAAAACTTCACCGCACCTGACCTCAGGTACGACGGACCTGTGAATGCATTTGTCACGGCGAAGAAAGAAGTTTCGATCAAAACTACCTCGGTTGTTAGAAAACCCATGCCAGTGAAACCTCGGATAGGTACAAATTTTATTTTCATAAGTTCACAAATTTTTAAAAACTAAAAGGTTCCTTTTTCCTATTTAACTTAACCTTGAGGGTGATCAAAAATACTTTTGTTTTAATCAAAAGTTTGGACTTCGTTTTTGGATTTGTTCACATGTGGGAAAGATTAACCAATTAAATAGTTTTTCATTCAATTTTTTAAAGTGGCCTTTGAATAAAAAAAAAACAAGTGCATTTTTAGATTGCTATAGATTGTTATCCATCACAATTGTGAGCTTAAATTTAAAGTTAAACACTTCAGGAAATGTAAATTTTGAAATTTATCAGCAAAAACTGATTTCAAAGGGAAATTTGATTTCAGAACCGAGATCTTCGACTTGGATGCTCGATTTGGAAATGACCGCCCTTTACGCGACCAAGTCGGAGTCAAAACTCAAGTCGGAGGTCAAGTGCCTGGTGAACGAGGAGGGGGAGGTGAAGGAGAGGGTGTGCTCCTCGTACTTCTCCAGCAAACAGGTTAAAACGCCCCAGCTGCAAATCGAGGAGGCCGACGAGGTCACCAGCCTCCTTGGGCAAATCGACAAGAGCCCTGTCAAATCAGGGTCAACGCAACACACCTCCATCCTGATGAACCCTTTCGCCAGGAAAAGCAACCTTCCAGCCTCCCCTGTCCTCAACAGGTACGCCCTCGAGTCGGTCCGACTGACCAAGCCTGACCCTGAGGAGGACAAACCTGAGGAAGAGATTATCAAGCCCAGCCTTTCAAGGTTTAAGTTCCGCAGACCCCTGTTTAGTAAAACAGGTCAGCAGGTGGAAAAGTCCCCTGACAAGTCGCCTGTGATCACGTACAAGAGGAAGAGGAATGAGAATTTCTCGCCGACCAAGAGAAAGGCTATCAGCAAGTAATATTTTCTTTATTTTTATTTCATTAATCTTATCAAATCATTAACAGGTACTTTTGCGACAAGAATGCAATTTTGGACATGCTCGACGAGCCAGAAACCAAGAACGGTGACACATTCAATAGGTACATTGTTTTTAATTGATTAAAGGAAAACTTACAAAACAATCTCTATTTCAGTATCGAAAGAGATTTGGTCCCTCTGAATAAGTCGAATGTGAAAAGAGGAAGCGTGGGACCAACGCCAGGTCTGAAGAAGACGCCCAAAGGGGGAAATGGGCAGTTTTCGTTGCTCACTTTTGGATTTTCCAGAAAGACTAATTGACGAGAATCTCAGACTTTTGTGCGAAAAGGAAATTCTTTTGTTTAAGATTATTAATAAATTGAAGAGAGAAAGATTTATTTGTAAAGGTTTGGAATTTATAATTTTGTTGAAAGAAGATCCACAAAATTAATTGATGTCGTTTTGAGGCAGAATTATCAATTTGCTAGTTAAAAAGCTAAAAAGCTATTCTTATTGGACTTCCAGATAGCAGCACCAGCGTATTCGTTGGCGTATTCGTTGGAATACGCTTGTTGGCTTGTTGCTTGCAGAGACAAGAGAATAAGGTTGCTTGTTGGCGTCAACGTTGGCGTATTCCAACAGCTTGCCAATGCCTGGTCTACACTGCACGGACTTGAACTTGAGTTGGGCCAAAGTGGGCGCAACCTGGCTTGAGTTTTGCAAGTTAAGACGGACTTGACTTGAAATATCGGAAATATCGCCCGATTTTTTTCTCAAGTCTGTTCTTGCGTCCCAAGTACCCTGCCGGGGGAGCACCTGAGATGGTTTTTGGACTTGAGATTGTTGTTTTCACGCGGTTTCTTTTTGGGGCTGCTGATTTTGAATTAAAGTTTTTAATTTTAGCAAAGACACAATAGAGGATTGTTTTGAAAATTTTCAAGAACAGTTGGGGTTCGTTTAAATATTTTTAAAATTTATTTCGTTTTTGATATTCTTTTGCACGAATGTAATATTTTTTTATAACGCGTTAATTTAAAGTATTTAAAATTTCAGCGTTGATAGATAATTAAATCATGTATTTTTTCATATTCTAGTTTTCAATTAATTTTGTCTAGGAGCGAAGTTATTAACGTTTCCGCGAGAATTTTGTTTTTTTAATTTTAAAAATAGAAAGCATTTTTTAACATTAAAAACCCTAATTGAATAATGTTGCCAATTAAATTTTCTACAAATTCTTTCATAGGCCTGTTGACGTCAAAATTTTATTTACTTATGTTTGGAAGGCTCAAAGTCAAAATATAATTTTTTAACATAGAATCAAATTTTTTAGAATTTATTTTAGATAGCCAGTCGATTGGAAATTTAGTTTTGATCTTTTGATTTAAATTTCATCAAAAAATATTCAGCCGTTTAATAATGAGAAAGTTATATGTGATGCCACCTAAAATTGCTTTTGAAGACGAGGGCGGCATCAGAGCGCTCATGAGAAAGCAAGCTGCAGCTTAAAAACGGCTGAATATTTTCTGATGAAATTTGAATCATGAAATCAAAATTAAATTTACTGTCGATTGGCTATCTCCGAAAAATTCTAAAAAATTTAATTCTATGTAAAAAAATTATATTTTTACTTTCAGCCTTCCGTACATAAATAAATAAAATTTTGACGTCATCAGGCCTATGAAAGAATTTGTAGGAAATTTAATTGGCAACATTTTTAAATTAGAGTTTTTATTATTAAAAAATGCTTTCTATTTTTAAAATTAAAAAAACAAAATTCTCGCGGAAACGTAAATAACTTCGCTCCTAGTCAAAATTAATTAAAAACTAGCATATAAAAAATTACTTGCTTTAATTATCTATCAACGCTGAAATCTTGAATACTTTAAATTGAAGCGTTCTAATAAAATATTACATTGGCGCAAAAGTCTATTAAAACGAGTGTCTCTCGCCCGACGGTGTCGCCGCCGGGGGTGCCACCAAATGAAACTTGCGTAGCGGCGACTGACGTTTCGGCCAATTTCGAGTCGGCGGCCGACCAAAACGAATAATAAATGTCACCAGGCCATTCGGAGGTAAATTTTAGTAATTTTACATAAGATAAATAGTGCATTTCTAGACTTGAAGGAAAGAAAATCGAGAAAATCAAAGAAAACTCTTAAATGGACTTGAGCTGGAACTGGCGGACTCGATATTTTTCGATTAATCGATATTTTTTGGATTTTTCAAGCTCAAGTCCGTGCAGTGTAGACCAGGCACAACAGCGTATTCCTTGTTGGCGCCCAACAATTTTGCAGTAATCATTTTGTGTTCTCCCATAATGATTATTTTTTATTCTTCTCGAGAAATAAAAAAAAAATTATAAGAATTTTAGAATTTATATTAAGCAAATACAAAAAATCACCTCAAAATTTGAAATTCTAATTTCTAATTTTGCGACCCTTACAAAAAAGATTTTTCACACTACTTCCCGATGATAAATGTAATGCAAGAATAATTTCTAAGGTAAAAGGTAAAAAAATTATCAATTTTTCAATACACCTTCATTAGAGTTAATTAACCTCGCAGGATTGGATAATCGTACCAGGCCATGAGTAGATTTAATTTTGTGTACCTAACGTTCCTTGATTTTTTTCAGAAACGTCATCTTTAAAAACTACTATATTTTTGGCTTTAAAAAGTCTATATTGTCATAAAAATTTGATTAGATTAAGTCATCTTTTATGTGTAAATATTTCCCCAGCTTTTTTTATGCAATTTTCATTGAGCAGGGTTACATCTTTTTAATTTATAAACAAGACTGTACTTCATGGCGATTTTAATTTAAAGTCGGCCTTTCCTCGATCAGTTTTTAGAATATTTTTAATTTTTTAAGAATCATTAAGAATAAACAATATCCTGCTCTACGTGGTTCGGCTGCGAGCTGCAGCCATAATTCATGAGCTGTGAAACCATTTTGACAAATCTATAATATTCTTACCAAAATTATTATAAAAATTAATTTTTTTTTTTTAAAAAATTACAATTTAACAAAAATTAAGTTTTTTTACAAATTCAATTTCAAATTTTGTTTTAAAAATTGTTTTGTGAAAAAAGTGTAATTTGAAATAATTTTTTCATGGAAAATTGTTACTTTGATTGAAAAAAATGATATTTTTGAAAAAAAGATTGATTACTGTACTAATTCTTGTCAAAATGATTTCACAGCTCATGAACATGAATATTATGGCTGCAGCCCGCAGCCGAAACATATGGAGCAGGATATTGTTTTTTTCTTAAACAATATAAAAGCTCACAAAAACCCACTGAGGTAAAGCCGAATTAAAATTCAAATCACCATGAATTTTAATTTTGATCGTGAACTTCTACTTCTTTAATTTTTATAATTTTATAAATTTAAAAATAAATCTGAATAGCGTTTTTTAATTTAAATTAATTTTGTTATTATTTATTAGCTCCATTATTAATATTAATCTTCATAAGTTATTAAAGATTATTAATAATACGGAGATAATGAATAAATAAATAAAAATTAAAAATAAAACAGCATAATTATTAATAATAAGGCATGAAGCAATAAGCAGCTAAATTCAAGCGGTGAAGAAGCCGTCTGCTTGCCGTCTGCGTTGCGAGTTGCGAGCCGACCACGTGACTCACGTGACTGCTAGCCGCCAATCAGAAAGCTTAACCCGGCGTCGTGCTAAGCCAGGACTTTATCGCTCTCGCCGCTAGGTGTGCCACCTTGTTCTTGTTGGTTGGCGTATTCTTTGCCAAAAGAAAACGGTTGGGTGTACACAAAGGAGTTACAGTTAGTAATGTTAAATTCTGCACTCTTTAAGTTTTAAATAGCTTTGTAAGCAGAAAATATGACAAAAAAAACGTTTATTTATACTTTTTATATTTCATTCATCTAAAAATTTCGATTTTATTAAATTCTCCGCCGAGTTTCTCACTCCAAAGTGCAGCTCCTTTGCGCACACCCCACCCGAGCACCAAAACAAAGTTGACGAAAATCCAACAAGAACAAGGCATAACAAGCAGCTTTCTGGCGTTGCGAAAATCGGCCGACGTCGACGATGGCCGTGCGAATCTTGGACAACACTTGAGGATTCGGCCAGATTCTGTTCATTCTGTGCGAGATGGACTCCAGGGTTTTGGTCGTGTTGGCCCTGGTGGTCGCAATGGCGGGCGCCACCGACTCGGAAGGTACGAACAACGAGATTTGAATTGTTGGGAATTGAATCGCGAATTCTGGTTTGCAGGGGCGAACCGGACGCTGGAGGTGACGGCGTCCGAGGCGGAGAAGAACAGCTCGATGGCCATCTTCTTCGTGCTGTGCGTGCTGGCCGTGTGCATCCTGCTGATCCACCTGATGCTGGTGGTGCATTTCCAGTACCTGCCCGAGAGCGTGGTCATCGTGTTCCTGGGCGCCCTCATCGGCCTCATCACCAACATGATGTCCAGCCAGAACATCGCCGACTGGAAGAAGGAGGAGGCCTTCTCGCCCACCGCCTTCTTCCTCGTCCTCCTCCCACCCATCATCTTCGAATCCGGCTACAACCTTCACAAGGGCAACTTTTTCCAGAACATCGGCTCCATCCTTGTAATTTTCTCCTCAATTTTTTACAACTTCGATCCTGTGTAAAATTGCAAGAGACAATCGGCTTTAATTCAATCTCAATTTATGGTATTTTTATAAATTTAAAACAGTTGTGGCTTCCCTTCATGGGACTATCTAAGAAATACCGGATGGTTTTGGAATCGTCTTGTTGCCCTTTTCAACGTTTCTGTGAGGCGCAGAATCGTTTGTCACAGGTCAAGGTCACTTCCATTGACTTCATGACCTTTGAAATAAAATTTGTGAGTGAGCTGGCACTTTTTTGAAAATTCTGAGATTGCCATTTTGTAGACCATACAATTTGATGGGATAGTTAAAAATGGATTAATTGGTATTCCTCGTTTTTTAAATTTATTTAAATTGAAATAGCAAAAAACATGATTTTCCCAGCTTTTACGTAGTAAAATTTGATTGAGCCGTTGTAACTTTATTCCCGAGTGAGATAGCTCATTAGTCCTAATTTTAAAAAATGGCTCTCTTTGTACGTCCTATCCGAATATGTATCACACTTAGTGACTAGGTCCCTAAAGGTCCTTGACCCTGGTGACCTTTGACCTCGCCATGTTTTTCCATCGCATATATGCCACATGGTTCGATCATTTTGGTAACTGAAAGGTCAAGGTCACTGTTGGATACGCCAATAAAATGGCGATTATAAGAATCGAGTGATCTGATTGGCTCGAAAGGTCCCCCCACCACTAGATTCAATTTGACCTAAACACGTAAGTGTGGCACATTGCTGGAATGCTCAGGTCACCAGGAGTCTATAAATCAGGCCAAAAAGGTTCCCCTGCCAGTCCCATGTCGGCTGCTTCCGGAATTGCGATTAATTTTAATTCAATTTTGTTCCGCAGGTTTTTGCGATTCTGGGGACGCTGGTGTCAGCGCTGGTGGTGGGGGCAGGAGTCTACATGCTGGGGGTGGCGGAGGTGGCTTACCGGCTGACCTTTGTCGAGAGCCTGGCGTTCGGCTCGCTCATCTCGGCCGTCGACCCGGTCGCCACGGTCGCCATTTTCCACGCGCTCGACGTCGACCCGGTGCTCAACATGCTCGTCTTCGGCGAGTCCATCCTCAACGACGCCGTCGCCATCGTCCTCACCTCCACCGTCCTCCAGTCCGCCTCCGCCGACGCCCACATGACCCCTGGTGAGGCCCTCCTCTCCGGAATCGGAAGGTTCGTAACAAATTCCTAGAAAAATTGGCTATTTCACACTCATTTCTAAATTAATTTATTATTTTCTATAAATCGACTACTTTTTATTTTTGAAATATTTATTTTAAAATCACAAAGCTCAATGACCTGTGGCTAACGCGGGTCAAAGTCACCTTGACCCTTGACCTTGAGTGAAGTAACCTGTGATACGTGGTTAGAAAGGTCTCATCACGAGGATAACAATGGTCACCACAATTGTGTCCCCATGGCTAGATTTCCAACCTAATTATGATGATTTGAATTTCAAAAAAGCACATTATTACTTTAATTGCAGTTTCAATTGTTATAAAATTTATGAAGTAATTACGTTGCAGGTTTTGCATGATGTTCTTCGCGTCGGCCGGGATTGGCGTGTTGTTCGCGCTGGTCAGTGCGTTGCTCCTTAAGCACGCGGACCTGCGCAAAAACCCCTCGCTCGAGTTCGGTATGATGCTCGTGTTCACGTACGCGCCCTACGCCCTCGCCGAGGGTCTCCACCTCTCAGGTAAATCATTTTAAAAGAAAGTGTCTCTAACCGGCAGAGAGACATTTCAGCAACTTTAAGATCTTTTAGGCACTTTTTTTTTTAATCGGCCACACTTTTGGCAAGGGTCAACCGATTTGAATGAAATTTGGCAGGTCGGTTGCTCTTAGGGTGTAAACAAATAGTTTAGAAGGATTTTTGAAAATTCTCAAAATTGCCTATTTTACAGGGGCTCAAAGTTGCTGATTTTGAAAAATGGCGTTTTCAAAAATCGAAAATATCTCAGCTCCTGTTGCAGATAGCGCATAAGTTTATATAAGCAAAATTATAGGGAATTAGACGCCCTACAACTTTGCTATAGTGACCAAGGTCGTAGGTCAAACCTGAAGGTCATTTATTTTTTGGTCATTTTTTTCAGGCTCTACCAAAGTACCAAGGCAATAAATTTTTTTGATTCCAAAATAGCCAAAAGTTGCTCCAGTTAGTAATAAACAACATATCAAAATTTTGTGATACTTATTTTTTTCGTTTTTGAGATATTCCGGATCAAAGGGCAAAAAACGTGGTTTTCCGAGCGTTTTTTGTGCAAAATTTATTTTAAACCTCCATAACTTTTTTCCTGTTTGAGTTAGGATTAAATGTATAATGACAAAAAATAATTGCCTTTAATTTTTCTTCCAGATCATGTATCACACATGGTGATCAAGTCACAAAAGGGCATTGACCCCATGGTGACCTGTGACCTTTTTGAATTTTTTTACGTGTGTGACACATGGATGGAAAGAGGATGTCAGCAGGAGCATTTTGGTACCCGGATTTTTGTTCTAGCATCATTACAAGTGAAGTTATCATAGATTTTGTGCAGCAAAAGTTGGAATCGGATGAATAAATTATTTAAAAATAGATGTAACTTCACATCTATTGATGCTAGAACAAAAATCCGGGTACCAAAATGCTCCTGCTGACATCCTCTTTCCATCCATGTGTCACACACGTAAAAAAATTCAAAAAGGTCACAGGTCACCATGGGGTCAATGCCCTTTTGTGACTTGATCACCATGTGTGATACATGATCTGGAAGAAAAATTAAAGGCAATTATTTTTTGTCATTATACATTTAATCCTAACTCAAACAGGAAAAAAGTTATGGAGGTTTAAAATAAATTTTGCAAAAAAAACGCTCGGAAAACCACGTTTTTTGCCCTTTGATCCGGAATATCTCAAAAACGAAAAATATAAGTATCACCAAATTTTGATATGTTGTTTATTACTAACTGGAGCAACTTTTGGCTATTTTGGAATCAAAAAAATTTATTGCCTTGGTACTTTGGTAGAGCCTGAAAAAAATGACCAAAAAATAAATGACCTTCAGGTTTGACCTACGACCTTGGTCACTATAGCAAAGTTGTAGGGCGTCTAATTCCCTATAATTTTGCTTATATAAACTTATGCGCTATCTGCAACAGGAGCTGAGATATTTTCGATTTTTGAAAACGCCATTTTTCAAAATCAGCAACTTTGAGCCCCTGTAAAATAGGCAATTTTGAGAATTTTCAAAAATCCTTCTAAACTATTTGTTTACACCCTAAGAGCAACCGACCTGCCAAATTTCATTCAAATCGGTTGACCCTTGCCAAAAGTGTGGCCGATTAAAAAAAAAGGTGCCTTTATAAACCTGGCTTTCAAGTCGATTGTTCTTGACGAATTGCATTTTCGGTTGAATTGTTGCAGGAATCATGGCGATCTTGTTCTGCGGGATCGTGATGTCGCACTACACGCACTTCAACCTGTCGACGGTGACGCAGATCACGATGCAGCAGACGATGCGCACGCTGGCGCTGATCGCGGAGACGTGCGTGTTCGCCTACCTGGGCCTCGCCATCTTCAGCTTCCGGCACCGTCTCGAGCCGGCCCTCGTCGTCTGGGCGCTCCTCTTCTGCCTGCTCGGCCGCGCCCTCAACATCTTCCCCCTCGCCGCCCTTGTCAACCGCTTCCGCGAACACAAAATCACCCCCAAGATGATGTTCATCATGTGGTTCAGCGGTAACAAAATCTAAATTATTCATTCAAACCTTTTTACTACGATGGAGGAATTTGTTTGAGAAACCAATCATCTTGAGCTTCTCAGTAATTCTGTGCTTTTAAAAAGAGATTCTTTTCTTCATTTTTGCCTCCTTTTTCACGTGATCAGGTGCATTAAAACAAGTGTCAATTTGGATTATTTTAATATATTTGAGAATACTGAGAAAAATTTAAACTGAAATGGTCTTTATTTCAGGGTTTTTTAATCATAGCGATTGCCTAAAAGTGACCTTGTCCATTGACCTAAAGCTTTGGTGTCGGCAGAAAAATTGTTTAACAAGAGTTGAAATTTTATTACTCTAGCATATATACGGGGAGGCAAAATTATTAAAAAAACACGTGAAAGTCAAAATATTTGGTTTACTGAAACCAATTCCTGCAAAGGTCCTGAGGACATTAATTGGAAAATATGTTTCACTAATGCAAAGGTTTTAAACTTTGGTTTGATGACTCTTGTAGGGTTGAGGGGTGCGATTGCGTACGCCCTGGCGCTGCATCTGGAGTTTGGGGAGGAGTGCCGCTCGGTGATTGTGACCACCACTCTGATCATTGTGCTGGTCACCACCCTCTTCTTTGGCGGCTCCACCATGCCCCTCATGAAGGTATAATCAAGAATTGGTGTGAACCAAATTTTTCAATTCAAAACCATCACAATTTTTATAACCAGTGTATTCTTGAATTAAAGTTTCAATTATATTTGAAAAATTATTGAAAAACATTGTTTGCAGTTCCTGCAGGCAAAGAGAAGCGGCCGGCGGCGGCGTCGAAGGAGCCGTTCCAAGGATGTCATCATCAGCAAGACGCGTGAAATGGTACTTAGCAGCCTGTAATTTTTATAGCTAAATATAATTAATGCACCACAGGGCTAAAATTGCAACAGTTCTTTTTTAATGACAATCTCGGTTTGGGTCCTCCGATTTTGGTTAAAATTTGGTTTATTGGTTCCTTCACAAACAAATGATTTTTTAGAGAAAAAAAGTGCTTTTTTAGTGGCAGATTTCTTTTTAAGGACTCATTATTATTGGCAAAGTCAAATTTAGTCTTTACAACAATATGGGAGCCAATTTTGGTGATTATTTTAAATTTTATTTTAACCTTCATTGTTATAAGGATTTCTTAAATCTCATTTTGCGCAGAATCAGCCAGTCAATTTATGAAAAAGGTAAATAGTGAGCTCAATGTTGCACTTTGATCACTTGCAGGGCCAGGCGCTGGACTCTGAGCACATCTCGGAGCTGACGGAGGAGGAGGTGGGGTTCCTGGGGCGGTCCAGGGGATTCGCGTGGTGGGACCTCAAGTACTTCATCCCATTCTTCACGCGCCGCTTCACGCAGCAGGAGCTCAAGGACTGCCGCTCGCAGATGACCGACCTGACCAACCGCTGGTATGAGGCCATCAGGGTCTCCCCCGACGAGGACCACTCCGAGCAGGAAAGCCCCGACGAACGGCCCCCTGCCGCCCCCCTGGCCACGTAAAACCCTCAAATTCAACGCTAATCTCAATTAATTTTTTTTCCATCTAAAGCATTATTCAGAAACGAATTTATTTTGTTTAATGCAAAAATCCAAATTAATATTTTGTTTGAGATAATTTTCAACAAGCTGTTGATTTTTATTTGATGTTTATGTTTCAGTTATTTCATATTTGTTCATCGTAAACTTAATTTAAGTGTTTGTGATCACAAGTATGTGTTATCTGCCATAAAATATTGTGTGTGTGATAATGTGTGTGATAAACATTATTTAATTGTACCAATAAATGTCCAAATGCAACTCTAGTTCCAGTTTCATCACTATTAAAGCAAAACCCTGCTCATTTGATGGACTTATTGTAATGTTTGCAAGGAAATGAAACGAAGAAAGTTAATTATTGAAATATATTGTCATTATCCTACTTGTGATTTCTCTCTTTTCATTATACAAATATATTTGCAGTCTAAGTAAATAAAATATCCAGCCTAGTAAAATTTCTCTTCAACAAACAAAAAATACTCTGGTAAAATTGCACAAAAATAAAAGCTCTGATATGGCCCACTTTGAAACAGCTCGATAAAATATTCGATTCAACAATTAAAACTTTAAGTCGACGGATATTCAGCTGCCCTCAATGCCTGCCAGGGTTGTTGCTCCAACTCTCGGACAAAAGTCTGCAAGAGAAGAATAAATAATAATAATAATAAGTTGCTTAAATTGTACAAAATGAGTAAATTCAGAGGAACAACCGGACCTGCTGTTGGGCGTGGCTGCCGAGTGCTCCTCGGCCAGCCACCGCGCCACGTCCTCTTTGTACATCTTCTTCTGCAGGACCTCGGTGGTGCGCGCCCTTGTGCCCAGGAAGGACGTGCTGCCCTGCAAATCGCGTCAAATTTTGCAATTTAAGAAAAAAAATCCTGCTCGTCTCACCTGGGCTTTGATGTCGAGGCCGATTTGCTCGGCAAAAAGGGTTGGGGGCACGTGGGGCAACCACGCGCTCAGTTCCTCCCAGTGCAGGTGCACGTCCACAGACAGCATCCGCCGCTCTGCAAATCAAAAATTTAAAGAAATTTGAGTAAAAAAATGTAGCGCACCTTCTTCCTTGCTGGTCTGCTCCTTGTACTGGATGCGGAAGCGGAAAGCGCCTAAAATCGACGCCACCACGATCGTCAGCACCACCTTGAGCAAAGTCAAAATTTAACTGTGGCAAAGTTTCCAAAAATCTAAAAGTATTTGCGTGTTTTTTTTTTAACAAGATGTGACTTTGTATGCAGAAAACGTTTTAATATTGAAATTAGCCAAATTCGGAAACACATTTTTTACCCACAGACTATTTTGCCCGACTTTCTGCCATATTTTTAATGAACCAACAAAGACGGTTTCATTTATAGGCACGACACCCATTTTTGACGTTATTTGAATAATTTATGGTAAAATTTGCATTGGCAGAAATCTTGGAAACAATGGCCGCTGCTGTAACATTTGAAGTACTCATTAGGATTAAAATTCTTTTTGAAGCATGTCTCTGAACTCGTCTACGTGAGAATTACTTGAACTTGATTAAAAATAGTTTCTTAAGAAAGATTTAAATTTAATTTGATTTTGAAAACACACAATCAACCAATTTGAACTGACCATGGTGACGAGGTAGAAGGTCATGAAGTAGAGGCGGCTGAAGGCGTTTTTGCTGGCGACGGCGTAGCCCTCCATGGTGACGTGCCAGTTGTTGACCACGGTCAGCTCAAAGAGGACCACCCCGCTGCTGAGCAGGTCGGAGAACGAGTTGAGGTAGTAGAGCCCGACGCCGCCCTCCGCCTTGTCACGGTAATACGCCTCAACCGTCGAGTTCCTGCCCAAGTTCAAAGAAAAATCTCATATAGGATGATGACATTTTGTTGGAAAAAATTAAATTGGAGGAATTGGAGGAAACCAATCGTATTGAGTTTCACACATAATGTTTGTCGACTTTTAAAAAAGGAATTATTTTTGAAAAACTATGCAAATTCCATATTTAGTTGGGACATTTTTTTTACAAATTTAAAAAGTGTACAAATCTACATATAACAATTTCAACTAAAAAAAAATCACAGCAAAGTGACGTTGACCTTTGACCTGTAGTTATTAAGTCAATAGAACAGTTATTCGGCAAGAAGAATTGAGTCCAGTTTAAATTTTTATCCCTCTATCATTCCTGGTTGCACTTATGAACGTTTTGTTTTTAAAATGTCCCATAAAAATAAAGTGATATAATTTGGGTTCGAAATTTGGTAAACAATCCCTCAAACATGTGCGGAGCCCAAAATGATGGTTTCTTTAAACAAAGTCCCTACAGATGAACTCACAGGCAGCAGTTTTTCATGGGAAAGGAGGCAAAGAGTTCCATGCCGACAACGGCGAAGAAGTAGTAGAGGAGCAGCATGACGAGGGCGGCAGAGCTCATGAGGGGCATGAGCAGCAGCAAAGTGCCGAACACGTCGCGGAACCGCTTCTTGACCTTGAAGAGGCGCATGAGCCGCAGCGGCCGCGCCAGCACCAGGAAGGCCAGCTGCTGCGGCCGCGCGCGCACCCCCATCACCGCCACCCACAGCGCCACGGTCGCCGCCAAGTCGTAGCAGTTCCACCCTGACGCCAGGTAGCGCGACGCGCCCAGCGCGCAGCACCGCACCACCGCCTCCACGCTGAAAACTGAAAGCAAAAACGACATTAGCGCCAAAAAATCTATAATTCCAAAATTATTCAAAACGATTCTCCCTCCAAAAATCAACCCCCCTCCACCTGCCCTGATTTTAACTACTGATTTTAAGCGAACAATCACAAATTTGAATTGTTCGCGCAAAAGAAATCAGGAATTTTTTCAGACTTACGCGTGGCAAAGAGGAAGGTGTCCCAGGAGGCGACGAGCGAAAGGGCCGAGTGCTCGAGACGCTCGCTGTCCTCGGTCCGAACGACCCTGAACGCCATCAGCAGCACATTGGCCGAAATGGAAACCACTGCAATAGAAAATTGCCAAGAATTTGTTTTGAATAAATGCAGTTTTTCAATAGACACTCTTGGCATTTGATGAAATTTGGCTCATTTTTTCCCCAAATGATTCCTGGAAAATTTTCCAAATATCCAGGTGCAGTTTGAATTTATGAAAAGTGTTTTGAAAAATTTTAAATTTCTCAGATTCTGTTAGAGATAGGATAAAAAGTTCAATGGCAGTCTTGAAGGGCATTAGATGGACTAATTATTTAGTATGAAGTGTAAGGTCATAGGTCATCGGACTAGACCGGAAATGTAAAATTTGCCGTCAAAATGGAGTCGCCGTTATTTGTCCTAAAATCATTTGTCCTAAAACTGAATTCGTCATTTGTCCTAAAATCAAAGGTCCTAAAATAAATTGTCCTAAATTTTTCATATCATTTGTCCTAAATTTCAAGTGTCCTAAAAATAAGTGTCCTAAAAATTTGAAAATCTTAAAAGGTTTTATTGCTGGTAAAATTCAATCAATGCTCTGCAAAGAAAGAAACAGGGAGAAAATGCCAATAAATTTCTAATTCATAAAAATGAAAAAAAAAATTAGAATCAATAAACTTGAATGAAAATTAAAATCCTTGGGATTTAAAATTATTTTTTCTATTCATAAATTTTATTTTATCTTTCTGACTAATCATTTGTTGGCTAAACCAATGAAAATATATTATTGAATAGCTCTTTTTATCAATTTAACAAAAAATGTAACTATTTTCAAACAACTTCTATGTACGATCGAAATAAAGGAATAAAATGTGATCTTATTTTTTTTTCTTAGATTTTTCAACATTAAAAAACTTTCATTTTCTACTCCAAAACATTTTTGCTAAATATGAGAAATAAATTAAAAGTTGATTACCTTCAACTTTCAACGCTCTTTATTAATCCGGCTACATTGAAATCTTCTATAAAAAGGAAGACCAAAAATAGTGTGTGGGCTTGTTCACTGACAATAAGTCACGCGCCAGTAGTTGCAGTTTGCATCCAGGTGCCATCTTACAAGATTTAGTACAAATAAATTTTCGGACAAATGCATTTAGGAGAAATGAAAAACAATTTTAGGACAAAAATTTTAGGATGAAAATTTTTAGGACAAATGAGTTTTTGAACATTTAGGACAACTGAAATTATGAGCAATGCGGGTCTCCCTCAAAATGCCCACCATGTGAAGTTTCGAAAATTAAAAATAGCCCAAATATGCCCAAACAAAACTTACAAACGAGGGTCTCAAAGTGGCGGAACTCGAAGAGACGGACCGAGAGCTTGCCGAGGAGGCGGGCGGGCGATCGGGACACGGCGAACCACGGCTGCTTGGGCTCGCGGCACGTCCAGCGCAGCGACGCCGCGTTGTACACGTCCATCAGCTCGCTCAGCGTTACCCGCCCCCGACCCTCCCCGTCCAGGAACTTGAACGTCAGCAGCACGTCCCGGAAACCTGCGATCCAAAAAAATGTTGCAGCAAATTCGCGACATGAACAAATTAACTTTCAATTTTTAGGCTCTTTTATGTTTGGAGAATTTCTTTTGCCTAAAAACCTTTGAATGCCAACAATAAAGTTTGTGTTCTGCGCTAAAAATGAAGATGCGCCGAATAGGAGAAAAAATAAGTAAACTTTCCATCAAAAATTTAAGGACTTACATTTCCTGTCAACAAAACACTAAAACAACTCTTATCATGAAGCAAAGAAAAAAAAAAAATATTAAAAAACAAGTTACTTTTCTTGGGCCTGAAGTACTTCATGAGTCCGGCAAAGCGGACAAGAGAGACGCTGGGTTGGTCGGCGGCGGGTTCGGCGAGCAGGGTGAACGCCCTCTTGACCGCCTCACGCTTGTGCAGCAGCAGTTTGCGGAACTTGTCGCGCTCGATCGACGTGAACGCCTCGTACACCACCGCCAGCAACTAAACACAAATCGACCACAATTGTTGATAAAACCAATTTATATTCAAGTCAAATTGAGAATTCAGTTATATGATGTAATTTTTAATAATCTACAGTAAATTATAAACCAACTTAAACAGCTTCAACCCTCTGATTTAATGAAGAGGGTGGATTTCATATAAAAACTTCCACTTTTCCTATTAATTTGTACTTTATAAAATAAAATAAAAAAATGAGGATCCTAAATTATTTCCCCATTCATTTAGAAGAATCTTGAATGTATTTTGAGCTAAATTTTGGGGATGAAAGTCGTGACAATAAAGGTTCATACCAGGTTCATGAGAAGGTAGAGGACGATGGAGAGGTAGGAGACAAAGAAGATCGAGTTCCACCTGGACCTGGCGTACGCAGGCATCATCACGTCCGGGAAGCTGCAAGGAAGGTTTTTTATTGAACTGTTCTTTCAAAGGGGAAAGGAAAGAGTACTTGGCGGTGGTGAGGAGGACGAAGAGGTTGACGAAGGCGTCGGGCAGCGAGCGGAAGTAGGGGTCGTCGGGGTCAAGCCCGAAGAGGAAAAAGGCGAGCAGCGAGTACAGCGCCACGATCACCATCAGCAGACCCAGCATGTCCACGATCGGCGGCAGCGACTGGAAAATCTAAAACAAAAGTTTCACCATTTTATTTTCAATTGACTTAAGAATAGTTCAGAATTTATGCAATATCAATATGATCCACAACTCTGCCACAACAATTAAATGGAATATTAAAACAAGTCAAAAGTTAAAATTACGGATTTAAAGACCTAAAATAATATTTTAAATATTTAATTTTTGAAAATTCAGTGTTAACTTAAATAAGATAATTTTGGCATCGAAAATTTTAATTGTTTGAACCAGTTTGAACAAATGTCAAGTTTTTGTCATTTTTATTGGATTTTAAGTTCTAGCTCTTCCGGAAAACATTTTTTCAAACAAAATTTGCAGCAAATTTAATTTTGCCCGCTTGAAGTAATTAACATTTTCATCTAAACCCAAAGCGACAAAAGTTATAACAGCAGAAAAGTTGAAAATGAGGTTTTCTGATTAAAATTTACCTATTTGAGAAGAATTCCTCATTTTACAAACTTTCCGCTTCAAACTTCTGCTTTTTTTTTATTTAGAAGATAATGTTTTATACAAAATGCATGCAAAATTAAATTTTCTATAAGTTTTGTCCGAAACGATTTTCTCTGAAATGTTTTCCTGATGTTTTCCGAAAAAAACCAAAATTTTACTCATTTTCAAACAATCTAAATTTTTGACACAGAAAATCGTCTAAATTAAGAAAAACTTCATTTGTAAGGTTTTGAAAGCTAATTAAATTTCCTATCCATTGGCGTTGGTTATACGTTTAAGCAAGGAATAGAAAAATTACTACAAAAAATAAAAAGCACGCCACCTTTCAAGGGTCAGAACTGGCATGAATTTTTCAGGGACAAAACGCTTTCGATTGGAAACGGACCTGTCTGATGAAGCGTCGGACGCCGCCGCAGTGGTGGTTGTCCATGAGGAATATGGGGCGCATGGCCCTGGTGACCCTGAAGTGGGAGGACTGGCGCACGAGGACCACGCACGCCTCCACCACCATGGTCACCAGCGCCACCCCCTTGATGGTGGTGCGCTTGTGCTTGAAGAATGGTTTCCACCCCAGCCACCGGAACTTCATGGCCTGCTCAATGCCGATGATGGTCAGGGCCACCAACTCGATGGCGCCGTGCACAAAGATCGGCAGCTGGAATCGCCAATTTAAATTCACAATTCAGCAGAAACTCTCAATTCCAACCTCAATCCACTTGATTTTTCCACTTGATCCGAGGAATATAATTGTTAGGAAACTTTTCAAAAACACGATTTAAACTAAGGAACAGAATTTCCATGACCTAGTGCTCCCTGATTTTATTCTTTGTAATTTAATAAATTTTGATAAACCTTTTTACAATCGCTTTGGAAATTAAAAAAACTGCCTTTAGATTAACTTGAAAAATCAAAGAAGAAATGGAATAATTATTTCTTCTGATTCCTTCCAATATGATTCCAAAAGAACTCAAAATTGAGCAACCTTTTCAGGTTCATTCAACGGAATGGGTTTAGAATAATTTAAAATTCAAAAGGTATTCTTCAAAGACCTGGAAGAGGGGCCCCGCCGGGGGCTCGACGAGGGCGAGGGCGAGCAGGACGATAGAGGCGGCGAGGTCGAGGCCGTGGTACCACGAGCTGTGCACCATCAGGTAGGCGGGCAGGGCCTCAGGGTTCTTAGGGTGCGAGTCAAACTTCTCGTTGTTCTCGCCCTCCTGCAAGCAAGCAAAGGTCAGACCGAGGTCAGCGTAGGCAGGTCAAAGGACGCACGTGCAGGAAGATGGCGGCCTCGTGGTAGTTCATCTCCCAGAGGTCGGGGTGCGGCTGCGGAGGGTGGGGGGCGATCGATGCCGCCTCGTTGGTTGCCAACTCCTGCTGCAGGATCTCGTCAAACTCCTCCATGCCGGCCGAAATCACCGGCTCGTCGCTCGGCCCTGCCGAAAAACACCAAAGTCAATAATCACATAAAAGCAGAAACGCCCACGGTTGGGATCGATTTTATTGCAAGTTCGATCCGAACCTGAAGCAAGATAATTTGCATAATTATCTGTGGAGAATGGTGCGGAACTCACTGTCGTCGTGGAATCGCGTGTAGGTTCGATCTGCAGCGGCCGACCGAGACATTCCTCCTCGATTCGCAGGCCAAACTCATGTCTGAAACGAGATTGACGCGGATTAGTTTTTTAAAAAAGATGAGAATTCTCATCATACGTACGGACGAGAGGTGGAACTGCAACAAAGGAAAAATATTCGTGTCAAAACTCGCGTTGAGAGAAAACAGATCGAGATAAAAACCAACCTCAAATCAAAAGGACTCGCCGAATCTCCTGCTCTTCGTGATCCATCGCAGTTTGTTTTGGTTCTGAGAAGGGGGCGTGGCCCTCCATCGCCATCGCCTCCCCTCCCCCTCCACCCCGCACCAGCAAAAGCGCACCGAACTGGTCGTGCCTATACTCTAAAATTATTATATTGGCACTTTGAATAGAAAATATAATATGTAAATATGTAAGGTGGAAATTGGACAACATGCGTTTTTGCGTTGTTTTCCACGCTGTGACGTCACAGTGAATCAACCAATCAGTGACCAACAATGGAAAAAAGTGCTATTTTATTGTCTAATGTTATTTGGTTTTAGATTGACAATTAAACAAAAATGATTAAAAATGAATGATATTTTTGAAAATGAAAATTTCCACGATGGAAATCATCAGAAAAATATATGTTGAACTATTTTAAAAAAATAATTTTTTTTACCTTTTTATTCATTTAGTGTCATTTAGGATAGGATTGTAAGATTGTAAGCAATATATCGGAAATATATATATATATATATATATATATATATATATATATATATATATGTATATATATATATGTGTATATATATATATATATATATATATATATATATATATATATATATATATATATATATATATGATTGATTGAAAGTTTGTTTATTACTCAATGAGTATTCATCATACATACATGTTAAAGCACACTTTTACAATTTTTAAGTATAAAGGAATAGAAATAGTATAAGGAAATTGTGGTTATAACTTCTTCATTTTCGCATAGTCCACAAGAGATTTCACTCGTGCTGGGCATTTCTTCAGGTGGTATCGGTCACACGGATTGTCACATAATTCACATACACATTTATCATCAATTTTTAAGTGATATTTTTTATTTTTACAAATCAGGTGATGAAAACCGTGACATGCAAATCTCGTATAAACATGCCTTAATTTAAATTGTGCCTCTTTCCATTCATCATTTTGGAATGCATCTAATGTGAAATATTCCCCGGGGAGGTTTTCCAATTCTTTCATTCTCTCATTATAAAAAGCAGAAAAGGCTGGTGTGGCACACAGATTAAATCTTTGCTTCAGTTCCTCAACAAATAATTTACAGTTAACCAGAGAATAGGTGAATCTGGAGCGAGTACTTTTGTCCACCGAGAGGAGTTTCCGAATGAAACAGGCCTTTCCTTTTTCCAGTAGGTGGAAGTCTTCTTTGCTCAGAAATTTCCAAATTGACTCAATTCCATATGACAAGATTGGTGCAATTTTTAAGTTATATAATTTTAGCCCCGTTTCTATTGACAACTTATTCAGTTGAGGGATGTCGTAGGTGGCGAACATTGCAATTTTCTTTCTCCTTTCAATATGTTTGCTAAAAGTTAACCCTGATGGTTGAAAAGTTACACCCAAATAATTGAAATTATTTACAAATTCTATTTTCTTTCCGTCAATTTGGAGCTCGTCTGTTTTCTTCGGACGGCCCTTTCCGGTTTTTGTGAATTTCATGATTTTACATTTTTCAAGATTTAAGACGAGGTTTCTTTCTTTAAAATAAGCAATCACCGCTATGATTGCCTGTTTGATGATATTTAAATCACGACTAGCCAAGGCAGTGTCATCCGCATATGAAATGAGCATCAAGTCCCTCAGATGTTTAATGGCCTCATTTATGTCGTGGTTGGAGATGTTAAAGAAAAGGGGTGATAATACAGAGCCCTGTTTAAGGCCCTCGGTTTGTGAGATTTTCTCGGACTTGCCCACTCCGTCATCGATGACATAATAATTTATTTTGAGAAGTTCAGCAGTGAGGAGGAGCTCTTGCTTGGACAAGTTTGAATTGGCCACCAGATTTTCGAACACCTTTTCTCTACTGCAAGTATCAAACGCCTTTTTAATGTCAAGGAAAAACACATAGATAGGGGAGCCCTCCTTTTGTGCTGATTCAATTTCACCAATTAATTTATCAATTGCTTTTATTGTTGACCGACCAGGACGGAACCCATATTGATTATCAGGTATAATATGCGCGGTCTCCGAGTAAATCCTGGCGTAAAGTGCTCGTTCCAACAAATTAAGGAGAGAGTTGCTCACTGCAATCCCCCTGTAGGAATTCATATCCTCTCTCTCTCCTTTTTGTTTATAGAGGAGTTTCATGCCTGAGACTGTCCATCCTTCCGGAATCTCCATTTTTTCTAAGCACAAGTTAAAAAATGATTTTAAATATGGGAGTAGGACAGGTGCCATTGATTTAATATTTTCATTTGTGATTTTATCTGGCCCAGGACTTTTGTTGGATTTTAGTTTTTTGATAGCGAGGGATATTTCTTCTTCAAGAAAAGGGGTAAAAATTTCCTCACTTTTGGCCGCTTTACTAATAATCTCACAAAATTTTATCTGATTTATATTTGGGTCGTTTTTATTAAAAATGCCTTCATAGAATGCGACCCAGTTTGGGAGTGGAATTTGGTTTTCATTTGTGATTTTATCCTTTGTGAGATTTTGGATTTTGTAACAGGCTTTCTCGGCCTCCTTCAAAATTTTCTCCTCGTGCCTTTTATAGAATTGTGCCTTTTTGCGTTTAATGAGAGCCAAGTAATCCCTCCTAAGCAAGCTGGCCACATAAAGACCCAGCCGTTTTTCTACTTCGGACCAATTTCTCAGCACCTCCCTCCGAAAACCCAGATATTCGGCTCTTGATATTTTACATTCATTGTCAAACCATTCCTTCCCCTTTCTTTTAAAGTGGCGCTTTGCTCTACTTGACTCTTTAATTAAGCACTGAATGAGCTCGTAAAATTGATTGATATTTTTATCCTCTAGGGCTTTATTGAAAAGTAATTTGTAGCGGTTTTCAAATAATTCAGACAGTAAATTTTCGTCTATTTTGACCGGCCTTTCTCTTGTTATATCGGATTCACTTAAGTTTTTAATTTCGCAAGTCACTGATATTTGCTGGTGTTTACGAACAGTCGTGGGGATGATTTTGAAATTTTTTAAGTTAATGGATTTCCCAGCAAAAATTAAGTCGATTGTACTGCCCCCCGTGCCCGAAATGTAAGTAAATTGAGCCGGTAGTTTGTTCGCCAAAATTAATTCGTTCCAATCAGTGACTTCGAGGAGGTCTTCCCCTTTGCTTGAGCCATTGTCAATTCGACAATTAAAATCTCCTGTTAAAATTACATTTTCCAAACTCTCGAGTGACAAAAAGCATTCCAAAAGTAATTCACAAACATCAATACTTTTCAAGTCTGGCTCAAAATATGCTCCAATTACTGTGAAGTGCTCAAATTGTAAAGTTAGAATTTTATCAGTCGCTGTATGCTTTTTTAATTTTCCAGCCTTATTGTTATAATAGATGCTAACTCCTCGCCGGATTGCATTATTTTTATTTCTAGTCCCAAATATATGTTTAGCATAAAACCCCGGTATTTGAAAGTGTTTTCCTAGAAATGTTTCAGCAAAAATCATAATATCATAGTCACAGGTAAAGTTATTTTCACTTTTTTCCAATGCATTTTTTAATCCCTCTGAATTCCAAAATAATATTCTAATACCGGTGGTGCCCTCAGGTCGTCCTGCAGGGCGAGGGCGAGGAGTTTTCAAAAATTCTTCGTGGCGTTTCCGGAGGAGCCGGCACGGCTTCTCGTCTGTCGGGGCTCACTCGGAGTGGATGGAGGCCTCGTCTTCTTTGGTTGCGCCTGGATTTTTGTAGTCTCCTGCTGTGGCTCCTCTTGGTGTTGCGCTTCCTGGGTTGGTCTTTCAGCAGCGTTCGGGAGCGCTGGGGGTGCGTCGCGTGGCAGGCTTACGACATGGAGTGTCACTCGGTGTGGGCAGTCAGCCAACTTGTCCAGTAGCCATCTGGACACGACCGACCATTGGAGGCGGTCGCAGCCGCAGAGGATCGGGGGCATCCAGATGTCAGTTAGTCCATTTGCCTGGATTAGGTCTTTTATACCGTTCAGCCCTCGGTCCATATTTTCCAGGTAGGCCTCCGGGGCCCAGTAAATTTTGTCAACGGACCTCTTTTTGTACATAACGTGGTGCAGGGTGGTGCCCGTGTCTTCAATTGGCTGCGTCAGGACGGCTCCGGGACGTTTCTCGAAGCCATCCGGGACGTTCGGGACATCAAATGTCTGCAGCAATTTTGCTGCAATCCCGGCTGTGGCGCCCGTTTGGGGCATGTCCGTGGCCACCATGTGCAAAGCGTTGGTGGCTGTTCCATCTTTGATCAGCTGGATGAGGTCATCCTCGATTTCCTCAATCTCACAGTTGCCCTTTTTAAGGGCAGCTGTCTTCTCCGTCTCGGCCCTCTGAAGGAGGTCGAGGTACTTCCGCCTGAAGGTGATGGTGGCGTCTGGGCCGTTCGGAGTTGGGTCCTCTGATGGGGCCCAAGGCGGCCTGCTGGGGGCAGGGTTGCGACCCCTGGGGGGCATTCGCCGTCTCTGCGTTTGCCATGACCCCTGGGGTCTCTGTTGGCGCTGCTCCGTGGGTCTTCTGGGTTGAGCGGCCTGCGTACGGCGGGGTTGTTCGCAGATGTAAGGAGGCTGTTGCCATTTCTGCTGATGTCTATTGTTGTTGGGGTGGTGTTGGGGGGGCCGCGGAGCTTGCTGGGTTCGCCCTTGGTTGGGACCTGCGGCCGTCCGCGGCGTCGGCACATTCGAGGCAACCGCCACGTAGCTGCGGCTGCTTACGGCTGCCCCTTGGATGGCGGTTGATGTAGACGCGGGGGTGGCCGTGTAGATCGCGGGGGTAGTTGTGGTGGTCGCAGGGGTGGCGACAGGGGCGGCACACGCTTCATTTGAATTTCCCGTGCCATTGGTCGGCCATCTTGGACAGTTCGGTGTTTTGAACTGCGGAGCACCCTGGGCGCCGAAAAGGGATGTCAGAAAAGTGCTTACGAGGGTTAGGTAGGCCATCATCTCGCCCTCCTTTTGCTGCTGACGTTGTTGTTGTTGCTCTAGGGCGATGATCTGTCGAACCATCATCTCGCGGGCCCCGCAGGCACACTTGCATGTGCATGTTGGTGGCGGGGCGCCCACAATGGCGTTTCCATACGGATAAAATGCAACCTGGTTCTGCACCTTTGCGGGTTCCATGTTGGTGTCCTCGACTTCTCCCGGGTGTCGGGGAAACTCTTGGGCCTCCTTGCCCACTTTCGAGGTGGGAGGGGCGGGGGTTACCCTGAAAAAGGGTCTGAAGTGGAGCGCCTGAGGAAGGTGTTACCTATCTAGACGGTGGCCAATCTTTACGTCTGAAGATAATTCCGTTGCATTTCTTCCTCTAACCTATTAGCGAAGGACGGCCATGTGTTTTTGCGCGACTTTCCATCAGCATCGTTGCTTTATTTGACTCGTAAAAAGTTTTCGTGGCGTATATATATATATATATATATATATATATATATATATATATATATATATATATATATATATATATATATATATATATATATATATATATATATATATATATATATAATATTGGTTTGTGTCTTTGGATTGAAGAAAAATAAAACCAATAAAATTTTAGACTTAAGATCAATTTTGGTAATTTGATAAAAAGTTTTTTCATTTTAAATTAGCTTTTAAGCGCTTTCCAAAGGATTTGAAATAGAAAAAAGTGGTGCGGAAGTGCAAGGCGTTATTGGAATCCTTACAAAAATGTGTGTGTTCTTTTAAAATTGATTTTTGATACACAGAAATAGAAATTATTAAATATTTTATGTCAAGTTTCTTGGTAGAATTTCAAAATCAAAAGGGTTGATTAGAGGTGATTTGAGCAAATATTTTTAATGTTTATTGTTAAAAAAAAAAATCCTGCGCTCTATCATGTTTCAGCCGCAGGCTGCAGCCGTAATTCATGGGAGCTTTCTCGGCGGTGGGAAAAGACAAGACTTTTCTTAGTAGACAATAAACAACTCTCATAATACAAAACCCATCAAGGAAAAGCTGACTTTTAATTCAAATCACAACGATTTTTATAGTTTTACTATCCTTAAATACGTTTTATCAAAATTAAATTAACAATACGTTTTGAAAGATTTAACGTAATTGTTATGAAAAGATTGCTAAAACGATAATCTCAATCTGATGCAAAATAATCATTTATAGACTTTATAGTTGAAAACAGTGATATTGAAATAGATTTTGCCTTCAAATTGTGGTATACAAACTTTATGGAATAAAAGAGCCAAAAGTATACATTAAACGCATGCAGGTATTTTGCGTCAATTTTGTCGCTTTCAACTCTTTAATGATGAAATAATTAATCGCATCGCTGCGTCGGTAGCGTAATGATTTTCGAGTGAGTGATATTGATTAAAAAAATAATTTGACGCGCAGAAATAATAATAGGGCGACTTGGAATGCGTAATGAGGAAAGTTCAAGAGCGTGGCCCCGTGGGAAAAAGCGAATTGTTTCGGACGATGCACGTGCGGCGGACACACTTAATATGCGTGTGCCTTTCCGATCGATTCATTACCTTTGTTTCGCTTTCGATTTTTCGATATAACTAGCGACGGAAGTTGCTCGAAAACAAATATTAAATTCGCTCCTCCAAATTTCAAGAAAAATCGTTCAACTTCCAGCATTTCATTATTTGATGCATTCAAATATGATATATATTAATTATGACCTAAATTTCAAACTTCAAAAATGAGCGGAATCACAGAACTTGTACATAACAATTATAATTGAGTTCTGGATCGCAAGAGATATAAAACATAAATTAATAAATATGCGTTTGAGATATTGATATTTAAAAAAGGGGGATTTTGAAGTATAGCTGAAGCAATAAAATTAACATGAAATATTAATAAAAGTTTATTTTGTGAAATTTTTTCATTTTTCTGCATAGTTTACGGCGGCGGCATCGTTGATGTTCAATTTTTATGTTATTTGATAAGTAAATGAGCAATTATAATAATAATTAAAGAGCAATAAAGATATAAAAAAGTTCTCAAATATTGCACAAACCCTTTCAATAACTAATCAATTAGTTTATTCTGTTCCATTAAAAATTACAGAATATTTTCAAAATGTATAATATGAAATTGATTTTATTGTCCTTTACAAATTTAAATAATTATTAATGTCCAGTTTATTATGTTGTACAACTTTATTCATTAAAAGAAATTAAAGCCCTAAATTCAATTGCAGTAAATATAATTTTTTTGCAATATTTTAGAAATACTTCCGCAAATTGAATTTTATTTAACGTTTTTTTTTTGCGATTTCCTGTAAAAATAACGGAATATTTGGGATAATTAGAACTTATGACATTTTTCACATCACAAATTTGATTATGAAGTGACATAATAGCGGTTGGAATTTTAATCATTAAAGGCGCGGTTTATATTATTGTGTAAACGATAAAATCCATTTTTACTTTTGCGATTTTATTAATCCCTCCTTCAATTTTCATTCCTAAGAGATAGTTTAAGACGGTTTAAGATTAAATAAATTTAATCACTAAACTAATCATAATAAAAAATATGTTAAGAAATTTATCAAGTCAAGTGTGTTATCATCAGTTGCAAGGATTGAGAACAAGAAGTATAAAATTTTATACTTTTTGATTTAGAATTATAAATAAATAATAAAAAATATGAATAAATTAAAAAAAAAATGAATAGGATAATTTTTTCCTAATAAAAAGCGAGCTTGAGCTTGGTTACCGTATTTTCCACTCAATGTTAAGGTTGCGTTGGGGGGAGGGGGGAGAGTGAGGGGAGTGAGGCACTTTAAAGTGCGGCTGCGGGTCGAGGGGGGTAGTGAGTCGAGGGGCGCCGCGAGACGAGGTCGGTTATCGCGCGGCCCACGACAGAGTCGGACCAAAAAATGGCGCCGCCGCCGGCCCTGGACGGCAACGAGGACATCGTCATCTCAGGCATGTCCGGCCGCTTCCCCGAGTCCGGCAACGTCTACGAGTTCCGCGACAACCTTTACAACAAGGTCGACATGATCACGCAGGACGCGCGCCGCTGGGACATTGGCAAGTTTATCCCAACTCAAACCCCAAAATAATTGTGAAATTCAACCAGTTGCGACTTTTCTCGCTAAAAATTCCTCATAATTTTTCATAACGAAATGATTTTCCTACAGAGTGAATGTTTTCATGTTTATATTGCTCTATATAGCATTCATATCTGATTTTTTTTTTTTTTGTAATCTTTTGTTTAATGAGTTTTTAGCTGTTTGTAGCAAATATTAAATTAAAAAGTTAAAGATCATACAGTAGAGGCATTAATTTTTTTTAAAGAAAGGTAAAAAATCACAAATTAACCTTATATTTCATGCAAAAACGGACAAACAAGTTAATAATATTTTGGAAACTTGTCGCAGCTTGCCGGAAAGAAAAATTTAAATGATATCATATCCACAAGAAATGATTTTCCTACAGAGTGAATGTTTTCATATTTATATTGTTCTACAGCTCATATCTGATTTTGTTTCCGGATGATAAAAGTTAAAAAATAAATATAGTTTGATATTGCAAGTTTAGAAAAATATATTGAGGGCGATCCAAAAGCCTAACCTGGCCAAAGCTAACTTGACTTAGCCCCGGGCTAACTTGGTCCACCAGCAAAATTGAATGTTGGGTTAAATTAGCCCGGGCCAGGTTTATTTAGCCTGGGCCAAGTTAACCTTTTGGATCGCCCTCAATCATTTCTGTACGGATTGTGACTGTTTCTGAAGAATTAAAACAAGGTATTGCTCCTAAAAGAATTAAAACAATGAGTATATAAACAAATTATTTTTATAGCGGGGCCATCAAATTCTATAAAACCTTTTCCGTTTAAAGTTATCAGCTATTAACTACAATAATTACAGAATAACAATTTGAATTCTTGTGGAGGAAAGTCGAATAAATATTTTCCCTCACTTGGTTTTTGAAGGAAATGTGGAAGAAAAATAAAGTGAATTTCCAGACCACAACGAGATTCCGCGGCGCATCGGCAAAATCCGCGACCTGGAGAAGTTTGACGCGTCCTTCTTCGCGGTTCACTACAAACAGGCGCAGACCATGGACCCGATGTGCCGCATCCTGCTCGAGCTCGCCTACGAGGCCATCGTTGACGCCGGTCCGTTTTTTCCAATCCCCGATTTTCAATTTTTTAATTTTAATTATATTAATAGGCGTGAACCCGGCGAGTCTGCGCGGCTCCAAGTGCGGCGTGTTCGTAGGCGCGTGTTTCAGCGAGACGGAGAAGATTTGGTTCTACGAGAAGATCCAAATCCACGGCTTCGGCATCACCGGCTGCAGCAGGGCCATGCTCGCCAACCGCATCTCCTACTGGCTCGGCATCCACGGTCAGAAAAATATATTTTTCAATTCATTTTCATGTTGTTTTATATTCTTTAGATCTTTTCTTCAATTTTTATATTTTGATTTCAATTTCCATAATTTATCAACCTTATTAAGAGACAAGTTATTTATAAGGAATTGATTTTAAGTCAAATTATGTGTTTAATTACTTTTATTTTTAAATTTCATTCGTCCACAGTTTATATAAAATTTTTCATCAATATATTTCCAATTTATGTTTCAAATAATTCTAGTCACATCTTAATTCTATGAAAAAACCTCATTGTATAATTTAACAAAATTTTACTAATAAGTAATTTTTGTTATTTATGTCCCTATGGAAATTCAAAAAGTTAAATAAAAAAATGAATTTGGCAATTAAAATTCAAGAGTTATAACGATAGTTTGAATTTGAAATTAATTTATTTAAAGTTAGAGTTTTGTTCTTCTGCTTCATATTGATAAACAATCACAAAATATTGGATATATAAATCGAAGCGTTTTTTAATTTTTTCTAACAATCAAAATGTAGCTTAGTATTTCCCTATAACAAAAAAAATCAACGTCTCTTATTTTGCAAAAAACCTCTCTTGTGTCAGATACATTTTGTGCGAATGTTCCATTTCCATCTAAGTGAAAAATTAACAATTTTCAAATTATTTTATGGAAAAAACACTCGTATTTGTGAAATTCGTGTCAAAGCAAGTTGGTTTTGCGACTAAAGAGGGTTGTTTTGTGCAGGCCCGAGTTACTCAGTGGACACGGCGTGCTCGTCGAGTCTGTACGCGATGGACCACGCGGTGCGGTCGATCCGCAGCGGCGAGTGCGACGCGGCGCTGGTCGGCGGCTCCAACCTCACCCTCCACCCCTTCATCTCGCTCCAGTTCGCGCGCCTCGGCGTCCTCTCACCCGAGGGCAAGTGCAAGTCCTTCGACGCATCAGGTATAAAATTAATTAATTTATCAAACCGTCTTATAAAAGTTTTTGATATAGAAAATATTATAATTTTATATTTTTAAATGTTTCGGAACATCAAGTTGCCAAGTGTCTTTATTGATTGTAGTAATTTTACACCCCCACCCCCACCCTCAAATTAACGTCCCATTTTAAAGGAGGAATTAAAATTGTTGACGTGGGTAATACCTAAACCAGAAAACCACACCCATTTTTCAATGTTTTTCCCCGAAAACTTGGATTTTTGATTGTTAGTTGTAAAAATTGTGTGCAGATTACGTGACCGTCACTTTCTCTTGTGCCGGCAACAGCTTTCGGGAACGCCCCATTTTCAGGAAATGTTTCGATTGTTGGTTTTGAAAGCAACATTCTTGGCGAATTTAGGGGTTGAAAGTGGTGTTAATGGCGGTTTTGCGCAGCGAACGGGTACGTGCGGAGCGAGACGGTGGCGATGGTGTTCCTGCAGAAGGCCAAGGACTCACGGCGCATCTACGCGACGGTGGTGCACACCAAGACCAACTGCGACGGCTTCAAGGAGCAGGGCATCACGTACCCCTCGGGCGCCCTCCAGGGCGTCCTCCTCGCCGACTTCTACAAAGAGTGCCGCGTCCCCCCAGAGCAACTCGCCTACCTCGAGGCCCACGGCACCGGCACAAAGGTCACACTTAAAATTTCTCATTTTCGCAGACATTTCTTTTGGTCAATTAAATTTTCTAATAATTAGAATTAAACGCAATTAGAACGGATTTTGTGCAGGTGGGCGACCCTGAGGAGCTCAACACGATCGACAGGGTGTTGTGCGCCAACCGGAAGGAGCCCCTCCTCGTCGGCTCCGTCAAGTCCAACATCGGACACTCGGAACCCGCCTCCGCCCTCTCCTCAATCATCAAGGTATGCAACAAAAATTCTAACAAACCTATTCACTTGTTGCCCAAATTTTAATCACGCTTATTTAACTAAAATCACAGACAAGAAATTAAAAGAGATCCATTTTGAACCAAAACACTTCAAAGTCCAAATGTTGGTCCAAATTTGCATTGTTGTTTTTGATAACATACTTGGGAGACTTCAACGAGTGACAATTAAGTTTTGCCCTCACATTTCGCAGCCAAGTTTGGCCCCAACATTAAAAAAAATCACGTTTTCCCCGTTAAATGCTATCAAGTTTTGAATTAAAAGACGACTTAAATTATTTCACCATCATTCAGTTTGTTTGACTTCAAGTGCTGTAAAAATTGCATAAAATTAAATGCTTCTTAATTTAAATGTGTAAAGATTTCTTTATTTATATTTGGATGTAACAATTTATACCTATCCAAGGAAAATTCTAATTGGTTTTTAATTTCAAATCACTGATGAAATTTAGAAATAAATTGATAATTTTTGCTCTTTCTAAAATTGTGCAAATTGGAGTGATTGCTGATGTATAAATTTGTCAGGTGGTGATTGGATTTGAGAATGGCAAAATTCCGCCAAACCTGCACTTCAAGAACCCTCGTCCGGGCATCCCCGCGCTGGCCGAGGGCCGCATCAAGGTGGTGTCGGAGGTGACGCCGTGGACGGGGGGTTATGTGGGCATCAACTCGTTTGGGTTCGGTGGCGCCAACGCGCACTGCCTCCTCCGCTCGCATCAAAAGGAAAAACCCAAGACAGACCCTGCCGAGCTGGACGGCCTCCCCAGGATCGTCCTCGCCTCTGGACGCACCCTCGACGCCGTGGAGACCATCCTCGCTGAGGTCCGTACCTTATTTCACTTGAAAATGGTCTCTCAATTATTTAAGACAACAAAACTATTAAGTGAAGGACAATATATCGCTAATTTTTCAATTTCACATTCTTGCTTTACGGCCTTAAAATTCACCCTAAAGAGTTCAAACTGAAATCATGTCTTATCCCTCCAAAATGCTATTTTACCACTTTTAAGATATCAACATTGAAAAAAAAAATCGCGTATTTCTAATGGAAGCACCCATTTTTCTACTAATTTAGCCTTTTCCTCCGACCTACTGACAGGTGCTTTAGAGGCTGGTTTAAAAAAAAATTAAATGTTGCTTATTCTGATGAGATTACAAAAAAAACTTCAGTGATGTGCTATAAACCGACTTTGGACTAAGTTTGAAGGTTTCCTGCCTAATTTTCAATCGGCAGCCATCTTGGGACGTTCGAACTGGTCACTTTGACCTCAATTTTGAACCGTTTTGTGCTTTGTTGGATGTCGTTTGAATCATCTTTTCGCGCTCAATTCAAATCTGACACAAAACTTTGAATGTTCGTAAATTTTATTTTCAATAAAAAGAATAGTTTCGTGGTTTCAGTTTGAGAAGCGGGCTGTGGACAGCGAGTACGTGGCGCTGGAAAACTGCGTGCACGAGGACAAGATCGCCGGCCACCTGTACAGAGGGTTCGCGGTGCTGCCGGGGGCGGTTCCTGCGGCGGGGGCGGCTCCTCAGAAGGCCAAGCTGCGGGACGCGCAGCACTTTCCGGGGGCGAAGCGGCCCGTGTGGTTCGTGTTCGCCGGCATGGGCAGTCAGTGGGTGGGCATGGGGCGTGACCTGCTCAGGGTCGACGCCTTTGCCAGGGCCATCGACCGCTGCGACGCCGTCCTGCGGCCCAAGGGCGTCGACATCAGGCGTATCATCACCGACGACGACCCCAAAACCTTTGACAACATCCTCAACTCGTTCGTCGGCATCGCCGCTGTACAGGTAACTTTTGTTTACATAATTTGAGAAATTGAACCAACATGACTGAATTATTAGTTGCAAAAGGCCGATCTTACCAGATTAACAATAATTGTTGTATCTGAAATCAGTTGAACTGTAAAATTTTTTTTATTTATCACATGCATTGACAGGCGATACAAAAGAAATTTAAATGTTGATACCTAAAAGGCTAAGGTAAGCGGTAAGCTTTTTGGTCATTTTGTCTGCCCTTGCAATATATTTTATTAAAATTATTTTTTAGTGGAAATCATTTATTTTGATAAAATCTCAAAAGTTTCTCATCGAGCAATCTTTTAATTATTCACACAGTCGACATGAAGTGGAAAACGTCAATTTTTTTCCCCAAAAATGTAACATACACGCTGAAAAGTTGCATTTTATGAGGCCATAGACGCAACCCTTTTCGCAAGCAAGTTCAGCAGGTTGCATAACTTGTGAAATAAATATTTGTTCTTAATTTTGCCTCCTTACCAAAAGGTTGTAAATGCATTTCAAAATAGAATTACTTTGCCAAGTAAAAATCGTCAGCTTTCTTCAGTAACTGGTCAAATGATGAAATATGCTGAACTCGCCTAAAGTAATTTTTTTTAAGTACACACGCTTTTTGTTTTAATCAAAGCTCCTAAATTTAGGCAACCCGTGAAACTTCAATGGAAAGTAAAAAATGTTTGAAAATGTTGCCAGCATCTTTTGAATTTCTTGCTAATTTCTTTTCATATATTTTAGAAAATAAATATTGAGGGCGATCCAAAAGCCTAACCTGGCCCAGGCTAACTTGACTTAACCCTGGGCTAACTAAGCCCACCAGCAAAATTGAATGGCGGGTTAAATTAGCCCAGGACAGGTTAATTTAGCCTGGGTCAAGTTAGCCTTTTGGATCGCCCTCATTGATTTTTGATAATTTTGTGTTAGGAATTAAATATTATTACCATGAACAATGAATTTATTTCCAATGAATTTTAAGAGTCAAGAAGTTCAAGATCACTAATTATTTTGGCATCCCTTTTATTGAATAATGAAGGAAACCTAATAATTTCGTTGTTTTTACTTCCAATAGGAAATTTAGACTTCAATCCTCCCCCAAGGTATAAAATTTGTTTTTTTTTTGGGTAATTTATTTGAGCAATTTATGCACATTAGACAAAAAAATCTTAATTGCAAACACATATTTATTTAAATTACAAATCTAAGCCTAATATTAAAGATTTAGTTGAATCTTCAATATTCAATGCTCACGATTAATAATTAGTTTGCTAAATTTTTTTAATGTTTATTTTTTTTCGGTCGAAGGTGGGTTTGGTGGACGTTCTGCGCGAGGCCGGCGTGGAGCCGGACGGAATCATCGGCCACTCTGTGGGCGAGTTGGGGTGCGCGTACGCCGACGGTTGCATGAGCGGCGAGCAGATGGTTTTGGCCGCCTACTGCCGCGGCCTCGCCTCCCTTGAGACGCCCCTCATCAGAGGATCCATGGCCGCAGTCGGTAAATTTAGATTCGATTTTCCCAAAACACGATCTTTTATTGCACAGGAAAGAAAACTCCATCACCAAATTTGACAAATTTCGTACCAAATTTTAGACAAATAACTGCAAAACAACAAAAAGTACAAATGCCATCACTTTTTTTTAGTTATTCTCATATGAAATTATGCTTATAAGAAAGTCCTTGTTTATTTATCTTTTTTCGGTTTGAAAATTTGCATTTTATTGTTAATTTTTTTATTATTACCTAACGGCAGATAATTTTCTGTTGCCAAAACATTTCTTACCAAACACACTCCATTAATGAACTAAATCTCATTAATTTTTAATTTTAAAAACTACAAGTGAGCAAAAATATGTGGTTATATTCAAATTTTCGCTTTCGTCATTTTTTTTTTTTTTTTTTTTTTTTTTGATAAATTTGTATATCCTTTCTGTGGTATAAAGAATAGAATTTAGGAGTAAATATTTCCATTAAAATGGAACCTGTTACAGGATTTTAAGATCCTTTTCCTTTGGAATGAGTGGAAAATGATTCTATGCTGTTTGGTTTGAAATTAAAACCAATTCGATTGAAAATTTACCTGTAAAATTGGCGCGCAGGTCTTTCGTACGAAATGCTGGCGCCGCTGTGTCCGGGCAACGTGGACGTGGCGTGTCTGAACGGGACGGACTCTTGCACGATTTCTGGCCCGGCCGACTCGGTGGCCGCCTTTGTGGCCGAGCTCAAGGCCAAGGAGGTCTTCGCGCGCGAGGTCGCGTGCGCGAACATCGCCTACCACTCGCGCTACATCGCCGACGCCGGACCCACCCTGCTCAAGTACCTCACCCAGGTGCGCTCTCATTACTTTTTGGATCTAAACGGTTCGAGCTGGGTTCGAGTTTTGACTTTAAATTTTGATCAAATTCCACGTTTTTTACTTCTTAAACATGTTACTCTTGATTTCATGGAAAATTGTCGCGTTTTGATAATTTTTTACTTGTAAGATGCAAGAACTCATACTTCACCCCTTTATGCAACAATTAAGTGTTTTTGTGGTTTTTTGGAAAACATAAATTTAAGTAAATGTTGCATAGGTTGTCAAATATTTGATAGTTTTCTTCTTTTTGGCCACTTTTCAAATATTTTAGCATTTTTAAAATGAAAAGTAATAAATATAAATGGTTTTTCAGCCACGATAAAAAGATTAAAAAGAACCAGTCGTTATCAAAGGTTTTGTGGATATTCAATTGTCTTTTGAAAAAAAAAGATGATTTTTATCATCGTTTTGAACCAAATTTTTTCGCATGCCAAGTTTAGGTTACGTGCCAAAGAAGCGCCTTAACGTCTTCATTCATTTTGGGAAACAGGTGGTGCCGGAGCGTAAGGCGCGTTCGGCCAAGTGGGTGAGCAGCTCGGTGCCCCAGGCCAGGTGGGACAGGGAGGAGGCAAAGTTCTCGTCGCCCGAATACCACACCAACAACCTGCTGTGCCCCGTCCTCTTCGCGCAGGCCCTCACACACCTCCCCAAGTCAGTCCCCAAAATCTCATTCACTTTTCTCCTCTTTTTCAATTTCCACATCAATCATAGAAAAACTGTTATATATTGAAATTGTTTTCGAATTTTTCTAATTTTTTATCTTTTCATTGTACTATTTTTTATAGAAACAGCTAGAACTATTTTATTTTGAAAGCAAAAAATATCACTTTCATTGGATTTCGTTCCATTTAAACAGAAATAATAATATTGAGGGCGATCCAAAAGGCTAACTTGGCCCAGGCTAAATTAACCTGGCCTGGGCTAATTTAACCCGCCATTCAATTTTGCTGGTGGGCTATGTTAGCCCGAGGCCAAGTCAAGTTAGCCTGGGCCAGGTTAGGCTTTTGGATCGCCCTCAATAATTTTATAAACAAATATTCAGAATATTATTTTGGTTTCGTCTTGAAATTGAACAAGCGTGTTTGTGTTTAGGGACGCAATTACGATCGAAATCGCGCCGCACGGCCTCCTGCAGGCAATCCTGCGTCGCTCGCTCGGCCCTGAATGCACAAACATTGCCCTCACTCAGCGTGGCGCCCCCAACGCCCTAGAAGTCCTCTTCAACGCCTTTGGCAGGTACGGAAATCCCTGCTCTCTTTAATTCATCCAAAATTATTTAGTTTCATTTTATCATGAAATTCATGAATTTTTTTACTTCAAATTCTCCAATTTTATAGTGAAAATGAATTAAACTCAATGAGGGCGATCCAAAAGGCTAACTTGGCCCGGTCTAAATTAACCTGGCCCGGGCTTATTTAACCCGCCATGCAATTTTGCTGGGGGGCTAAGTCAAGTTAGCCTGGGCTAGGCTTTTGGATCGCCCTCAATGTGTTGAACAAAAAAAATATATCCAGCAATATTATTATCAAAGACATAAGCAGAATAAATTGTGCAATTTTCACATAAATGCATAACTCTTTTTTGCTTGCAAATAACAAAACTCATGGAGACCAAGGTCTGCGCATCAGAAAAGTTGTATTGTTGACGAGCGTTCTGATCGGGTACAAGTACCCAATCCAAGCTCCACCAACAATCAAGACTTTTTCATTGTTGTGATGCGCGGACCTTGATGGAGACTCGTAATTGAATTATCAAAATTGATCAACTTAAATTATTTATGGCAAAAGTTCCTTGTTACTTTTTATTTGATTTTTGTGATTTTCGTACAGGAGAGATAAAAATTTATTTCAAATTTGTGTTTGAAGGATGTTTGTGGCGGGAATACAGCCCAAGGTGAACAAGTTGATGCCGCCGGTGGAGTTCCCCGTCAGCAGGGGCACCCCTATGATCTCGCCGCTCGTCCGGTGGCAGCACTCGGACGACTGGCACGTCGCCATTTACAAAAACGAGGTGAAAAATTCACTCATATTTTGTTCAAATTAACATATAATTCCATCCAAACGCTCTCAGATCTAATTTTTCAATGATTTTTAATGCTTTCCTAATTTGACTAACAAATTACAAATTCATTTCGAATTGAAATTTTCACAGGTTGCACGTAAAATGAGTTTTTTTTTCTTCTCAAATTGACTTTTCTGCATTTGAAAATTGTGTCTGAGCAAGTTAATTAGAAATCTTGCGAGATGCGACCCTCGTTGTTGCAGCTTGAAGTAAAATTTTGGCTTTTCAGAGCAAACTGGAGACTGGAGAGCGGACGGTGGCGGTGGACCTGCAGGAGGAGGACAACATCTTCCTCACCGGCCACTGCATCGACGGCAGAATTCTCTTCCCCGCCACTGGATACTTGGTGTGTATAGTTTTTACAAATTATACTTCAGTTTTTTTTTTTTTTAAATTTCAAATTATGTTCCAATTTCACAAAATTTGTAAAAGTCCTTGTTAAAGACTGTTTTGTTTAATCAAAACTTTGTGAAGAAGTAAATAAGAGAACGCCAAGGGCAAAGAAACAAACTGACCATTTTATAAATGCAATCTATGGTGGCACACACACGCGCGTCCAGCAGGTTGCATAACTCGCAAATTTTCAGGCATCCTTTTAATTTACATAGTCAAATAAAGTTTTTACAACAGTGAGAGCCAAGTTTTGCGATTATTTTAAATTGTTAAGATTTGACAATGCCAATACGGAGTTTTTAAGCCTCATGCAAATTGTAACTCATTCAAATAAAAAAAAATCCCCAAAATTTAAACCTCCAATTGATTAGAGTAATTTCACAAATGGCATTTTTTGAGTTATTATTAATTGTTTTGCTTTCATTTACTGCTTGTTGAAATTTTTGATTGAAACTTCTTTTGCAGTTCCTGGCGTGGGAAACTTTCGCTTTGATGAGCAACAAAATGATCACGGACGTGCCCATCGTGTTTGAGAACGTCAAGTTCCTGCGCGCCACCAACGTGCCCAAAGACGGTAAGATTTATTTTCACCTTGTTTTGTTCCAAACTGAAGTAGGGGGAAATTGAATGAAGGGGCGGTGACATTCACGATCATGGTGACCAAGGGCACCGGACACTTCGAGGTGGTCGAGAGCGGCAGCACGGTCGTCACGGGGCGCTTGTCGCAGCCCGAGAACGTGGCCAAGGAGCAGCTCGACCTGCCCCCGGCCACGCCCACCAACGACCAGCCCCCTCTCCTACAGGAGGACGTCTACAAGGAGCTGCGCCTGCGCGGTTACAACTACGCCGGCATCTTTAAGGGCATCAAGTGCGCCCACAGCTCTGGCAAGTCACAATTTCAACACCCTTTTCAACCTACAAACGCAAACTTTGGTTGCTTAGTCAAAAGTCATTTGAATATTAAAAATTTGAAATTTTCCATTATCACATTATTTACAGACATTCCATGAATCAAAAGCTTTTTGCCGTATGGAACCCGAAAAAATTTAATGCCACTACTACGCGTTTTTTTTTTTTTTTAAGCAAACTTTTGAAGTAACTTTTTTGTCTCTTTGGATTAAAAGAAACTTTCACGTTTTCACGCATTAAGTGTGCAAAATTATATTTCATTCAAGTTTTTTTTCAAACGTTTTACTCCAAAATGTTTTTCAAGAGCTAAAGCTAAAAAAACCCAATGAAAAATAACCTTTCTTCTAACAGTTAAAAATTTGCGCCAAAATGGTCTAATTTAAGCAATCTTTGTGAGGTTTTTGAAGCTAATTAAATTTCCTCTCAATTGGCGTTGTTCTCATGTTTGTACAAGGAATAGAAAACTTTCTTTTCTGGATTGAAATGAAAAATCACGTTGGATTTGCACAATTTTTTTAATAATCAAGTTTTAACTCCAGCCTTATCAATTTGGCGCCTCAAAGTCTAAAACTATGCAGTATAAATTAAATGGGCCCAAATTTATTTTTGTGATAATAAAATGTGTTTTAAAAGATTCCACTACAATCGAAATTGAGTTATAATTATGTGGATTTTCAAATTATTTATTGATTTTTGTGCAGGCGAATCAGGGACGCTGTTTTGGGAGGACAACTGGGTGGCGTTCATGGACGCGCTGCTTCAGGTGGAGATTCTGCAGCTGGACTCGCGCTCCCTTTACGTGCCCACCGCCCTCCAAAAGCTCACCATCGACCCCAAGAAACACCTTGACCTGCTCAAGGACCAGCAGCTGCTTGACGACCAAACCAAAGGTGATTTACCCTTTATTATTTAATTATACCAAAAAAAGCAGTGATAGCTTCTATATTCTTGAATATCGACATTATTTTTTTTTTCAAATTTCAATTTAACTTTCAATTTTAAATAATTATTTAAATATGTATAAAGTATTATTATTAATACTAATTTAACTTCAAAAAAAATTAATCCGCAGTACATTTAAAGAAAAGTTAAAGGAATTTGTACTTTAAGAAAAGTCCGTCTTTATCTTTAGGCCGCGTTGGATAAATTTTGTATGGAGATTTGTGAGAAATGTTTGAATAAAATTGATCTCTTATTTAGCTGAGCTTGGTTTCGCGGCGTTCCGGAAGCACGAGGTGCTGCAGGCGGGGGGCGTGGAGATCCGGGGGGTGCAGGCGAGCGTGATCGCGCGGCGCAAGCCCAAGGCGGACCCCCTGCTCGAGACGTACCAACTGGTGCCGTACCGGCCCGCGGACGTGCTCTCCGACTCGGCCGCCCTCAGGGTGTGCGCCCACGTGGCCCTCGAGAACTCGATGGCCTGCGCCAAGCTCAAGGTGGTTGAGTGGGTGCCCCCGATCGAGACCAACGCCAACTGCCTCCTCACCCTCAAGCTCCCCACCATCTTCGCCGACCTCCCCATGATCAGCGTGAGTTAGTTTTCTAGTCTATTCAACAAAATTTCTTTGTCGTTGTCTTTTTGAGACCTTGATGATTAAATATGATATAAAAATCCAAAAAATCAATGCATGAATACAATTAACTGTGGTTATTTTTTAATTGTCTGAAACCACTGTAAAGAATGTGATGTCTAAATTTTCTGCTTACTTGAGCCTTATACTAAAATCGCCAAATTCCGTTGAAATTCAAAATAAACATTTAATTGTCCTGGGATTTGATGATTTTGGCTTGAATACTTGAAACTTAAAAAATCAGGAATTATTATTAAAAAAAGAAATGAGGCACTTTCACTTTTAGAACATAGTTTGTTGACAATCGGACATAATTTTGCAGGCGGAGATCACGCTGTTCGGAGCGGGGGCGGTTTTGACCGAGACTCTGACCGATGGCAACATGTTGTCGGGGGTGACGCTGGACGAGCGGCGGGGCATCCCCAGGGACTCGGCCGCCAACCTGATGACGTGCGGCGAGGGCTCCACCATGTTGTTGCTGCCCGAGGTGTTCGCCGACGCCGTCGCCGCCACCCTGCCCAGGGGATTCATCATTCTCCAGGTCTGCACGCCCCTTTTTATTCATCTTCAATGAGTTCCATTTGAATCCGCATTAAAAAGCTCACTCAATTTTCTCCCTTTTTATTTAATTCCTAATAACCTTCAAGTACAAAATCTTTATAGTAAAATTGAAGTAAACTGAAGAAAAATTTTTAAGATGAAATTTTAAATGTGGCAACATTATTTTGTGATAAAGCTGAAAAAGGACGAGTGGAAAGACGCGGAGGCAAAGCTGCAGAATTTGGGTTGTCTGGTCATTTCTGTCGTGCCATTCAACGACGAAGACAACGAGGATGAGGAGGAGGGAGTTTTCGTTCTTGCCAGGAAGGTGAGCAAAGAAATCAATTATTTACAAAAAAAAGTCTGAAGATTTTGACCAAGTTCAAGATTCTATTTTAGAAGCTTCATATTTTTGAAATAAAAAGAACATGAAATTTGAATTTCAAATTTTCTCCGATGAACGAGTTTTACGGAAATAAAATTGTTGTGCAGATGGAGAGTTCGGCCGCGCAGCCTGATGAAGTAAAGGGGAAGGACTGGGTCATCCACATCCCCGAGAGCCAAATCAACTTTGGCGAAAACGTAATATAATTTTTGGAAACGATTTTTTGAGCAAAAAAAAAAATAATGATTTGCAGTTGGGTGGCGCCAAGTTCGAGTGGGTGGGCGAGTTGCAGGAGGCGCTTGCGTCTGATCCTCCCCCACACCGCGTCTACCTAGTCTCGCAGCACGCGCCACTCTCAGGAATCATGGGCTTGGTCAACTGCCTTGCCAGGGAGACCCAGGGCGACATCGTCAGGTATTAAGTGAAAAGCTCCGAATTTTTTGCAATTTAAACCATCACATAGAAGTTTTTAGAAAAAGGACACTTTTTTGGAAAGAGGCTATCCGAAATTTGAATAAAATTCAGCACATTATGTTGTTTAGAAAATGTTTGGAAAAAATATATGTTGCCTTTTTACAGCCGAGCAAAAAGTTTTTAATAGCTATTTTTGTAAATCGAAAATATCTTAGGCTGTGATGAAGATGTCTCATAAATATGTTGATATAGGCCAAGTTGCGCAAATTTTTAGGGGGTTTGACCCCCACAGTGACCTTTTTAAACTTGAACTTTTAAGCCCAACTTTGCTCCTTTTAGGGATTCATTAAAATAACATTCGAAAAAATTTATCAACCTGACTTATTCAAAACCATGTATTGCGCATGGTGGCCAGGTCACAAAAGGTTATTGACCTTGGTGACCTGTGTCATTTTCAAGAAAAAAAATGCAGTGTAAAACATAAATGTAAAGATGAACATTCTCTTTATCTGAAACATTTTGTTTCCGATCCAGGGAAGTTAAGAGGTCAATGACCCATTAGAGATGTGTTCAAAGGTTGTTTTCTTGCGCAGGTGCGTGTTCGTGCTGGACGAGGCGGCGCCCGAGTTCAGCGTGGAGGCGCCGTTCTACGCGGAGCAGCTGCGCAAGGACCTGCTGGTGAACGTGGCGGTGACGGGCGAGGGGTGGTCGAGCTTCCGCCACCTGCCGCTCGAGTGCGAGACTGCGCTGGTGTCGCATGCCTACGTCAACGTGATGACGCGCGGCGACCTGTCCAGCTTCAAGTGGCTGCAGGGCCCACTGTCCGACCTGCGCCAGGACTTTGGCGCCAAAAACCTCTACCACGTTTACTTCTCGGCCCTCAACTTCCGCGACGTCATGACCGCTACCGGCAAACTCGCCGTCGAGGTCATCGCCCCCGACCGACGCTCCCAGGACTGCGTCCAGGGCCTCGAGTTCTCTGGCCGCGACGCCGACGGCAACAGGGTCATGGGCCTGGTCAGTATCCAATTTTCCATCGGTTTGGTAAATTTAACCGGAAAAACTTAAATTTTTAGCAAATATTAATTACACTCTCGGTTTGGGTAAATTTACCTGAAAAATCATTTTTATCAGATTTTAAGAAAGAAATAACATTATTTTTTTAAGACTCATTTCTTGGCGAACTATCGATTTCTTTCTAAAAAAAAAAATTTAAGGAACTTTATGGAAAATAAAATAAAATCTGCTAGAAAACAAAGATCTATAGTCCTTGGAGCAAATGATGGCAAGTTATGGTGGTGTTGCAGGTGAGCAGCGGGGCGTTGGCGAACGTGGTGCTGGCGGACCCGCTGCTGGTGTGGGATGTGCCCTCGGAGTGGACGCTGGAGGAGGCGGCGACCGTGCCCGCCGTCTACTGCACCGTGTACTACGCGCTGGTGGTGCGCGGACGCATGCGCGCCGGCGAGTCGCTGTTGGTGCACGCGGGCAGCGGCGGCGTTGGCCAGGCCGCCATCCACGTCGCCCTCCACATGGGCTGCGACGTCTTCGTCACCGTCGGCACCAAAGACAAGCTTGACTTCATCCGCGCCACCTTCCCTCAGGTGCGTTCCATTTTTTAAGGGCTGCACGACTCCTGAAACAGTCGAAGTCCACGTTTCTTTCATTCTTTTTTTTATCTATTGAGTGGGAAAATGTTAAAAAAGGGGTTCTTTGAGGGACGCCATCTTGGATTTTTCTTACAGATTTTGTTATTTATAAATTTTAATTCTTGTAACGAATTTTACATTCAAAAATCTTTAAATGGATTACTTCATTGAATGTCTCGTTCAAATAATATTAATGTAAAAGTATTCACATTGCAACGTTTTGTCATTTTTAAGAGCCAAAACGTGTCTGCTATCTTTGAATTTTTCAAAATTAATTTTCTTCATAATTTTTTATTAAAAGTATTACAATCCATTTATCTGTGAAGATTTTAAGATAGATTTAATAAAGTTGAATTTGAATTAAACAACACCACGTTTTTGCTTAATAATTTTCTGTCCAAAGGTTAATATGACAATATATAGAAATTTTTACTCTTGTCTTGAAAATATTTAAGAAATGTGAAATAAAAGTAGAGGAAAATTAAAACCAAATACGCAAAATTTACCTACATGCCTTATTTCTCTTGCAAAATTGATTATTTTGGTTGTGACGTTTTTCAGATTCCCGAGGCAAACATCGGCAACTCGCGCGACACTTCATTCGAGCAGATGGTGATGGAGCGAACCGACGGCAAGGGTGTCGACCTCGTGCTCAACTCGCTCGCCGGCGACAAACTTCTCGCCTCCGTCCGATGCCTCGCCATGCACGGCCGCTTCCTTGAAATCGGAAAGGTACAAATTTAATTTCTTTTGAAAATATTTTACTGAATTTTTGAAGCTGCGGATTCTACTTATTATCAATCACAACAGAACTTCAATATTTATTTTGCTGTTTTAAGCAAATTGTAATTTCTGGTTTTTTCATAAATATTTTGATATTTTGATTGGCGCAGGTGGACATGGCGGCCGACTCGGCGATCGGGATGCACTGCCTGCTGAAGGACATCAGTATCCACGGCGTGTTGCTTGACTCGATCATCGAAGGCACCCTGTACGAGAAGAAGCGCCTGCGCGAGATGTTTGCGCACGGCATGCGCAGTGGCGCCATCAAGCCGCTCGTCCGCCAGGTCTTCGGCCCTGACCAGGTTCTTTATCTTCACCTGCACTTTGCCCAAAACCTCTTATGTTTGAACAGAATTGCAAATAAAATTAGCAAGCTAGTGTGATCCTTTAAGAACTATTTAAGGACCACACCAGTACATTTTTTTTAGCAATTTTAAAAGTGACATGTCCACAATTTCTTTTGTGACAAAAATTCAATTGAAATGGTGACGCAAATTTCAGCCTTTTTTGATTGAAAGCGAATTGTTTCTTTCAGGTGGAGAAGGCGTTCAGGTTTATGGCGGCGGGGAAGCACATCGGTAAGGTGCTGCTGCGCATCCGCGCCGAGGAGGTGGGGGCTCAGGGGGCGGGGCTCCGGCCCAAGACGCACCTGGTCGAGGCGATCCCGCGCTTCTTCTGCGAGCCCTCCAAGTCGTACGTGCTGGTCGGCGGCCTCGGCGGCTTTGGCCTCGAGCTGGCCGACTGGCTGGTGCTTCGAGGCGCCACCAAACTGGTCCTCGCCTCGCGCACCGGCCTCCGCACCGGATACCAGGCTTCCAGGATCGCCCGATGGAACTCCTACGGTGTCCAGGTCTCGCTCCCATTTCTTTTCTTTCTGATCTTTAATGTCACCGGACATTAAAACCACAAGCATGTAGATTTTGCATAGGTTGCTTCAACTCTCCTCTTATTAAGATCGGCAATTCAAAGATGCTTAGAGATTTATTAAGATTAATGATTTGTATCTAAAAAATTTTGATGAATCGCAATTGGGCAAATTCTAGAATCTTTTAGATTTTAGCAGTGTCTAAATAAGTTTTCCTGCTACAGAAAACCTAAATGAGATCGTTTTATTATTTAAAATCGTCGCTTTTTTGTTTCAATCTTCAATTTAGACGATTCTCTCCTGGCGCTGCAAATAATACTGCACCGCCGTGCACTTCTGTCGCACCGGTTGCCTAACTTCCAATGAAACTCAAATTTTATTATGAACGTGAAATGTCTTTTATGGATCATATTTTCTTGTTTATAAGAAACATTTTTTTTTTTAGTTCTAGAGCCACACTTTTTAGCAATCGTTTCTGTGAACTATTAATTATTATTAGAGTCAAGGGTCGATTGAGAAAAGTGGTTTCTCAATTTTGACAAAATAACACTTATGATTCAATTTTTAGAGCTATCTAATCAAAGCTGCTCTTAATTTGAACAAAAAATATTTTTCAAATTAAATGCCCTCTAAATTCTAAAAATATTTCAATTAATTTCTAAATTCTGCGTAGGTGGTGATTTCGCGGGCGGACGTGAGCTGTGAGCAGGGTTGCGTGGCGCTGGTGCAGCAGGCGGCCAAGATGGGCCCGGTTGCGGCCGTTTTCAACCTGGCCGTGGTGCTGTGCGACGCGTTGTTCGCCAACCAGGTAAAATACCTGCAGTGATTACCTTGAAAAAAAAATGATTGCAATCGATTTGGTAATACTGTACGTATTTTACTAGAGCGAGGAGAGCGTGGCCGTGGCGTTGGTACCCAAGGCTTGCACGACGCGTCTGCTGGACAAGGTCACGCGGCGGCTGTGCCCCAAGCTGCAGCACTTTGTCGTCTTCTCGAGCGTGAGCTGCGGCCGCGGAAACCCCGGCCAAACCAACTACGGCCTCGCCAACTCGGTCATGGAGCGTGTGTGCGAACAGCGCAGGCGCCAGGGCCTCCCCGCCCTTGCCGTCCAGTGGGGTGCAGTCGCAGATGTCGGACTCATCGCAGACAACGTCAGTATTTTTCAAATCATTTTTGACACATACTTTGGACTACCCCCTCGAACGCTACATTTCTAAACGTGGCGAAATTTCAAAATATGTAGCTAAATTTCAAAACATGTTGGCCACTTCATAATATGTATGTAATGACCTGTACCCTTTGTGACCCTCAATCGCGTGTTTTCATTTTAAATAACAAACAATTCAATCAATTTTTCCAAATCCTCTGTTTTACTCATCACAATCGGCAATCTGTGGCACTGTCTTCAATTTTTGAACTGCAGTTTGCTAATTGCAGATGGTGGCGGGCGAGGGGAGTGAGCCTGTGATCGGCGGCACGATCCCGCAGAGGATCACGAGCTGCCTGGCCGTGCTGGACACGTTCCTGTGCCTGCCCCAGGACGACTCGCAGCCGGCCGTCGTCTCCTCCATGGTGGTCGCCGAAAAGTCCAAAAAGTCAAACGCCTCCGGCTCCGTCGTGGACACCGTCGGAAACATTCTCGGTAAGAAAACTTTTCGCAGCAAACGAACTTTGGATAATATCTAATAGAGGAAATTTATTATTCGATGCTTGTCACCTCTCTCTGCAATTTTCGATTCTATAAATGAATGGTGAAAGTAATTGGAGACTTGTCCTTTAAGAAGAAGTTTTGTCCGTGTTTTTTTAGGGCTGAAGGACCTGAAGACGGTGTCGCTGCACTCGACGCTGGCCGAACTGGGCATGGACTCAATGATGGCCGTGGAGATCAAGCAGACGCTGGAGCGCGAGTTCGAGATGTTCCTCTCGGCGCAGGACATCCGCGGACTGACCTTTGCCAAGTTGACTGAGTTGGCGCAGAGCATGCAGGAGGAATTCAGAAACCGCAACAAGGACCTCACGGCCGAGGTTAGCAAATTGTTTCATTTAAATTTTTTAATGATTAGTTTTCAACGAGTAAAAAATATGTTAATTTTTTAGATTTTAATGAAAGAAAAAGTTGAAGTTTTTCACTTTTTATTAGGCCGTTTATCGCACACAGTGACCAGGCCATGTGACCTCCATCAGAGGCAGATTTATTGCAAGAATTGATTTTGAATTTGGTTGGCAGGACAACCTGTGGATGGTGGGGGGGTTGCAGCACCTGCTGAGTGTGGTGGGGGAGCCGGAGAAGGCGCGGCAGGCGGCCATCGTGCTGAGCACTGACCCTGAGGTCACCGACCGGCGCACCCTGTTCATGGTACCGGGGGTTGAAGGCCTCGCGTGGGTCATGGAGCCGCTGGCCAAGCAGCTGCACCGTCCCGTCGTCTGCCTCCAACTGCCCCTTGACGCCCCCAGCCACGCCGTCCCCGATCTCGCAAATATCCTCCTCCAGGTAAAACAACTCAACCATTATCTTTTTTGTTTTCCTCCTGAAATCATCCAATTCAGCAAATTTCGCAAGAAACACCAAACGTTTTTATTACCAAAGATTTATTATCCATTTGTCTTTACGATTCCGTCCTCTAGAGAAATCAAATTCTCTTCTAAGCAAAACTATTAATCGAATTTAAAGTTGACGGCAAATTCTTTCAAAAGATATAATCATTCAAAATTTAAATCTTAAACAGTGCTTAAAATTTATAAAAATTAATTTTAGGCTAGTTAAGAATGCATTTTAATGTGTCAAAACTTTAAATTTTTTTCATTCATGTATTTCATAACTCCTTTTTATTTAATTTTTTGTGTATTGAATTGATGTAAGATGTTGTGTATTTCATGTATCTGAATGGAGAATAAATAAATAAATAAATTTTTGTAGCGCCTCCTAAAATCGTGCGTCGCGCCTCCTATAAGCGTGCGTCGCGCCTCTTACGATGGTGAAAAGCGCCCTCCGGAGTTTGCTTTGCCCCTCACTGGATTTACGGCCCGTCGCGCGTCCTATAAACATACGTCGCGCCTGCTATAAGGGTGCGCACGGCCCTCTGGAGGTCGTCTTGCCCCATTCTGAACCCATCCCAAGGGCCCCTTTTCTTCCTAGCAGTCCCCATTAAGATTGTAGGAAAAGATTTGCGTCGCATATACATGTTGTCAAGGTATCGATGGAATAATCGGTTTTCTTAACAATTATACCGCCACCAGTATTGAACGCGCGACGTGAAACCAGTATTGTATTCGCGACGTAAAACCACTATTGAACGCGCGACGTGATACTTTTACATGAGAGCATAAGTGCTGCCAACTTATGAAAAAACACGTCGCACGTACTTTAACATTACCCCTTTTTTCTCCAATATCAAAATAAATCAACTTCGCAATAAATTAACTTCCAACTTTCATATCATTGAAATTAAAAATTTTTGGCCAGTGCAAGTTTTATTGTTGAAATTTTGTTTCTAAAATAAAGTTTTTTTATGCTAATTCGTAAAATTTTTAATGAAAGAGAAAGCAACTGACCTATAAATGATTGCAAATTTATTTGTTTTGCAGCGATTGACGGAGGTGCAGCCGCAGGGGCCGTACCACCTGCTGGGCTACTCGTACGGCACAATCCCTCTGATGGAGGCGGTGCTGCGGCTGCAGGAGCAGGGTTACGAGGTCAAGGTCGTGCTGGTGGACGGGTCGTTGGCCTCGTTGCAGGCCGTGGCGCGCACCGGCGTCTCGGGCGCAAGCGACGCTGAGTGGCAGGCAAATTTCCTCGAGAAACTCATGCTCATCGTCGGCGTCACCGACGCAGCAAAGGTAATTTTACTCGGAATCGATTTAGTTTTTATCTAGATTATTTATTTCATTCTCCTCTAGAATCAACTATGTCTGGCATCATGCCATTTAATTTACAATTTTTATTCTGGTTTTTGGTTCTCCAAATTATCAATCAAACATTTACCGAAACAAAATATTACATGAATCATCCGCTCTAATTTATAAGACACCTTTTTACGACCAGGGCCTAATTTATTTGTAAGAGAACTTTTCCCTTGAAAACATTTTTGACGTAAATTGCAAACGCACATTACATTAAATTTTTTAGATTTTTCTGGCCGAGTGCGTAGAAAAAAAGAATAAGAACTTGATTTTAAAATAAAACAGCATTATTATTGGTTTAAAAATAAATTTAGTGAAATTTAAAAGTCAGGGAGATTTTGACCTAGGAATTATATTTCTAACGGGGATAACACTTTAAAATTTGTAATGCCAATGAAGTGTTCGTGTTTGACTTTTGCTTCAAATCGCGAGATCGATTCAATTTTTAAGGTCATTTGACCTCCGCGACCTCTGTCCGTTGAAAATGATTTTCTTAAAGCCTTTTGTCTATCATGATGAATGATGATTTTATTGAGCGGAAAATCCTTTTGTTAGGTCCGAGGTCACTACTGAATTGAAGTACTTGTGTGAAAAACCTGAAAGATTGTGCGGGGGTTGTTTTTGCAGGTGGCGAGCGAGTTGGTGGGGTTGGCCGACTGGGAGGCGCGACTGGCGGCGACGGCGGCGCACTTCCCCGACGAGACGCAGCGCGAGTTCCACGCGCTGTGCGTCGACGCCGTGCAGAAGCGGTGCACCCAGTTGCTGGAGTACGCGTGGCCCGAGGGGCGCAAGGTCACGTGCCCCGTCACCCTGATCAGGACGACGCAGGGCTTCGCGGCCGCCGAGCCCGACTACGGCCTCTCCCAAGCAAGTTCCCCCCACCCCTTCTTCCCCTCACTCGTTCACTCACTCACGCCTTCTTTTTTGCCCTTCAGCTGTGCGACTCGAGTGTGACCGTGCACCAGGTCGAGGGCAGCCACATCGGGATTGTGCACAACCAAAGGACTGCCGAAATCATCAACAACGAAGCATTTAAATGAGACTTTTGTGTACATTTTGTGTAAAAACGACCACGATTATTTTTTAAGCAGCAGCTATTGTAGGATTTAGACCAAAATATAAAACAAAAGGTGTATTGATTAAGGCACACTACCTGATAGACTTTTTATTTTTAAGTCACCTCGAGTTTGCAACCAACCAATTTAATGCAATGTTATATTTCTTAATACTTAACAGTATTTTATAATTTTAAAAAAGAATTGTATTATTTGGTACATGTCATATGCTCATTGAAAAGGTGAAAGAAGAAAAATTTGAAAAAAAATAATTAAATACCCAACCAACTCCAGGCTTCTCACAGCTCTTGCTTAGAGCAGTGACAGCTCTAAGCTCAGAGCTGCCGCAGCTCCAAGAGAAAGTTATGAGAAATTGTTAGAGCAGTGACTGCTCTATCGCAACGTTATGGACAAATTTGTAGAGCTATCACAGCTCATGAAATTTCCCATAACGTTAAATTAGAGCTGTAGCAGTTCTTAACTTCGTTGGGTGAACATAAAATTTCAACCCTAAATTTTTCATTGTTTATATGTCAAGTAAAAAAAAAAAATATTCACCAGAATACTGGTGAATATTTTTTTTTGAAATTTTATGTTGTCAAACAACAGAGTTTCTAGACTTGGAGAAGAAGTGCGACGCCGGCCAAGGTCCACTTGGAAGACCTTTCCCTGGAGCGCAGGTTGAAGGTCCACACGTAGGTCGGTCCCCTTGCCCTGGTTTTATACATAGGGCACTGGTACACACCGCGAAGGTCCTGCTTGTCCTGTGTGATTGCCTGTGTACATGATTAATGATTATTGCAATTTTGTTTGAATAATTAATTAATTTTCTGGTAAAATTCTAATATAATGTAGAATTATGACTTTGATAATTTTTTTTCAATTATTCCATAAAACGAACCCAAAGTATTCAAAAAAATCATTCTGATTTCATTATTGCTGTTGTCTGAACTTTTAGTTGTAAGTCAAGTAAGAATCATCATATTTTATATAATTTTAAATAATATTCTACAGCAAATATTGAACAAGCTGGTATTTGAAGAACGAAAGACAGTGCTCATTTTTTACTCCCAATAAAAGTTGTTCCGTAAAAAATTAAAATATCTAATTATTCTCAATAGTGCGTTTTAGAAACATTACGAACAATTAATTACAACAATCTAAGCCTCAGACTTGAGTCAAATTTTCTACGAGAATCTCAAATATGGAATTAGGATGTGGAGCCATTTATGGGAATTAGTTTTACCTTAATTGCGATGACTGGCATGGGTGGAAAGAGCTCCTTAAGGCGCGAGTCGGCGATGCACGAGGCTTCAGAGTCCCAACGCGCCCCCTCCATGAACAGTCCGTGCACGAACGCACCCTCACGGGGTCCAGTCCTACTGAAAGCAAGTCAGATTTGCCTTCAAGGTTTTCAAAAGTTTTGGTGGCACATTTTTGTCAGATTCGGCGTAGCCTTCTGCATAACTAATTATTACATTTTGCTACTAAAAGCGATTTTTTGGCCTGTCCGAGCGGGATGGCAAATCGGATTTTGGTTACCAAATTGTAAGTGTATATTATAGAATCAGTGAGAATTACTGAATTGTCTGATGGCGGTCTTTAATATTATATTTCAGGGTTTTGGAGTGGTGTTTTTTTAAACGCTCCTGTTGGCCGTGTCCACGTTTAAATATTGATTTTCCAATTAAAAAATTGTATCCCTCAATGAAAAAAAAAAACAGATTTTTTATCTCATTCTACGAACGTCTCATCAAGTGCCAATTTCCTCTGAGCAGGGTGCAGGGTTTCAGAGCGGGCGCGTTTTGAAGCTCAAATCCAAATTCGCTCCAAAGCGCGTTTTGAAGGCGTGAGACGCGCTTTTTATAGAAGGATTAAGCGGTCGCCAAAAAATCGCACCGCGCCTGGCGCCGCTTTGTAAATAAATATTTCTACATTCGAAACATGCAGAAAAATATTTCTACATGCAAATGATGCAGATAAATTATTCTAAATTTGAATGATGTAGATAGATAAATCTACATTCTTTTGATGTAAATAAATATTACTGCATTCAATGAAATGTACCACTTTTTTTATCGAAAATTCCCTGGTTAAGTTATTTTTTATTGAGAATAAATATACTAAAAAATATTTTGAGAGCGTGACTATTGGCTTTCTGGATGCTTAATGTAATCCTCTACAAGTTCCGAACCACTATTAAGATTTCCAATGCTTAAAGGAGTGCTGAAACACGTATAAAACGTCCCACTTTTCATCGAAAATTCCCATCTGATAAAATAGTTTTTATAAGCTTCTTGAACCCTCCTAAAATGATTTTGGAATCAAGAATCTTGCAATCCAAGTGGCTGTTTGACTGGAGTGAGCATATGAAAATTTTTGAAATGGTACTTTTTAAATAAAGGCATTTATAAAGATTTGTACTACGCACCACCACTTTCTGCATTCGAATATTTCAAATGATGTAGATAAATATTTCTACATTCAAATGATGTACATAAATATTTCTGCATGTGCCAATGTAGAAAAATATTTCTACATATATTTGATTATTCTGTGCTACCAAAACTGAAAATTGTGAGACTCACGCGACGTCTTCGCGGTGCTTCTTGGTGACCTCAAAGTGGAGACACATTTTGTCCAGGGGCCACTCATTTTTGCGCGCGGTGCTCTGCATGATCGCCGTGAGGAACGACTGCGGGTTGAAGAACCCGGAGAGCCACACGGACGCTGGGAGCTGAAGCAATGCAATTCAATTTTTTTTAGCAATTATATGAAATATGAAAATATACTTCGGTATAACTAATATTGATATATTTTAATTCACACTTCTAAGGAGCAAAATTTTGCATTTTGTTAAATTTTTAGACAAATAAATAGTTTCTGTAAAATGATTGTATTTCCCTCATGATCCATCTATTAGTCAGAGCTATGCAACCCGCAGGACAAACGTGACCAAATAGTTGCATACATCTGCTAAATCGATTGAAGACAACTTCACACCAAGTTTTTGCATGCAGGTCAAATGTTTTTTTTTTTAATTACATTAAATTAATTCTCCAATCAAGTATTTTTATTAGCTAAAATAAATTGTAAATTTTTATTCATTGAATAATCAACTATTTATTGCGTTGTTTGCGCAAGAAATATGTATTAAATTTGTTGAGACTTTCAACAAAATATGTTTGCTTACGACAAAGTCAGTGGTCCAAGTCTCGAGCTCGCGCAACCTGAGCAGCAGGTCGGCGAACCAGGCTGCGAGGCCCTGCAACGAAGGGTACGCCCTGGCGGCCCACGTCTGCGGCACCTGGTTGAGGAACAGCGCCTGCTCCAACTCCTCCATGTCCGCCGTAATCGTCAGCTCCCCCTGATTATTCAAAATTTTTTTAATAGAAAAATCATTTAATTTGACTTTCCAGTTTTTGGACTGAATGTTGTTTATCATTTATCACAATATGTCTTACATCAAAATATTTCCAATGTGAATCTTAAATTTACTTTCTTCATAAAATTTATTTTGCCAGGCTTCTTTTTTAAATAGTTAGAACTTATAAATAAAAGAGCGGAAAGTTTCACGTTTTGAACACAAATAATTACTTATTATTTTTTTTTTTTTGCATTTTTTAATGTTCGCAATTAAATTGAAATAAGAAATCATTTGAATATACTTTGAGGCCAAGGTCGAGTTCCTTGAGGGAGCGGCGCATCTCCTCTGTGAGCAGGTTGATGCGTTCGCACTCCTGACACGCCACGATGATGTACGGTGTTCGCTCCTCCACCCGCCCATTCAGCTCGGTCATGTTGAACACCTCGGGCAGTTTGTCCAGCAACTCGTCGATCACAACCTTCACCTGCAATTTCCACTCCAAGAATCCAATTACAAAAATAAGGGTCTAAAATTAACTTTATCAGCAACTTTAAAATGAAGTTGCTTCAACGTTACATACATTTTACTAAATGGACGTTATTTAAATGATTTCATTAAAAAAATTTACAGCTCCATGCTTTGATTGCAATGTCCAAACAACTCAATTCTGCCTTTAACCTTTAAAGGTGTATTTAAAAAATTTGACATACTATTTGTCCATTTATCCTATTTAAAAATCAATGTGCTTATTCTCTGTGTGATCTTTTGATCTGCTTTTTTTTTTTTCACTGTAACGAGATATTGGGGAAAAAAGATTGACCTTGTCCTCCCTGGAGATGGTGGCGCCACCGGCAAGGATGCCGGCGTCTCTGGGCTGCATCTCGAAGACGGTCTTGAGAAGGGCCTCGGAGGTGGCGGTCATGAAGCCGATCTCGGCGTTGGTGTGCAGCCCGTAGAGCTGCGGCGACTCGGCCGGCAGCGCCTCCAACACCCACTGCTGCATCCCCTGCATGTCCGTGTTCGGCGGCGCCGTGAACCCCGCGGCCAGCTCCAGTTCCCCCTCCACCTTCAATTCAGACAGAGTTTCAGCCTCATATTTTTAAATATTTTTAAATTTAAACATTATATTGATCTTTTTTAAGAATACACAAGTCGTTTTAAAACGTTTAGAACTTAAAAAAGTATATATTGCAATAGCATCTGTTAAAATAATCTAAATTTCATGGTGAGAATGAAGATTTGGTTCCAAAAACTTGATCCAGGCAATTTTTTGTTTAATTCTTCTATACCCACCAGGTCGGGCTGCATGATCTCTTCGAGGTAGGTCCTGCAGAGTCTGCGGTCCCAGTCGTCGGTGATGTGGCCGCCGTACATGATTTCACCGAAAAGATAGCGCAAGTCTTCCCAAGGGACGCGCGTGTTCGCCTCCAGGTAGTTGTACAGAACGTTCATGCTGATCGTCAGGTCGCCTTGCAATGCAAAATTTACAACTTTTGTCATCATTTAGTTTTTGAAAAGTGCATTAGAAAATACAAAATAAATTAATGTAATAAAAAAAATAGCTACTTAAATTTTAAAAAAGAAATGAATGAAGCAACATTGAAAATGAAAAAATAAGGACCGATGTTGAAGGGGTAGACGCGATTCCAGCCCTGAGGGCCGAATTTGCGTCGCTCAGCGACGACGGCGTGGAAATAGCAGAGGCCGAACAGGATCTGCTTGAACTCGGCCTCTTTCGAGCACATCTCGAGCGTGTCCTGCGAAAACGTGTTGAGGGCCTTGAGCAAGTTGGCCTGCATCCCCGCCGGCGGCTCGTTCGTAATCTTGATCGACGCCTCCAGCAAGCCCTTATCACAAAATGTTTATTTCGATTACTTTATGTCAAAATTAAACCAAAAATTTTAAAAATGGATTTTTCAACAAATATAAATACGTTTTAAAAAATATATATGTTTTTGGATGTTAAAGACTTAAAGATTGTGCGCTTTTAAACTGTGACCAACCTGCGGAAGAATGTGGTTGGCTGGTTTGGGCGCGGGTTCGGCGCTCATGAAGAGTCGGAAGTGGGGGTGCGCATCCTCGGCCAGCTGCTCAAGTTTTTTCTCCAGCACGCCCAGCCACGTGCGCACCAGGTGTATGTTCTGCAAAAGAAATAAACATTACGAAGCTACGTCTTAATTTAGTTGCAAAGTGTCTATATTGATTTATCAGAAGGCAATTAATTAGGTAATGTATAAATTATTTATTCAACTAAGGCAACGCTTTATTTTCATTGCATATAATGAAGACGATCCAAAAGCCTAACCTAATCATGTCAAATGTAGAACTATATTTCGACATCAAGTCAAATGTAGAACTATATTTCGACATCAAGTCAAATGTAGAACTATATTTCGACATCAAGTCAAATGTAGAACTATATTTCGACATCATGTCAAATGTAGAACTATATTTCGACATCAAGTCAAATGTAGAACTATATTTCGACATCATGTCAAATGTAGAACTATATTTCGACATCAAGTCAAATGTAGAACTATATTTCGACATCATGTCAAATGTAGAACTATATTTCGACATCAAGTCAAATGTAGAACTATATTTCGACATCAAGTCAAATGTAGAACTATATTTCGACATCAAGTCAAATGTAGAACTATATTTCGACATCATGTCAAATGTAGAACTATATTTCGACATCATGTCAAATGTAGAACTATATTTCGACATCAAGTCAAATGTAGAAGTATATTTCGACAACATGTCAAATGTAGAACTATATTTCGACATCATGTCAAATGTAGAACTATATTTCGACATCAAGTCAAATGTAGAACTATATTTCGACATCAAGTCAAATGTAGAACTATATTTCGACATCATGTCAAATGTAGAACTATATTTCGACATCAAGTCAAATGTAGAACTATATTTCGACATCATATATGTCAAATGTAGAACTATATTTCGACATCATGTCAAATGTAGAACTATATTTCGACATCAAGTCAAATGTAGAACTATATTTCGACATCAAGTCAAATGTAGAACTATATTTCGACATCAAGTCAAATGTAGAACTATATTTCGACATAAGACGAGAGTAGAACTGTTTTTCAACATAAGCCAAATGTAGAAATATTTTTAAACTTCTGCCACATTTCGAGTGATATAATTAAATCGATTCGGTACAATTGAATTATGATCAAATGCAAATGCACGTGTATTGTTAAGTCAACAATTGAATATCTTTTAAATTTTAGCTAAGAACGCTTTATATGGATAGTTTTTGTACTAAAATGTTTTTTTATTAATTTTCAATGAAATAATTTACTCAGTTTCAATATTAGCTCAAAAAGATATTTGCATTTCAATTCTATCGCTTTCTTGACTAGTTTTTCATGATCACACTATGGAAGATTTGAATTTGAGCTTTAAGCGCGAAGTCAACACAATGCGCCCAATTGATGTGGGGTTCGGAATATCGCAGCCCGGGCCAGGTTAATTTAGACCGGGCCAAGTTAGCCTTTTGGATCGCCCTCAATATTTTTTTTGCATTGTGATGAAGAAAAGCATTAATTTGGTACAACCTTAACCAGATAAATTATATGAAAAATAATTTTTAGAACAACAATTAAGCCTGTCTTCCAAAATGTACACATTATCATTGAATAATCCTGGGCATTTTAAAAATTCATAGTTTCACAGATGCTGCAGACTTTCTTGAGTCCAGAAAGCACGAAATAAATTCATACTGGCATATATCTGTGAAATTCGCCGTACAATAGCCTATTTTTGATAACAAGAGGTAGAGTTGAAACGAAAAATAATAAAGACCTACCTGGAGGACGACCCAGTGGCCGTTGGCCGCCGCCTCGGCCAGCGCGCGCTCGGCCACCACTTCTTGGCCCTGGCCCAAAGACACGCTGTGAAAGTTGCGCTTCGACGCCGAGAAACCCAACTTGACCCCCAGTTCCTCCACTTCCTGCCACACAAACAATTTTAAATATATTAATGGGAGATACTTCACCTCTGGTCAGTTAATTTGTATAATCTGTTGAGGGCCACGGTCAATATTTTTTTTTTTTTTTTTTTTTTTTTTAATTGTATATCCCTCTTGGGAAAGGCACCAGCGGTAGCAGACAGGCTGCTAAATCGCAAGGGCCGATAACTCGGATTCTCCCCTTTCGGGGCCGATAACACGGTGACCTTGCGACCCACTGGGCCTGGGAGAAGGGAGTGTAGGATGGGTTTTGTATGCTAGGAATTTGAAGGATGAGGAAGGTGAGCGGCTGCGGCCTATGAATGGGAACTATGCCGGCATTCGCCTGGAATGTCTGATGATAATATTTAGACAAATTATTCATATTCATAATTATTAATAATTTTAATTCATCAGAGAGCCAAGAAATACGACAAACATCCTTTTCCATTGCAATTAAGGATTACGGTATGAGGGATGAATTATTTTACTAGATTGTTGAATTTAAGGTGATTCTTCTACAGGGTTTTGGCTAAAACTAGAAATGCTGCAATGGATTCCAAATGATTCAGATTATAAGATTTGAACTATTGTGTGTTAATTTTTCAAGTATAAAAATGATTTATTTTCGCCCCATCGCTTCTTTACAAGGGGCCAAAGTAATGTCCGAAGATCAAAAACGGGTAAAAATCCACGTTTTTCTACCTTCTCATACTCGTAACTTTCCATTTTGCAAAGTAAACTATAATTTTCTAGATAGCTTTCGATTCGCAAGAAGATATAGAATCCAAAAAAAGAAAAAAAGTTTATCTCTTCTGTCATTTTATTACCCCCTGAGAAATCAAATTTTTTTAATTTTAATGACCCATTTATAAATGCTATTTCTCTGAGGGTGATAAAATGACAGAAGAGTTATAATTTTTTTGCTTTTTTTCGATACTTTAACATCTTGCGAATCGAAAGCTATCTAGAAAATTATAGTTTACTTTGCAAAATGGAAAGTTACGAGTATGAGAAGGTAGAAAAACGTGGATTTTTACCCGTTTTCGACCTTCGGACATTACTTTGGCCTCTTGTAAAGAAGCGACGGGGCGAAAATAAATCATTTTGATACTTGAAACATTAACACACAATAGTTCAAATCTTATAATCTGTATCATTTGGAATCCATTGCAGCATTTCTAGTTTTAGCCAAAACCCCGTAGAAGAATCACCTTAATGTTTGATCTGGAATATAGCATTTGATTTTGAGAGAATGACTGTTGGCTTTAACGAAGTTCATGTTAAAGCCCTTCAACTTCGCGACCACTATTTCGATTTTAAATCCTTTGCTAAGTAAGGATGTATAAACGAACAAAAAAGGTTTTAATAACCTTCAAAGGGTTGACACCTGGAGACAGGATGAAGAAGATTGGGGTGGCTGGACCAGTCTCCTCGAAAGACTCTTCGAAATTGACACTTTGCCTCTTCACGTACTTTGCTCCGAGACTTTCCTCAATAAACACCCTGGGAATTACCATATTATTATGATTATTCTGAGGTCCAGATCAAAAGCAGGCCAACCTAGCCCAGCTTAAATTAATTTTTTGCTCAATTTAAATTGCCAATTAAACTAGCCTGGACTAGGGTAGGCTTTGGATCGCCCTCGGCGTTATTATTTTATCTGAAATACGTCAAATTTTGCTTGTTGAAGTACTTTTCTGTTGCCACTTTTGGTCTTTTTCTGCGATGTAGAAACAACCACCGGAAGCAGAATGCAAACAAAAAATGTGTGCGAGAGAAAAAGAGAACAAAAGATGAAGTATGCAGATCTTTAAATCAGATTCAGGAGTTGCTTAAAAGTTCCCCTTATAATTTTTTTTTTTAGACTTCTCGCGATATTATATTATTAGCGACTACAATAAATTGAACGTTACGAGAGGGCGTAGGTGAGTCTGTCAGGTCGCAGGGCCCTGATCATGCAGAGGCGTTGGACTGCGGTTTTGGTTTTCCACTCCTGCGGGAACTTGTCTCGCTCGGGCGTTTTGCCCTCGACGAACTTTTTCCACCGCGTCGCCGACGACTCAATGTCGCGATCCAGCCCCCTTTGGATCATTTCTCGGTTCGATCATTCGTTTCTTTTTTTAATGCAAGAATTTCCAACCTGAACTCGTCGTTCTGCGACAAACTCTTGATGGCGCCCCAGCTCGAGTTGGAGAGGAAGTCGAAGGGCGACGTCAGGGTCGCGTTGCTCGGGAAGCGCAGCAGCATGTCCAGGTCGCTCACCTGCACCTCCCCGCTTTCCACCAAAATCTAAAATGTCACAACTTTTTTTTGGAATTTTCAAGGCTGATGTAAGTTATACAGACAGCAAAAGTTCCGTTTGCCGATGATTAATTAACTTTAATTGATAATTGTTTTTTCTTCTTATTTCCAGGTAGGATTTTCCAACGGGAATCATAAAAAATAAATTGCATCCTTTCAAAAAAGTCGGATGCTATCAATTAAGTTAGGAATCTCTCAATAACATAATATGACTAGATATTGTGAAAATTCAAACCTGGCAAACCTCGTTGCAAATAAAAAAAAAATGAAAAATAGATATCGTGTTGCAATTTAATTAATTATAAGAAATTTGATTTAAATAAGATTAAAAACAAGATGAAGCAACTAAAAAAATTTCTTCAAAACTTCTGAAGCATCTAGATGATATATTGTGACCAGCAAATATAACATATTTCTTGCTTTTTTTTAATATGTTTCTTCTTTCAACTTTCAACCAACTTTGAATAAAGAGAATTATTTTAATAAGAAAACACATTTTGCTAAAATCAACCCTTCCAATCAAGAGGGGAGTAACTGCGTATCATGTTTCATTTTTTGTGATCTATAAAAAAAATGCTAAAATGGCAAAGGCAAATTTCAGGAAAAAAATCTCAAGATAAATATTAAAAATTATTTGAGCCGACGCGTCAATGATATTAAAAAAGACTCCAAAATTCAAAGATTATCTCAAACTTTGCTGGTTGTTGTGAAAGAAAGTTTTGAAATAAATACTGAAATAATACAAGAAAATTTAGCTGATAAATTATGATTTAAAATTTTTCAAAATATTTGAATTAACTTTGATTTCCAGTTGACATTCTTTTAATTAGAAGGACACATAATAAGAGAAAATTCCAATTTTTAAAATTTATAATTATACTCGTCAAAAATGATCACTTTTCCATTAATAGGTCAACTTTACCTATACAGGGTATTAGATGAATATTTAAAAGCGAAGTGAATAGGAAAGCTGGTGCTGAATACCTGGAAGGCCATCTGCGCGGCGAAGATGAGTTTGTCGCACTCAAAGAGGCCGCGGCTGGTGTACAGGAAGATGGAGAAGGTGATGCAGTCGATGAGGTTGTCGACCCTACGCGCCACATGGTCGCGGGCGGGCGCCGCGCGCTCGATGGCCTTCTGGAAAACGACGCTGAACGCCTTGAGCGAGAACTGGTACACGGGGTTGATGCGGTTCAGCTCGTTCAGGATGAAGTACAGCAGCGCCGCCCGACGCGCAGCGCACCGGTACGACTCGCGCGCCTCGTCGATCCGCCGCGCCGTCACCTTCCCCTCCGCCACCTGCACACGTGCAAACACTTCAAAATAGGCTCCGACTCTAATTTAAGGGCATCATACTTAATTCAAACAAATCAACGATTGCTCATTCTTTATCTCTTTATCTCTTTTGATTTCGCAGGCTAAATAATTATCAATATTTATCAAGATTGGAAACATAAAATTAAATAGCAAACCATTTCCATAGTTTTATCACTTCCCAACAAAATTAAAATTATATAATAATGGCGTTTTAAAAACATTAAAATGTTACATTATGTAAATGGAAAACAAAGGAAAGAGTCTTGCTTTATATTAAATTTATCATTACTTCTTGGAAAGCGTTGAAAATAAATTGTGGGCCTTAAAGCTCCAAAAGTGCAGCCAGATTGAAGCTTGAAATTCAAATCTTTCAAACATATATATAATTTATAAATCTCAAAATTTTGGTTTGTAAGGTGAAGTTCTATTTTCTGGATTGCTTTCCATAAGAAAAATTTTTGTATTGACCAAGAAGAATAAATAATAATAATAGAAATGTGAAATAAAAGAAGCTAAATTTTACGACTATAATTTTTATTTTTCTGACGCATTTTTTTATGCAAGGAACGTCAAAATTAGTTTGATTGTCAAAAGAGTTTTATCTCCGGCATCTTGCAAATAAAAAGCCACCAGATTGTATGCAGACGAACCTTTTTTGAAATGTCGGCAGCCGTTTTCTTGGTGGTCTCGAGGTTTTCGACAAGGGCTTGGTCTGAAAGGAGGTCGCCACCTGCCGACGAGAGGCGCAACAGCAATGCGTCCTCAAGATCCTTCAGCCGAATCTTGAACTCGTTCTGCTGCTTCGTTAACTCCGCCTGCAAATGGAACATTTTCCGCATTAAAATTAAACAAATAAATTCGCTGAAAATTAAAATGCAGTGGATGGACATTCAAGTCTCATTGAAAACTTTTAGCTTCTTTCCAACCAGTGAATGATTAAATTGACCTTGCTGTGCTCGAGATCGGGTCGTTCGGCCCTGACGACCTCTGCCAGCAGTTGCTCCTCGAGGCCGTCTTTGGTGACTGTGAAGTCGATCAGGGTGGTCTGCGCCTGCATCTCAGGTTTGTAGTGCGGGTTGCCCAGTTTCGTGTGCAGGATGAGCCGGAAGTTGGGGTGGTACTCGACTTCCTTGTCACCGATCCGGATCGCCCTGAGATTAAATTCACAGCAGGTTAAAAAAAACTGCAATAATTCTTAAAAACGCGCAGAGACGGTAAAAAAAATCAGCTTGCGTTCATGCAAACATTTGGATTAAAAAATTATTTTTTAGCGATTGAAAGTTACGTTAAAGAACTTAAAGAAAATCTAGGTCCTTTGGAATTCTATTTTTAAATTACTGACCTGCCCTTCTTGGTGAGGTTCCTGCTGAGCAGCGGTTCGAGGACGGCGTCGACGCTCTCGCCCAGGTTCTCCATCAGGGTGGTGCGCCCTGACGTGATGGCGCCCTCCAGCGACTCCAGGTAGCCCTTCTGACCCGAACGCAGCACCAGCAACTCACTGCCGAACCGTGACTTAACCCACTTCAGCCCTTGCAGCTTTTGACAAAAGTAAATCGTAAATCAATTACAAATTCAAAGTATTTTGCTGAAATATTCCATCAAAAAAAAAAAAAAAACATTGTTCAGAGGAATAAATGCTGGAAAATTTGGAGGACCTGCGGGTCGATCATGAGGGGCCAGCGCTGCGAGTTGGTGAGGATGGTGGCGTTCTCGGTGGACATGCGGTCGCTGGGGAGGCCCTCGTTGTTCCACGCGGCGATTTTGGCGTCGTCCGTCAGCAGGGACAGGGGGTCGAGGTCCTCGGTGATTGCGATGCTCGGCTGCGCATTTCAAATTTATATTCTGAAGCGCAAGAAAAGGCGAAATCGGACCTGCAGCTTTTTGAAGTAGGGAAGCCACGCGTCGCGCAGCAGGTCCTGCCGGAACTTGCGGTTGAATCCGCCCACGTACGACACAAACGCCGACACGACCAGCACGTCGCCCGGCAGCGTCGTCGCCTGACCACGCAAACTAGGCGACAACAATGTCACAATGTCACTACATTTCAATTACATAATTATAATTTAAATAATTTCATTTCAGTTTAAAATTGAAAGATGAAAATTGTAAATTTTAAATCAAATTAGGTAATTTAAATAATAATAAATTCATTAAAAGCTTCCTTATGCACAAAGACCGCCGAGCACGATTTGATTCTTTGTTGTTTTTTACATCTAAGTTTTGATCTCTACACATAAAAGCATCTAATGTTAATTTCAATCGTTTTTAGATAACAAATTCAGGCAAAAAACATAGTTGTGTGTAGAGTAAATCACAAGCTTTATATTTTTTGATCCACTTTTGCTACAAAAAACTACTGAATATGTTTGAACTTTTTGTTATACTTTGCGTTTTACGGGAAAATCTAAATAACCTCAAAAGCTGTAGGCAAATTTTATCTTTCTTTTGCAGCCCGGCAAAATCACGTAAATTGATCATTTAATTCAAAATGGGAGCAATTGAGTGACTTTATTTAAACGTTTTTTCTGTCATAAACTAAGAAGGAATAACGAGGGCCATCCAAAATTACCCTCACAACGTTTATAATATGGTCAAAGGTCAGCCGTTGACCTACGGCAATTTGATTTTCTTAGAGGAGGAGACATTTTTTGAGCATGGTAGCTCCAGACAAAATAAAATTGCTCTTAAAAATTGCAAAATGAGGGCGATTCAAAATCGAAACCTGTGCCAAGCTAACTTATAGGCTGCCAATTTATATTGCTTTCGAACTGTTCACAATTAAAAGTTTCGATACTCACGAATCGATGGCGTGCGCCCATCGGATCTTTTCGGAGGCAAGGCCGTTGACGAGGCGGTTGGCCAGGTCGATGGTCTTGTTGGTCTGGTCGGCCTCGCGCTGGCACTGCATCTTCTCCTGCGTCGCCGTTTCGAACTCACCCGTCAGCTGCGCCAACTGACCCTCCAGGCTCTGCCAAAAAACACTCGAAAAATTTTACAAAAAAGTTTCTCTTGGATCGATTTGCATTTGTCCAACAAAATTGAACATTCCTTTATTGGATTGGCTCAAAAAATCAGTTAATAATCGCGTTCATTGCTTATTAGTACTTATTTACATAAGAAAAAAAAACCAGATTTGTATCTGCTGACCTGGATCTGTTGCTTGATGAGGGTGAGTTTGTGTTGGGCGGCGGCGAGTTCGGCGTTGGCGTCGGCCAGGGCGACCCTTTTGGGCTCAACCTCGCAAAACACCTCAAAGAACTTGATGATGTTGATGACCCATGCGCAGAGGCCGGCGGCCGCCGCCGACTTGCTGCGTATCAGCTCCGGCTTGAACTCCTTGTCCTTGAGGTACGGCTGGATCGCCTTGATCACCTCCGCGCAAATCTCCTCCTTCTTGTAGTTGACCAACGCGTCCAGGAACGCGTCCACCTTCCCCATCATCATCTGAATCACCAACCAAATGCAATTAAATGTTTCCAAAACTGATACAGCTTCATAAGAAAGTTTTATCTCCAAATAAATCTGATTTCTCTCTTCCTCTCTTTGCCAAATAAAAACAATAAACCAAAGTCATTATAAAAAAAATGCATGAAATTTATTCCTCTAATGAGTTTTCAGGAACTGATTTTGGTCAAAAGTGGAAAAATGAATAAGGCGGAAGGACACAAAAATAGATTTGTTGGTTCTTTTTCATGCGCCTCATAGTAGCAGCTTTAGTTTACAATTTCAAAATGTTGAAATCGCGATTAAAAAAAGGGTTCTCGCACCAAAAGACTTTGAACCTTACTGGGGAGTCATCAAAAAAATATACTATTTTTAACCTAGATTAGTGATTTTACAATCAGGACTAACTTTCCTTGAGAGGCTCAAATTTGTTTGGCGGGGAAAGTTGAGCCCCTGCTTTGAAGCTCACAATTAGGAGTGGAGGTTTTCAATTGGATGAAATGTATTCTTCATTCAAATTCAAGAATAAAAAAAATTGTCATTGTCCCTTTTCAAATGTGACAAACATAAATTCTTTTCATAGAAAGAGTAAAATTGCACGTTTACCTTTGCCGCCTTCCAGCTGCGGTCCTTGGGGATTTTTGCGTCTGGCGAGAGGAGGACCATGACGGCGGCGGTGACGTTGGTGACGGCCTCGGGGGGCGACCCGAACGACTTGAGCTCGGTCAGGTTGGCCTTGTTCAGGGTGTTCAGGGCCTCCATGGCGGCCACCAGCGCCGGCTCGGCCTTGACCAGGTCGGCCTCGCAGTCCTGCTGCTTCTTGGCCACCTCCTTCGCGATCACCGCCACCTTCGCCTCCTCCTTGTTGGCTGAAATTCACATTTTTCGATTTTTCATTCCAATTCAACATTTTAGTTTACGAAAATCATTCAATATTTTGTGAATCACGAGATTTTTGAAAGCAGTAAAACTTATTTGGCTGATTAATTGATTATTCCTTATAAATGATTCACAATAGTAAATTTGCTCCAAGACTAATAAGAAGGCAAAAGATAATTGTGTTTTTTTTTTTTCCAAAACGCCCCAAAAAACCCGCATTTTTTAAATTTTTTGATAAAAATTTGGGGAACTCGCCTTAAAAGTAAGATGATTAAGTAATGATAATCTTGAACTGGGCAGGGGTATGTGAAAACAGAGAGAATTTGACAAGAAAAAGTTTTGATTTTGAAACGATTGTGGATTTACCGAGAATTTTTTCCTTGGAGACCTTTTCGGTCTCGACGGCGACCCTGTGGATGAGTTTGTCGGCGGCGTCGTTCTTGTTCTGCACCTCGACCTCCTGCAGGGCCAGGGTGCGTTTGAGGCCGTCGACCTGCGCGGCCGTCGAGCGCAGCTTCTCGAGTCCGTTCTCAAGGCGGGCGATGTGCGCGCGAAGCTCGGCATCCTTTTCGCGCAGGATCTTCGAGTAGAGCCAAATCTGCTCGAGGTACGACTTGGGCGTCGTGTAGTAGAAGCGCCGCGTCGCCGACGCGTACGAGTGCGACGCCGCCGTCACTGACGTGTGCACCTGCGCCAGGAACTCGGCCGCCGACTCGCGCACCTCCGGCTGCAAAGCATTTCCGCCATTTTTAATTTATTCGCCTTGATTCATTTTTATATTCATTAATTGTGTTTCGATTGAACGCTTCAACTTTTTCTTCACCCAGGGGGATTGAAAATTGCAAGAAATGAGCAAGAAAGATTGTCCAGTCCATACCCAGAAAAATTATTGCCAGTCCGAAATTTTCATCATCTAATGAGACATTTTTCGAGATTTCCCCAGCTACAACCCTCGCAAGGTCAAAAAGTAACTCTGGAAGGTGGCTGGCGTATTTTTTATCATTGCATTAATTTTTCTATTTATACAGGGTGTCCCATAATTCAACGACATTTTTCTTTTTGCTGCCAATTTTTAACGGTTCAAGATAATTGAGTTTTCTCAACGGCAGGTTGCAGAAAAACTGTCCAAGTTTTTGTGATTCCATTGTTGTCTCATTGTTGCTATTGCAAGTTTGCGAAAAATTGCAAAAACCAAAAACGAAATTCGACTCTTATGGGAAATCCATGTTAAATTTTGAAATTTTTAAATTTTTGACTTTTGAAACGGAACAAAATGTTTCCTAGCCCAAAATTTTGCGAGGAATACGATTTTGAAGTCAAATTTTAAATATGGCTACTGTAAAAGGGAAATTTTTACGATTTTGTACCCTTTTTCTAGGAAAAATTTGGTGTAGATAAAATTTGAGTTCACCAATCGATTTTGCTTGCCAAGTTTACTCTTGGTGCAAATTTTTATTTTTCTATCACATGCGGTTCTATAAAAACTAGAGAATCACTCAATTTGGCATTATAGAAAATAAATTAATTTTCAAGGTGCGGCCAGAAAAATTAAAAGTCCAGTTTTTAAAACGCAAAACTTTGGCTCATTTTTTATTGTGCATTAGTAGCTACTAAATAACTTTAATTAGACATGTGCCGCCCAGCAAATTTTATTTTTTGCCTATATTGGTGCCGCGGATTTTTTATTTTAAAACACCATACTCGGACATACAATTTAAAGTCCAGATTTTACAGAGCCGCGCTTTCACCCATACTTAACACTACTAATGCTTGACTCATTCCCAAAATTTTAAGTGTGCCGCTCACCAAAATTGGCGTTTTTACTTAAAAAAGCTAAAATTCTGCGTTGCGCTTGAAGCCCGAGTAAGTGGTGATGATTGAAAAAATTAATTTTCTTTGGACGGCACGTTTCAAATTTGGCGAACATCTTTACAATTGCTGTATGAAACAATAAATTGGCACGGCATTGTTGAGAAATCTGGACTTTTGTTTGAATGATTGATCATAGTAAAATGTCATTTATTTCCCTCTTTTATTTGAACACACCAGAAAAAAAAAATAGAAGTCCAGATTTCTCAGCAGTGGCATGCCAAAGAATTAATGATAAATGCCAATGCCACTTTGCTCGCCAAATTTGAAGTGTGCCGTCCAACGAAATCCTATTTATTTTACTTGATCTTTTTTCCGTACATACAAACCTGTCTCTGTAAAATTGGTAAACTCTAAGTTAACTAAATAAAATACAAATCCCGTGGGCGGCACATCTGCAAATAACAAAAACCAACCAAAAATTTCACATTGAACAACTTTGAAACTAACACTTTCCCAAGAAATCTGGACTTTTAGTCTGATTTTCAATTGTATGTAATAATTTAATTATGAAAATTGCTGTACAATTTTTCTGCCTTAATTTTGATACATAGATAAGGAAAATTAGACAAAAAGTCCAGTTTTCTTGGGAAAGTGTTAGTTTCAAAGTTGTTCAATGTGAAATTTTTGGTTGGTTTTTGTTATTTGCAGATGTGCCGCCCACGGGATTTGTATTTTATTTAGTTAACTTAGAGTTTACCAATTTTACAGAGACAGGTTTGTATGTACGGAAAAAAGATCAAGTAAAATAAATAGGATTTCGTTGGACGGCACACTTCAAATTTGGCGAGCAAAGTGGCATTGGCATTTATCATTAATTCTTTGGCATGCCACTGCTGAGAAATCTGGACTTCTATTTTTTTTTCTGGAGTGTTCAAATAAAAGAGGGAAATAAATGACATTTTACTATGATCAATCATTCAAACAAAAGTCCAGATTTCTCAACAATGCCGTGCCAATTTATTGTTTCATACAGCAATTGTAAAGATGTTCGCCAAATTTGAAACGTGCCGTCCAAAGAAAATTAATTTTTTCAATCATCACCACTTACTCGGGCTTCAAGCGCAACGCAGAATTTTAGCTTTTTTAAGTAAAAACGCCAATTTTGGTGAGCGGCACACTTAAAATTTTGGGAATGAGTCAAGCATTAGTAGTGTTAAGTATGGGTGAAAGCGCGGCTCTGTAAAATCTGGACTTTAAATTTTATGTCCGAGTATGGTGTTTTAAAATAAAAAATCCGCGGCACCAATATAGGCAAAAAATAAAATTTGCTGGGCGGCACATGTCTAATTAAAGTTATTTAGTAGCTACTAATGCACAATAAAAAATGAGCCAAAGTTTTGCGTTTTAAAAACTGGACTTTTAATTTTTCTGGCCGCACCTTGAAAATTAATTTATTTTCTATAATGCCAAATTGAGTGATTCTCTAGTTTTTATAGAACCGCATGTGATAGAAAAATAAAAATTTGCACCAAGAGTAAACTTGGCAAGCAAAATCGATTGGTGAACTCAAATTTTATCTACACCAAATTTTTCCTAGAAAAAGGGTACAAAATCGTAAAAATTTCCCTTTTACAGTAGCCATATTTAAAATTTGACTTCAAAATCGTATTCCTCGCAAAATTTTGGGCTAGGAAACATTTTGTTCCGTTTCAAAAGTCAAAAATTTAAAAATTTCAAAATTTAACATGGATTTCCCATAAGAGTCGAATTTCGTTTTTGGTTTTTGCAATTTTTCGCAAACTTGCAATAGCAACAATGAGACAACAATGGAATCACAAAAACTTGGACAGTTTTTCTGCAACCTGCCGTTGAGAAAACTCAATTATCTTGAACCGTTAAAAATTGGCAGCAAAAAGAAAAATGTCGTTGAATTATGGGACACCCTGTATATTAAAAACATGAGACTAATGACAATCAATAGCAAATTTAAAAGCCTTTCAAAAACTTTTCAAGTTTCCTTTAATATTATTTAATTTTGCACTCCGTAATTTTCTTCTAAATCCAAAGCAACAAAAATTATGAAAGCCGAAATATTCAAAAATGATGTTTTCTGTTTCAATTTCTCCCAATAATATTACGTTTTATATTAAATCCTCATCAACTATTCCGCTTTTTTTAAAATTTTCTGTTGCTTTTGATTTAGCAGCAAATGTTAAATACATAAAGTGCGAAACAATTTAAATTTTAAAAATTTTGTTCAAATATTTTACCATATAAAATGTTTTCCACATAAGCTTGACCTAAAAGCTAATATATGATGACATCAACAAATGTATCAATAGACGATATGATGAAAATTTTAGGCTGGCGTGAATTTATTTCAGGTAATAGTGGCATAAATAGTAGAATGCTGTTGATTCCTGGACTAATTTAAGACGAAACCCTGGATACCATTTTTCCAACTTTATCTGTTGCTTCTTTTTCGGATATTTTAAGTTTACAAAATTATAGTGAGATGCGGGGTGCCTCACAATGTCCTAAAGACAATGTCCTAACAGAAAATGTCCTAACGGATAATATCCTAAAGAAAATGTCCTACAGAAAATATCCTAAAGAAAATGCCCTATAATTAAGAATTGAAAATGTCCTAACATACAATATCCTAACACCTGAAAATTATGAAAAGTCATGTGTCATGTGAAAAAAATTTTAATTTCATCCTTTCAAGTAATTTTGTTTCAAAATTTATCCAGATTCAACATATTTTACGCTTCATACGACTTGAGTCTTTATCGGAAAATATACATATTTAGACCTTTGACTAATTTTAGTAATTTTAGGCTTTTGTAATGACTCGAATATTTTTTTCAATATTATTTCCTTCGCTTTTGCTACGGGTAGTTGAGAAATGTAGCTATTAATCTTTCTTCTAGACAATAGTTTCAAAGAATTTCGTACAAATCTTCAGGCAATTGTATTTTTGTTTCCTACGAAAAAGTTTACTTAAAAACCTTAAAAATATCATTCGATTTTTTTTTCAAGACAAAAAATATGAAAAATTCTAATTGAAAATATTCGTTAAATTTATTTTCAATATAAGTTGAAGTAATATTATTATTATTAACAATAATTTGTATTTGTGGAAAATAATATGATTGTTTCAAACTTTTATACACTTTTATTTTTTGAATTATTTGATCAACTATCTTTTGAAATGTGACAGAGAAGCTCAACAATTAGCATCATTCTTTCTGCTTTTAAGTGAATTCATTTTGGATGTTAGTCCCTGTTGAAAAAACTAAATTTTTTAGAATAAATCAACCACTTTTCCGAAATTTAGGACATTTTCTTGAAATTCAATTAGGACAAAGTTTTTAGGACAATGTGCGACCATAGCTTTTAGGACATTATCTTTAGGATATTTTCTTTAGGACATTCTCTGTTAGGACATTGTCTTTAACCTCAATTTAGGACATTTTCTTTAGGACATTATGATGGTACCCGTGAGATGCATGTATTATTATTTATCTTTTAAAATAAATATTAATTCTAATATTGCGATTTTTTTGCGAAACAAGAAAGAGATGCAACATTTCCGTCAATTTTGACATTGACCCTCTGTCAGGGATTGTTTGCATTTAATTAAATATTAAGTCTCTCTGACCTTGAGGACCTCGAGGTCGTTGAGGAAGCGCTTGGAGACGGAGATGAGCGCTTCTTTCGGCCACTCGTGGAACCACACGATCGACGAACAACCGGTGAGCGCAGGAAACTTGCGCGACCGCACCCGCAGCGTCGAACCCACCGGCGAGAAGCACAAAACCACCTTTCAAAATAAAAGGAAAAAGTAAATTAGTCACAAAAGTAATTAAAAACGGCCTTCACATCAAATGTGTTGCTTTGAATTATTAATAATCTCAAAAATTATTATTTACAGCCGCACCATATTATATATTATAGCTTTGTGCCAACGATCCTATTTTGCAATTCAAACATGCGAAGAAGTAAAATATTTAAAAATAAAGTTGAATAATTTAAGGTAGAAGTTCGCTGATAAAAAGCTTTAAAAATTTTAGAAGTAATTTTGAATTTGGGAAATCAGAGAAGTAAAGTTAATTTTGTTGGCATCCTGAAAATTTTACTGTAACTTCTATGACCTCTTAAAAGGGGTTAAGATGAAAGGGCATGAGAATCATTTCAAAGACAAAAGGGAAACCATTAATCCCAAATAAAATAAACCCCTCTCTGGACTCTCCGCGGGGGCTCGATGAATAAAAATTGGTCAATTCTCTGGTCCTTTCAGGTGACTTCTAATAGGAAAGTACCTGACCAGCAGCTTTAGAAAAATAATACTCTCAAACTATTCTTCACAACTATTGGCTGAGCTTATTGTAAAAACTCAGATTTAAAAGTTTGGTTTAAAATTAATTTTTGCAATTTGCGGGGCAGAAAATTAGAAGAAAAAGCAAAATTTTGTACCTTGAGCTGTCGGCGGACGCGTTCAATGAAGAATCGCCAGCAGTTGTCGCGCGTGTCCGAGAGGCCGAGGCCCTTGACCTCGTTGCGCAGCGAGGTCACAATGTTGTCGACCTCGTCGTCGGTGAACAACTCAGGCACCTCGCCCGACGCCAGCAGGTCATTGATCAGCACCAGGAAACGCTCGTCCGCCACCTATTTCACGTCATTGAGATTTTCCTTTTTTGTTAATTCTGTTGTCTTAATAAGCAAAAGCTGTTAATCGCAAAGAAAGAAAAAATTTAAATCAGTGCGCGACGTTCAGAGTGCTGGGACTTTTACAAATCTCCTTTGCTCCATTATCAGTGATACAATAAAATCATCAGAATATCCTGTGTTTAAAAACTGCACTTATCCACCCCATTTACAAACACTCTGCACATGACAAAATTTGTAAATCATAGACCAATTTCGATTCAGACCGTTTGACAAAATTTTTGAAAAGTATCTTGAATTTCGTTTACTGAGTTTTTTGAAACAATTTAAGCTCATTAATAAACGACAGTATGCCTATCAAAAAGGAAAGAGTTTCAATGAATTTTTTATTGACTTCTCTGACTACGTTAATTACAATTTGAATAAAAAAAAGCGTGTCGTGGCGATATTCATTGATATGAAAAAACATTTGATGTTCTAAACTATGAAAAATTATTAGCAAAACGAAACAAACAGGACCAGTTTTGAATTTAATTAAATGCTAAAAGAATAAATGATGAAAATAGCAACAGATTCAACGTCGATTCTGGAGTCCCACAAAGCTCCATACTTGGCCCGATTTTATTCCATTTGATTATAAACAATACCATTGCTTAAAAACTGCATTGTGTTAATTTTTGCAGACGATATAGTGATCTTGTTTGCACAATAAATTTTTGAAATTGTAAATTAACAATTCAATCCGAATTTGATAAAACTGTTGAATAGTGCCATGATAACGGATTTTATGTAAACAGTAAAAAAAAAGTTTGAAATTGATTTCGAGATCTTGAAAATTGGTTTTCCAGATGCTTATTTTAGCCCTCTTCAAGTTCCCAACCACTAATGCGATTTCCAATCCTGAAGGGAGTGTTGAAACGTGTTTAAAATTTACCACTTTTAATAAAAATCCCCAGATTGAGAATTTTTTTAAGTGAGATTAAATATAGTAAAATTGATTTCGAGATCATGACTGTTTGTTTTCTGGATGCTTAATTTAGCCCTCTTCAAGTTCCCAACCACTAATGCGATTTCCAATCCTGAAGGGATTGTTGAAACGTGTTTAAAATTTACCACTTTTAATAAAAATCCCCAGATTGAGAATTTGTTTTAAGTGAGATTAAATATAGTAAAATTGATTTCGAGATCATGACTGTTGGTTTTCTGGATGCTTAATTTAGCCCTCTTCAAGTTCCCAACCACTAATGCGATTTCCAATCCTGAAGGGAGTGTTGAAACGTGTTTAAAATTTACCACTTTTAATAAAAATCCCCAGATTGTGAATTTGTTTTAAGTGAGATTAAATATAGTAAAATTGATTTCGAGATCATGACTGTTGGTTTTCTGGATGCTTAATTTAGCCCTCTTCAAGTTCCCAACCACCATTTCAATTTCCAATCCTGAAAGGAGTGTTGAAACGTGTTTAAAATTTACCACTTTTAATAAAAATCCCCAGATTGAGAATTTTTTTTAAGTGAGATTAAATATAGTAAAATTGATTTCGAGATCATGACTGTTGGTTTTCTAGATGCTTAATTTAGCCCTCTTCAAGTTCCCAACCACCATTTCAATTTCCAATCCTGAAGGGAGTGTTGAAACGTGTTTAAAATTTACCACTTTTAATAAAAATCCCCAGATTGAGAATTTTTTTTAGTGAGATTAAATATCGTAAAATTAATTTCGAGATCTTGACTGTTGGTTTTATAGATGCTTAATTTAACCCTCTACAAGTTACGAACCATCTTAACGATTACCTATCCTGAAGGGAGTGCTGAACCGCGTTTAGAATTTACCACTTTTAATAAAAAAAAAGTACCTTGATTGAGAAAAAATTTTTTTATGTGTGATTTAATATAGTTAAATTGATTTCTAGATCTTAACTTTTGGTTTTCTAGGTTCTTAATTGAACCCTCTACAAGTACGCAACCACCATTAGTATTTCCAATGCTGAAGGGAGTGTTCAAACACGCTTACAATTCACCACTTTCAATAAAATATCCCCTGATTGAGCTCATTTAAAATTTAAGTGACATTTAATATAGTTTTGTTATAATTTTTATGTAAATTGTAAGAACAAGATTTTAAACGAAATAGCTTTTGTAGAGATCAAATAAAAGTAATATTGAATCAGATATTAATATTTGGGCGTTCTAAAATGCATAAATAAAGTTATTTGAATTTGAACTGCAATCAATGACGGTGAAATAGAGGAAATTGAGAGAGAAAAATGAATGATATGAAATGTGTACTTTTTTCATTAAAATAGAAATTCATCAAGCAGTTGTCATGAAAAGTTGTGTTAAATTTGACAGAATAAAGACGAGACTTTTTTACTTTTGCTTGATAGATGGACAAAAAAGGTACTTGCCTGCGCGTCAGTCATGATGAACGCGGTGCCGACGTTTTTAAGCCCGGCCTTTAAGTACAGCGACGCCAAGTCCACCTGCATAAAATTAACGTGACTTTTCAAAACAAAAAATTGTTGCAATCGACAACCTTGAGGTCAGCGATGGCGTAGCCCTGGCGCAGTTGCACCTGGAAAACCTCGAGGCCGGAAATGAAGGCGGCGAGGCGCGCCAACGACTGCTTCCCGCTGCCCCCAACGCCCACCAGCAAAGCGTTTCCCCGCGGCGACTCCAAAATACGGTTTATCCTAAAATCGATCATTTTATTTTCGATATTTCAAATTCAGCAATTACAAAAGTTTACATCGACGACACCACCCACGGTTCAAAATTAGTTTGATGCTAAAGTCAAATTTCAATCACGAAAAGAACCTTATAAAAATTGGCTCGGTGTTTCATTGGAACGAATTGACTTAAAAGACAACAAACATCTCACAAAAAAGCAGGAAATCAGGTAATCTCTCTATTGTGATCTTTTTACATGCACTGCTTGAACAAAGGATTTGTTTTCTTGCCGAGATCGTTGTAGATTTTTACAGGATGAAATTTAATGTAGCTTGGAAGGTTTCATAATTTACAGACTTCCTCTGATCACAAAGTTGTAAATCACAACTTCTTTGTAAAAAAAATGATCTTATAATAATACATTAGCCATAACTACAAAAAAAGTAAACCAAGCTGGAAATGAAATGAATTATTGCGTGTACCTGCAAACGTGCATCATGGCGTCTTCAAAGAGGACGAGTTGCATGGCGGAGACGAGTTCGTTGTAGTTGGCCAGGGCCTCGGAGAGCAGCTTGGCCAGGTGGTCCCAGTGCGGCACCGGCAGGTAGCGCGACTCGCCCAGCCCCCCTGCGAAATGGCAGTAGATGTTGGGCCGCGCCGTCAACGCGCCCTCCTCCATGTCCTGCCGAGCAATCAAAATTTTCTTTAACTCTTAATCGCTCCAGATCCTGAAGTCAACATATATTTGATTTGAGAATTCAAATATTTGAGCTTTTGTGGGACCCAGAAGCGATTGCAACGATTTTGTCAGGAGAAAGCACAGAGTTGGAGAAAGAGAGCGAAGATATGCAACATCTTGACAAACCTGTCATGCCAGTTGCATACATTTCTTGATAATGTCATTATATTTTTCAGAACAAAAATCAATTGACTTAATTTTAATTGTATTAAAAAGTTGACTGTAACTCCTGTTGGCCAAACCTAATATTTAATTTATGAATTTTTAATCTCCAGAAGACAGGATCTAAATCATCTCAAGGGCACACAATGGTGTCCTTGTCTATCATCTAAAAGTTTAATTTTCTTGAGAGGAAATACAGCAAAAAAAGGTTGGGATATTATTGTCAACTGCATAATTCTTCCTAATATTTCCAGGTGTGATTGGAGGAATGAAATGTTATAATTTGTACTGAATGCCAATTAAGAATAATGAAAAATCTTGAGACCTCAAAGCACTTTTTGCAGATGTCGGTGAGCAGTTTGGAGAAGGTGTCGCAGTCGCGGTCGTCGGCCATCTTGTCCCCGTAGACCCTGTGCGTCTCGTGCACCCACAGCCGCGCCAGGTCCTCGCCCGACTGCACGCTGTCCCCCGTGCTAAACAGCAGACCCTGCAGACCAACACAATATTTGAAATCAACAATTGGAAAATGTAAATTATTTAAAATAGAATGTGATTCAGCAAATAAACGTCCTGTGAAGGACATAAGGGTTTTCTTTTAGAAAGCAAATTTAAGAGTATGCATGGAAATGAGTTTGACCTGGAAGACGTTTGAGATGTCCCTGAGGTTGAAGGTGTAGTGGAACTTGTTGGCGGTGGGGAGGAAGAGCTGCGAGGCCCTGGCGTGGAGGTTGAGGGCGGCGGCCACCACCTGGGGCACCACCCTGAGCACGGGCGGGGGCAGTTGTTGCTGCACGGCCACGTGTTGCTGGAGGATGGCCGCGTACACGGCGGCCAGGGCGTCGTCCGACGGCATGCTGACGGCCAGCACCGAGAAGTGGCGCTGCAGTCGCGGGTTGATGGTGAAGCTGCCCGCGGTCGGGTTCATGCACGCCACGTACTGCACGTTGTGGATTTCTCTCACGCTCAGCCGCGTCCGGTCGTACCAGTGGCCGTAGTCCAGGTGCTGCCGCACCAGCGTGTGCGGCTGCACAGTCCCGTATGCGTCCACCTGCCCGCCAAACAGATTACATTTTCACTTTTACAAAGTTCAAGGTTAGCGTTGAGGAAAACCTTGATGAAATTCACATTTTCCGAATTTTCAGCATTGGTAGTGCATTTCCAATGACATTTTTAATTTAGAAGAAAATGGAAAAAATTTAAATGTTCAGAGATCACTTTTCCACACGTATATTTTCAAACATTTTTAAGTTTCTCAATAAATGTTCTTTGACTGGTAAAAAATTCAGCTCTCATGGAATTTGTTCCGGGCCAAAGTTAAGTAGACTGGCTTATCACTACTTATTAATTATTTTTCTCAATATGTGCAGTGATTATGAAAGCTATAAAAGATATTAAAATCATAGGCCAAGTCCAGTTTTTTAATTTGCAAAAGGTCTGCAGCAAAAGTGTCCTGACAAGGAGTGCAGCGACTGCTTTCCAGCATAGCGCCTGCAAAAATTTGGTTAGGCAATTTCTCGACACATCTGACAAACAAAAAGCCTACTTTACACGCGCTAGTTTTGTGCCCTTTTTTAGTTAATAAATTTTCGATTTTTATACCTCTAACGACGTTAATTTACTAATTTTTCCTTTTTCAGTTGCATAATTTTAAGATGGTAGCAACAAATTCGTATGAAATAAAAAAAAAAACACAATTCTACGCTTGTATGGAGCATACACTAAAGTTTCTCAACATTATTTTCTGAATGGATTAAAAGTATATCGGCTCAGCTCCTGCAACGTTGATAAAAATATTAAAGGTTGCAAAAGAAAACGTGTTTCAGTCTACCGGAGGAGGGGGGAGGGGAGGAGAATTTGGAAAAGGGTATGTACCTCTGGCATGTTGAAGTCGTCGATGAAGTAGACGAGCTTCTTGCTGCCGGGCGGTCCGTAGTTCCTTCCCGCCTTTTTCTCCAGCGGTTTTTCAAGGATCTTTTGCAACATTTCTGCGTCCCATAAAAAAATTAGTGAATTAATTGGAGCAAGTAAAAAGCAAAAGGTGCAGGGAAAGGTGAGGGGAAGATGAATCGATGGTGGGAGGGGGTGAAGCAAAGACTTAAGAATTGGGGGGGGAAGCAACTGAAGGTTCGAGGTGGATACCTGAGGTGGTGTAATAGTTGAAGGGGACGTTGGCGACGAGGTAGTGGTCGGGGAGGGCGGCGAGGCGGTCGTTGACGAGGACGGACTTGCCGACGCCGGCGGCGCCGACGAGGGCGACGGGGTGGCGGCGCGCGAGCAGCAGGTCGAGGAAGTAGGCGAGGCGCGTGGTTTCGGGCGTGGCCACCAGGGTGGAGAGGAGGGGCAGCTCAGGGTCGAGCTCGAACTTGGGCACGCGGTCCGTCCAGGGGGCGAAGGTGCGCGTGTCGGGGTGCACGAAGACGCAGAAGACGGTGGCGGCGTCGGCCGGCAGCCGCGTCGTCTTGAACTCGCACTGCCACCACTTGCTGAACTCGACGGCCTGCTCGTGGGCCAGCGCGCCCCCGAACGCCCACACGCACGCGAACACGAAGTACGTGTCGAGCCACTCGGCCGGACACTCGCTCGGCGTCGAGGTCGGGGTCAGCAGGCACTCGAGCAGCCGGCACAGCGTCGCCACCTGCGAGCCCGTCGTCACCGCCGTCACCGGCTTGAAGCGGCCGCTGTTGCTCATTTCCACGCAGTTGGGCAAATACTTGTCAAACAAAATCTGCAGCTGCGTCTTTTCCGACGCGCCCCGACCCTCCAGCCAGCTCGACACGAACCTGCAACCCGCGTCGCAATTTTGTGCAAACAACATTTTTCATTACAATAATTATCGAAAATTTCGTCATTTCTGATCAATTTCAACCACTAAATAAGGGGAGAGTGCATTGAAATGGTGCTAAAAATAAAATGTTGGCGAACATTAAATCGAACTTTCTTAACATCGTTGGTTTTTCTTAACATCGTTGGTTGAAGTGAAACTAATGTAATATACGTATTCCTTTCATAGTTTGTATAAAATGCAAAAATAATAAGAAAATGTTTTCAAAAATGTTGTGTTTTAATTACAAAAACAAACTTAAAATAATTATTATTGGAAAGATATATACCGAAAGGTATATACTTTTTTCAAATAAATAATTTGATAAAATTGCCTTTTGAATTTTTTTACTATGAAATTTCCCTTTGACCTTTGAGTTTCCCAATCGCAAAAAGTAATTTTGTTCCGATTTACTCAAATATCATTTATGTTTCACGATTTGTGACTTTCTATTTTATCTCATTAATTCATGATGCTCCTTTCTATACTAAAAAGCTTCTAATGGAAATTTTAAGACTGAAAAAGACTTCGAATATTTTTGGTTGAGTTTAAAGTTGAACCCAAAGAAAAGAAAAAAAAATTAAATTGGTGGTGCCTTCTGCACCACTAATAATGGGCACAGACCGACAAGACTTTGTCTTGGCCTGACCCTAAAAGAAAAAAAATCTTGCAGAATAAACAGGAGAGGTAAAAAGAAAACAGGACTCACGAGCTCCATCCAAGGTCCTGCGGGTTGAGGTAGAGGATTCCGGCGCGCGACACTGTGGCGGGGGTCGCGTTTCGCAGATTCGAAATCTCGAACAACAACCGCATGGTCGGCGTTACGGCGATCCGCTCATTACTCGCCAAAGTCAAAATCTGCAAAAAATGTTTGAAACTCGATTTACTTAAAAAGCGAGCTTTTCACAAAAACAGAATTTCATTTTTCATGTCCTTTTTTGCTTAAAGATTCACGATTTATTTAATTATCGACTGTTGTTGATCTACCCTTTTATCAGAAACTCCATCAGCGGAAAAGAAATGTTTTAAATACTATTTTTAATCAATACAAAAATGGAATTTCAAGTTGTAAAATATTTCAAATAGGCTGACCTTGTTGTCGTCCATGACGGTGTTGAGGCTCTCAATCCACATGGGGTCAATGTCGCCGTCCATGACGATCCACTTGGGATTTTCTCCCGGCATGTTCGCCTGGTCGCGCATGATAGACGAAAACAAACCTGGTGTGCCAAAAAGAAAGAACAAAATTCATGCTCTGAACACGTTGTTGTCAATTTCACGTTCAAATCTAAAAATTAGATGTTTTGGGAATTTTCATGAAAAAAAAAACACGCGAAAACATTGACGGTTGGTAAAACTTCCACGTCCTGCTATCATCTCCAATTAAACAAACACCGATTGGTCTTGCTAATTGAGTGTATGGAAATACAGAAGTTGGGCTGAATTCAAATAAAGTTGCTTTGCTCATTTTCGATTCCACAACCAAATCATTTCTGTTCGTTACAAAAGTTTTCAACTTGAAAATTATCAAATTATGAAACATTTCTGGAAAACAAAATATTTTTCCCCGAGTTTAAATCCGAGCAATTAAATGCAAGGATTGCCAAAACTACTAACCATCCTTCCACTCCCTGGTGGTGGGGTTGATGACCCCGAAGAGTTCGTCGTTGGTGACGGCCTTGGGGTTCAGGTCGCTCACCACCGGGCGCCGCTTCATGTTGGCGTGCGTCTTCGACAGGGTCTTCCAAACCTTGCAACAACGAAAACAGCAAAACTTGAATCACCAAATTATAATTTTTACGTCTTCATTCGCGCCAATTGGTGTAAATAATAAAGGCACCAATTTAAATTTTTAATGCAAATTAATTGAAATTAATATTCTGTGGAACGAAGTTATATTTAAAAAGCGTCAAATAATGAAACCTGCGTTTTTCCAGATCCGGCGGCGCCGACGATGAAGACCGAGTGGCGCACCTGCAGCAGCTCCTCTAGTTGCACCACCTGGACACACGAGAAAGCAACGTGAGCGACCTGAGAGCCAAAGGACCACGACCTTGAGGATGAAGTTGTCCTCGGGCTGGAGGTGGAGGTCGGCGGCCGCCTGCTTGACCCCGCGCTCAAAGTCAAGGTCGCGCTTTCGGGGCACGTCGAGGGCCGGGAAAAGGTCCCCGATGAGGCCCATGAACACGGGCGTGTCGTCCGCCACGATCTTCGGGATGTTGAAGTCCCGCAGCGCGCGCATCAGCACCTGCTCCTCGGGACGCTCGCGGTCACCCCGCTGCAGCCAAATCACAATCAAAAATTTTGAAAAAGAAAATTTCTTCCTCTTAAAATTCCTGAAATTTGATCCCACAAAATAAAACTAAAACAAAAATTTTAGTCGGTGCTTTCTGCATCACTAATAAAGGGCACTAACAGACACGTGGTTGGAAAGAGCTCAAAACATTTTGATACCCAGAATTTTGCCGTAACTTCATTAGGATCGAAGTTAATTATCATATTATTTTCTAATTTTCCAATACTCCACTTCCATCAACACACAGGCTATTTGTAAAGAAAGCAAAGGTAGCGTTGATTAGGGTAATTGGTGCTGCCCTTGATCAATTGAACGGAGTTAAAAGATCAAAATACATTTTAGCGTGTGTGGAAAAAAGCTCTACAAATTGTGCCTCTTTTTCTTAGTTCTTGGTTAAATTGCTACAAAGTTCAGAAAAAAATAATCTTCTAGTTATGCTGATTTTCACCCCTATGAATCCATTGGGTCCATTAGGCAAAAAAGCCAGTGAGTACAATTATTTCCAATTAAAACTGCAGCTTCGTATGTTTTTTTCTTGCCAAATATGTAAATTGAAAAAAGGGGACTGCAGATAAATGAGATCTACCTTGAGAGAGCCCGCGACGACGAGGACAGACTTAATGGCCCTGAGGCCCCAGTCGTAGTGGTCCTGCTTGGACAGCAGTTCGCGGCACAGCGAGTACAGGGTGATGAACTTGCGAGCCAACACGCGCGCCTCCTGGAAACCCTCGGCCACCAGCATGATCTCGCAGATCAGCTCAAAGTCCGGCACCACCATCGCGCACGGCCTGTGGCAAAAGTCAAAGGTCCAGAAAGTCCTCAAGGTTAAAAAATTGAAAGTTGGTTTTAAACAACTTTACAACATTTCCAAAAAGATTTAAATTTTTAAACAAATTTTGAATAATTTTTTTGTTTCAGGGTAAATTGTACCTGAAAAGGGCCTTAAGGTTCTCGGGCAGCTCGGTGCGACCTGCGTAGCCAGGGTTCATGGTGACAAAGATGCCGACGGAGGGCACCAGCGAGATTTCGCCGCCCTGGAAGTTGAAGGTCGGCCGCTGCTCCCTGATCGCGTCCTTGAAAGGAAAAGCAGCCAATCAAAAAAGGGGTGGGGGAGGGCGAGGAGGGGAGAACGGACCAGCAGACTCTTGACCTGCACCGCCACCACCGACAGCACCTCCACCGAGATGCGGTTGAACTCGTCGAAACACCCCCACGCCCCCGTCTGCGCCAACCCCTTGTAAATGTTGCCGCACGACTGCAACATTTGATTGGTTTTGTCAAAAAAGGCAATTCTGGATTTCAAAAGGGAGCAACCGGTGGTCCACCTAATATCACAACAATGAAACTTAATTAGAATTTTGTACTCTCTGAATCGGAACGCTCGGCAACAATCAAAATTTTCTCCGATTGTTGTGATGCGTGAATCTCGGTAAGAAATAAAGCTCTTTTACAAATAATATTTTGCTGTTCAAAAGGGTGAAAATTTCTCTTCTCAGTCTTTGCAGCTAAAAGCTTTTTATTCATTCGCATTGTCAAATCAAAATTAATTAATTTGAATAGCTTCACTTTATTCTTCATCAAATTATATTGATCTAAAAATACGCTGATTATATCAGAATAAATATGGTTGCATATTGTGAAGTGTTTTTAATATTGATCTTGATTCAACGGACAAAACTTATATAGTTATGGTAAAATGCTATTTACCTCTTTCAAGCAAATAAAAATATCAATAGATAAATGGGGTGCTTTTCGGAAGGAAAGAATCTCGGGATTGGAGTGGACATTCATATCGCGGCGAACACCACTGGATACTGGGAGGTGCGGAGAAATCTGCACCGACTCGCTGTCGGCCGGTTTCCACCTTTCCGGCCGAGCATGTCTTCGGCATGCGGCGAATGCCTGGCGTTTCAATCAAAGTCCCCGGTGGCGAGGCAACACACAATTGACAATCTTGCAAATGGGTGCATCGCGGTTGGGGGGCAACTCGCGATTCGCGGTGACACGCCATAAGTTCAAGAAGCTAATTATCAAAAAAAAAAAAAAAAATTGAAACTGTTAAAAAACATTGCAATATTTCCAATGAAATTTGATTCTCAACGACTTGTCTCATACCAGGTAGTTAAAAATGTCAAAATTTGATTTTTTTTGTTGAGAATATATAGTGTTTAAATGTATGCAGCAATGCGTGCAGGCGTGTACAGCAAGTTGCCTAGGTGCGAATGCGAACCAACCTGATAGTCCATCTGCTCGGAGCAGTTGAAGACGTAGACCATGATGCCGAGGGCGCGTCCGAGGTCCTTGGTGGTCTCGGTCTTACCGGTGCCCGCGGGCCCGGCGGGGGCGCCGCCCATCACCAGGTGCAGCGACTGCGTCAGGGTGATGTAGCAGCGGTCGGTGAGCGGCGTGATCACCAGCCGCGGCGTGTTGCCCAAGTACTCGTACGCGTACCCAAACTGCGCGTCGCAAATGTTGATGAAACACTCCTTCGACCCGCCGTCCCACCTGACGCAAAAGAAAACAATACATGAATTGATCATTTTGTTAATTAATTATTATTTTTTACACTTCAATCCTTCAAGTAACAAATAAGTTTCTTTTTCTTTACAACCATATATGTATTTGTTCAATTTTGCGTCAAATTGTTGCGGATTAATATTAAATTTAAACTCATGGCATGAATAAAATTAATATTTAAATAGAGCTTTGCATATAAAGTCGCAATTGATATAAAAAGACCATCCATACTGCAATTAGGAACATAAATTTATCTAAATGCAAGCATTACTATGGTTGAAGTAAAAGGATTACGTACATAAATTAAATTATTTGTAAATTGATTAAGTCTACCTGTGTCTGAGCTGGGACTGCCAGGGGAAGGCGGAGGCGGATTCGACCCTGAGCTGAACCAATTTAGAGACGACGTCCCGCGCGTGCACGTCAATGGTGCACAGCGTCATGATTTTCTGGCGCTGCTGTTTGCTCAGCTCGCCTAGCAGCAGCGAGATCAGCGTGTTCAGCTGCGACACCTATCACATGTTAATAGTTTTATTTTCTTGTTTATTCTTCAGCAAAAATGATGCTGGAAATTTATTTTTAAAGGAGATGTGGAAAATCGATTTATCTCGGTTTTTATTGTATAATGCTATAATGTATAATAACCAAAGTTGTTAGAATTGAGACGACCTAAAACTTTGCTTTTGTGCCAAGGTCGCAGGTCGAAGTGCAAGGTTACTTTTGCCAATACGACGTTTAAATTTAATTGCTGCTTTAATCTAGTACTGAAATATTTATCCAATCGGTTGGCTCATGCCAAACGTGGGTCAAAATAAAATAAAAGCTTGCAATGCCTTTTTTATTAGGGTAATTAAAAGTTGAATACCTGTTTGCGCTGGTAGTCCTTGAGCGCGTTTTCGTAGCCCTCCTCGAGCCGCGCGAAGGCGGCGGCGACCTCGGCCGTCCACCAAACCTGCGAGCCGCACAGCGAGACCTGCGCGGGGAAGTCGAAAAGCCACTGCTCGCGCGGCTTCTCCTCGTACGCGAGCACGGCCCGCTCCAAGTACTCACGCATCGTCCCGCGCATGTGTTTCTCCAGCCGGCTCAACCACACCTCCACCTTAAATTCATTTCAACCCTTTCAAATTCACGATCCACTTTTGATCGAAAGCGGTATTTAATTTTAACTTTCGAGATGAATTGAACGACTCGAGTACGTTCAAAATCATCCCCTGCAGAAACTTCGAAGCGGATGTGAAGGGGTGAATGTCGAGTGGGGTGTGAAATAATAAAACATATCAATGTGAAAATTTCCTCGGGATGAGACATTTACAAAAAGATATGACAACCAAAAAACTTAATTCTACCCCAAAAAAGATAAAAAGTTGTGTTCAGGGGGCTGAAATTCTTCATTAATGGTGATAAGGTAAAAGCAGCTTACAAAAAGGAGGATTGTAGGAGATGGAACAAATTTACCATTTAAATAACATGGATGGATTGAAAAAATGCAATTTCGAAAATTGAGGGCAATAGAAGGAATGAACAAAGCAACCCTTTGCTGTTTCGATTCAAGTAAAAGGGGTTGATTTTTAACACCACTGTTAATTCAGTGGATTTTAAAAATTTGGACTTCTTTAATTGACAACTCACGGGTCCTCGGCAGTGGAAGTCTTGGTGGAAGTTGACGAGTTCGCCGTCCTTGGCAATCATGGCGGTGGCGACGTCCTTGACGTCGGTCAGGTTGTGCACCTCCCTGAAGGTGAGGTAGGCCATCGAGTCGAAAAGCTTGGTCAGGTGCCTGGTGACGCGCAGGGGGTGGTTTCCGTTGGACAGGATGTCGAGCAGGTCGAGCGACGAGACGAAGTAGAAGCGCGGGAAGGCGAGTCGCTTCGTCTCCAGGTACTCGGCCAGCGCCTTCTCGCACAACGTCAGTTCGCCCTGCAGCCCCTCCAGCTGCTCGTACAACCCTGGCTGGTTCGTCGCCTCGATCACCAGCGCCGGCATTTCGCTCAGCATCCGCTAGCAATTTGAAACTTTTATCACCCCCGAGAAAAAAGGTTCCAGTTTAACATAAAAAAAATATTTCCCCTCAGTCAGTTTTGTTTTAATAGACACACTCTTGGCATCATGGGTCCTCCAATTTTGATGAAATTAATGTTGCATATTTCTTTCCCCAAGTGTAAGATCAAATAGCACCAAAGTAATTTGTAAAGTATTCAAAATTGCCAATTTTTTTTCAGAGGCTCAGTTGGACTTTTTTCAAAAATCTCAGATGGAGTGAAAAAATCTCAATGGAAATCTTGTACCTTGTACGATTTGTACGGCATTAGACGGACTATACAAACAAAGTAAATTTTCGAAATTCTAAATTGGCCAAAATGTGCCAGATTCGCAAAGGAGAATAACATATTAAAATAGGGGACGTGTTTAATTTTTGTTTTGCAGATATTCAAAGCGAAAGGGTAAAAGAAAACATCCTTACTTCGGTTCTTTTTATGGGATGATTATAACCTTTCAACTACAATAATAACATTTCTCGTCCTGATAGATTTAGGACAAAAAGTGTAAGAGTGTGAAGTAAAAAAAAAAAAAACACTCTCAAGATTTCGCTGGGCAACATTAGCTTGGAATAGATTGATAGTTTTCCCAGACGCCTGGTCAAGAGCAGATTTAGGGCTTTGCTTACCCTGAAGGTTGTGTCGATGGCGTAGAACCTGTCCGAGTCCTGGGGCAGCTGTTGGCGGATGTCGTCGGAGGTGGTGAAGATCGAGTTGAGGTGAAGCCACGTGCGCTGCACGTCGAACCACACGCTGATGACCTGGTCGGCGTTGGACAGGCGCTGCTGCCACGCGGACACCTCGCGCAGGAAGAACGCGATGTACTTGGACGACATCAGGTTCTGCAGCTGCACCTGCGAAACGGGTCAGAGCGAGGCTCAATTCGAACGGGGAGGTCACCGACCTGGTTCTCCTCGAGGGTCTCGATCAGCTCCTCGGAGGCCCTGAGGGCGTTGCAGCCGCTCAGAGGGTCGCGTTCGAAGCGCATGTGGCGCCACGTTTCGTCGAGGTCGCGCAACACGCCCTCCATTCCGCGTTCCTTGATCGCCTGTTCCACGATTCCGCGCACCTCGTCCTCGAACTGGTGCAGCTGCAGCCCCAGCAACTCATTCAGCGTCGTCCGCTCGTCCATCATGAAGTGCACCTAAAGTCGCACTTCAATTCAATCCCTTTCTAAAGTTGCTCCGCAATCCACCGCACACAACTTTACAAAGAATTAATTTAGAAATTCAAGTGATTCCATATTATCGAAAAAGTAAATTGAGCCCACGCTCAGAAGCCTTTGAACAATCTTTTAATGCCTAATCGATCTATTTACAGTGCGGTTTTCACTGGAGTGAGGGTGAATGTTTCTTGTCCAAAAAATTCTGTAGTCGGATATGACCAAAAATATATTGAGAGCGATAGAAAAGCCTATAGCCTGGCTAAATTCAACCTGACATTCAAATTGCACGGCGGGTTGAATCATCACTAGACCAGGTTGGGCTTGTGGACCAAAACCCCAGGCACTTCTTTCATTGAGCCTGCGTAATCTTCCAAGAATTTAATAAATCTCCGAAAGTTCATTTTGTGTGCGGCGAACTTTGTAACGCTCTGACTTTTAACACTATAATAATATAAATCAAGGTAAGGTGAAAACCGAGTTTAGTTCAAAATATGTTTACCTTTTTGGCGCATGCAAGGCGAGTGCTTTCTTGTGTGAAACGAAAGGAATAGAAGAGCTTTTTACACATGACTATCTATGGACAGCGGTTTTGCACAAGTGGCTTTGTGCAAGTTAAGCTGGTGATCTATATCAGAGTATATTTATATGTTTATTAATATTGTGATTGGTTGTTCATCAACGTATAAATTAATCATTTTTGTGAAATATTTAGCAAAGAAAAAATAAATTGATCAGTACAAATCAAGGCGAGTCACTTTTCTAGTCAGAATTGAAATTGAATGCATTCCAAAATGGTTTTCATGGTTTTTTGCGACGGAATCAATTCTCACCGAGAAGTCCAGCACCGGCACGTGTCCCGCCTCCTGCCGACCCAGACACACAGTCATGCGACATACACATTAATTAGGAGGGCTCAAAAATGAGAAAACAGAGACAGGTCAAATCCAAAATGCAGAGAGCGGCATAGAGAACGGATTCGAGGGTAGGTGAGACAAAGACAAACACTGAGAGTGGGGTGGGGACAGCAAGGGACTGACCTTGGTGGCGGCCATCAGCTGGTGCCAGTGGCGTTCGCGGATCGCCGGGTTCTGCAGCTCGGCAACGGCGCGCAGACTCGTGATCATGTTGCGCACAGTCGCCTCCACCTCCAGGTACGCGTCGCACTGCCGCACCTCCTTGTCCATCACTGTTTTTCCATTCGAGAAAAGTTTCAATATTTGCAAATTATTTGTCTAGATTTAACCGGTTTCAACGGTAATTATTGAAAAAAACTTGCAATTTATCAAACTATGTATTGGTTATCCAGGTCAAGTTATGAACAATCATTGACCCCAGTGACCTTGAACCTTAGAAAAGGTATGCCAACATATAAGGTCAGATTAACAAGACGCACTATTAGAATTTATTTCAAAAGCTTCAAAAATTGTGGCTTACCATTTTGAAAGGTCAGAGGTCACTGACCACTGACCTTCAGTGACTTGACCTGGATGACCAGTACATAGTTCGAATGACAAAGCCAAGAGGTTAACTTTTTGATGTAACTCTAACACAAACTTAGTTATCACTGTTTGAAAATGTATTCCTATCACGGAAAATCGAAATTTTTGTTTTCCTATTAGAAAATCATCTAAAAAAAGTATGGATAATGGCATTTTGAAATTTTAGTATGCAATTTTACACACTTTAGGCTACATTTTTTTCCAATACCTCCGAAATTCCAGAGGATCGAGCGCTTCTTTTGATCAAAAGGCAAGGGGCCTCTTTACCACAACCTTTAACCTTATCTTTTGGTTAGAGTTTTTCAAAAAGTACCCTCCAAACTATAAAAAAAAATGCCCATTTAGAAAAATACCATACTTTTGATTTCTTTGGCAAACTTCTTGCAATCAATGTCCATGTTCTCTACGTCAATTTTCTTCCACGGCGTCGTTTTCCAGTGTTTTATGCTTGAACGCACTACCCCGATGAAGTCCCATAGGTGCTGTGATGAGATTAATAGTTAATCATTAAAAATAAAACTGTGTATTCGACGAATATGAACCATTCATACAATTGAGGTTTTTTTCAATAATGAAGACAACTCCATATTTCCCATTCATATTTGCATCCCCCCTCCCATCAGATTAAAGAAGATAGTGAATAATGTCTCTATGCTTGTAATTTGAATTACTTAAATTTAAGCAAGTAGACTTTGCATTAAGAAGGCGAAACGACGCAAGCCTGTGTTGAAATTATACAATCAACTATAACATAGAGAGCATTAAACATGTTTTGGAAGAATAAATATTTCATCAAAAACTGCAATTCTAAAAGTATTGCTGAAGTTTGCATTAGAATAAGATGTTTTTGAAATTTTAAAAATTAATAAAATCATGTAATGTATAGACATAATTTAAACAAAGCTAGCGGTTACTCTAAAATTAAAAAAATTAATTTTCAGAAATTGAGTTTTTTTTTTAAATTTAGTTGTTACCTTGACTAGCTTCATTTCGCGACGGCAGCTGGCAATGGGCTTGAGTTCGTTGAGGGGCACCTCAAACAGAGAGGCCGTGTCCTTTATCTGGAAAAGCTCCGCTTCAAGCTCGGACAGCAGCGCGTCCTCGCCGTCCAACAACTCGTAAGGGTTTTGACATTCATACCTTCACCAAACAAAATGTTAAAAAAAAAAAAAAAACGATTAAGCTGCTCTGGTAAAACACTAGAGTATAATTAATTAACCTGTGCACGTTTTTTGTTTTTTTTTTCTGTGCGAAATTGGTTTTGAAAATAATTACTCATAAATTAGATACTTTACAAGTTCTAGTAGTGAATTGAACAAATAAATAAATAATATAAGTGAACAACACAAAAAGTGAATTCCGTTCTTCTGCTGTGTAGCACTTTTTCACACCTATTATAATGATAAAAATTTGTCACCTGAAGAAGTGCGACCTTTTGAAGGTGTCGTAGTGCTTGGCCTGGCGAGCCTCAAAGTCGTGCATGCGTCGTCGGATGAGGCCCTGCTGGATGCTGCGCAGGGGGGCCACCTGTTGACGCACCACCTCGGCCGAGTGCTTCAGCGAGCGCCACTGCTGCGGCAGCTCCTTTTAAAACAAGTTAAATTCAACTCCAATTCTTTCCAAAAATACAAAGTCAACGCACTTCCAGGAGGACGTGGATCTCCTCGGGCATTTCGTGCTCGTACTGCGCCAGCAGCTGCAGCGTCTCCCTCAGCGGCGCGAACTGCCCGTCCGTCTCCTCCAACCGGGACTTTATCTGCAATTTGCATTGCAAAAACCAAAAACATTCATTACAACCAACATAACATGAGATAATTTTGTCCCATTCAAAGCCGCTAACCAAGTCCAATGAATTAAAATTAATAATTTAAAATTTTAGTTTTTCCAAATGTTAGTGTACCTGTCTGAGGTAGCTCATAACACTGACGAGGGAGAGGTAGTCGTCGTCTTTGACGGCCGCCTGCAGGCCCGCCTCGGCCTCGACGACAAAGGCGGCCAGCGAGGAGAGGGTGTTGCGCACGTGGTGTTCGAGGTGGTGCATCAGCAGGGCGCCCCACTGCCCGCTCTCGTTCACCACGCTCTGCTTGAACGGCCGCAGGTCCACGCGCAGCCACCCTTGCGCCTCCGTCTCTTCCGCCATTCCCCCCACCTCCTCCTGCACACTTGCAAAAGCGTCGATCTAGAAACACGCAAATTATATTTCTTCACGAATGCGCTAACCCGCCAAAAAGGCAAGTTTATTTTATGTTTAAAACCCGAGGAACTAAAACTGTTACTTTTTCATAAAGCATGATAACACACTTAATCCTGGTTTTTAAATTTTAAGGACGAATACCTGCTCCTTGAACTGGGCGATGGTGGGGGGTTGCGGCGGTTGCTGGTCGTCGAGCTGCTCCTCATCGGCCGCCATACGCAAGCCGGAGGCCAAAAAGTCGAGCAGGAAGGCCGATTTGTCCTCAAGCCACAGGTACGAGTAGTTCTCGAACCCTGAGGTGTAGTTGACCGCCTGAAAGTTTCAAACGTCAGCGAAACTTTTGGTAAAACATAGAGTGGGGTCACCTGTGTAACGGCGGCCGCGACCCTGGAGCAGATTTCTGCGTTCATTTCTTTGATGTCGCAATTCTCGTCCACGTCCACCTGCAGATCAGAGGTCGCATCATGGTCAGTTTTCATCGAAAAGTACTCACGGCGTAGTGAGGGTGCTGCCGCCTAGCGCTGACCCTGGGCACCAGTTTGGCGATGAACGCGATCTCCTCGAGCAGGGTGTCGATGAGGGCAGGAAACTCAGACTCGAGCTCCGGCCGGAAAACCATCTGCTGCCCCACCAGCTCCAACTTGACCTCAAACAGAGGCGTTTGACCTTTGCGAGGACTCATTTCCTCCAGCAGGTAGTTCAGACTGAAACCGCAACCCCATTTGACAATTTTTGAAAATCTATCTCATGACATCATCAATTATATGCATAAGGCATACATATCGTTTTAAAAGATAATACCAGAAACCAACAAAATGCAACGTTTCTTAAGATATATGTATGTCTTGGAAAAAAATTGACGGCAAATCAGATGTCATATTTGTTGAAAATTTAGCTTTACCTGCAGCCAACGGCCTGCTGCAAACATTTGCTGACTATCTCGTCGATGAAGTCTTCGTAGTCGCCCCACAGCGCAAGCCACTCGTCGTCGCTTTCACCTTCTTCACTTCTATGGAACAAACTTTTGTTCTCGGCCATCAGCCGATTTATCTCTTTGCCAGCGTCAACCACTTCCTTAAACCTGCGCCATTATTGCAATTTAATTCAGCCCGTCAATGTGCAAAAATAAAATAAAAGTTTAATTTTCCAAAAAGGTTGAAAAAATATCGAAAATTTTAAAGCGGTTGCTGGTTTTAAATGAAATAAAATTAAACAATTTGTTAAAACACGAATGCAGATGAAATGCAATAATTAAATGGTGATAAAACAAAAAAAAATCAGAGTTGACAAAAGTGCGAGAGACTTGCCTTTTGTGGGAGGCGAGGAGAGCGTGGTCGCAGGGCTGGGGCAGCGGGAGGGGGTTTTTACTCCTGCCCCTGGAGTGGAGGGGTTCCCTGGCCCAGGCCGACGCTGCCGTCCTGATGCTGCAAACGTTCTTCTGAGTCCTGCGCAAGCGTGCCTCGAGGTCTTGCGCCGCGTCGCGCAGCCGCACCACAAACTCCCACACGCCTGCGAACAACACACAAAGGTTGAGTGGAGAGAGGGGGTGAAGGAAGGCGGGGAGGGCACTCGCACCTGCGCTGTCCCAGTTGAGCTCGAGCTGGGCACGGTCGACGTCCGCGTCAAGACGCCGCACCTCGCGCTCCAGCAGCCGCAACTCGACTGGCTGACTCAACTTGCGCACCCGGTTGTACCTGCCAACCAATCAAAAATGAGTGATCTCGGCGAACAGAGGCACAAGCTACTCCAGCTAGTTGCAATTTTACTCCCAATCGGCCGTTTACAAATGCTCTCAATACCCATTGTTGCAATACACATAATAAATTGACTATTGTTGGAACAAATTGCCCCATCTGGGTCATTCCTTATTTAATTTTGAATATAATTTTTTTCTGGGAATGTAGAATGCACACTTAGTGTGCTGAAAAGAATTAAAAAAAAAAATAACTTCATTATTTTGGAGAGGGGGCGACTGACCAGTTTGTGGCCAGGTTGAGGTTGGCCGAGAATTGGCGCAGCGTCTCGTTGCGCGCGTAAACGCCCATCGCTGTCGCCGGAACTTTTTCGCCGACGCCCAGTTTGATGAGGTAGTGAACCTCCCGCAACACGCTCACCAGCTGCACAATCGCCAAAGTTAGAGAAAAGTGCGGTTTAGATATGAACATGAATGTAGAACAGTTTTTGTATGAAGGCCAAATTCAGTTTAGATGAAATGCGTATTATTTGAGACCTGCGGGTGGAAGTTGAGGGCGAGTTCCTTGTTGGGTCTGCGGAGGAGCAGCGGCTGCAGCAGGTTGTCGTGGGACAGCGCCGTCGCCTCGGCCGCCCACTCGCCCAAAAGCCGCTCCTCCCACTCGGCCAGTTGCTCCAGAAACGCGCCGTGTCTCGCCCTTAGCGCCCTCGCCTTCTCGCACTTGCTCAGACTGCAAATTTTATACAAAAAATTCAATCCCTAATTAATCCTGTTTAATGCTTAATGATTTGCGTTCAAAGCACGTTGACCAGTTTTTACAAACGACACAGTATCAAGAAGAAAAATGAAAGCACATCTATTTGAGTAGCTAAAGGATTGGTCTGCTCACCGGACCTGAAAAAATGCCAAACCTGCAGAGTGACCCTGATTGAAAAAGAGATTCCAATAACAGGAAATTTCGGGCAGAATCAAGTTTATTATTTTTATGCTTTCCAAATACAATTAGGGCGATCGAAAAGCCTAACCTGGCCCAGGCTAACTTGACTTAGCCGCAGGCGAACTTAGCCCACCAGCAAAATTGAATGGCGGTTTCAATAAGTCCAGGCCAGGTTAATTTAGCCTGGGCCAAGTTAGCCTTTTGGATCGCCCTAATATTTTTGAACATGCAGGTATTAAATTATCTAATCTGTTGATATGAGTAGCATTAAAAATTATTATAAAAGTATATAGTCAGATTCCATTGTCTTCATTAAATCAAATTAATTTTGTTATAAAATTACAAAAAAATATACATAAAAACACAATTCGTAATATTTATGATATGTGGACAAATAAACAACAGTAAAATTAATTATTTGCTTATTAAATTTTCTACAAATTTCCAGGAAATTTCATTTCATGTTTCTATTTTTGAGACCCCCTTGCAATTTATAATCAAAGATGAAGGATCCAAAGAAATACTGGTTATCGTCAAATTTTGTTATATGTATATAAAAAAAAATAGCAAATAAAAACACATTTTTTTGTTTTAATCAAATTTTACCTACGAATAAACGGAAAAGATAGTCAATTACCTATTTCATTCTTTCCTAAATGATGGTCAAACGTTGCTAACCATTTTGGGTACCCTGACGAACCTTCGAAGAGTACAAATTTCACTTTTTTTACCATGTTACAAAACTCTAAAGTTATGAGAGAGACAATCGCTTTCTGCTGGTTGAATTAGTCAAGTTACCAATTTTCAGCATTGTTCTTCATCACCCTGGTGAGCTCGGGGTATACCCTGAGTTTTGAAGTTCTTCGGATATTTTGTGAATGTAAGACGTAATATAGAGTACTGAACATTTGTAACCTGGAAAAAATTCAACCGATAAGAAAGCGATTGGCTAATTCGCAATTTTGATTTGAGATTTACAACATAGTGAAATATGAAATTTAGCCTTTGGAATTCCATCAGGGTGCCAAAAATGGGTCTTCAGTTTTCATCGATGATATGAAGACCAAGGCTTTGGCTATCATTGACTGTTTTGTAAAGACTCCGCACAAATAACCCTTTGATCGAAACCTCTTTTTAGTTGAACTTAAATTTATGTATCTCAGGGTCACCCTGAAGGTTGGGAATTTCTCAGGTCAGGTGACCGGCAGATACTTTTTTTTATGAAAGTATCATAACGTGCTAAAGAGATATTTACAAGAATCAAGAGCCATGCTCAAACTGATAAGTAAAAAGTTTAAGAAAAATATACAGCCCTTTTTCACTGGCATTGGAATAACTAAAAGCTAAAATTGTGCATTGATTTCTGCTGCGGAAAAGGTAAAGAACAATTTTTCTCACGGAATGTCGAGGTCGAAGAAGGTCTGAAGTTGGTCTTGCACGCGCAGCCGGAGTTTGCGGCTCCACATGAGGGTGCCTGCCACCGGCGGCACGTTCTTGTCCAGCCCTCGCGTCACGAGCTGGCCCTTGTGCGCCGCCACCAGACCCTTTAAATCAAAACTTTTGCATAAATGCCTGACGGGGTTGGATCGCGTGCAGATCAATTGCACACAAATTGAAAATAAGAACAGTTTCCCCATTGCATTGTTTGCAGCTTTCGTGTCGCAACACCCTTCAATTTTACAACTCTACCAAGCACCTCTGCAACAAAACGGCTGCGGCACACGCAGCCTTTTGTAAACCTTTCATTACAAAAACTGAACATCAAAATCAGCCTAAATCCATGCGTTTTGCTGAAGCTTTACAAGTTATTTGTAACTTCCAAGTCAATAACAAAAAACTTTTTAATTAAAGAACCGTTTTTTTAATTTTAAAATTAATCATTGCGCTGAGCAAGTCATTTCAGCCACAAAATCAATTTTCTCTCTATTTGACAGGGATTTAGAAGAAGTATAATCATATATTCATAGATAAGAATTTGTTTCAAACCCAATTGAGAGCTGGAAATGTTATAATCGATCTTTTTTTTAAAATAACCTTCCAATAAGTGCGTTAAAATTTTAAGATTTACTTCGCAAAGAAAAAGAAACGGACTGACCTCGACAGCGGCGAGTTCTGCGTCGAGCGAGTCGAGAAGTCGCTCGAGCTTGAGCGCGACCTCTGCCGTGACAAGGGGTCGCTCCAGCAGCGAGGCGCCTACATCGATGAACTGAAAGAGCAAGGGTCAGAGGTCAAGGGTCGTGGAGGAGGGGTGAAAGGACGGACTGACCTTGTAGATGGCGTGGGCGTCGTGGCACTCGTCGAGGGCGTGGCAGAAGAGGACGGCGAGGCGGCGCTCGAGGTCATCAACCCTTTTGCGGAAGACGAGCACGTGAGCGTCGAACGCCGGCTCGTCGGGCTCGAGGGGGTCCAGGGGGGCGTGTCTCAGCCCCCGCAGCAGCCCCTCAAAGCTGCGCAGCACGTGCGCCACCTTCAGGGTCAGCTGGCGGCCGTTGCTGCCCTCCAGCTCCACCCGCTCCAGCCGCCGGAACTCGATCGCCGTCCAGAAAACCTCCTTTCGATGCACACAAAACTCGTTAAAATCCTCCAACCTTTGAAATCCGTTTTTTTTTTAATTGACAGGGGAACTTGAAATATATTCAAGGAAAATGGTCATTGAGTTGTAAAATCCACTTCATGCAGTATTTACAAAACTAATCATTCAGATTTGAACTTCGTTGGGTCATTGTCATTATTCAAGTGAATTAGAAATTTAATTTAATATTTCCTGTGCCTTACCATATTTCAAAATTTACTCTACTCTTTGCAAAATAAGGTATAAGTATTTGCATAAATATCAAAACTTATTGCAGTAAAATTACAATCTAACTTTTTCTTACAGTTTTTCATAAAACTATTTGCAAGACAACGATAATATAACTGCAAAGCGTTTAAATTTAAGAACCTTGACAAAAATATAAATTTTAACATCCTATATTTCTCTAGCATTGTTGTTTCTCGTGTTACATTATGTTATTGAATAATTTTTGAGGGGTTGATTTAAGTAAAAAACTTCCAACGATTTATAATGAATTATAATAAAGTTGAGCATTTGTGCAAATTCAATTTAAATCAGTGCGCGAATTCAGGTTTTGAATGCTTGCTTCCGAGATTTTTCACCTAATTATAGAAATTAGTAAATAAAAAAATTAATGTCTGAATTCTTTTTGTCGCAATTAATATGCGCCTTCTGTTAGAAAACATTATCGTGAAATGTATGCACTTTAGCATGGATTAAAATTTAAAGAGACCTTGAGCAGCAGCAGCCGCTTCTTGAAGGCGTCGACCCTTGCGAAGACCATCGACGGCGACAACTCCCACTCAGGTTGGAAGTGCTTCTGCAGCTCGGGTTTGTGCGCCTCGATCAGCTTTCTGTTTGGCACAAGCAATGAAATTATTCATTTCGGCACGGTATAGGATAGATTATTAATTTTGAATTTAAAATAATTGATTATCTATGCAAATTTTTACCTCAAAATAATTGAAAAACAATAATTTTCTTAATTGTGAGGCGTGAAATAAAATTTGACAAAAAAGGGAAGCTCAAAATGATCAGAATGACCCATTCAAGATTTTTAGATGGTTATTTGAATTGTTTTTTTTTTTTTAATTTCGATAATTTTTTTATTAAACGGATTTCTAAGAAAAAAATAAATAATCTTAAATGATCTATATTTTCCTGGGATAATCGTTTTTGGCCAATTAACCAATTATAAAATTGGTTCATTCGATTAAAAATTACAAGATTCGCAAAGAGAATGTTTTGGGAGCAAAATAACGGTTCCTGCTGATGATCATTTCAATTTTAAATCAAATCTCTCATCTCGATCGGCCGAGATTTTGAAGCTTAATAATCTGCTATAGAAGTCAATCTAACTTTGAAATTTACAAGCAGCCGCAGACTGTGAAACTTACTTGTAATCATCGAGAATGGCAAGGACGTTATTGATGCGGATGTAAACATCCTCCACCTCGTCTTGGAACAGGGCGTTCGCGTCAATGTACGCTTTTGCCTGAGGGAAACAAAATCAGCCGATTGCAGATTACTTTTTAAAGAGCACTTCTTGAGAGATATTCTGAGGATCACAAAAGTAAATTACGCAGCAGACTCTCTAGCACGAAATAAAATACATTTTGAACTCGCAACGCCAAAATTAGTTTTGAGCCCTTCAAAGGGAGCAAAAAGCGTAAACCATCATGAAAACTTTATCATCTTGTTAATTTCAATACAAATATCTGAAGTTACGGTGCTTTAAGAAATATATTTCCCAAAGTTTAAATTGCTATTAGGAAAATTCCCAAATATGATATTTCAAACTAAAATTAAAGATTTCCCCAATAATAACGTTTGTTTCACTGTTCACTACAATTATGCAAATTAAGTCATTTTTTTTTCATTCAAATGAGAAAATCGACTTTGTGCCTCTAAATGTTATTAAAAATTGTTTTCCAAAGAAAATTGGACTCTTCAACAGATGAGGAACGTTTTTCAAGTCACTTTGAAATTAGTTTCAAAGAAGAGGCTTTAGAGTAAATACACGGGTGGAGTGAAATAATTTACCTGTTGGACGAGCAGGTTGGCGAGTTGCCGGAGGAGGGTGAGGAGGCGCGGTAGTTTGCGGACGTGGGGGCAGTGCGCCCACACGAGGCAGAGGAGGCGGACGAGGCACTTGAGGGGCCCCGCCGCCGCCTCCGGCAGCTCCGCGTTGCAAAACGCCTCCACGAACCTCTCAAGGGCGCCCAGGTTCGTTGCTATTGCCGTCGCCTCGCTCAGACCTTAATCAAAAGAATAATAGTTTTGCTTTAAAAATGCATTCTCTGCTTAAATTCTTTGAGCAGATGTCTGTCAATCCAAGTGAACTTTGGCAGGGTCAACCGATCATTACCAAATTTTACAGGGTGATAGACCATGTTAAGAGGTTTCCAAACATATATAGGTTTACCCCAATATCTCAAAATTTCCGGGTTTTACGGGCCATTCAAATTTGGATTTTGAAAATTTTTAAACGTCTGTATCTCGGCTTCCCGTGGTTGTAGAACAAAAAACTTGGGTGATTTGGAATCCTCTTGTTGCCCTCTACAACTTTGCTTTGAAGTGCAAAATAGTAGGTCACCGGTCAAGGTCACTTCTTCTAACACACATACTGATCAGGTCACAAAAGGTCATTGACCCTGGTGACCTGTGACCTTGAAATTATTTTTTATGGAAGTATGATACATCGTTGGAAAGAGGACATTAAGAGGGTCATTTTGGTACCCGGAATTTTGTAGTAGCTCAAATAGGAACGGAGTTTTTGCAGTTTTTAAAATTAAAAACTAAAAATATTAATTATGGATAACATTTAAACGTTAATAACTTCGTTACTCTTTGAGCTACTACAAAATTCCGGGTACCAAAATGACCCTCTTAATGTCCTCTTTCCAACGATGTATCATACTTCCATAAAAAATAATTTCAAGGTCACAGGTCACCAGGGTCAATGACCTTTTGTGACCTGATCAGTATGTGTGTTACATGGTTAGATAGCCCGTGCAAAAATAAACACTTTTTGTCATTGGAACAATTTACCTATCTCTAACACATAAAAAGTTACAGAGCTTCAAAGTTATTTTTCCACGTTCAGAGCTCGGAAAACCATGTTTTTTATTGGTTTTATTTTTTATTTAAAAAAACTATGAGGGGTCCCGTTTTTTTTATTCTCTTATATTACGTAAAATTATGCGATCTACAAAATGGCTATCTCAGAATTTTGAAAAAAGTGACGGCTCACCCTCATATTTGAGGTCAAAGGTCACGAGGTCACCAGAAGTGACCTTGACCGGTGACCTACTATTTTGCACTTCAAAGCAAAGTTGTAGAGGGCAACAAGAGGATTCCAAATCACCCAAGTTTTTTGTTCTACAACCACGGGAAGCCGAGATACAGACGTTTAAAAATTTTCAAAATCCAAATTTGAATGGCCCGTAAAACCCGGAAATTTTGAGATATTGGGGTAAACCTATATATGTTTGGAAACCTCTTAACATGGTCTATCACCCTGTAAAATTTGGTAATGATCGGTTGACCCTGCCAAAGTTCACTTGGATTGACAGACATCTGCTCCTTTATTTTTGGTAAAAATTTTAACTAAGAGATGAAAAATAACAAGAAGAACTAGAACGTTTATTGAAATCTCAAAATGATGTGCAGGTAATCTAGCTTTACGAAGCATTATTTCCTTCTTAATTAAAAAAAAGGGTGTAGATTCCTCAAGCCTTTACGCACAAGATTTTCAGGTAAAGCAAGGTGTCTGTAAGCCCCGTTTTATGAGTTCTTTTTACTCAAAGTTACTTCATTTCATCTCGCATATTTGCACCGCCGGAGGATTATTAAGCAGAGGACGTGATTTATGTGTGCAAATTTGAAATTAATCTTTACGATGTTCTGAAATTGGCTTACCTGTGATGAGGTTCTTGAAGGTGGCGGTGAAGGCGGCGTGGTAGGGGCTGTGGGCCGCGGCCAGGAACAGGGCCATGCGGTGCACCCGTTCGTCCTGCAGCTGCGCCACGATCACCTCCAGGTTGTGCTGCCGCGCGCGCCAAAACGCGATTTCGGCCGCAGGTCCAGGGTGCGGCGCCGCTCCCTTGGGCGTCGACGACTCCTGCTGCAGCACCGCCCCCACCTGCACCACCCACTTGGCCACCGTCGCCTCCACGGCTCCCTTCACGTTGTCGCCCGCCCCCTTCCTGAAAAATTCAATTTTACAAAATCTGTCAAAATAACTCGATGTAAATTTCCATTATTTGATAGACCCGTGAAATGCGTTGCGCAGAATAACATTTAATTGTTGGGCAAATATATGACGGCAGGTTTGAATTTTGCAAAAACAAAAGGCGGCTGCCGTTGGAGTATTTAAGTTAATGACTTTATTTATTAGTTTGAAAACCAATTATTTATAATGATCTCATTTTATAGAATCCACAACAATTCAATTAAGTTTGGAATGTCTGGAGAGATTCCAGACCCTTTTTTTAGGATTTTAGTTTCAATAAACTGTTGGACTTTTAATTTTTCTTCTAAATATTCATTTCGAAACGCAGCACAGGTCAACCGAATTTGCAGTAAAAAATTGCGCATCTTGATTCGGAAGAGAGGGAACTAAATACTTGATTCAATATTTTTACTATGCCATTCGACTCTCCGTCCACCGTTTTAACTCCCCTTCAAACTCGAATGCTCATACTACAAACCCAATACTTGGAATGATCAATTTGAAGTAACATTAGCATTTGAAAGGGCAACGACAATGCGCATTTCTCAGAGTTAATTGGTTTTGAAACAAATTTATCTGTTCTAATTTGAAATAATTTGGAAACATAACATTTTGAAATTAAACTTTTTTGATCAATTAGATGGGTGATCAATTTTTTTTAATTCACAGAAATATTCCTGAATTGAGCACGGTGAAAATTTTGAACTTACGCTTGGAGGTCAGGGGCGTCGAGGACGTGCGGCATCGGCAGCAGCGTCTCGCCGCGCGCCTCGCTCAGCGTCTGCTGTACGCAGTCGCGCAACGCGTACGCGCTCGCGGTCACATCCGCGGCCACGCCCCCGGGCCACCCCTGCTGGTTCCACGGCGACGCCAGCAAACTCACCAACACCTGCGCATCATTAATAAGCAAATCAAAACTCGCACAAATTCAACCATTGTTGCCGGCTAAACAGTGAAATTCATAATAGGCAATTTCGAAAATTCACAAATTTTATCAAAAATTTTGAAACATTCTCCTTGGTGACTAGCGATTTTCAATTGAAGAAAAAAAATTATGAAGGCAAACAGAAACTAGATTTGTTTCTGTAGTCAAAGGTTTTTGTTAAACCAGATATGGCAAAAAACAACTAAAATCCAGAATTATTCAATTTGTTGTTTGATGCAGTTTGATGCAGGCCGTGGAAGGGTTGGAGTTATGCAACTTGCGCAACGCGGTTTACATTCACTAGTCCCTAGGGGCCGAAATCTTGATTCATTAGCCAGTTTGCTTTGCTCAAATTCCAAAAAGACACAGCTTTTTTTCCTTATTTCTGAAAATTTTAGAATTCTTTTGCACTAAAAAGGACGTATCAAATACGCCTCTAATATAAAATATGTAAAACTCAAACCATTTGAGACGAGAGAGCAGCAGGGAACTTGGGCCATGGAAGGTTGTTCATAAAGCGGTAAAACACCTTATTTCATTCAACCTCCCACCAAAAGTTAAAAATTTAATACTTCACCCACATTTCTTGGAGGTTTTATCCAGTGAAGATCGATCATTTACTAGAAATGCAGGCAAACAATTTTCCCGCCTTTTAAATAAAGGTTTGCAAAAAGCTTAAGTCTCAAAAATGATCATGGAACGATTTCCTGGTCATCAATAAGTGTTCCAAAAGCTATTTTTGTTGGTTCGAATACTATGAATTACCGTGTCAACGAGGACGTCAAGTTGGTGGGCGGGTCGGGTGGCAAGGTCACCGGCTGCAAGGGTGTGCGCGAGGTTTTGCAGGGTGGCCCTCTGGCGGAGGCGGCGCACGAAGAAGACGGCCTTGCTCTTGAGGTGGACGGGGAAGCCGAGGTGCACGACCAGCTGCATCAGCTGGTTCAGGCACACCACCATCACCCTTTGCTCAGGGTCGTCGAGGAAGCCGGCGGTCATGAGCCGGAAGTTGTCCTCGTTGCCCGTCAGCTTGGCCCACTTCTCCGCCTTGAGGCGCAGCGAGCGCACCGCGAACCTCCCCACCACCTCCAGCCGCGCGTCCTCCAAAACCTTCTTTTCCGACCCCTCCATCCCCTGGCTCCCTTCACTGAAATCCAAAAGCGGCACATTTTAAAAATTCTAGGAAAACATTGGTAATTTTTAGGCAAAATGTGTGAAAAATATAGCTGTTGAAAAGTCGAAGCGTCCCTGCAAGACATGAACCTAATTTTGCTAAAGATGCATTTCATATAAGGACGCATGAAAACTGCAGATCGAAAAATGACATGGGTCGATAATTTTTCTATGATAACCACTTGCCCATAGGTCACCCTCATGAGGATAAATAAATTCCCAATTTTTTTTTCGATTTTTAAAAATTATTTTCGAAAAACTCAAAAATCGAGTTTTTAGTTTTTCTGTTAGTGATATTAACTTCAAACTTTCTTTAATTGACTAATTTAGCGACGCCCGACAACTCTTCAATAGTGACCACACGTGTAGGAACACGTTCGTCAAGGTCACTTTCAGCTAAATTTTCAAAATGAACATCCCCCTTCGATTTTTTTGGTGGTATAGGAAAAAATGTAGTCGGGCGTCGCAAAATTAGTCTAGGAAAGTTATTTTGAAGTTCATGTCACCAACAGAAAAATTAAAAACTTGAATGTATTAGAGTTTTTCGAAAATAATTTTTAAAAAATTTTTGGGAATTTTTTTAACCTCATGGGGGTGGCCTATGGGCAAGTGGTAATCATAGAAAAAATTATTGAATCGTGTCATTTCGATTTGCAGTTTTCATGCGTCGTCCCTATATGAAATTCATCGATATCCTATTTTATCCTGGGCCAGAGGATCGCCCTGAGCAATGCTCTGCAAAAATCTCATCGGCTTTGATCATATTTATTCATGCGTAAGATAACTCTTTTAATATTAAAAATTTGTTTTACTGCATTTTGAACGTTTTTGAAGCATGACAAGTGAGGAAAATACCAAAAATTGAAAAGAATTGACAGAAACCAGCGATTTTAATAAACTTATTCTCTGGAAAAAAAATCATCTCCTTGAATTAATAATTACTTTCAATTTCAACTTATTGAAGGAATGATACATTTATAGTTTTAGAATGACAAAAATAGAAACTGCGTTCAATTTGTTGTCATGTTAAGAACAATCCAATGAATACACAGAAATCCGTTAGGTACGCATCATGTCCAGTTGCTATACTTCTACAATACACTCAATTGCTATAAATCATGTCTCGCGGCCTAAATTGCCAATTTATCGGTCATACTTTTGACACCTCACAGCTCGACCCTCGCCGGCCGCGCTTATAAAGCATATGTTATATGCATCCAGATGCCTTTCCCTTCCCTCTTTACAAAAACAATAGTTTTTACAAACAGGCATAACAATCCCCCTCATAAAACTCATGTTGAACACGCATACAGTATATTTAAAAAGTATCGCAAGTTTATGGCAAAGTATAACAGAAGCATCGCAACAGAAATACACGATGCGTACCCAAAATTTTCTGTATCAACTACTTTTGGACAAGGATGGGACGTGATTTCAAAATGTTGTGATCTATTGCGATCAAATTTTTGACCAAAAAACACAATTTGAAAGATTTTTTTTACTAATTGGTTTTTTTGAACCATAAAAATATACTTATTCCTAAGAAACTCCTTTTTTTAAAGAATATTTCTCTCATCAAATGATCAGTCATATTGACAGTTTATCCTCCAGATTTACCATTTAATTCTCCCAGATTAAGCGCATTAAGAGCTGCTTTCTGTGGTCGCAAAAAAAATCTCAAGCGATCGACTTCCTTTTACGATTGTGATCATCTTTTCAAAAAAAATGGTTTGCTCGAGATCGCGAAACATTCGCAGATCGTTTTTGCGGTTTCGTCTATCCTTAATTGCTTTTGAATTTTTGCCTAATTCGTTTGTTCTAAAATCATATTTGCCATTTTCTCTCAAGACATCAAGAAATCTCCCCAAAATTTTTCATCTACAAAAATCAACAAAAGCCTCAACTGGCTCAGGCTTAATTAGTCCGCCTTGCAATTTGAATCCAGTTTACCCTTTAAAAATCCCCACAATGCTCCTAAATTTTGTTTTCTTTTACAAAAATTCAATTTGCTTCTCAGTTTAATTGCTCAAATAATTACATTATTCAGGTACAGAAATTTGTTGCAAGCCTTCTTTAATTTACTTTTTACGTACGCATGGCTCTTCTTAACTTTTCCAGGATCTTATTATTTGAATAGTTATAAAACTTTGTGAAATGCAGACGTTTAAATTTTTAAACAATACTTCATAGTGCTTTCATAGCTTTTAAGTTTCACGCACAATAAGCTCTCAACGACAAGTATAGCGACGCGTAATATGCAAGAACTTTAATTATCTGTTCACTGTGCAGCATATAGTTTTGTAGATCAATTATAATTTCTTTATAATAATTATTTTGCAATTCTTTTAAATTCACCAAAAAAAGGAAAAATTCTTGGCAGCCCCATTTCAGGGGCAAGGTCGACTCATCAGAAAATTTTGATAGTCGCCGAGCGTTTTGAATCGGTGCAACTTTACTTGCACCCAATCAGAGCTCAAACAACAATAATTAAAACTTATACATTGTTGATAATGAGCGCACATTGTTTAGGGGGTACAAAAAATAATTTTCAAAACTTTAAGGGAAAATGATATTCAAGGTGATTAGTGGTTCCCAGATTTTGTCATTAAAATCTAACTTAATCCCTGTGCTGATTATATTGATTATCTTCAAATTTGAATTAAAGTGTGTCTCAATTTTAAAGAGGGAAAATTAATTTCACAAACCTTTTGGGTGGATTTTGCGAGCGGCCGAAGTCAGCGTTGAATCGATCTCAAGAATGAGAGTGCAATTGAAACATTTGGTAAGGCGAGAGTGTGAGCGGCGGGCAGTTGCCATGGAGTTGCTTGAGGGTCTGTTAGCGACCTCTGCCCCCTTGGTCGGGCCCCTCAATTCAAACGACCCGTCGCACGTGTGCCAGAATTCGCACCCCCACCAGCATTCGTGACCAGACACTTTTTCACTCGCTCCAAAGAGGCAGTTCACTTCTCTTCGGCACATCAATCGATTAAACTGCAAACAACAAATGTCAAATCAAGATAACAACACAAACCAACTTTCTTTCATTATACTTCACTATTCTCTAGAAAAATAACAATTTTAGCACCAATGATTATCTCACCTATTTAGGTAAAAAATTAAAATTACCATCTATAAAAAAAATATTGCACGAATAAAATGAAAATAAAATGAAACCTAGGGCGTAAAGCGTGAATGAAACTATTATAAAATTCTAGATTTTTGCTACTAAATGAAATATAGAGCAAAATTTGTAAAAATATAAAACGGTTGATTGAATAATCAGGCAGCTTGCAGCAATTTTTAGTCTCAGCTGTCGTTGCAGGAAGATGGGCCCTCGGAATTGAGTCGGCATTGTGCAAGTTATTTAATAATTCAATGAAATCCTTATAATATAGTTTTAATATGAACACATCTCAAATAATACTTGTCTCTTATCTTGCCACATTGTCCGCCTTAAAAAATTTTAAAATTGGATTCGGTAATCATTATTGAGCTTTTTTAAACATTTCTATACAGTCTGGGTTAGAAAAATTTATGCACAGGAAATTTAACTGTCGAATTTAATGAATGAGATTTTTGAATTACCATCATGCAGAGACCCTTTGCGAACAGGATAACGGCGCCACTGGCCGGGAACAATTTGGATGGGACCAGCTGGGACCCTCACAGAATGATGTATTGTGTGCGTCATTTGCCCGCCCGCTGCGCATGTTCACACCTGTGACAAAATGATTAGTGAAAGTGAACGAAGACAAAACTAGTCAGTCGAGTCTCACTGAGCTGCGGATGGTGTCTTTTGATCTGGGAAGTTTTATGATCAAAATTTTGTTGCTCGCGGCAGACGCCATTTAATTGTCCACATCAATTTCCCTTGTTTTTAAACAAATTATTTTTCAATAATTGAAATCCAACAATGTGATTTTTATAGTTAGAAGGGTAACGAAAAAAGTAATACATAATTCTCAAAATGTCTCGAAGCAAATCAGGCAGAATTTCCAACAGATGAGTTGCAGTTATTTAAAGACGCTAATATTAATGCACCATCGGATGGGCAATGCAATTTGGAGTCGATTGGTGCTAATTTCGGCCCGATCCGACGTCAGCTTCATGCCGAAAGACGCTCCGAAAGTTTTATCGCGAGACGCTACTTTTTCGATAATCGATTGTTGGGCGGGCAGCGCTGCCCATTTACACACCCCCCTTCGCGAGCGGGTTGCGATTGAAAATTTTTAAATAAGGTTTTCAGGCAAAATAAAGCATGTCTCGCGGCCAAATGCTTGTTATTATCAAGTTGGATTGTTTAAAATACATTTTTTACGCGGCCTACAAGGTTAGCAAGTTTGAAGAAGGAAAATATTGCCCCGAAATGTGAGGAAACTGGCGCCGGCGAGCCGGGTGTGAGCAAATATTAGGTCGTGGGGGCGAAATAAGACTTAAACCCAACCAATTTAACCATACCTGAGCTAGGATATTAAATTTCTCAAGTAGCTAGGTCATCCCCGGGCCTGAAAAGTCCTCCGTGGAAGGAAAATCTTCGACATAAGCGAGGCGACTCGGGCGGCGGGTCCATCTTGGCCATTTTGGCCTTGGCGTGTTGATTGTGGATTGTGATTTGCAACGCGATTGACACGAGCGCCGCCAGATGGAGAAAAAGCGGCGGGAACCAAAGTAAAAGAAAATTCTAATTAACATATTAATTATAATAAAGCATTGTCACGAATTATTTTTTTATCAACAATTAAGAAAATAAATTAGCAATTTTTTGATATTTTATAATTTAAAATCGAGTCACGGGTTTAGAAGAATCATAAGGGTTTGCTAATCCTGCTGCCATATAAAAATTAATTATTTTAGAGGAAATTATTAAATTACAAAGTTGTTGGCAAAGAGCTATTCTTTCATAATGTTCATTATGACATTTTTGTATCTTGGTTTTTTCTCTACAAAAAAACGCTTTAAAATTTAAATCTGAAAATTTCTCCTTCAAAAAAATTTTTTGGAATTTTTTTGAGATAGCCAATCGATTCTTCGTTTAATTTTGACCCTAAAAATCAATTTGCGATAAAAAGTTCACAGCCGTTTGAGAATTACACTCTTAAGTAATGTATCAAGTCAGTGGCTTGATTTGGCGCATCAGTACATTTTGAAAAATCCTATCTCTCATGAATGCGGCTAAATATTTTTTAATAAAAATTGATTCTTACAGTAAAAATTAAACGAAGAATCGAATGGCTATCTCAAAAAAATTCCAAAAAATTTTTTTGAAGGAGAAATTTTCAGATTTAAATTTTAAAGCGTTTTTTTGTAGAGAAAAAACCAAGATACAAAAATGTCATAATGAACATTATGAAAGAATAGCTCTTTGCCAACAACTTTGTAATTTAATAATTTCCTCTAAAATAATTAATTTTTATATGGCAGCAGGATTAGCAAACCCTTATGATTCTTCTAAACCCGTGACTCGATTTTAAATTATAAAATATCAAAAAATTGCTAATTTATTTTCTTAATTGTTGATAAAAAAATAATTCGTGACAATGCTTTATTATAATTAATATGTTAATTAGAATTTTCTTTTACTTTGGTTCCCGCCGCTTTTTCTCCATCTGGCGGCGCTCGTGTCAATCGCGTTGCAAATCACAATCAACACACAATCTTGGAAAACACCCAATCAAAAACCACGACGAGGGTTGTTGTTGTTGTTTGGTAAGGTCTTAATTCCCGTTTTTTTCTCAAATTCTTTTGCTCCTTAGCCCCTGACGATGTCCGGAAAAGAAGCTAAAGAATCCAAACCAGGATGTAAAATGAAGGAAGGTGAAATAAAAGTGGATTGTGACATTAAAAACCGAAAGCGCCATGAAACGGCAGAGCTACTGCTAAGTCCACATCTTGGAGAAAATGGAGGCGATCAATTTGATGATGATGAGCAGTTTACTCTGCACACTAATAAGCGTAGAAGGAGCTCCACTTCACAGACAGCAAAAAATTCTCAAATGATTGAAGCCTTTGACAAAGTTCAAAAAGAGATTCTTCCAGGTATCTATCTCCAGTCTAATACCTTACAGCGTCTCCAGGATGTCTCAGTAGCTAAAAAATTACATGAGCACAAACTCAAATTTCATAAAGTAATCTCTAAAGGTAGAAGCAAAATACTGATTCTGTTTGAGACTGATGAAGATGCGATTAAGCTACTGCACAACTCAGAATTATTAGTACAAATTGATTGCAAAGCAGAAAAATATAGGCGCAGTGAGTTTGTAAAAGGTATAATTAGAGGTGTAGATGACACTATCCCTGAACATGAAATTAAGGAGGAAATTCAAAGAAATTGTACCCCTGAAGTAGTAAAAGTCAAGCGACTAACCAGAAGAATAGAAGGAATCTCTGAAAATAAGTTGGTTCCTACTACATCAATTGTTATTAGTTTTGCTGGCAAAACTCTCCCAAGCACAGTATCCATCTACAGTGTTCGAAGAAGAGTAGAACTTTTTGAAGAAAAGCCTCTTGTATGCTATAACTGTCAGCAATTTCATCACATTGCTAAGCAGTGTAAATCGGCAAAACCTACCTGTGGTTGTTGTGCGCTACAGCATAATACTCGAGACTGTCCTGTAGACAAAAAGATTGTTCCACCTGTTTGTGCTAACTGCCAAGGAGATCATGTTCCCCATTCAACAAAATGTCCAGTAATGCAACATAAGCACCTACTCAAGTTTAAATCCACCCTGCAAAATACTCAATTTCTAAGACCTAATAAACTTCAGTCCTCACAAATGTTCCCAGCTTTGCGCACTGTTAGGGGTGAAGGTAGTAAGAGTAAGGCTCAAGATTTCGAGGCGGACCATTTGGAACTTAAGCCAAACATCCTACCACCTGCAGTGCAAAAAGCAAGAATTAAAAAGTTTAGTGAAATTGTAGCTGCTCCTCATCTAACTGATAAAGATAAATTGAAAAACAGACAAGAAAAATTTATAAGCTCCCTGCCTAAAAAGCAAAAAGGTAGTATAACTTCAGTAAATAAACCTCAAGAACGTGCTGGGCAAAACCTGAAGTCAGAAGATAAGAAGAGCCAAGATAATATAGAAGTAAAAATGCAAATCGACCTGGAACAAATGGCACCAGAAAAATTGTTAGAAATGTGTTCTAAAGTTATTAGTAACAAAACAGCCTTGACCATGTTAGTGTTCATGTTTCAATTGATAATGAACCTTACTACAGTGAAGAAAAATCAAGCTGAGCTAACCGATGTACAGATGCTGCAAGAGCAATTGCTAAATGGATGGAAACAAATCTTAGATAGCAAAACAGTTATATCAATACCTAGTGAGAAAGATTCAATGGAAACTGAGGAGGCAGCCAGCGAAGAAAGAATTTCATGATGGAACGCACCGAAAAATCAATATTACAATGGAATGCAAGAAGTATTAAAGCAAATCAACTAGCCCTGGAACACTATGTGCAACAAAATTCTAATATTCAAATCATTGCCCTAACTGAAACTCACCTTCAAAATGGTGAAAATTTTAAATTTTTAGACTTCGTGTCCTACAGATCAGACAGATCAACCAGCAGAGGAGCAGGTGCAGCTATTCTATTAAAAAGCAATATACAAGCACATCAAATTCACTTGCATACCGAACTTGAAGCAGTAGCAGTAAAATTGAAGATTAATGGCAATCTCATAGTCCTAGTGAGTCTATATGCCCCACCTAATATAGGTATTAATAAAGAAATTGAAGATTTGCTGGAACAAATCCCTCATCCTGCAATCATATGTGGTGATTTTAATGCCCACTGTCATCTATGGGGTTCTACCTACTCTAACTCTCGAGGAAGGTTTCTTGAGAAATTGTTGACAAATGTTAACTTCACAGTTTAAAACAATGGAGAACCAACATTGATTCAACGTCCTGGAACAAATCCAACCTCGCCTGACCTCACATTGGTGAGTGAAGACCTCTTAGATGAATTTACTTGGCATTCATTTACCAAAAATCTTAATGCTGCAGCAGATAGTTCTATACCGTGGAAAAAACAAAAAAAATCCATTATCCAAAAGAGTTAAAAAGCCATGGTGGAATGAAGACTGCGAATCAGCTTATTTATCAATGATAGAGGCTCAAAAACAATTTAAAAAAAATCAAGCATCGTACCAGAAGTATGTTGAGACAAAGCAAACATCAGCTAAGTTTAAAATAATAAGTAAAACGGCCAAATTTGAATTCTGGCAACAAGTTTGTAACTCACTCTCAAGACAAAAAGGCTCTTCGTATCTGTGGAAAACAGTTAAAATGATGAGAAACAGTATAACAAATCCATCTAGTCAATCAATAAACAAAGGAAACTGGGAAATGGAGTTCCTTGAAAGAGTCTGTCCATCTAACCTTAAGAAAGATGAAAACCTTGACTGGAGTGCTCTACAAGGAAGGCTAACAAAACAAAGTAAACCCAGTAAACCCTTCTGTACAAAACCCTTTATACTTAAGGAACTTGAAGGAACCCTAAACTTAGTTAATAAGCATGCTTCTCCAGGACCAGATAACATATCATATATGATGCTAGCCCATCTCCCGGATAAATATAAAGAAGAACTCCTCCACTTCTTCAACATGATTGTGCAAAATAATTTCTGCCCAATTGAATGGAAAAAAGCATGGTTAAAACCGATCCTAAAGGCAGGTCAAAAACCTGGCATAGAAAGTGCATATCGTCCAATAATGTACACTTCATGTGTAGGAAAACTCTTTGAAAGTTTGTTAAAAAGAAGACTAGTAGTATTCCTTGAAGAAAATCAACTCCTGCCACAAAGCCAAGTTGCCTATAGAAAAGGTCTTAATGTTCAGATGTGTTAAGCAGAGCTTTCAGCCTCAATCCAAGTGTCCTGGTTGAAACAACAAAAACATTTTGCACTACTAGTTGATGTTAAGGGAGCGTTTGATGGCGTCCCTCATAAAAAACTCCTTGAAGATCTTTTTCACATAGGCCTTCCTAAACAACTGGTTCAATGGATAGAGACATTCCTTTCAGGAAGAGTGTGTCAGTATTATACAACCTCAGCTGGGCTACAACGTAGGACAGTTTATAAAGGAGTACCTCAAGGTGGAGTGCTCTCCCCACTGTTGTATATAATCTATGTCAGAGCACTAGAGGATCACCTGAGTAAGTCAGTAAAAATAATTCAGTTTGCAGATGACGTCTTGATTCATTTCGGACAAGCTAATATTAGCTCAGCAATAAAAATAATGTCAGAAACGATTGAAGCCCTGTTGAACTTCTTCCAAGAAAAGGGTCTTCAAATTAACCTGAAAAAAAACTAAAATAATACCTTTTTCTCATCAAGTGATAAACCTTGATTCAGTGAATACAACACAAGGACAAGTTGAAGTGGTAGAAACAGTCAAATACTTAGGAGTTCTCTTTGATGCAAAATTAAAATGGAAACCTCAAATCGCAAGTCTACAAAAAGCCTGTCAAAACTCACTGAATCTTATAAAATCAGTAGCGACGGTTTGGTGGGGAGCAGACCCGCACTGTCTACTGCAAATTTATAAATCACTGATTCTTTCCAAGTTGCAGTACTCCTCCTTCCTTTGGCAGAATGCTGCACAAACTGAGTTGAATACATTAGATGTGATGCAAAATACAGCTATGAGAAAGATACTGGGTGCATTTAAAAGCACTCCGATTCATAGCATGCAGGCCGAGCTTAACCTCAAGCCTCTTAAAATTACAGCTAAAATACTAGCTGAACAACTAGTAATAAAACTACTGAGGTTTGATCGTCAATTGCTGAGACAAATACTTGAGGAATGGAGTCGGAGAATAAAAGTTAAAAATCAAGTTGTTGCTAAACACCCACTTCTTACAGCTTTTAGAAAATGGACCTCAGATACAGCTCCTACAATTAAAAAATGGTCACCATCACACTTGGAAATCAGCATAAATCAACACATTTCAGTGCTGAAAACTCCATGGTCTAAGTTCAGTAAAAACAGCCTGCCACCACAGACTAAGCAGCTAATTCTACAGTTCCTTCACACAACAGCATCAGAAAGCCTTAAGATTTACACAGATGGCTCCAAACAAAAAGATGGATCAGTAGCAGCTGCAGCTTACTTTGCTGGAAAGAATTTTGCTCTCATAAAGACCCTACCATTAACTTACTCAATTTACTCAGCAGAAGCAATGGCGTTGTGTATGGCACTAAACTACATCAAACATAATTTGCCTCCTCAGAAATCATACCTTCTTTCAGACTCACAAAGTCTCCTGGTTGAGCTTTCAAATGATAAATTTATTGAAAGCAAAAATTTTATTATTGCAGATATTCGAGAGCACATACACGAGCTTGAAACAGCAGGATTCCAAATTCATCTGCTGTGGATACCATCCCATATAGGTATAAAAGGAAACGAGATAGCTGATAAAGTTGCTAACTTAGCTTGTCGAGGACCTTCTATCAGACGAATTGACACACCGATACCAGATTTGGAAAAATTAATCCGTAAAGAAGCAGCACAACAGTGGAATACAAGCTGGAGAGTATTAAATATTACAAAAGGTAAAAAATATGCTCTACTTCATCCGTCAGGAATTGTTCCTCGTAAATCCTGGTTCACTGCCTTTCCTGGTCTTTCAAGAAGCTTTTATACCAGTATTCATAGAATTCGCTTTGTGCATGCACCAACCCCTGATAGGCTCTTTGCATGGAAAATAGCACATTCATCAGCATGTGTCTGTTCCCACGACCCCTGTTCGCTGGAGCACCTTTTGCTTGCATGTCCTCGACTAGCTCCTGCAAGAAAAAATCTGATGAGCTGCCTTAAACAGCTCCATCTCAACTCCTCTATCAACCTGTCTACAATCCTCTTAACAAATAATAGACAAATCTATTTTGCATTGCATGCCCTGTTTCAGGTCATCTTTCCCAAATGTAAATACAACTAGAAAAAATTAAACCAACATAAATAAGACCTGGCTAAATGGTATTAACTATAGCCAATTAAATCAAAATACAACAACAACAACAACAACACGCCAAGGCCAAAATGGCCAAGATGGACCCGCCGCCCGAGTCGCCTCGCTTATGTCGAAGATTTTCCTTCCACGGAGGACTTTTCAGGCCCGGGGATGACCTAGCTACTTGAGAAATTTAATATCCTAGCTCAGGTATGGTTAAATTGGTTGGGTTTAAGTCTTATTTCGCCCCCACGACCTAATATTTGCTCACACCCGGCTCGCCGGCGCCAGTTTCCTCACATTTCGGGGCAATATTTTCCTTCTTCTAACTTGCAACTACAAAAATGCCGCGGCATGACCGATTGGTGAAAAAAAATGAAAGCTGCTGTAGATTTTGAATGTAGTAAATAAAAATAAAATTTGAAATTATCTTGTGGACTTACAGATCTTGAGCGACATTTACTCAAATTTAATGACTCCAATTTTTGAAAATTTCTCGAGTTTTTGTAGCAGAACTTTGAGAATTTTATACCCGCATAATGGTATTTTTGGTAGCGAAAATCTCGGGAGAACAGACGGACGCACGAGATACGGACGTTCCTGTTAGCTTCCGTAGGGGCTCAGGGTACGCATCCTTCGGAACCAGGGTCGATTTCGGCGGCAGCATGAGGGATTCGGCCGAGAATTGCGAAGAACAAAAAATCCGTTGAGCAACATTCTCGCGAAAACATCAGAGAGCAACAATGTGCCACAAAAAGGGGGCGTTGATTGTGGGTGGAGTGTGCAGAAAGGAGTTAAGTGCTTCGCCACAAGAGATCCATGCGAATTTCCAAATATTTTCACGCATTTTGCAAAATATGACAGATGAAAGCCATTGATTGTTTGAGATTTTATTGCGTTGAATATTTCTAGTTTCAAATATGTTAAATGCCACCTATTTGTCACAGTTTCTGCTCAACGACTTCCAATCCCTTTAATACACCCTTACCAAATCATACCAACAAGGAGCATACCGGAGCATACCAACGAGCATACCAACACCAACACGTTACATCACGTTACATCTCTTGTAGTGTCCAGAAACTCCAGAACGTGGAACGTGTGTTTGCGCCAAATATTTTTCATTGGTAGATCGTGGAAAATCCACCTAGGAAACCCTTGCGGTTATCCAGAAATTCTTTTAGTCTTTCTATAATTATTTTTTTTGTAAAAACTACATGAAAAGATGATGAGAGGATGCTTAACGCAGACGCTCTTAGCGCGCATTTTTAAACAGTGACACGAAAACAATCGATGATCGGCGTGCGCAATGTTCGCGTTTGTCAACTTGCTGCTGCTACTGCCCATTTTTGCTGCCCTCGTGGCCCACGAATGCATTTATCATTTATCGCTGAGGTTTTCAGGTGAGATTCGCGCCCCTCGACCTTTTTACCGTCTCTCAGGTCAACCCAGGCACCTCCAAAGGCCGAATCATGGTCCGCCCTGCCGTACCGGGGGAGGAATTTCTTCGTTTCCTTCGTTCGGTACCCCGGCCGGCGAAGGTGTTCCATCTGCACGTTTTGGGCCAACTAATGAAGGGTTTTGCTGTCGATTTCAGGTGCATTGCTCAGGACAGACCAAGTTTGAGGCGAGATGAGTCGATTCTTCGCCACCGGCTCCGATTCGGAGAGCGAAAGCTCGTCCGAGGAGGAGCAGATTCAGCGCCAGCCGGCCGCCGGATTCACCGTAAGCTTTCCACTTCCATTTGCAACGGTTTTATTTAAATTTTTGCTATTCAGTTCAGTGACGACGAGGAGGAGGCGAAGCGCGTGGTGCGTTCGACCAAGGAGAAGCGCTACGAGGAGCTGACCAACCTCATCAAGCAGATCAGGAACCACAAGAAAATCAAAGACATGTCCAGCATGTTGTCCTGTGAGTGCCCCGCCTATCCCTTTGACTTGCAATTGAATATGCTCTTGCAGCGTTCGAGGAGCTGACCAGGGCGTACCAGAAGGCCCTGCCCGTGGTGACCAAGGAGGAGAACGGAGTCACGCCCAGGTTCTACGTCCGCATCCTCGCAGAACTCGACGCCTTCATCAACGAAGTCTGGGAAGATAAGGAGGGAAGGTTTGTCACTCAATTTGTTTCCTTTCTAACTAAACTTTAATGCGATTCATCCATGATTTTGTTCTATTATCTTATCAATTAGAATTAGGAGTCAAGGTAAATTAGTTATTTCTATTTTATTTGCAGGAAGAACATGTCAAAAAACAACTCCAAGTCGTTGGCCTCGATGAGGCAGAAGCTGAGAAAGTACAGCAAAGACTTTGAAAAGGACCTGGCCCTGTTCAAGGAAGCGCCTGACGGCGGAGATGACGATGACGAGGCAGACAAAGGTTTCAAAACACAGTTTCCTTCAAAGTTCTGATATGTTCTTACTGGAACATTTTCAGTTCAAACCTTTCAATAAAATACTAAAGGAAAATTCACAAACTGAGTTTCCCATTGGGATTTTTTAGAGCATTGAAATTAGTTGCTCCAGCGAATCTAAATCATAGTTACTTACCATGAGAATATCCGCCTTTGTTTTTGAGACTGAAATTTTATTAACGGGAAAAAGTAACCAATACTTTAGATACTGTTTTTAAAATGAAATTTGCATTTTGCAGACGAGGAAGTTGAGTCGGACGACTCGGACGCAAAACCGACTGCCAAGAAGTCCACATTGAAGCAGGAGCCAGAGAAGTTTGCCAAGAGGGGAGGGGGTGAGGAAGACGAGAGCGAAGACTCGATGGACTGGGGCAGCGACTCTGAGACGTCGTCGTCCGAGTCCGAGGAAGACGCGTACATGAACATCAGGGACCGCTTCCTGAAGAAGACCACTGAGAAGGAGGAGGAGGAGACCAAGAAGGAAAAAAAGGAGCGCCGGGAGCGCGAGCACCGCAAGAAGCGCGAGGAGGAGGACGACGAGGGCGGCTGGGAGACTGTCAAAGGGGGCGTCGCCATCCCCTCGGTCAGTACAATGAAAAACCAAGTCGAGTCTTTTCAATTTTTTCAACCCAAGAGCTTCGGTGAGAAATCAGTTTCAAACTTACCAATGCAATTTAAAACCAGACGACTCTGAGTAATCCAATCAGCTAACTTGATCTTGTCTTTTCAATCTAAAGATGGCTTTTACCTTTTTGGTCTTTTATCAATTTTTCCTGACCTGGCATTTTAAATGTTCAAGTCCGTTTGAATTTACTGCTTGGGAGATGATTCTTGGAATCAAATCTCATGGCGAGAATCAAAGTTTTGGACACCTGCTTTACATTTTATTTAGTTCATTTTAGATCTCAATTATTTTAAAAGGAGGTTAATTCAAATTCCTGTATTTGTTGTTGACTTTGGTTTGAGTTTGGATTTTGTTTCAGGAAAAGCCAAAGATGTTTGCAAAGGACGCTGATATTGACATCCACATTGTTGTTCGCAAGTTGGGCGAAATCATGGCGGCGCGTGGCAAAAAGAGGACGGACCGGCGCGAGCAAATCGAGCTGCTGCACGAGTTGCAGGGCATCGCCGAGCAGCACAGCCTCGGGCCCGCCATCCACCTCAAGATCAAGCTGGCCATCATTGCTGCCATCTTTGATTACACACCCAAGGTCTCTGACGCCATGAAGCCCGAGTACTGGACAAAGTGAGGCTACGCTTATATTATTATATTACAATTTGGCCATGCCTTCACTACTTGTTTCCAAGACAAGTTAGAATGAGGCAGTAATTTTTATAATTATGGAGTTCAAAGTAGACAATTGATTTACGAAAGTTTAACTTTCTTGCTTAACTCCTCATCAAATTTGGCTCTTGGTTTTTGCCAAATTTTTTCAAATTTGTAATTAACATGCTTTTCATGGTTAGCTCGGAAATCTGTAATTATTTTGAGTTGGAAAGCATTTGAGAGAAAAGTAGCATTGTTTTTAATCTTTTGCGATACAACTGTTTTTTAAAACGCTTTATTGTTTGTTTGCTAATTGGGAAAAAGCAAATTGACTAAATGTGAAAGAACAATTCAATCAAATTTGAGAGAAAGATCAAATTTCTTATTATTGATTGTTGGTTCTCAGTATAGCATTTTAAAAGCTTCAGCAGAAACCTTTTAAGCAACTTAATCACCATAAAATTAAAAAAAAATTGTTTCAGACTTCTGGACCGGATCCCGGACGCTTTGGACGTACTGTTGGCGCAGCCGGACCTGCGGGTGGCCGACGACATCCTGGAGGAAAACGAGCAGTTCGAGGAGGCCCCGTACCAGATCCGGGGCTGTGTGCTGACCGTGGTGGAGCGGCTGGACGAGGAGTTTGTCAAACTGCTCAAGGAGTGCGACCCCCACAGCAACGAATACGTCCTCAGGTCAGTTGCCCCTCCACCTGACCTGACCTCAAGTCTGACCTCATTTTGTCTGCAGGCTGAAGGACGAGCTCAAGGTCGTGCAGATCATCGACCAGGTGCAGACGTACATCGAGCGGCAAAACAAGCCAGCCGACGTGTGCCGCATCTACCTGCGCAAGATCGAGCACCTCTACTACAAACTGGACACCAGGGCCATCGAGAGGAAAGAGGTCAGTCCGTGCGAACGTTCAAAAACGTGGCTTCTCAATTATGTGTTAGACGGAAATTGATTTCTGAACAAATCTGATCGAGTTTTAGTTAAAGGAAGAAAGGTTTGGTTTCATCAGGGGAAAAATCGCACTGAATTATTCGAATTATTCACCATCCTTTGGGGTTGATTCACTTACCGAGATTTCCCAGGGTTTTCACCCCAAGAAGGTTAAAAATGTGCATGATTGGTGGCTTAGTCCCTTTTCTACTTCTTTCACAAACATGAGACAAACGCCAATGGATAGGAGTTTTATTAAAAGCCTTGCCAAGTTTTCTTAGAACAATTTTCTGATTCATGGACTGTCATTACGGCCGCCGAACATTTTGACTCGAAAAAATAGCCGCCCTGTTGAGTTATAATGATTAATGGATTGACCGGTTTCAGGGGAAGCTGCCCTCGGACACGGTGACCAACGTGGAGGTGATGGAGCAGCTGTGCAAGTACGTGTACGCCAAGGACAACACGGACCGGCTGCGGACGCGCGCCATCCTGTGCCACATCTACCACCACGCCCTGCACGACAACTGGTTCGAGGCGCGTGACCTGGTGCTCATGTCGCACCTGCAGGAGACCATCCAGCACTCGGACCCGTCCACGCAGATCCTCTACAACCGCACCATGGCCCACCTCGGCCTGTGCGCCTTCCGCCACGCCAACATCAAGGACTCGCACAGCTGCCTCGTCGACCTCATGATGACCGGCAAGGTCAAGGAACTCCTTGCCCAGGGCCTCCTTCCGCAGGTATCACTCGTTGTCAAAACTTCACTCAACAAATTTTGACAATACCTGGCAGTGTGTGGAAAATAGTTACAAGTTTTCAAACTTACCCATTTCACAAATTATTTGCCTGCACACTAAAACCAACAAGCCTGCTAATTATTGCCAAAAGTCAAAGTAAAATGCAAAGTGCCAGATCAAAATAATTTTGTTTTCAGCGCCAGCACGAGCGCAGCAAGGAGCAGGAAAAAATAGAGAAGCAGCGCCAGATGCCGTTCCACATGCACATCAATCAGGAGCTGCTCGAGTGCGTTTATCTCGTCTCGGCCATGCTCATTGAAATTCCATACATGGCTGGTCAGTCTCATTCGTTGAACCTGGAGACAATTTTTTATAAATAAATAAATTAACTTTTCAAAATTGATGCCGAACATCAGATATTCTAGCTGTGCATCAAAACTCTTATTTGCAAGTCTGAGGATTGACTTTGATTTTGCTATTTCAGCGCACGAGTTTGACGCGCGGCGTCGCATGATTTCGAAGACATTCTACCAGCAGCTGCGGTCGAGCGAGCGCCAGAGTCTTCTGGGGCCGCCTGAGTCGATGCGCGAACATGTGGTCGCAGCGTCCAAGGCCATGCGCAACGGAAACTGGAACGCCTGCTTCAACTTCATCATCAACGACAAGATGAACGCCAAGGTTCGTTCCTTTAGTGTCTTTTGTGCTAATCAACGTCACCAGATTGTATCTGAACTCTTCCCCCACCACCAAATGCAAATGGGCTCCACCAAATGCAAATGGGATCCACCAACATGCACATCATAAGAAACGGCAGGTCACGATTGGTGGCTTGAAAGGTCAAGGCCGCCAAAATTTTGTTAAGAAAACAGCAATTATGGAAACTGAGCAATCCCACTGGCCCAAGAGAAAGCCTCACCGTCCTAGAAACAGTTTATTTATAAATTGCAACACTTTATTAAAAAGAGCAAGACACAACGGAGTAATTTGTTACCTATTAGGCCAAGGTTGCTAATATATTTTTTATAGAAAACAGGAATTTTAGAAATCAATTTAAGCAATCAAATTAGCTGTGATTGACCTGTAAGATCAAGGTTGCCAATATTTTTCCAGAAAATAGTAAATTATAATAATGGAGCAATCTCATTGGCCCGAAATAAATACCCACACCGTTTTAAAATATAAAGTGTGACACTTAATTGGATAGGTCAGCCCACAAAAGAGCGATTGGTAACCTTAAAGGTCAGGGTTGGCTTGGTTTCTGTTAAGAAAACTGCAGTCAAATAGAATTGATCAATCCCGTGATTGTGATTAGGTTCCCTCCCCCCCCCCCCCCCCACCAAAATTATTTTCTTTCAAATATACAACGTGACTCATCATTAGAAAGGTCATGTCCTGACGGAGCGACGGGTGACCTCAAAGGTCACGATCGTCAGACGCCAAGATATTTGTTTAGAAAACAGCAATCCCATCCGCCCAATACACCCCATCATTTAAAATGACTATTTAACTGATATTTTATAAAAAAAAAAATATGATTTGTTGCAGGTGTGGGACTTGTTTGCGCAGGCGGAGAAGGTGCGCGTGATGCTGAAGCAGCTGATCCAGGAGGAGTCGCTGCGGACGTACCTGTTCACGTACTCGAACGTTTACGACTCGATCTCGATGGAGAAGCTGTCGCGCATGTTCGAGCTGGAGAAGGCGGTGGTGCACTCGGTGATCAGCAAGATGATCATCAACGAGGAGCTGATGGCCTCGCTCGACGACCCCTCGCAGTCGGTCGTGATGCACCGCTCCGAGCCGAGCCGCCTCCAGTCGATTGCGCTGCAGCTCGTCGACAAGGTCAACAACCTGGTTGACTCGAACGAGCGCATCTTCGAGATGAAGCAGGGCAACTTCTTTGTGCGCGGCGGAGGGGGTGGAGGGGGAGGCGGGCAGGGCGGCAACTTCCGTGACCGTCAGAACTACAACCGGCAGGAGCGGGGGCAGGACTGGGGGCGGCAGCGCAACCGCGGCGGCGGCGACCGCGACTCGCACCGCGACAACAGGGCCTACTGAAGGTCAAGGTCACCGAAAGGCGAGTGACACAGACACGTGTGTGTGAGAGCGGGGAAGGCAAGTGATCACGGACCAGCCTCGGACTTTCGCGCCTCGACTACCAAGTGTTTGCATGGCTGAGAATAAAGATGCTCTTAAGGTCAATACACAGCCTTGTGTTTTCTCGTGACCTCCTGGGTAACAACAAGTCTACATCCTAAATTATTAGTTGGTCCAGGAAATAAAGGTTTCAACTCGAAAAAATCACCCTTAAATTTTCAATATCAAATTTTAATGAATGACGGGAATAAAGAAAAAAATTGTTGCTTCTTATACTTTTATAAAAAAACAAACATTGAATCTCTGCTTCTTTCCTGTCTTGAGAAAGTATGAGGTTCATGGCTAAGGAGTGATTCTCTTGACCAATCTCCAGATTGACAATCTAAACTATAAAACCTCTGCTAAAACATTGGTTATTTGTTAAGAATATTTATTGCTTTCTAAAAAAAAATATAACTAAATGAAGTGATTGTTGAGCTGTGAAAAAGAAACATGAAAGTTAGTCTTTTAAATCTTATAGTCATTTTAAATATTGAAGGGTATTCAGAACATATAACTAGCTTAACTTTGATAAAACAAAAGTTTGAGTCTCAGTTGATATAAAAAACGCAGATTTTTACCCATTTTCAACCCTTGAAAAGAAGCAATGAAGCAAAATAAATTATTTCCATGCATTAAATATTAGACCAGACTAGTAAAACTTCATTCTTAAACAGGATCAGATTTAAACTGCCGGTAAATGCGTCCAATTGTGTACAGGTCCCTACCTTCCTAAACATCTAATTATATGTCAATTCACTACAAGAGGCCCTCCATAAAAGATAAACAAAATAATTTAGCACCGAACCACAAATAATCTTTGACACACGTCCTTCCATTGTAATCATTTATAGTAAAGTGAGGAAATGTTAATTTATATAACATTTGTATAGAAAAATTTCCACAGGCTTATTTATTTTGCTTTATTGCATAACAATTATGTGGCACTAGACAAAAAAAAAAACAACCTCTACACATTCCAGTTCTTTTTGGTTAAAAACCGCTGCTCGCAGAGTGGATCGTCTATTTCTTGTCGGTGGTGGCGTCCTGGTCGAGGAGGGCCGACTTGATGCCCGCCTGGCCGAGCAGGTCGACGAGGTCGCCGCTCTGGTGCATCTGCAGGAGGATGTCGCAGCCGCCAACGAACTCTCCGTCCACAAACACCTGCGGCACAAAATCAGCTCGGGTTACCAACAATTTTTTTGTAATCCAATGGGAAATGGGGCACCTGCGGGATGGTGGGCCACTTGGAGAAGTCCTTGACGCCCTGACGCACCGCCTCGTCCTTGAGCACGTCGTGCGCGTCGTACTGGACGCCGTGCATTCGCAGAATCTGGACGACCGCGTTGCTGAAGCCGCACTTGGGCTCGGCGGGCACGCCCTTCATGAACACCACCACCTTGCTCTGCTTGACCAGGCCGCCGATCCGCTCCTCCGCAGACGAAGACGCCCACCGCACCAACAGCCGCGCCGACCAGCCGCCCGCCCGCAACATCTCGGCACCGACGAACACTTCTTCGCACCCACGAGCACCACCAGAGCCTGCCTTCTCTGCAAATTTGTGTGCATCCTGAAATTGTTGGCAATCAGGGTGAATTACATAAACTATGTACATACCTGCTTTATCCAGGGATCAGTTTGCAAGAAGCTGTCTCTCGTTGTAATATTCAGCGACCGCTTCGATTTTTTTTGTTACATAATTGTTTTTAAAATAAAAACAGCTGCTTTCTTACTGCTATATGAAGTTAGCCACTAGAAATTATAGAGACGTTTTGAGAGAAAGTATATTTACGCGATGTACTGTACGCAAATAAAGTACAAATCTTTTGGCTCCTAATTTCTAGTACATAGATATAAAAGATGATATTGCAAATACCACAAAATTGATCATAAGTAAGTTGAAAATTCAAAAATAAATTAATTTCGTGAGCTAGCTTCATGTTTATATAGTTTCAAACAAAAGGGGCGCGGTCTGAATGGAAAGTAAGTAAAGCAGATGAAGTAATTGACGTTGATTGTCATTGTTGAAGCCAAGAAAAATTTCTTAACCCTGTCAAATTTCAAATCGCATTCTATTCTCATCGTTTTAAAATATTCAACAATCCGAAAATAGGTTGCTATCATTATATCAAGTGCATTTTCATCTCGGTGTGGATCTCCTTTATCTCCTTTGCATACACGTCGGTTACGCCCCCAATCCGCACCAAACACAAACAGAAACAAATCCCGCACTGTCCCGCACGTTTCAAGTAAAAAACAAAAAGTATGTTGACATCATGCGAAAACAAACGCCTGTGTCTTGTTTAAGACTGTTTCCTCGCCCTTGCACTTGCAGCCTAAATGCAATCATCAGGTGAGTAAAACGCGCCCTCGACCTCTTCAAAGGTGAATCGGAGAGGCCCGAGAATTCAGTCACCGCCTCCAAATGGGCAATTTCTCTGCTGGACCTCGTCCTCTCTGTTTCCATTCTTCCTCCATATTTAGTCTCGCACTGAAAAGGATCTTGTTCGGTTTCAGGTCGGTTGGAACCTGAGAATGAACCCAGACCACGATTCTTCGCCCCCGTCTCCGATTTTGAGGCCGAGAGGAGCCCAGCCGGCTTCAAAAAGTGAGTTTTTTATGCAAGTGTTTGGATTGTTTTAATATGTACTGACTCTTTTACTTCAGATTTAAGTTTGACGGCGAGGAGGAGGCGGCGAAGCGCGTGGTGCGTTCGACCAAGGAGAAGCGCTACGAGGAGCTGACCAACCTCATCAAGCAGATCAGGAACCACAAGAAAATCAAAGACATGTCCAGCATGTTGTCCTGTGAGTGCCCCGCCTATCCCTTTGACTTGCAATTGAATTTGCTCTTGCAGCGTTCGAGGAGCTGACCAGGGCGTACCAGAAGGCCCTGCCCGTGGTGACCAAGGAGGAGAACGGAGTCACGCCCAGGTTCTACGTCCGCATCCTCGCAGAACTCGACGCCTTCATCAACGAAGTCTGGGAAGATAAGGAGGGAAGGTTTGTCTCTCAATTTGTTTCCTTTCTAACTAAACTTTAATGCGATTCATCCATGATTTTGTTCTATTACCTTATCAATTAGAATTAGGAGTCAAGGTAAATTTGTTATTTCTGTTTTATTTGCAGGAAGAACATGTCAAAAAACAACTCCAAGTCGTTGGCCTCAATGAGGCAGAAGCTGAGAAAGTACAGCAATGTTGAAAAGTGTTTTTTATTTTTCCATTTTTGCACTTCGGAGATATTTTTTCACATTGAGGGTTCTGATGAATCTCTTTAATTCCTTCAGGTTGCAAGCTCTGCGTGATTTAAGAGTGAGCTTATTCTCTTCCCTTTCTCAGGTGAAAATCATCCTGCGGCGCCGCCAAGAACAAAGCGCCAGGGCGCCTCAGGGTCGTAGTACAAGGGCAAGGAGCCCATCTACGCCAGCTCGCAGCAGCCGGACACGTAGCACGGGGCGCGACCTGGATGCGGTGGCCGCCAGCATCGGCAGACCTTTGAGCTGAGGTCAGGTAAAACCCAAAATCATGTCTCAATAAAATCTGAAAAATAAACTTGAACTCTTTTCAGAAGTGTCCGACAAGAAGGTCGAGAGGAAGCCGTTGGCTCTCAGGACGCACTAAAGTCCAGACCTGTGGCCTTCAGGTGGGTTTTTCATTTCAAGCTTTTAAGCCTTTAATAAAAAATAAAGCGGCTCACGGACTGGAGTTTTAATTTTGGCTATTTTTGTTTCAGGCGCAGTCCCCCCGACCCCGAGGCGTCAGTTAGTGCGGCTCGAAAGCATCACTACCCTCCCCCTAAGATGACACACAACTGCGATTTGCTTTTATTTTGTACTCTGATGTTTCCCTCCCGTTCTATATCGTTGTGCGACTATTTGATCATTTGTCCCATAAGATTCATGTGTTAAAAAATTTTTGTTAAAATTTGTACAGATTTTAGTAATGTACTTGTAATTTTTTTGTAAAAATTTAAAGAATATAAAACTCATTTTAATATGTATTAATGCATTTATTGATTTTCTCAAATATTTTTTATAATTTAAAATTAAACCTCTCTTTGAGAAATAGAAAAAAAATTATTTACATTAAAAATGTACTGGCTTGGTTTCATTTTTATTTCCATGGTAAGCATTAAAAAAAACGAGTCCAAGCATTATTTATGCAAAATGCAGTCTGACTAAATAGTTAAAAGTGGGCACGGCTCGGCGTGTTCGTTTGTTTCTATAAGAATGGTAATGATAAGAATACAGGATAATTATGAAGAAAGAAGGAGTCGAGTATCAATTTTTCCATTTTATATCGTTGTACCAGCGTAACACATTGGGAATAGGGAGGCGCCGCCCACAATCGTTTCTTTGCTGGCGGGTTGGATGGCGCCGGCGCACGTCCGTGGGCCGAGCCATTGGCAACGCCGCATTCGCTTCGGCTGACTCGCCGCCTCTATCCTGCCGGCTCGCGTGCGCCAATAGCGAGTGCTGCCTGGATCAAGGCCGCAGCGCAAACGCGTCTGGAATGCCGATCGGTGCTCGCTGCTCGCATTCCTGGCATTCCAATAACATGAGTCACCGCCGCCGCTCTCATGCCTCTCATTCATTATTGCGTGGGAGTGTGCCGAGGAAGAACGTTCTCCGGCCGTGCGCAAGTGGTCTTGTCCCGTGTCCCGAGGAGACCCGACCGATGTCCGCGGCAACTTCTCGTCCAACCGACCTGGCGGCCCTGGCGCCGGACACGTGCGGGGCGCCGCGGGCCGGACACCCGCGTCTTCCAACCGTTTGTGAAGAAAGGTATGTAGGTCTTTTGAAATTTATTTTGTATTTTGTTATTTCATTGGTAGGAGTAGTGCATCATCTCTCTTGGGCCCATCACTTTACAGGCAGTATCTTTTATGTGTTGAGAAATTCAAAATTCGCCCGATTCGCGGACCCCCGGGGACCCCGAACGCTGTTTTTATATATTTGAAATTTGTTTCCCCGGCTCCTGTCCCTAGTGAGGACGACGGCGCTAGCACATTCGATCCGCAATTTAATTTACTTTTTACACTTGGTCGTCCGTTCTTTGTCAGACCTTTCCTTCGCACCGGAAATTCAGGGTTTATTGGAGAATGGGCAAGCACACGCCGGCGGACGCCGCTCGCATTCCGGTGGCCCGATTTTTGTTTATGAAAAACCAAAATGAAGATTATTTTCGGACCGATTTTTCTTTTTTCTAGCGGTCGCCAAGTCCCGCCGCGGCCGAATTACCGATTTTTCGGCATAAATTCCGCATTATGGGATTTTACACGCGTTTCGTTCGGACCGAGGTGCATCGATCGCCGCGGGCCCTCGGCGGCTCCTCTCCGGCCCCCGGGCCCAAATTCTTCAGCCGCGGCTGAATTCGGCCTACCGCAGGTTAAAAAATGCATAAATGGAGAATTCCCGAGGACTTTTATTAAAAAAAGGCGCCTCCGAGTTTTGTGGGTCGCTTTGCTTTTTCCTATGCGAGAACGAAAAGCGCGCACACGCCGACGGCTCGAACTCGCGTTCGGGTGGCCCCATTTCGGATTTTTAAATACTCGGATGAAGCATATTCTCGGGCCAATTTTTCCAGGGGCCGCCTGGTCCGGCCGGGGCCAAATTGCCATATTTTTGAAAAGTTTTCAAAATAATCTTTTTGCGAGGCTTCTGCGATTTTACACGCGTGTTCGCTCGGAACGAGACGGACCATTTGACGCGGAATATTTTGTTAATTTTCATCATTCGCTTTCATAAATAAACTTGACTTCAACTTTCAACTATAGAAATATTTATATATTATACTTGTGGCAAAAATAAAATCTCTTTTATTTTTAAATCTTTTTCCATTATCCGAATTTTTTTCAGTTTTTTAATTTACGCAATTTTAAAATTATCCTCATTAAAAAAATTTTTCACATTTAATTCCTCAAAACATACCAATGCCAGTAACACTTAAAATTATTAAAGCCAGTATTATATTTGACTTGTCGCAAATTTTAACTTTTATAATTAAAAACTCTCCTTATTTGGAAGTTTTTTTAGATGCTTAATTTATGCAAATTTAACATTATCCCAATTAAAAGCATTTTTCACATTTAATATTTTGAAACTCTGAGTTAATTTGTTTTTTAAATTATAAAAGCCCGTATAATTTATATTTTACTTGAGGCAAATTTTAACACTTTTATAATAAAAACTCGTTTATTATTATTTTTTTTTAATTTCTTAATTTATGCTGTTATAATATTAATCTTAATGAAAGCATTTTTCACATTTTAAACCGCGCAACACAAAATTAATGAAGTCATTTTGATGGCGCGTTGGCTGGCGCCGGCGCTAACGTTCTCCGGCCGTGCGCAAGTGATCTCGTCCCGTATTACCCACGAGACGTGATCGATGTCCGCCGCGACTTCTCGTCCGACCGCCCTGGCGCCGGACACGTGCAGGGCGCCGCGGGCCGGACACCCGCGCCGTCCAACCGTTTGTGAAGAAAGGTAATTTTTTTTTTTTAGGAAAATATATTTATTTTTTTTAAAAGATACAAGTCCAGCCAAGCTCGAAAGCGTATCGGCTATGGTGCTCATGTTAACTGACGAGCAATTAGCTCGCCAGCTATACAACTTACATAATATGCACAGAATTATTACAAAAAAGTGCGTCACAATTTATGGACAAGAACAATTTTTTTATTTTTAATTTCACTTATATTTACTTTGCAAATTTTTTTATTCAAGAGGCAATAAATTCCACAAGGGTGGCAAAATGAAATGAGAATTTCAATCGTAATTATTAAGGAAATTATGTATTTCGTCGGTTATCATCTCTTTTCGGCCCACTACTTTAAAGGAAATATTATCTTCTGAAATACATATTAATCCGCCCGATTTGCGGCCCACTCGGGGGCCCCAAACGCACTTTTTATTTTGAAATTTGTTTCCCTGGCTCCTACACTAGCGATATCAACGCCGCTAGCACCATTCGATCTGGAATTTAATGTACTTTTTGCGTGGTTGTCCGATTTTCGTTTATTATAAACCGAAATCAAGGATATTTTTGCGCCAATTTTACCAGAGCGTTCCGAGGCAGGTTTAAATAAAAAATGAATTCAAAAATTGGTCCGAGGCTTTCCATAAAATCAAGATCACAAAGATACTTTGTCTCGTTGTGATAGCAATTTTTCATTTGAATCGCCAATCCATTTTATTTCATCAAATTTATTGATTATTAAAATTAACTCTATTTTGTAAACATTTTCTTTTCATCTTATTTTATTAATGTGCCAATAAAGAAGAAGTGAATTTTTAGATTAGAGTATTTATTAAACACACCATTAGGTGTACAACAGGAGTTCACATTAATTAAATCTACCTTTGAATAAATGCATTCATATATTCATAAAAATATTACAAAATATTGCACCATTTCATTGGAAAACTATAAGTAAAATCCCGTTTGAAATTATTGAAACTTTGAGCTCTCATTTGAAATTAAATTCCTCTTAAATATATTTCATTAAATTGGCGTTCTGAGACAGCCCTCGGCGTTTGGCAATACGATCTTCTTAAATACATATTAATCCGCCTAATTCGCGACCCCCGGGGACCCCAAACGCATTTTTTATTTTGAAATTTGTTTCCCGGGCGCCTATACCCTAGCGAGAAAAATGGCGCCAACACCATTCGATCTGGAATTTAATTTACTTTTTTGCGTGCTCGTCCGTTTTTCGCTCAGACCTTATTTCCTTCGCACCTGAAATTCAGGGTTTATGGGAGAATGGGCAAGCACACGCCGGCGGCTCTGACTCGTGTTCCGGTGGCCCGATTTTGGATTTCAAATACCATAATGAAATTTATTTTCGGGCCAATTTTTGCAGGGTTCGGCCGGAATGCCAAATTTTTGGACATGCAATTTGGCTTACGGGATTTTACACGCGCGTGTTCGCTCGGAACGAGACGGATCATTCGACGCAGGCCCCTGGCGGCCCCCCGCCGACCCCCGGGCCGACACTCGATTTGAATTCGGCCGACTGCGGTTGGAAGAGGCATGAATCGAGAGTATACTTTACTTGTGGCGAATTGCTAAACAAATTTAATTATTAATAATTCATTTTTGTATTCTGAAATTATTTGTTACTTCTTCATGTGTGCAATTTTTAACATTATTCACATCAGCCCCATTTTAGCACGATTCTATCTTTTTGATCAGCGTTCGGAATAAAAAATGTTGGAAAAACAAAAAAATTGAAGGGTTTTGATAGAATCACTATTTAAGATTTTACAAAATGTCCAAAAATGGCCACCGGTTTCCCTTTGTATGATATGACTTGTTATTTATTTATTTATTTTTTGGTTTTGGGTCAGGCCAAGAGAAAGTGCTCTTATATGAGCTTGCAGAAGGCAAGCTCTTCCTTTTTTATTGTGTAATTTTCTTAGGCTGGGTACGAATCAGGAAACCGTTTACGAAACCCGGTTTCGTCGCTCAAATTTTGCATGTATTATATAATTTTAATGAAATAGGGGATTCAGTTAAATTTATGATTATGGCTAGTTTCCGATTCACCAAAATGGACTTACAAATTACGAGTGCTAACTTTTACATCAATTAAGTTAATTGGGTAATAAGGGTGAGCAGGGGTGAATTTCTGGAAACTAATTGAACGTCAAGTGCGTAACATTATTTTAGGCTAAAATTTTGTGAGGAAATCAATGGAGTATTTGATTTGAATGAAAAATCTTAATTTCAACCCTTAATTAGTAATTAACTAAAATACAAACAAATTGAAGTACACTACATGATTCTAGGGTAAAATTTGAAGCCCAAGCGATTGCCAGTGTTAATTTTGCGCTTTTAATTTAATTTCAACCCCTGATTTTAAATTTCAAGAAATTAACTGTAATTTTAGAGCGAGACATTTGTAAATGGTAAAATTTAAAGCCAGATCGATTGCCAGATGTTATTTTAGTCTATTAATTAAATTAATTAATTAATTCCTCACAAAATTTTAGCCTAAAATCATGTTACGCACTTGATGTTCAATTAGTTTCCAGAAATTCACCCCTGCTCACCCCTATTACCCAATTAACTTAATTGATGTAAAAGTTAGCACTCGTAATTTTTTGGTGAATCGGAAACTAGCCATAATCATAAATTAAACTGAATCCCCTATTTCATTGAAATTATAATACATGCAAAATTTGAGCGACGAAACCGGGTTTCGTAAACGGTTTCCCGAATTCGTACCCAGCCTTATTATTATCATGAGCACCATATATTTATATCTTCCTTGGGCATTTTACGGCATTACGCTGAACCGAAATTTTAAACGCACGAAATAATTCCATGTCTTTTGTTTCAGACGCGCGACGAGTGGGAAACTGAACCGGCCCCGGCGAGAAGTATCGCACTCATGGTGAGTACAAAAAGCTTCTTTTTTGCAGGCAACATTTTTGTCCATTTGAAATATTAAATTTCGAGAGCCATTTAAGTGCGTGCAGCGTTTGGGATTTTATAACTTTGAAACCTAACCCCATGACTTGCCGCATATTTAATTTTATATCAACAACAACTCATGCCGCGTATACAATAACAAAAAGATTTATCGCCAAAGACAAGGAATCGAATTAACTTTGATTTTGAAGGATCATGAGACCAAAAGTGAGAGAAAAACCTCTGTTCCTCGCCGCATCAGTATTCTTGTTTGATAAAAACATGTTTTTTTTCTTATATAAAAAAATAATAGTTTTTTTTTTCATCAAGGAGAGGATCAGAATACTTTTTGCTTGTTCTGCGATTACTTTCTCGAGTTGATAACATGCAGCAGTTTTAAATGAACAACGCCGCACTGCGTCAACGCTTTGAAAATTCCAAAAGTTACGCTGAGAAGAGCGAAAATTGCAGATTTATACAAATTAACTCGCGCAAGTCGCGCACGTTTTGCGGCGACAGCTCGTGGGCATTGTGGGCCGTTGTTACATGAAAGAATGTTATTTTCACGGAGTAATTGGGCAAAACGTGCACTTTTGATGTTTCCACGCGTCCTGTCGCTGCAGTGCGCGATGGAAGAGGCAAGTTTTGTTGCTTGGAAAATTTGTGCCCTCGTCAACCTTTGTGCCTGTGCCGCATTGTTGCATATCGACCGTTCTCCCCTCTCTAAATTTAAAACGACCCGATTGTGTTCTCTGAATCACGGTAAATTCCTTTTCTTTGCCAAAAGACGAGTTCCACTTTCGCATTTTGATTCTTTTTGTTGACTTTTGTTCAGTTTCAATTGAACTTCAATTTTTTATTCACTGGTAAACGTGAATGTCAAAAAGGCAAGTATTACATTTGTATAGAATCGATTGGCAGCCAATCCTAGTTACAAAAACCCAAGGATCTTTCATTTATAAATAAAAGATCCTTGCAAGAACCCATAAGACCAAGAATGGAAACCTAATCGCCTAAGTTGGGCCGATAAGTAAAAGTTACAAAAAGCTGAGAAATAGTGGAACAACTATTTTGTTACGCAACGCGCAAAAGTAATGGGGAAATTGATTTGCAGTTTGAATTCCAAACAAAATGCGACTTTTAATATCTTCCAATATTTTTAAGCCATTGAAAGTCAACACAAATTTTGTATATTTCGTTTTCTCAATTGTTGTACCGAATTTTTGTGCTCATTCTTTTTTTTGTAATCCAATGGGAAATGGGGCACCTGCGGGATGGTGGGCCACTTGGAGAAGTCCTTGACGCCCTGACGCACCGCCTCGTCCTTGAGCACGTCGTGCGCGTCGTACTGGACGCCGTGCATTCGCAGAATCTGGACGACCGCGTTGCTGAAGCCGCACTTGGGCTCGGCGGGCACGCCCTTCATGAACACCACCACCTTGCTCTGCTTGACCAGGCCGCCGATCCGCTCCTCCGCAGACGAAGACGCCCACCGCACCAACAGCCGCGCCGACCAGCCGCCCGCCCGCAACATCTCGGCACCGACGAACACTTCTTCGCACCCACGAGCACCACCAGAGCCTGCCTTCTCTGCAAATTTGTGTGCATCCTGAAATTGTTGGCAATCAGGGTGAATTACATAAACTATGTACATACCTGCTTTATCCAGGGATCAGTTTGCAAGAAGCTGTCTCTCGTTGTAATATTCAGCGACCGCTTCGATTTTTTTTGTTACATAATTGTTTTTAAAATAAAAACAGCTGCTTTCTTACTGCTATATGAAGTTAGCCACTAGAAATTATAGAGACGTTTTGAGAGAAAGTATATTTACGCGATGTACTGTACGCAAATAAAGTACAAATCTTTTGGCTCCTAATTTCTAGTACATAGATATAAAAGATGATATTGCAAATACCACAAAATTGATCATAAGTAAGTTGAAAATTCAAAAATAAATTAATTTCGTGAGCTAGCTTCATGTTTATATAGTTTCAAACAAAAGGGGCGCGGTCTGAATGGAAAGTAAGTAAAGCAGATGAAGTAATTGACGTTGATTGTCATTGTTGAAGCCAAGAAAAATTTCTTAACCCTGTCAAATTTCAAATCGCATTCTATTCTCATCGTTTTAAAATATTCAACAATCCGAAAATAGGTTGCTATCATTATATCAAGTGCATTTTCATCTCGGTGTGGATCTCCTTTATCTCCTTTGCATACACGTCGGTTACGCCCCCAATCCGCACCAAACACAAACAGAAACAAATCCCGCACTGTCCCGCACGTTTCAAGTAAAAAACAAAAAGTATGTTGACATCATGCGAAAACAAACGCCTGTGTCTTGTTTAAGACTGTTTCCTCGCCCTTGCACTTGCAGCCTAAATGCAATCATCAGGTGAGTAAAACGCGCCCTCGACCTCTTCAAAGGTGAATCGGAGAGGCCCGAGAATTCAGTCACCGCCTCCAAATGGGCAATTTCTCTGCTGGACCTCGTCCTCTCTGTTTCCATTCTTCCTCCATATTTAGTCTCGCACTGAAAAGGATCTTGTTCGGTTTCAGGTCGGTTGGAACCTGAGAATGAACCCAGACCACGATTCTTCGCCCCCGTCTCCGATTTTGAGGCCGAGAGGAGCCCAGCCGGCTTCAAAAAGTGAGTTTTTTATGCAAGTGTTTGGATTGTTTTAATATGTACTGACTCTTTTACTTCAGATTTAAGTTTGACGGCGAGGAGGAGGCGGCGAAGCGCGTGGTGCGTTCGACCAAGGAGAAGCGCTACGAGGAGCTGACCAACCTCATCAAGCAGATCAGGAACCACAAGAAAATCAAAGACATGTCCAGCATGTTGTCCTGTGAGTGCCCCGCCTATCCCTTTGACTTGCAATTGAATTTGCTCTTGCAGCGTTCGAGGAGCTGACCAGGGCGTACCAGAAGGCCCTGCCCGTGGTGACCAAGGAGGAGAACGGAGTCACGCCCAGGTTCTACGTCCGCATCCTCGCAGAACTCGACGCCTTCATCAACGAAGTCTGGGAAGATAAGGAGGGAAGGTTTGTCTCTCAATTTGTTTCCTTTCTAACTAAACTTTAATGCGATTCATCCATGATTTTGTTCTATTACCTTATCAATTAGAATTAGGAGTCAAGGTAAATTTGTTATTTCTGTTTTATTTGCAGGAAGAACATGTCAAAAAACAACTCCAAGTCGTTGGCCTCAATGAGGCAGAAGCTGAGAAAGTACAGCAATGTTGAAAAGTGTTTTTTATTTTTCCATTTTTGCACTTCGGAGATATTTTTTCACATTGAGGGTTCTGATGAATCTCTTTAATTCCTTCAGGTTGCAAGCTCTGCGTGATTTAAGAGTGAGCTTATTCTCTTCCCTTTCTCAGGTGAAAATCATCCTGCGGCGCCGCCAAGAACAAAGCGCCAGGGCGCCTCAGGGTCGTAGTACAAGGGCAAGGAGCCCATCTACGCCAGCTCGCAGCAGCCGGACACGTAGCACGGGGCGCGACCTGGATGCGGTGGCCGCCAGCATCGGCAGACCTTTGAGCTGAGGTCAGGTAAAACCCAAAATCATGTCTCAATAAAATCTGAAAAATAAACTTGAACTCTTTTCAGAAGTGTCCGACAAGAAGGTCGAGAGGAAGCCGTTGGCTCTCAGGACGCACTAAAGTCCAGACCTGTGGCCTTCAGGTGGGTTTTTCATTTCAAGCTTTTAAGCCTTTAATAAAAAATAAAGCGGCTCACGGACTGGAGTTTTAATTTTGGCTATTTTTGTTTCAGGCGCAGTCCCCCCGACCCCGAGGCGTCAGTTAGTGCGGCTCGAAAGCATCACTACCCTCCCCCTAAGATGACACACAACTGCGATTTGCTTTTATTTTGTACTCTGATGTTTCCCTCCCGTTCTATATCGTTGTGCGACTATTTGATCATTTGTCCCATAAGATTCATGTGTTAAAAAATTTTTGTTAAAATTTGTACAGATTTTAGTAATGTACTTGTAATTTTTTTGTAAAAATTTAAAGAATATAAAACTCATTTTAATATGTATTAATGCATTTATTGATTTTCTCAAATATTTTTTATAATTTAAAATTAAACCTCTCTTTGAGAAATAGAAAAAAAATTATTTACATTAAAAATGTACTGGCTTGGTTTCATTTTTATTTCCATGGTAAGCATTAAAAAAAACGAGTCCAAGCATTATTTATGCAAAATGCAGTCTGACTAAATAGTTAAAAGTGGGCACGGCTCGGCGTGTTCGTTTGTTTCTATAAGAATGGTAATGATAAGAATACAGGATAATTATGAAGAAAGAAGGAGTCGAGTATCAATTTTTCCATTTTATATCGTTGTACCAGCGTAACACATTGGGAATAGGGAGGCGCCGCCCACAATCGTTTCTTTGCTGGCGGGTTGGATGGCGCCGGCGCACGTCCGTGGGCCGAGCCATTGGCAACGCCGCATTCGCTTCGGCTGACTCGCCGCCTCTATCCTGCCGGCTCGCGTGCGCCAATAGCGAGTGCTGCCTGGATCAAGGCCGCAGCGCAAACGCGTCTGGAATGCCGATCGGTGCTCGCTGCTCGCATTCCTGGCATTCCAATAACATGAGTCACCGCCGCCGCTCTCATGCCTCTCATTCATTATTGCGTGGGAGTGTGCCGAGGAAGAACGTTCTCCGGCCGTGCGCAAGTGGTCTTGTCCCGTGTCCCGAGGAGACCCGACCGATGTCCGCGGCAACTTCTCGTCCAACCGACCTGGCGGCCCTGGCGCCGGACACGTGCGGGGCGCCGCGGGCCGGACACCCGCGTCTTCCAACCGTTTGTGAAGAAAGGTATGTAGGTCTTTTGAAATTTATTTTGTATTTTGTTATTTCATTGGTAGGAGTAGTGCATCATCTCTCTTGGGCCCATCACTTTACAGGCAGTATCTTTTATGTGTTGAGAAATTCAAAATTCGCCCGATTCGCGGACCCCCGGGGACCCCGAACGCTGTTTTTATATATTTGAAATTTGTTTCCCCGGCTCCTGTCCCTAGTGAGGACGACGGCGCTAGCACATTCGATCCGCAATTTAATTTACTTTTTACACTTGGTCGTCCGTTCTTTGTCAGACCTTTCCTTCGCACCGGAAATTCAGGGTTTATTGGAGAATGGGCAAGCACACGCCGGCGGACGCCGCTCGCATTCCGGTGGCCCGATTTTTGTTTATGAAAAACCAAAATGAAGATTATTTTCGGACCGATTTTTCTTTTTTCTAGCGGTCGCCAAGTCCCGCCGCGGCCGAATTACCGATTTTTCGGCATAAATTCCGCATTATGGGATTTTACACGCGTTTCGTTCGGACCGAGGTGCATCGATCGCCGCGGGCCCTCGGCGGCTCCTCTCCGGCCCCCGGGCCCAAATTCTTCAGCCGCGGCTGAATTCGGCCTACCGCAGGTTAAAAAATGCATAAATGGAGAATTCCCGAGGACTTTTATTAAAAAAAGGCGCCTCCGAGTTTTGTGGGTCGCTTTGCTTTTTCCTATGCGAGAACGAAAAGCGCGCACACGCCGACGGCTCGAACTCGCGTTCGGGTGGCCCCATTTCGGATTTTTAAATACTCGGATGAAGCATATTCTCGGGCCAATTTTTCCAGGGGCCGCCTGGTCCGGCCGGGGCCAAATTGCCATATTTTTGAAAAGTTTTCAAAATAATCTTTTTGCGAGGCTTCTGCGATTTTACACGCGTGTTCGCTCGGAACGAGACGGACCATTTGACGCGGAATATTTTGTTAATTTTCATCATTCGCTTTCATAAATAAACTTGACTTCAACTTTCAACTATAGAAATATTTATATATTATACTTGTGGCAAAAATAAAATCTCTTTTATTTTTAAATCTTTTTCCATTATCCGAATTTTTTTCAGTTTTTTAATTTACGCAATTTTAAAATTATCCTCATTAAAAAAATTTTTCACATTTAATTCCTCAAAACATACCAATGCCAGTAACACTTAAAATTATTAAAGCCAGTATTATATTTGACTTGTCGCAAATTTTAACTTTTATAATTAAAAACTCTCCTTATTTGGAAGTTTTTTTAGATGCTTAATTTATGCAAATTTAACATTATCCCAATTAAAAGCATTTTTCACATTTAATATTTTGAAACTCTGAGTTAATTTGTTTTTTAAATTATAAAAGCCCGTATAATTTATATTTTACTTGAGGCAAATTTTAACACTTTTATAATAAAAACTCGTTTATTATTATTTTTTTTTAATTTCTTAATTTATGCTGTTATAATATTAATCTTAATGAAAGCATTTTTCACATTTTAAACCGCGCAACACAAAATTAATGAAGTCATTTTGATGGCGCGTTGGCTGGCGCCGGCGCTAACGTTCTCCGGCCGTGCGCAAGTGATCTCGTCCCGTATTACCCACGAGACGTGATCGATGTCCGCCGCGACTTCTCGTCCGACCGCCCTGGCGCCGGACACGTGCAGGGCGCCGCGGGCCGGACACCCGCGCCGTCCAACCGTTTGTGAAGAAAGGTAATTTTTTTTTTTTAGGAAAATATATTTATTTTTTTTAAAAGATACAAGTCCAGCCAAGCTCGAAAGCGTATCGGCTATGGTGCTCATGTTAACTGACGAGCAATTAGCTCGCCAGCTATACAACTTACATAATATGCACAGAATTATTACAAAAAAGTGCGTCACAATTTATGGACAAGAACAATTTTTTTATTTTTAATTTCACTTATATTTACTTTGCAAATTTTTTTATTCAAGAGGCAATAAATTCCACAAGGGTGGCAAAATGAAATGAGAATTTCAATCGTAATTATTAAGGAAATTATGTATTTCGTCGGTTATCATCTCTTTTTGGCCCACTACTTTAAAGGAAATATTATCTTCTGAAATACATATTAATCCGCCCGATTTGCGGCCCACTCGGGGGCCCCAAACGCACTTTTTATTTTGAAATTTGTTTCCCTGGCTCCTACACTAGCGATATCAACGCCGCTAGCACCATTCGATCTGGAATTTAATGTACTTTTTGCGTGGTTGTCCGATTTTCGTTTATTATAAACCGAAATCAAGGATATTTTTGCGCCAATTTTACCAGAGCGTTCCGAGGCAGGTTTAAATAAAAAATGAATTCAAAAATTGGTCCGAGGCTTTCCATAAAATCAAGATCACAAAGATACTTTGTCTCGTTGTGATTAGCAATTTTTCATTTGAATCGCCAATCCATTTTATTTCATCAAATTTATTGATTATTAAAATTAACTCTATTTTGTAAACATTTTCTTTTCATCTTATTTTATTAATGTGCCAATAAAGAAGAAGTGAATTTTTAGATTAGAGTATTTATTAAACACACCATTAGGTGTACAACAGGAGTTCACATTAATTAAATCTACCTTTGAATAAATGCATTCATATATTCATAAAAATATTACAAAATATTGCACCATTTCATTGGAAAACTATAAGTAAAATCCCGTTTGAAATTATTGAAACTTTGAGCTCTCATTTGAAATTAAATTCCTCTTAAATATATTTCATTAAATTGGCGTTCTGAGACAGCCCTCGGCGTTTGGCAATACGATCTTCTTAAATACATATTAATCCGCCTAATTCGCGACCCCCGGGGACCCCAAACGCATTTTTTATTTTGAAATTTGTTTCCCGGGCGCCTATACCCTAGCGAGAAAAATGGCGCCAACACCATTCGATCTGGAATTTAATTTACTTTTTTGCGTGCTCGTCCGTTTTTCGCTCAGACCTTATTTCCTTCGCACCTGAAATTCAGGGTTTATGGGAGAATGGGCAAGCACACGCCGGCGGCTCTGACTCGTGTTCCGGTGGCCCGATTTTGGATTTCAAATACCATAATGAAATTTATTTTCGGGCCAATTTTTGCAGGGTTCGGCCGGAATGCCAAATTTTTGGACATGCAATTTGGCTTACGGGATTTTACACGCGCGTGTTCGCTCGGAACGAGACGGATCATTCGACGCAGGCCCCTGGCGGCCCCCCGCCGACCCCCGGGCCGACACTCGATTTGAATTCGGCCGACTGCGGTTGGAAGAGGCATGAATCGAGAGTATACTTTACTTGTGGCGAATTGCTAAACAAATTTAATTATTAATAATTCATTTTTGTATTCTGAAATTATTTGTTACTTCTTCATGTGTGCAATTTTTAACATTATTCACATCAGCCCCATTTTAGCACGATTCTATCTTTTTGATCAGCGTTCGGAATAAAAAATGTTGGAAAAACAAAAAAATTGAAGGGTTTTGATAGAATCACTATTTAAGATTTTACAAAATGTCCAAAAATGGCCACCGGTTTCCCTTTGTATGATATGACTTGTTATTTATTTATTTATTTTTTGGTTTTGGGTCAGGCCAAGAGAAAGTGCTCTTATATGAGCTTGCAGAAGGCAAGCTCTTCCTTTTTTATTGTGTAATTTTCTTAGGCTGGGTACGAATCAGGAAACCGTTTACGAAACCCGGTTTCGTCGCTCAAATTTTGCATGTATTATATAATTTTAATGAAATAGGGGATTCAGTTAAATTTATGATTATGGCTAGTTTCCGATTCACCAAAATGGACTTACAAATTACGAGTGCTAACTTTTACATCAATTAAGTTAATTGGGTAATAAGGGTGAGCAGGGGTGAATTTCTGGAAACTAATTGAACGTCAAGTGCGTAACATTATTTTAGGCTAAAATTTTGTGAGGAAATCAATGGAGTATTTGATTTGAATGAAAAATCTTAATTTCAACCCTTAATTAGTAATTAACTAAAATACAAACAAATTGAAGTACACTACATGATTCTAGGGTAAAATTTGAAGCCCAAGCGATTGCCAGTGTTAATTTTGCGCTTTTAATTTAATTTCAACCCCTGATTTTAAATTTCAAGAAATTAACTGTAATTTTAGAGCGAGACATTTGTAAATGGTAAAATTTAAAGCCAGATCGATTGCCAGATGTTATTTTAGTCTATTAATTAAATTAATTAATTAATTCCTCACAAAATTTTAGCCTAAAATCATGTTACGCACTTGATGTTCAATTAGTTTCCAGAAATTCACCCCTGCTCACCCCTAT